CAGCTCCAGTGTTTCCCCATTTTAGTTTAAGATAGCATTTCTTTGGTCCACTGGGGCTTCCTGCTGAGCCCTGACTTGGTGTCCCAGTGGTTGTGTGTGTGTGTGTGTGTGTGTGTGTGCGTGCGTGTGCGTGCGTGCGTGCGTGCGTGCGTGCGTGCGTGCGTGCGTGCGTGCAGGTGGGTGGGTGGGTGGGTAGTGGGGTCTTTGTTAAATGCGGGCTTGGAGGGTAGGTGTGTGGCTGGGGTTTTGCAATTTGTATTTTATTTGGTATTTCATTTGGTATCCCCTGATCCTCTCCTGCTTGTGTTATTTAATGTACAGCACTTTGTGATATAGTCCATAAATGAAAAGTGCTTTATAAATATAGTGATTGATTGATTGATTGATTGATTGATTGATGTCCGTTCAATGTCCGTGGCATCAAATTTGGCTTTTATTTTTCTTTTTTTTTCAGACATTTCATTTTTCTTCCTATTAAAAAAATGTGTTGCCCACAGAACTCTCCTGACCCATTTTAGTTACATCCATTCTTGTTTGTCTGAAATGCGGATAGTTTTTTTTTCACTGTGTTTATGGCACTAAAAAAAAAAAAAAAAATTGCAATGCAGTCACTTGATCATCAGGGCTTTAAAGTTCACTCTTCCACCGTGATCCAGCAGATTAGGCCAGCACACAATTTTAAGAATTTTGGTGCCACGCACACAGGGCTTCATCCATGGACTCAAGAGAGTTTGAAGCACTATTTCATCCAGAAGAATTAAAGGAAACGAGTTGTGCCATGAGATATTGATGTCTAAGAGTGGGCTACATCTGTAAGGAAAAGTCTGTGTGCTCCTTTATCTGTGCACGGGTGCAAATCTGCAACTATGTTCAGAACCAGACATGCCGTGAGTTGAGTTTTTACAGTGTAAAACGACGTCCAAGTTCTGCAGTCTGGGACAAAGAGAGGGGGAACATTTGGACAATTACAACTTTGCCCTCACTTTATAGCAAGTGGATGGACATGCAAGGGAATGCAAGGGTCCTTTTGATCAATAAGAGAGAATGTATCATATCTCAAATATGCAGTAAATTTATACATGCATAAATATTTTGGTCAGAGCTGGAAAAAGCACTTGTAGGAGATTCATATCTTATATGTCCGTTTTGGGGACATACAAGGCGGGACAGGGCTGAAATACGAAATCGGCAATACAAAAAAAAATTAAATAAATTAAATTAAATTAAATCTATCAAAACCAATTTTACAACTCATCGACATTGCTCAGACAATTTTTTTAATTATTATTTTTTAAACTGGATAATTTTATGATGGAAATATGGTGGTGTTATTTTGTTGCTGTTTTTTATTTATTTATTTATTTTTCCCTTACAAAAAAGATTTTTTTTTTGAGTGGTCAGGGTTTAAGTTGTTGAAGAGATTTGAAGCAGTGAAAGTTAAAAAAAAAAGGTAAAAAGTTAACTTAACTTTTACTTATGACTTTAGACATTAATGTAATTGGGTGAATTGGGCGCAGGGGGAGAGGTGCCGACCAGTGAGGTGTGCAAGAGGAATAAGGATTCCCAAGGAGGAAGACTCGAAAACATAAACCAGTTTTGGACAGTCTCTCTACTGAGCGTGTTCTTCAGCATTGTCTCCCGAAGACTGACTGAGTTCCTCCTCAAGAACAACTACATCAACACTTCAGTGCAGAAGGGTGGGATTCCTGGAGCACCTGGCTGTATGGAGCACACCAGTGTAGTCACACAGCTCATCAGAGAGGCCCATTAGAACAGAGGTGACCTTGCTGTGTTGTGGTTGGACCTGACTATTGCCTGTGAGTCCATCCCACACAAACTAGTTGAGCTTGGGCTACACCTCCACCATGATCAAGGACTTGATCCTGGATTATTATAATAATTTCAGGCTCAGGGTCACTTCTGGTCCAGTAACATCAGACTGGCATTGCCTCGACAAAGGAATAATAACAGGCTGTACCATCTCCGTTATCCTTTTCACAGTAGTGATGAACATGGTGGTGACACAGTGATTTCCAAACTTGCAGAGGTACGACTGACGGGGCTGGGGGTCAAGGCTTGTTAAAAAGTGCTAGTAAAATATGCGAACGAGTCGAAAGGGAAGGCTGATGGTGAATGGACAACAAACATCACAACCATTAACACAAAGAAAAGAAACTCGTGTCCCATTTTCAGCCTGACCTCCACCAGCTGTGGGTCTCCCACTCACTGGAAATTTTTGAGTCACATGTTGCAGTGAAATTGTTTGCTTTGTTAGGGTTGTTTGATAGTTTGATGCAACACAGTGAAATATTATTTCTGCTGTTTTGCAGACAATGCTTAAGGTAGTTTTAGCAAAGAACAATTTTGTGCATGTGAACTTTGGTTCATATGTTGATGGCTATGTTGTGGGAGGCTTGAAATCAATTTGATCCACCATAGATGGGCCTTGCAGAAGAAGTTTGGCAACCACTGTATTTGCAGAGCACATGTCATCATTATTCTTACCCATTTATCTCAAAAACTATTGGATGAATTAGCAAGAATCTTTACAGCTGTGTTTTGTCCAAGCATGAGGGACTATAACATCATTAAAAATCCAATCAGCATCTTCTTCTGCCCATTGTGTTAGTACAGAGTAGAAGCAGTCAAAGCACGAAGTACAATAGTTTTGTGAAAACAGACAAAAGAGTGCGATATCTGCCCCGAGCAAGCTCAAAGGACACATCAACAGCTGTGCATCTCTTTGCAAGGAGAAGAAAGCAAGCAGGCTTTTAAGACTTAATTGTTGGTTTGACACTTGATGGACAATTTCATTGTAAACTTGCAATAAAACAAGTTGCAGGATCAATAGTCTTCTCCCACCTCGATTAACTCCCAGCAAACTCTGGCACTTCAAAACAAGAGCTAAATAAGATCCAGCTCTGCTGTGCTGGATCTGTCTGCCTCTTCACTGCTCAGTGACAGAGCAGCAAGGCTCTTATGGATAAAAGTTGATGACAGACCCATAAGTACCCTGTTTCTAATTATAAGAAACACGTGTCTCCAGAAAACTTTCACACTTTCACTTTAACACACAAACTGATAATATATGTTATTATGACTCCAGACAGGCACCATGTGTCACTTCCAAACAAAACCAATGTCTTTCATTGGAGGGTGATTTATGGGGCTTCTTTAAAAAAGAGAAAAGGCACCTCTTTTCAGATCAGTTCATATATATATTTATCATTTTAAGCCCATATTTAATAGAAAATAGGTCAAACACAATATATCAAATATTGAAGCTGAAAAATCTTATTGTTTGTGAAAAATAAAAACCTTTGAAAAAGGTGTGTTATACAGCAGGTGGAAAATCTCCTAACTATCTGGGTCAATTTGCAACAGATTAGTAGCATATATGAGTGTAAAAGAGCATTTTAAAGAGGCTGAGTCTCTCAGAAGGGGATGGGAAGAGATTCACTACTCTGTGGGAGGCTGCAGGAACAAATAGTTCAGCAATTTTAGAAAAAAAAGTTCCACAGCATAAAACTGAAAGACTGGGAATTTCATCACCTACAGTACACACAACATCTTTCAAATGATTCTGGAAACTCTGGAGTAAACTCTGCACAAAAGGGACAAGGCTGATAACTGATACTGAAAGGCAGGAATCTTCAAGTCCTCAGCCAGCTCAGCATAAAAACAGACACAAACTCTACAGTGGATATCACTGCATTACAAAACTGCATCCATAAATGAAGGTTAGAATTACTTCATAGTCCGTGTGTTACACTGACCTGGCTGCAGTCCTGACTTTTTCTTTTTTCATTTGGAGCATCGCGACACAAACAATTCAAGAGAGGAGATTTCAAAACTGTAGAGCCACAAAAGTCTTATATCAGAGAAGAATAGGACAACATTTAGCTCTCAAAACTACAGGACATGGTCTCAGTGTCCAAATGTTTACATCCCAAAGGTAAACATGCTCCTGTCCAAACTGGTTTGAATCCTGTCACCAAATTCAAAATGTGCCTGTATTTTTTTATAAAACAGTGAAATTATCATCTTCAAGATCTGCTTACTTCTTGTTTTATCCCAGAAATTTCACCCAGTGTCCTTACTCTAAAAAAGGTTAATGTTTGCAGTATATGATAATTTGTGTGCAAAACTGGAGTGACTCAGGCCCACTCAAATGATGCTTCAATCATTTCCTATGACAGATAACCACTTTATTTCTTTTGTATTTATTATATTTTGTGTTATGCTCAGGAACAGTAACCTTCTGTAATTATTGGGATCATGTGAGGAACTTCTGGATTGTGAAAATATTGGCAGTCTTTGCTTATCTTATCCTCTCCATGCTTCAGTAGCATCTTCTGACAGAAAAAACCCTAATATTTCTGACTTTTGAGTGTCATATTTGTCTTTTATTGATTATTCTTTTATGAGTAAATGTGAAAGGGGGCTGAAAGGGGACTCTATCCCTCACACCAGTTTCAGGCATTAAAATTACAGTATGCTGATGGTCTTGTTTGTTTCTGTGCATTATAAAAAGCCATTATGATACATTTCAGTTTATTTCATAAGCATTAAAATTTCCCACATGAGCTTTTAACTATCTATATTAAGTAGCCATAGCAAAATCACAGCCTGTGACTTTAAGTCCAAACCGTGCGCATGCATGCAGTTAACGAGTTTATAATTTACCACTGCTATTACTGAATTTAATCTAAGCCTAATAAAAGAGAGGGTTAATCAATGACAATAGGTTCGTGGTGTTTCAGGTTTTACAGATACTTGCCCAGATGGTATAGCTTTATTTCCTGCTTATTTGACCTCTAATTCTGCACCACATTATCCAGAGAAAAGCCCGTATGATTTCAACAGGTACCTAAATGAAGTTAATGGACTTATTATCAATCATAGCCGTGTGTGTGAATCTTTTATCGTGACCACTGAGATCAACCTGGCTCTCTAATTGACTGCCTGTTGTCCCTCTAACAATTTAAACTGCTCCATCTAGTGGCCAACGGGCTCATCGAGACGTCTGGACGCAACTGCTTTCATCCCCCATTTATTAATTTATTTATTTTTGTCACCGTGAGAAATAAAGTGCCAGTGTGGAGCAGGGACAGCAGTAGCTGCGCGGCACTTGCGGCGGTGGATCGCCGGAGACGGAGCTTTTTCTCTCTCTGCGCCGATAAGTTAAGCGCGACAAGCCGCTGACCTGCGAGCATCCTCCGAGGGAAACTGTGCATTTGACTCGCTTAACGAGCGTCAGTTTTCATCTCTTCGCCGCTCATCATTTGTTGCTGTCGTGGCTCCGTTGTCCAGCGGTCCGAAGGCTGTGCAAGCCCGCGCACTGACGGATCCAGAAAGACCACGAGGATCACAGGTGATTTATAACAATACTGCTCTTCTTGATGCTGTGTATGTGTGCGTGTGTGTGTGTGTGTGTGTGTGTGTGTGTGAATGTTTGTGTGGAGGGGGGTGCTTCTTTTTATTTATGCATATCAGTCTAATTTACATCAATGTTTAGGTTTTACAACAGCTGACTTTAATTGGGGGAGCACTGTCGTGTAGTTTATGCCAAAATTAGTGCGCAAGTAAAGATCTGAATGCTCATGCATGTCCTTAAATTAATCAGCATCTATCAGAAAGCATTGAGCTTGATATAAATGAGTTAGTTTGGGGAAAGTAATTAGTGTTGTTGCACCTGTAGGGGCTACATATATGTACTAGTGTGAGTGAATTGTTTGGGTATTTGGATGTAAACAGGGCTAAGGCTGTTCTGGGGAGCATCTGAGGGATTTCAGTGGCTGCACAGAGTCAGCCTGCCCACACTCTACAGAATGCTACATCCTGTCAACACAGGGCTCCAACAGCAGAGGAGGCAGCCAAAAAACATACTACACTGCACTTTTCATTTCCAAAAAAAAAACAAAAAAAACAACTCATCCTGTTTAGGGGAGTAGGTGGTCGGGTCTTGGAAAGATACATGTTCTGGGCACAGTGCTTTATAGTTTCATTGTCATTGCCTGTTAATTATTATATTTTTTTAACCACATTGAGATGTGTTTGCATTTTTGTTTGAATGATGCCTCGTCTCTGTGTGTTACTGAAGTGACGGTCAAAAAGGAGGCTTTCTACAATCCTTCCTTAAGTTCTTCTCTGAGTAATATGAGCAGATCCAGCTGATTTACAGTCCTCTCCTCAGTCCAGTTCCCGCAGACAGGCTCTAGGCAAATTCTCACCTTGTGCCACCACACCTAATCTTAATATTATGTCTCAATATGATACGTCAGTTTAGCATTATTTGTTAAGACAAACTTATCTTTGATTTGGGTCACTCCTAAGATTTACAGTCAGAGGATAAAACTCAATTAGGCAGCCCTGCAGCAATCTTTACTCACTGGCAGATGGCTTAATACTCTTGGATCCTGCCTTAGTGTCCCTTATTGCTCTAATTGGATTTCATCATTTCACACTGTTTATCCATATAAAAATGAGTTTTTTAAATGTGGCATCATTAATTCAATACATTCTCAGCCCTGTCAGATCCAAGCCCACTAGCCACTGCTGTCTAAACATTTCACGTCTCATCCCTGATGATCTGCTCCGTCATAAATTGAAGTAGACCTCTGCGTAAATTGTTGCATTCCCCATGTGTTATTGATGGCATGTTGGGATGTTTGAATAGTGTATTCAGGGGGATATGCAATGTGTAATAAATCAAACACACACACACATACACACAGTGATGAGGGCGTATTGTCTGTCTGAGTTAATTCTTGCCCTGAGGAGACGGCTTTCCTTTGAATGACATCCAGTTGGATTCCACAAAGGGACATGGCAGGAGTTTTATTCTCTAAGACAATGTGAATGTGATGTGAGTTTTGGAGGCTCACTGTCAGACCTACATTCAGCCCAGAACAACGGTAGCCTCAAACAAAAATCAAAACAAGAAGGATGTTGTATCCCCGCTGCATCTTCAGTCACCATGTGGCTCGGAGCGGTCTGATCAAATTTGAGAATATTCTTCAAAATACTGCTCTGAAAAACAAATGCTAATAACACATAAACAAAAATATCTTGTGTGTAAAATATTCCTGGAGATGAAAGCACTGCCTCGGTACATTTGGCTCTGTTTAGAGCATTATTGTGTGAGTGTAACAGCTATCAACCCCCCTGGAAGAATCTGTCATGAGCGACAGAGTAAAACACGAGGCAGGACAGCCTGAACATGACTTCACTGCTGCACTTGATCTTATTGAATTATTGCTAATCTAGTCTATATGAAGAACAGTGTCTTATGAGTCCATCTAGAGCTGAAATCTCACTCCGAGTCCAGGTTGTTGTGTCAAGCCTTATAGGTGGGTTTTGCTCTGCTGGGTAATGAAAACGACAATAATTCATGAGTCATAAATCAATGTGATGGTGAGCATCATTGAACCGTGAACTAACAGCCAGGTTGGATTCCTGCTTGATTAATCATTCGTCTGCACCTCAGTGGTCAAACCGGCAGTGTTCAATAGCCTTGGATGTAAACAGAACTTTGGCCTTTGACAGAGGGGCTCATATTTTCATTGATGCTAATGAGTGATCGCGCCGGGGCTGAGCTTGAAAACCTGATTATTCACTGTAGTGCAGGACACCACTTAAACCTTAAAATGTCAATAAAAAGAGGAGGAAAGATCACCAGTCCTTTACGGTATCAGCACAGTGAGGTTTACTGCAACAAACTGTTATTATACATTGAATCATGAATAAAAGGTATATTTGGTCTTTTTTCAGCCACACAGACAGGAGGTTACAGCTGCGAGATCTGTGAAATGCAATCTATCTATCTATCTATCTATCTATCTATCTATCTATCTATCTATCTATCTATCTGTAAATAATATATCTATAAATCTTTTTTATCTATATTTGTATATCCATGTAAAGATCTATATCAATAGAGATATATCTGTTTAATTCAATTCAGGAAGCTTTATTGGCATGACTGATTGTAAAATAACAATGTTGCCAGAGCATTTACAGACATTAAATCAGTTCAACAAATATATAAAAAACTACTGAACATGGAGGTAAAAAAAAGTTCTTATATCATAAAAGCAGTACTTGTATTTTTACAACCATTAAAATCTTTCCATAGATTAATGTTTTCATAGATATATGGATGTATTAACTATATATGTAGTGTTATTTGATGACTTTAAAACCATTAAAATAAAATTAAAACTGTATTTTTTATTTTTTGCTCAAATTTTTTTAGATTGTATTTACCTTTTCTGTTTTGATCAAGAGGCTGTTTTTGTTTTTAAAGGTGCAGTGTGTAAAAGAGTTGGACTAATGAATTGGTTTGCTGAATCGGGTCAATAATTTGTGTTTTTTCATTCAATTGGTGTCATGTTGGCATCAGCACTTTCAAAGCTGATATTTCAATAATCTTTGGCTGACTGATAACATTTTTCTTCTCATCCCCAATGACAAATCTGAAGCAGTGACTTGTCAGTGTTTTAATATAAGGTATGCTATCACCGTTAAATCAACCCACACTACGTATCAGAAAAATCTGCTATGTGATATCTTTGTCCTTTCCACTGATTCATTTAAAATTCATCTTTGGATGGAATAATGAATCTGTGAATGACTTTCTTTGAGTCTTGTCAAAAACTCAATATTTTCCTTATATAATTTTTCTGTCCATATTCAGATAGCTGGACAAAAATTCAAAAGTCCCTTTTGGTGGACTGAGACAAATATTTTTCCATCTACATTTATTTGACAAAATATTCACTCAAGTTTAGTCTCAGAACTTAAACGGTTTATTTTGGTATTTTTCAGTCAGCTGTCCTGTTGAGCTCCAGTGTGTAACAGTGAGCAGCATTTAGCAGATTGTACTTGCTTTGTGGAAATCAGTATTTGATATTCTTTAGTATGTTTAGTTAGACTTGTAGTCACCTGAATATAAAAGTGGTTTTGTTTTTGTTTACTTGACATGAGCCTTTTATATCTACATTAGAGAAGGTTCCTCCTGAAGAGGCCGCTACCTTGTGTCTCCATGTTTTCACTGAAGCCCAGAGGAGTTGGGGGGCTGTTTTAACCCGCAAAATAATTTTTGCTGATAGACATTTTTAATGTTAAAATTGAGGAAAACACTTATGCATCAGAGTGGTGTTTTATCCTTGAAGGCTGCTGGAGCATTTTACTCCAGAATCTGAGCGCCAGATATCAGTAAATATCTCTATCTTTACACACACTGTACCCTTAATGTCACTTGGTTATTGCTTGGACCACTTCAGCTCTTGGCACCACACTGAGACCTGTCAGCAGCAGAACAGATGTGGAAACAAGGAAACCGCATGGCCTCTTAGCTCTGTGCAGTTAAAAAGATAAATGTTGCTCAAGAAAGAAAACAGCTCATTTTCTCGTGTTAATAAGAATTTGTTTTCCCGAGATAATTATTTGGGTTTTTTTTTTCCACTTAGAGCTGATTTCTTTGCCCTGAAGTGTTTTCAAAGGTTGTTGGCTCATATAAATCCTAGTAAAGCACTGATTAAGTGCTGCTACCAGGTGTTATTTTTTACTTTAGTGAGTAGGCTTTACTGAGGATGGGCCATTTCAGTTCAGATGAGTGAGGAGTTCAGGTGTTACTGAGGGAACACTTGGATGGGAGCAGTGTTGGTTCAAATCAATATCTACAGCATCAGGTTCAGATCCTAAACTGACTACAGAGAACAGCAGTTGCAGGAAACAACAAATAAAGCCATGTCAACAAAATCATGTTCAGAATTTACCTCTATAATATCCTGTAGTCGAAGCATCTACCTTATACTGCAGAAATATAAAGAAACTCAGTCTTCTGTAGTCTTTGTCAGATTGTAGTCAGTTTTATCCGTCTCGCTTGAATATTTTTGCAAGCAGCCTATTCAAGTTAGAGCAGTGGAGCACAACAAAAAAACAGCAAAAACACAACAAACCAAAAAACCAGAGAGAATAACATTGTTCTCTGTTTTGCTGCAGGGGGGGAAGATAAATCAATGACCTTTCACTTAATGGCTCGTACGCAAAAGTATAAATGTAAGACTGTTTTCAAATGCTTGGATAAGGGGAGTGCAGAGAGGAAGTGTCCACTAATGCACCAGAGAATCTTATTTATGGTAGTTGCTGGTGCAAAAAAACAGAAATTTGTGTTTCCATCTTGCAAATATAATTGACATGACATTAAGCACTTGGTACAAAAAATTAGTCCTGTTGCATTTCAGGATCACAAATGTAAGCAATCAATTTTTTCAAACAATTGTGTGCACAGAGAGATGGCTGGAAACACGTAGTTTATGGAAAGAACAAAAGAATATGACAGGAAATGGCTGCTCGAATACTATCCGATCTTCCTACCATTAAATGACCAAGAAATAATCAAAAGTGTGTCTTAGTGCTTTGTGTTTCTCTGTGGGATTGTGCTCTGAGTCCATGAATTTCTGCCTAAGATATTGCAGCTTGTTTATCACAGATAAAATAATTTCTGTTTACGAGAAGGCTCAGTGTTTTCTTCAAACTGTGTCTAAAATGTAAAGAACAACATCAGAAATATGTAACCACACAGTTGTTGCTCTGGTGCGCTTTACCCATGCAGAAAAAAAGAGCGGTGTGTAACTCGATGTAGCAGAGCTCAGCAAATTAGTCAGCAAGGCCTTCAGTCTGATTTGTGTTTGGTGGAGGAATAGGGGAAGGACCGGGTCTATTTTTGGGCTTATTGTCATGCAGAAAGTTGCTATATAGTCAGTAGGTGCTGTCCAGGTTATTTCAAGTTGTCCACAAACGTGCTTTCTGTGGTCTAATATCACTCTGCAGTGTTTGGTACTTTAAAAGCCACAGGGCTCAGTATTATCACTGATTCTGATTCACGAGGTCCTGACTCAGTTTGTTCTTCTATTTGACCTGTTTCAATTTTCAAAATGTCTGATTATTTGTTTGAGGATGATTCAGTTACACTGCCTTTTTGTTAAGATATGGAAGAGATCAACAGATGAGCCACATGAGGAAACTTCCTAAATGAAAACAACCTTAAAGCAGTTACACTAAAATTTATCACTGCGGTAAACAAAATGAGTCTAATGTATCTAATAATCTAATAATCTAATATATATATATATATATATATATATATATATATATATATATATATATATATATATATATATATATATATATATATATTAGACTCAGATTCAATTTTATTATTGTCACGAAGTTACAGCACAAACATATAACATACACACAGACAAATACCACCGGCAATAAGCAATTGCACACCAATCATCATTAAAATAATGCTAAAATAGTATTAAAATGCAGGGTCTGGGTCTGCAATATATAATATAATGTATATAACTTAACCATGTTTGTCTATAATAAACATGTAACATCTTAAAAATGAATCTGCATAGAAATTCAGATTGAAGCTGTGTAAATCTCAGAGTATACCCACACTTAATTGAAAGTTAACCTGTGTACCAAAAGTGACTTTGAGGTGTAACTGTGCAAATTCAGCCTCATTATGAATAAATGCAGAATTGTGTGGTTGAATGTCAGGCTCAGTCAGCTTTTTCAATAAAGATACCACTGCCCACTGGCTTCAAAACTCCACCTTATAAACGTGACTGAGGCTACCATCTTTCATACACTCCTTGGTTTTGAAGTACCAGCCTCTCATAAGGCCTGATCACCCTGTGCTGGGTTCACAAGACAAGGGGCCACCCACAGGAAAAGTGAAATATAAAGAGATCAGTCTCAGGATTTGATTAATCACCATCTTGTTGAATTAAAAAACATGTTTGAATAGAAAAATCTATTTTTGAACCAGCCCTACAGAGCTCTTCAACTGCTGAACTGAACAGTCGAGTGTGCACAGCCACCATGGACCTTTCTGTACTGAGAGAGGGAGGGAGGCTGTGAGCCTCAAATACAGCCTGGAGCAAACAAAATAATTCACTCCATGGAATTGGCTTGAAATAATCAGTTCACGTTTACTGTAGTGAAAGACCAAACAGCCTGTGCAAGAGTGAGGCTCATTCATGTGCTTTCTGTAATTTTCTGCACAACAGTGGACCTGAGCAAAGCTGCGGGGGCCTTTGGTCACTCTTATTAACTGCTTTTTAGCTGGATTAAGCCACTGTTTGTTTTATTCTTCTGAGTTGCAAACAGAGAGAGAAATATAGGTCCATGTCCAGCCTCTAGGTTCTGTAGGCAGTTAGTTCATGGGTGAAAACCAGCTTGGGGGCCATGCAGTGCTCAGTCCTGATGGAGTATACAGCAGAGCAGCAGTCGCAGCATTAAACGTGTGACAGCTAGTAACAGCTGTTAAGGTGGAGAGGTGTGGCTGAGAAAAAACCAAATGAGGTCCTTTTACTAATGAGGATCATCTTGCTCTCCCTCTCCTTCAGCTGCAGCAGCAGTGTTATCGGTATGCACCTCATTCTGCTTCCTCTCAGTTTCACAGCAGCTCCAAGGATCCTGCCTCAAACATCGAAATTCAGCTAAAACGCTGCTCAAATACCAGTCGTGCAAGCAGTCAATTTTAGGCTTGTCCCTAAGAATGGATCAGAATATATGAATACTAAAATGCTTGACTTAAAACATATGGAGCGGCTTTAGCTTCATTGTTGGGGCTAGATGGGTTGCCCCATGTGATCCCTGCTCTCCTAGACTTGGTACAAGTATGTGCCGAAGCAGATTTGCATCGTTTTGTTTCTGTTGAATTCATTTGAATAACATCACAATGGCTATTTAGACATTTCTAGTGTTGATGGAAGTTTGCAAATCAGTCAACATGGTGAACTGTCCTCAAACGAGCACGAGGTAACACAAGAGCTGAGTGAATCAGTAAGAAGTACTCTCACCATGTAAACAGGAACATGTCTGAAGCCTGTTAAACAGAGCTCAGCCATGACACACAACATTTGGTGAGGAAATAAATGGAAGTAGGCCACCGACAGCAGGAAAACATCATAGCATGCATTTAAATTTCAAGATGCTGCAGTAAATCAAGTCAGCATATGACAGAGACTGAAGCCTTGACGACAGCTCTTCAAAAATGTACACTTTCTGCAACGTTGGCAGGTAATCCTGGGAACTCACACGTTTAAACTCTTTAGTTTTGACTCTTTAGTACTTTAAAAACTGTAACTAAGTGTCACACTTTGACTTTTGATCCGCACTAATGAAGAGATATGATGCTGGTTTCATTTCCAAGAACTGATACATGTACTGTTCCACACAAAAGCCTGTCTGGGTTTGCTTTACATTCACTGGGCTGCTCCGTCAGCCATGCTAAGTTCATCTTTCCAGACTGAAATTATGCTCTATTTTCAAATCAATTCTCCTTTTGAACAGATGACGGTGATTCATTTAAAAAAGCAGACATTGATCCAGAGTCTTTGTTCCATAAGGGGAGCAGCAGCTTAAAAGTGTTAGATTCAAGTCTTTACCCATTTTCCTCTTACTCTGTCGCTGTTGGGACCGATTGATGCAGGGAGGTGCTACAGTATGATGCAGTATCGATTTTTTAGCGTGGCCCTTTTAAAACTCTGTCCTGATGATCCGATGCACTGATCTTACAGGCTTGCGTCACACTCAGCAGGCTGGAAAAAGACTCTGAAGTTGCCAAATTTTTTGCACTGTTGTGAATGAAATCAACTCCACACCTGGGGTAGAAAGTGACAGAATACAGAGCACATAACCCCAGTTTAATTTTCTCTTTCCAGATGGACAGGCTCACACTTGAGATGTGAATTGTGTTATGTGAGCCAAGGTGTTTTCCCACCTCGCTGGTGGTGGGGAGAGATGCTGCACTACGTTGCCATGACAGCAGAAGTTTTCTTTGTTCTCGGGTTCCTGATGAGCAGTGCTCAGTGTAATCCCATAGTGAACTTACCAGCAAGCCGAGAACGTCTGGAAAAGGTGCTGACCCAGGCCAGGGAAGACAAACATCAGGAGCAGCAGCAGGCCCCAGAGGAGCAGCTGGGATACGGATCTCAGCAGCAGCTGGAGGAAATCAATGCCTTAGGCCCCAACAGGACCACAGTGAGCCGCACTAGGCCCAGCCTCAGCACCCAGACACGCAAGTTAAAGGGTGGGAAGCTTCAGGAGCTGTGGAGCGAATCAGACAGCCTGAACCAAATAGACGAAGGGCCCACCAGTGACGTCACCCTGTCCCTGGACGCCATCGACGAGTACGCCTACCCAGACTACAGGGGGAAAGGATGCATGGATGAGAGCGGCTTTGTGTTTGCCATTGGAGAGCAGTTCACCCCAGGCCCCTCGACATGCCCTTGCCTCTGCACAGATGAGGGCCCTATGTGCACCAAGCCAGAATGTCCCAAGGTTCACCCTCGCTGCATTAAAGTGGACACTAGCCAATGCTGCCCGCAGTGCAAGGAGAAAAAGAACTACTGTGAGTTCCGGGGCAAGATCTACACCTCTCTGGAGGAGTTTAAGGTGAACCCTTTTATAGCATTCACTTACTTTTGACATGCTCAAATACAGAAGTGCCAACTAAACACTCCATGCTGCTCATGGAGTCTATCACAGTTACCTTACCTCTCAGCGTGCAAGCAAGCAAGCAGACAGGCAAATTTATAATGGCAAAGGTCAGCAGTTGTCTTTTTTCCTACACAATGTATAACTGGAGGGTGAATTTAGCTGTGCAGCCTCAGCAGAGTGTTTCCATATTCAGTCTGTTGATACACACGATAGAGTTAGAGTTGTAGTAATGTAATATCTCTGAAGAGCCTGATGCTGCATGTAGGTGTTTATATGGAGCCGCAGAGATACCTTCAATGTTTCATCTCCTGACTCTTTGAAAGGTTTGACTCAGGATTGCACCACAATCCTGGTTTTACTATTTTTATAATTCGCTACATAAATCAGTTCCTAATGCCTCCCTTTATGCTGCTGAGTGTCTCAGCATGAGGTTGAGGCTAATAGGGGATTTTCTCCCTTAAACTCAGGGAATTACTGACAGCTCCATGTCAAGGCTTTGCTGAAGGAAATCTATGCCATTCTTACACAAGCAGCGTACGTCAGCCTTTGTGCTGTAAGGTGTGGAGTGGGGTGCTTTGAAACCAAGCAACAGGCACATTTTTATGCTTGATTGCTAAGTTCTGGGGCATTGTACTAAGTGCTGCCTCACTCCATTTTTCATGGTGGAGTGCTATGCGGAGGCGCAAGCCTTTGCAATCTACAGCAATACTGGTGGAATTAACCTTTGCTCTCTTGTTAAGACTAAAGGTTTATGGCGCTGCACAAATGGCAGCTAAAAGAAGCCTTTCACAGCAAATGGAGGCCCTTAATGTAATTCGACCTACATCCTATCAGCTCCTCCAATTTGTCTGTATTTTATTAATTCAAGATTTCTCTTCTAGTCATGTCTAATGTTTTTGTTCTCACGCCACCAAATATTGGAAGCTTTTTTTTTGTTTCCCATCTGTATTGATTTTACCATATCCTCTGATTGGATTGTTGAGTTCAATAGTCAGCTCTGCTCTCTGATGAGGCATTTATCTACACTGAAGTTTAAATAGATGACTTCCTTATAGACATGGCCTGCTGACATTTAATTCGTATAGTCTTAAACAGGCCAGAGAGGCAGGACAGAGGAGGCTGTATATAGACACAGCAGTAAACGGAAGGAGAGGAGGACATGAAATTAGGAAGCCAGAAAAATATGAGAGAGGACTGTGTGTTGTTCAGTGTGTATGTGAACCTCAGTGTGAATTGTTGATAAGAGTGTTAATAACTCATTGGTTCCTGTTTTCCAGGTGTCTGCGTGTGAAAAGTGTCGGTGTGAGCCGAGTGGAGAAGTGTTGTGCTCCGTGGCAGCCTGCCCTCAGACCGAGTGTGTGGATCCAGAGTACGAGCCGGATCAGTGCTGTCCCATCTGCAAGAGTGGTGAGTGGAACAACAGCACTTTATTACAATAAACCCGTCTCCTCATGGGGCCTACTGGCTAGCTCCACAAACGCAGACTAGTGTGAAATTTTTTTTTTTTTTTTTTTGCCCAAGGGCACCTCAGCAGGAGTTATGAGGGCAACACAGCGCAACTTTTTTTTTTCCACTGACATAAAGCACGCAGCATGCTGCACTGCTGAGCCTGGCACTCTCTACATATTAGATGTTGTATTAGTTCAGAGATCTATGTTCTCTTAGGTCTAACTGAAATGTGGCTGATCAGTCTGGGTCATGGGCTGTTTTGTGCAAAACATGCTGGTGATGTTTGCAGTCCTGAGATCATATAATCCAGCACAGGCTCTTGTGCTCTGATTAGATTGATGCAGTTTCATGGAGAGATTGGAGCTCTGCTTACATTTCTCCGACTCTGTGGTTTGAAAGCATCAGCCCATCTGAGAAGAATTCTGGGGCTCACAGTCGATTATCTGAAGTTGTTTTGGATGATTCCAGACAGCATGTCCTAGATTATGTCCCCTTGTTTTCTTGGTGTGACTCTAATGCAACATGGCAATGTCAGCAACATTGCTTCCTTCAGCAAAAAGAATGATGACTTGTGATATGTATCTTTGACTTACAATCTTGAAGCGGTGCAGCCTGTCTACTATAAACAAGAGCAAGTAATCTGCTCAAAGAGGAAATCCCTGGGATGAAGACTAGACGATATACAGAGGATTACAAAGGAAAATGCTCTCTGCAGAATTAGCTGCTTATTAGAAACTCGTGCAGGAAGTCTCACATTTTAGCTAAACTGTAATATTTAATTCCTCGTATGCATTTCCACATGGTGAACACTACAGTTGACTCTGCAAGTGAGATGACTGAAATGACTTTTGCATTATCCTCAAAGGAGAAATGCAAAGTGAGTGTCAAGCGAAATCCTTGAGCATCCAAGATCAACTTCTCAAGACAATGAACTATCCGCTTTATCCATCCTGATTACACCACGATGTCTCATGGATCATTTTAGACTCATTAGAACATAAAGACAGGAGCATTTGCATGTTATAAATGTTCAGTGATGGTTATCAATCAGAAGTTGTCCCGCTCAAATTAAAAGCTTGTCTCATATCCTCCAGAGATGATGAGTTGAAAACATTGGTAGTCACCAGGCGTTACTCAAACTATTAATATTTGCTTACTGTGATCTTGGGGAATAAATGTTGGTCCTTTTGTTCTCTTTTCTGCTGTTCACCCACTTTTTATGTATGCACATATTGATCATGCTGAGATGGCTTTGTGCAGAGTTTGGGCAGTGCTCCATGTATTCCCCTGAGAAATGCCCATTTGATTGGCTGGGTTGCGTTTGCAGGCACATCAGTGGAGGAGACAGCTGTAGATACAGTGCAGCATGCAGAGATGTTGAAAACGGAAGGGAGCGCGCATCTGTATTCAGAAGTCCCACTTAATCCACGTGCTCATTCAGCCGACAAGGATTTTCAGTTTGGAGATGGCATCAGCCCCTATTAGCATAAGATTATCACATATTACCATTCAATCAACAGAGGATACTATGTCTGACACAAACTTACAAAACACAGTTTACCCAATCCCAGTCTGAATTAAAGTGCTTACTGTTTTAGTCCTATGGGATTAGCAAGTTAAAGAGGCGCAAAACAGCTGACCTGGGACGCAATCTGACACAGTAATTTATTGTGTTCAGGATTAGCACAGGAGCTCTGAACATGCAAATAATCAGAGCTAAACATGCTTACATGTACATGGTTACTTAATGCCTGTGTTTATTCAGACTCATGGACGTCTCTTTTGTTCAGCATGTTCTCAACGGATGAAGAAAGAAATACAGGAGATTGAGGTGTTGAAAATAGAGGATAAGAAACCTGTATAAACTGACCTTATTGTATGGCTGCACGATTTTGGCCAAAAATAAAATCCCGATTTTTTTTCTCCAAAAACTTGATTTTCAATTTTGATTTTTTATTCAATGACTTCACCAAACTTCACTTAAAGAATAAAAAGTTTTTCTATCGTCTCTCAAAATGAAACAACTGAAAACAATGTAGTGCATATGTCAAGCCAGTGGTGCTGTAATGCTCCACAGGAAATGCACAAAAGACAGAAGAAGAACTCAGAGCATGTGTATAAAGGTTGTTTTGGCTGGACACGTGCAGGCACCATAAAAGAATTACACTGTGTGAAAAATAATCGTTTCAAGGGAGATGCAGATAGGCATCCACACGCAGATGAAATGGTAGTCACGTGGATGAAACGCTGGTACGAAGAAAAACTTTTGCGTTTACTTCTAAATTCGTTTCTGTGTGGATGGGTTGATACCATAGACTGTATATACTATGAACAACTTGGTTCCGCCTCCCGCCAGCAATTTGAAGCCAAAAAGCTCTCTATATTTCTCTTTTCTTCAATTTTTCTTCTTTCCTCAAATCAGCATTGCGCAGTAGCATTGTACGCATTTGGCGGGAGAGTCTCTGTGATGACGCTCTGCTCAAACAGCAGGTGAGCTACGCAATCCTTGAACGTCAATAGGCTGCATCAGGTGTCAATGATAGAAAACATGAACCCCCTAATAACTTTTAAAAACAGAGCTTCACAGAAAAAAGGGGACTTGAGCACAAACCAGTCTTACTGTAACTACATGTCAACATCACAACCAGGGGGGAGAAAAATTTATATTCTGTGTTATAAATTTCTAAAGTTTGTCCACAGCTCCATAAGCTTTGCTGGCAGAGGTGGGATTTATGACCTATACTGCAGCCCGTCAACAGAGGGTGCTGTTCCTGGAGTGGCTTCACCCAGCGAGGAGGCAGACAGCATCCATTCTATATACAGTCTATGATTGATACTGTCTTCAGACAGACTTTGCAGCGGGATGTGGTTTGCTCTTCATCCAAAACGCAAAGCCATACCAATTCCACATCACTGACTTGTTCTTGCCCTATTTAGTCATGAAATTATCGCTGGGACAAATGTCTCATGCATTTGTCCCAGTCAAGTTGGATAATATCAGTCAGAGAGGGCGGTACTTTTCAAAGATAATTCAAAGGAGATTGTAACTTTGGAGTGTTTGAGATCTGATTTCAAAAACTGTTCAAGAAAGGATGATGAATTGATAAATGTGTCATTTCAGCTGGAGACATTTTTGAAGTATTTGCTAAAAGACAAGTTAAGTACGGTTCCTCCACTCTTGGTCAGGTCAGGGCCCTACAGTTAGTAATAAACCTCAGAGAAGCATGATACACAGAGTCCACCTTTCTCAGACATAGAACTTTAGCTGATGTGCTCATATACAACAGGTCTTCATGATTTAAAATAGATTAAAAAGTTTAAAAGTTTTCAATCCTGCTGTGCTACATCCACTACACTTACACCTGTGCTAAAATAAAATGCAACCCTTTAAACACTTGTGCTCAGAGGGACAAACAGCAGAGCAGAGTGGTCCCAATGAAGAGCTGAATCAGTCTTTACATTAACCACTCAGTGCAGCAGTCAGTCAGTCAGTCAGGCTGTTTAGGAGCGACAGCAGGTGAGCCATCTCTGCTGACAGATAAAAACATTTTCAGGTTTGTAACAAAGACTTGATTCCTCATTTGTCTCCCTCTGCTGGTGTTTTCCACATACCTGGGATTATCAGAGCTCAAACTGTTAATTAAGCAGAGTGGGTTATCTCTGTCTCTGCATGCGTTAATAACCCCTCTTGTGACAGGGAATATTTCTGGCTCTGATTTGATGAACGGTGCTGCTGGGGGTGTCACCATGTAAAAAGGAGCTGTCAACATCCTCCTCAATCAGCTAACACCTTTGATAGAGTCAGACTCTGCTGTCTGGTGGTCACCTTCTGTCTAGTGGAGAAAATGGAGGTCTGTGACAGAGAATAATCCATCACTAATACGTCGCTCCCAACTCCGACTGTCACACGCTTTAATTTGCATTCGCAGTATACTTCACACTAGACCTGGCACTATAAAGTAAACATGACATGTAGCATGCAAAAAGTGATCTACATAGGAGGAGACCTTTTATAATAATGGTGAGAAAAATGACTAACATGACCAAAAGTAAATGAGACGTTACTCTCAAGGCACCACTGATCCCCCTTCAGCTCCTCTCAGTATCAAGAGGATTACACATTGGATTTCACTTTGTCTTTTATTCATGATGCCTCTTCGCCAGGTATTACAGATGCTGTGATTTAAATGATGAGGATCGATGATTGTCGACTCCCATCTCGCCACTGTTGATCATACTGCACTCAATGCGAATCAGCATGGTGGCGGCAGTTTCTCCGTAATGAAATAGTGATGATGTGGAATAAGGTTATTGGAGGTTGTCAGAGAGTTCCTGCTCAGGTGGAGTTGTTTGTCTTATTTACAGATGTTGTGTGAAGGTTGGACAGATGTTAGGACCTCTCAGGAGCTCTGCTGCACCTGCAGTGCCACATCAAAGCTGGGCTAATTAATGGAAGTTAAATTGAGAATATGACAGCCATGCCACCAAGAAGAAAAACAAACCGTTACAGTGCTGAAAAAAGGGTTTCTCTTTTTGTCACATAAAAGGAGAGAAAATAATTCATAAATAATCTTTGTCTTTGACACTAATCTAAAACCCCTCTCCCACCATTTTACCATTTTTTCAACTATTGATATAAATCATTATGAAGTAGTTCAGTGTTTGATAGGTTCATCAAATATGCACAGGCATTATCTTGGCCTTTCAGGCATGCAAAATCAATGCTTACGGCAGAGCACCCTGTCTCAGATGTGTTATTCAGCCTGTATGCGAGGAGACACTTGGGGAAGAGCCAAGGGAGAAAGATGAAAGTGAGAGGTATCGCTAACATCCACCCCAGACAGTTGTTCATGAATATCAAAGAACAGCTGTGAATGGAGGCAGGTTCTCATCATTTTTTACTCATTATCTCAAAGCACTGGAACACATTGCAATTAAATGGTGTCATACCCTGGAAAAGTTTGTCGCCATCATTCACTCGCCAACAGAAAGTTTAATTAAACAAAATCGATTATTCCTAAGAACACCTACTCAATACAAGTCAGAGAGGGAAACATGTATCTTTAGTCTACTCATTTCTGCTCCACATGTTTTCAATTCTACAGCATATTGTTTAAAAGGCACAGAAGTATTTGTTGTCATTTTTTTAGCCCAGTGTTTTCTCTTTTGAAGAACGGCAGGAAACAATTTATGCAGAAGAAGCTGTCTTGTTGGCACCACCACCATGTCTCCCTCCCTCTTGTCCTGTGCTCTTACAGGGTATCGCCTTGGTAACGCATGAGGAAACAAGTGGTGCTCTTCAAGACTCAGACATTAGGGTCAACACTAATCTGGGTGGTAGTGGGGAGGGGCGATAAACAGTCTGAACCCCAGCCAAAATCACTTCTGAAAGGGCAGCACGAGACATGGTAGCCTGTTTGCCAAGAGGTTAGAGACTTATTTAAATGAAGACAGGCATGATTCATGATGGCCTTTCTGAAGATGTGCTAGGTTTTTTACATAACAAAGTATTAAAAACAGGAAGGGGAGGGAGATGTTGTGGTTTGTCTCTCCGAAGCAGCCCCCATCTCATCCTGATAACACAGACAAGCAATAATGTAGCAAACAGAGCAAATCTCAGCTAATAAATGCATGTTGGCTGGGACCTTCATGCCTTAGTTACTGTTGCTACACCTGTCGAGCTTGCTGTTATCATGGCATATACAGTTTATAATGGTGTCTACACCTTTAAATCTGTAGGATTTTTGAAACATTAAATCACTGATATTACATCAAGAGGTGAAAAAAACAGTCCCCTTATTTTATGCTCATGACTGTACTTTCATTAACCCATGCTGTGGGCACTAATGTATCTCCATGCAGCTTTTGAACATCGGAAACGAATTGTATAACACTTTCTCTAGTCTTCTGACCACTCAAAGTGCTTATACATAATTGACACAGTCACCCATTCACACCTCATTCACACACTGATGGTGGAGGCAGATTTGGACTTATCCCATTCACATAGCGAAACCAGTGGCGGTGGGTGGGGCCAAGTGTCTTGCCCAAGGACACTTCTGCATGTTGACAGCCCTGGGATTGAACCCCTGACCTTCCTACTGGAAGACAACTGACTGAGCCCCAGCCGACCATTGACAGTGTGCCGACAACAAGTTCAGTGGTCTTTCTACTCTGAAGAGCAGAGGGTGCAGCATCCATAACTTCCAAAGAGATGTCAAATCTTGACCCTGGTTCACCTTAAAAATGGGCTTTCCTGCCTTACTTATTTATAGATTTATTTATTATATTTGTATGTATGTATTTTTTTTTTTTTAAGTGTTCTTATTTCTTTAAAAGGGATCATGAACATTAATCATTAGACAGTTAATAATTGCTGCATATTGCTAATGTTGCTCATCGGCAGTCTCTTTTATTGTAATTTTGTTTACTTATTACCTTTTTTTTCTATCTGTCTTTTTATTTGCACTGCGGGTCCAAGAGGACTGTAATTTCATATATGCTGTATGCTGTCGTACAGAAAAAATAACAAACGTACGGCATGACTCACATATCACTCTTAACCCGTACTGTCATACGTTTCATTCACAGTCATGGTTAGCTTCATGCCCAAGACACTATGCCATCCCCTTTGCATGATACAGTTTTATTCCGTGTTTGCAGCCAAGTGTGTTAGGTTTTTTTTTTATGTGTGTGTGTGTGATTTTGAGCTCCTATGATAGTTTCTTTCTGAATATTTTAATGATACGCTGTAAATTAAAAAATCTAAAAAATATTTGTAATTGTATGCTGGGGAATATTATTTAATATTATTGCATTTTTCTTTGAGGTTTAATAAAGTTCTTTGTATCTTATTCTTCTGAAATTGTTGCACTACTTGCTCACACAGTCTCTAACCAAGTGATGAGCCCTCTTCTATCTTTACTTCTGAGACTCAACCTCTCTGAAGTAGAGCTCCTTCTATTCCCAGGCATGTTACTGATTTGTTAAAAATAAACCCAATAAATTGAGATGATCCCCCAGGATTTTTTTTCTTTTTCCTTTACATTACTCATCTTTTTAATAACAAGTTTTCCCCATCTTGAATTTTTTTAAATGTCTTGCTGGCATCAAATCTAAAAAGAGTAAACATTTTATGAATTTTATTAACTTTTTATTGTAATCTGAATTAATAACCATGTATTTTATATTTGTAGCGTAATGAGGTGAAAAGATGATAATTTATTTTGACTATGAAATATTTCACTGTCATACTGTTCTCATCAAATCATAATTGTGATCCAATCCTATGGCTTTAACATAATGAGCCTTGGATCAATATTGTATCTAGAGCATTGCTGTAATATAAGACAAAGTGAATACATTAGTAAAGGTTTAATGGTGGTAATCTTCATATTTTTATTCATCTATAAAGAGCAGTGAGCGAAAGGGCAGCACAGCTGTACAGCTTCGACTCCCAGCAGTTATAAGGTTGGGGGAGGGGGCGGCAGGACAGTTAACTCCCTGTGGTTACATATTTGGTTTTACATTTTGGGAGTTTTTTCTTCTTTCACATCAATTATGGCCTTAAGGAGAGCACCAGCCCTGTGGAGGACAAAAGGAGACAGAATGAAATAAAACAATTCATCTTTAAATGAATACTTAAATTTGCCATTAATTAATTAAAATGTGAATTAAATAAATAAATGTGTCACTAATTCATTGAAATAACAGTTCATTTAAAGTAAATGTAAAAACATATATAATTATGTCACTATTTAACTAATAATTTCATGGACCTGTGTTGCAGTGCTTCATGAATTTATTTTATCTGTCAAACTCACCCATCAAAGTCAGTGGGCAGGACTAATGCTGATCTAATGTGATCCATTACTTTGGTCTGAAGCCTGGAGGTCTTTCAAAACATGGCAGCTACAGAGTATGTGCTCCAACTTTCTCGGGAGTAGGTTATTGATATTTTAGACCTTGCAGAGTATGTGGAAGCGGGACCTGCTGACCCAGAGCATGTAGTGTTTAAAGCAGAGGAATTATATGAAATTTTTGGAGTGTTTCCCGCTCTCTCTGACCAAGATATTGACCTTAGAGAGGCTGCATCAATCCATTATCTGGAGAGGATCTGTCTTGACTTGATGTGCCGGGTAACCAGTCAGGTGTTAGGATCCGCCCACTGACTTTGATGGGTGAGCTTGACAGATAAGACAAATTTATGAAGCACTGCAACACAGGTCCATGAAATAGTTCATTTAAGAGGGAAGTAATTATATATTTTTTAATCAAATGAAGTGTTATTTGAATAAATTACTGAGACATTGAAGTGTTTATTTTAAAATGTACTTATACATTTCATTCTGTCCTTTTGTCCTTACCTGCCATGTGAGCTCTTGTGCTCTGCTTCGGCCTGTTTCTTCCTACAGCAAACATATTGCTTATCAGAATGAAATCATTAACCATCGGGAGTTGTTTTTTTTTGTTTTTGTTTTTCATGTTACATGCTGACTGCTAGTCATCCTCAATGATAAGTCTGTACTGATTGTATTTTTTAGATGACAGCGGTAGAACAGAGATTTTCCCTGATGTCATATATCTATAAAAGGTTGAAGTTATTTTCTCCTTATTTTTCATCCTCTGATTTAATTTGTTTCTCACAAAGTTATATTTTACTATCTAAAGGCCATTTCCATCACTGGACTCAGAGTTATGATTAGACAAGGAAAAAGTCACTATAATGGAGGTAATTGTAGGTCACTTCCAGTCTGAGCAATTACAGCAGTGCTGGGTCACTAAGTGGTCAGATTGTTAGATGTTATTTTTTGTGTTTTCTTTTAAAAAAAGCTAAGTTAGTCTAAGTCTTTAATACATTTTTCATTATACTAAAGTGGAGCATCACTAAACGTCTTGAACAAAAGCTCACAGACTAACATCAGAACTTTCATCTGCTCTCTCCCTCTACTGCTGCTGCTGAAGTACTTGCAGGTTTCCCCGGGAAGTCTCTCACCTGGACACTGCTGTGATTTCTGGCCGGGGTTTGTGGCACTGTGCCGGTGAAGAACATTTGTAATGACAGTCCTGCTTCTTGTGAGCAGCTGGGCTGTTTAGCCGGAAAGATTATCAGCTGAAACAGTTGCAGGAGAACAACATATGCAAAATAAAAATGCATATGAGGTGGCGCTATAGAAATGTAAATAGCTTCAAAACAAACTGTCTGCAGTTAAAGTGTGAAGCAGCCCATATTTTAAAGTCCAAAAGTGTTTCCCACAGCACTCTTTAAGAAATTATTCATGTTGTTGCTAAATCATAGTCTCTCTGTGCAAAGTTCTTCACTCCCCGTCTTTTACAAAGCAAGGTCATTTTTATTCTGCATTTATAATGCAAATGTACTCAAGAAATGCATTAGGATGAGTGATTCCTGCTATTCCTCCTTTTACCACTAACCTATAATGGAGCTAAGCAGGTTTCAGAATTAAGGGGTGTGATCATCTGGATGCATCCTCATTTCCCTGTCCATTTTCTGCCTCTGCTACAGAGCCAAAAGCCACAGGTGCTAATGGCTATCTTTTTCACATGCTGTCCTTGCCAACTTCAAGCACGCTGTAGTGACAGTTTCAGTCCAACTGTTCATGCACATGCACAATCCATTTGTCTGAGCCTCTATGGGTGTCGGTGAAAGCTCTTGGAAAGCCTGATGTGCCTATAAAAATCTCTTACAGCCACAGCGAGTAAGAGGCAGACAAAACCAGAGAGTGATGGGGAGATGGGGGTATGTTATGTTAATAAAGCAATGACAAAAAGGTGGGTGTTATATGAATAGCAGAATAATAAGGTGACAGCGATGAGTAAGCACGTCGGTGCCGAGTCCATGCATTAATTAACACAAATGAGTGTCACGCTACTGAAAATGACTGGCTGACAGGTTGTGGTTTAATCCCAGTTCCTGGGGGAAGTGCTTTCCATTTATTTTGTAAAGTGCATGATTGTTTTTTGCATTTTTCTCTCAGAGGATATCCTTGACATATATGTCTTCTTTTTGTGTGAGATGCTAGTGTTCTAAATGCTGCTAATGATGATGAATCAGTAGCGACAGCAGCCCGGGCCACAGGATGAGTTGTTATTCAGATAGGGCGTGTGCGTGTTCATCTGAGGACTTATAAATGTGTTAGGGTTGACATTTTGACAGGCGTCGGCAAACTGTTCACATTGATTGATGTGCCAACACGCTCCTCCTGGATACCGACATCCAATGAAATGTGCTGGCTACAGCTGAGAGACTCCCCATTTATCAGCATCTTAATTATACAGCAGAGTGGCTTAAGACCTTGTTAGTTTAAGGGAAATGGCCATTGTTATGCTATACCTGATGTTGTGGAAGCAATTCCAACAGTGTTTATATTTTGCCATGCAGCTAAAGAGATAATGGATGATTTATGAGCCGTTTTTTCGAGCCACTGGTTGAGGACAGGTGCGCTTTCATTTGACACCCTTCAAATCATTTTACCAAATGGAGGAAGTGGCTGATACAAAGAGGACATCTTTTGGTGTTGTAGGCTTGTCGCAGGGACTTTTTGTGCATAAATGTGCTGGCTGAGAGAGGGCAGCAGCGCCAGAATGAGCTGGACCTCGGTGGTAGTGTTCAGCTCCTCACAGGGCTTAGTTTCTGATAAATACCTTGAACATTAAAATTTCCATTAGTGAGATCCAGTTTCCCCCAAAATAATAAAAAATGAACAGTTCCTTAGGGTGCTCCAGAGAAGTCTATTAAAGCAGTGAGTAACAGTGCTTAATTTGGTTTTTATACACAAATCCCACTGTGTGCATTACAACCTTGAAGTTACATTTAGAGGAAGTCAGCTCTCAGCAACATTTATGCTCTTCTTGCTGTGTTACCAATCTGAAGCAGCATTAAATACTGTTATTATTCACGGAAAAGAAGATAATTAAGGGTGCAACTTGTACATGTCTGAGACAATGGATTAGGATGTTATTCAGCTGCTCAAGAATAGAAAGCAATCACCGGGATCCCAGAATACACCTCTGTCCTGATGGGAAATGACGAGAAGTTCTTCTCTGCATCAACCATGAGTGGTCACTTAGTAGTCTGAATAGCATGGAAATGACGGCCAGTAGAAAAATACCTTCAGATCAGATACAGAGCCATTTGATAATTCAAAGCAGATGAGAGGAAATGTCAGGAGTTACCATTCCCACCTTCGAAGGGCCCCCAGTCTTCATAATCATGCTGATAAATCCTTCAGTCTGACAGAGACACTCACCAACATCAGCAGAAACAGAGCGTCCCCTCTGTGCACAGTCTTTCCACACAGTTTTATGAAACAATGAAGAAAAGTCCAAATATTCAAACTCATACTCTACTCAGAGAAAAGAAATGAAGGCCAGCACTTTTGGTCTCTGGTGATCCCTCTGGTCTCAGACTAACTACATCAAAGTTTACTTGGATGTCATAGAGTGATCTTAAAGAAACAACTGAAGATGACTAACTGCAGCAAACTCCAGGAGGAAATCTGGTAACTGCAACAGATATGGTGTCTAAAAGTAGACAAGAAAACAATATCTGAAGTCCTGTCCTACTTTCAAACTTGTGTCCCACTGGCCTTCATCATACATTGTATTCGCACATGGAGGATTTTCTTTCATTAGTCTCTCAGACGAGGTGTAATGTGCTGTGGCAGGTTTATTCTGTTCCTTTATTCTCATATATACTTACTATTTATGTTCTTTTGTCCAAGTTAATATCGATGTGATAAAGCATTGACCTACTTCAGCTTCAGTCTGCTGTTATCCTTTAAAATCACAAAAAATAAATGAAATTCAATGTACACTTTTTTTCAGAGAGGCTCTTACATCACCAGGAGTAGTACTAGATATCCAACCAAGAATAGCACTAACTCTTTTTCATGAGACCATGGAGAGAAATCAAATGATTATAAAGGCTTTGTGCTCTGTTTCATTGCAATAAACAAGCTCATGATAAAAGATTTAAAGCATCAGGTTTGGAAGTAATCTACAGAGAAACAACTCTGTGGGGACAGACGGAGCTGAGTAGCTTTTTGGTATATTCTTTTTGTTTTTTGCCGTTTTTGCCTTTATTTACAGAGTAGCGACAGGAAAGGAAAGGAGCTGTGCGATTGACGTGAACCCATGCTGGCCACTTTGGGCAGACTCTTTACATTTGAGTCTGGAGAGCTTTCATCAAAAGAATTCATTACTTGCATGAATTATTTTTATGTGGCAGTAGGCTATGCTCTGGGAGCTCCCTGCTCTTTCACGCGCTTTTGTGGTATACAAAAGCCTGTAGTGGGGAGAGCACACCTTCCCTCTGTTTCATGGGCAGGGAGAGCAACAGCGAAAAAGAACAGGACACATGACACTAGTAAGATTAGACATGGCAGAAACTGAGGAGCTGGGGTGGCAAGCCAGAAGCAAGAGAAGAAGGCAGGTGAAATTTTGGCCATTCAGACATTTGGGTATCAGCTGAGCTGTCCTGTCTGAACTACTGCTATACTAAGTGTATGCGGCGAGCAGAGACTGCAAGCCATCAGGGTTTAATGAGTGCTATCAAGCTAACTGAATTATTGAAAATCTATGATGTGGCTGTCTAGTTTTTTTTCTAACATTTGAAAAAGAGCATGTGTGAAAGTTCTTATAGGTCCTGGATTTTTGAACAGGTGGAAAACCAAAAGTTTGTGATAAAGCTCTTTGATTCAGGATAAACAAATGAATTCAGACACAACCAGTTTGAACTGTATTAGTAAAGATTATGATAATAAATGTGCAGAAAGTGATCTTCTTCTCATGACAGATGAGACAATGGTCATTAACTACAACAAGTTCACCACAGGTACAAATACTCACAGCCTCCGTTCATCCTTCGACAGTTTTTATTATGTAGTATTTTGATGAATTTATTTATTTAATTATTTAGGATCCCTGAGCTTCCTCTGGTCCACACAGAGTGAGACAAGAAGAGAGCATCAAAAACTAGAAAATTCCCCCTGGGCAATTTTGAAAGGGTTCGTGTACATTAAGATGAAATTTTTTAGAGATTTCTAATATTAAAAGTAGTGCTGTCAAATGATTAAACTTTTTAATCAGATAAATCAAAGGGTTACTGTGGATTAATTTTGATAAATCACAAATAAACATCATTCATTTGTAATATTTATTAATCGTGTTTCACTTAAAAGAGCAAAGAGATTCAAGAAAGCCAGAGTGCTAGCACAGTCCCTGACTAATGTATGCTTCATGTTAATGTTGTCATGAAATGCTCTGTTAATTTAGTTTTTCACTGGTTTTGTTATCTGAGTGTATTTTCTGTGTGTTTTCCCCAGTAATTCTGTTCCCTATTGTTCCTGTTCCCGTCCAGTCTTGTGAGTTTTCAGTTTGTGTTTAACCCTGTTTCCCTCCTGTTCTCTGTTTTAATCCTTTCAATCAGTTTTCAGTGTTACCTGTTTAATTTTGTAGTAGTTTATTCCTTGTGTTTCTAGTCTGGTTTTACTTCCTTAGTTTTCCCTCCTTCGTTAATCACCCATGAGTTTCACCTGTATCTCGTTACCCAGTGTGTAGTCTCTGTCTTCCCCTCTGTCCTGGTTGGTTCATTGTGTATGTTGATTTGTGTGTGTGTGTGTGTGTGTGTGTGTGTGTGTGTGTGTCCTGGTTCGCTCCATGTGACTTTGCCCCAGTGATTTTTGTGGATTTTGTCTTTTGGATTTTTCTCTTTTTGTTGCTTTTTTCAGTTAATGCTTTTAATTGCATCCTTTGTTCTGCATTTGGGTCTTGATCTTTGTTGAACCCTACGTGGCTCATGACAAATCAGGAATTTTAAGCCGGAAATCCATCGGTGAAAAGAAAACTCCTTCCTGCAGAGTGTAAATAAGAATTTACGTCAGCTGACTGTTCCATCATGGATTTTGTACTCAAATTTCCCATGGAGAGGGCCAGCGTGCTGTTTAGCATCTTGCCTATCAAGTTGTTTGGAGCCTGTCACTACTGGATCAACAGCCCATTTATGTCTGTGTGGCTGGAACAAACTGGCTGAAATGCATTTCCAGACACTTTTCAGGGATTTAGAGTCATTCTGTGCTGCAGATGGGTTAATTATGTTAAAATTTTGTCAGATTAATCATGATGATGAATTCATCTGTATTAACCTGTTAATTCTGACAGCCCTAATAAATACTAGGAGCATAATCATATAATAAAAAAACATTGTGACTTTTGTTAAACGAGCACACCTACAACATTCTTTTGTCAAGAATTTTTTATACAAAAAAGAAAATGGTGAAAAGTGGTGTAGGTTCATGTGACGGTAGAATTAAGCGGGAGGACCTCTGTGGAACAATTTATAAGATGGTGCAAATCATTGGAAATATAAAGACAGTGTCAGTGACAAAGCTACAACCAGCTACTTGACAAGACACTGATTTAATATTTCATTGTTGCTGGTTTTGCTGCTTCTAGGTCCAAACTTGAATTTATCACAGTTTCGTTAGAGATAATATATAATGTTTAAAATCGTTTCGATCAACTCTTTGTTATAAAAGATGCAAATCAGAGCCCAGTGAACTGAATCTCTGTCCAGTGTAATTATGACTGCAGTTTCACCAAAAGTGTAATTATAGTCTTTTTTCATGATGGTCCCACCCGGACATGTTTATTGCACTTTTATTCGAGGTCAGAGATGGAAAATTAAACCCATAGTGGCTGCAGAAAGAGTGTTTCATCTCTTGATTTTGCATAAAGATCATTCCTCCTTTATCTGTGTGTAATAGCTTTTCATACCTTACTAGATCAGTAGGGATGGCAGGATGGCAGCATTGCATTGTGGGAAAGCCAGGGCTAAATTTTTAATCTAAGATATTACACAAATATCTTAGAGATATAAATATGAGAGTGAAATTCTACAAATTTAGACACTTGGTGTAACCTTATTATTCATTTTTTATTGGCTGAAGAAATGAGTTTAAAAGGAGAAAATGTAAAGTAATAAATGAAATGTGATATGAACGCAAATGTTTTTAAGTTTTTTTCAACTGAAACTAAAATATAAAGGACCAAAAAAGACTCAAAGGTAGAGGTAAGGAGTTTTTGAGTTAAAGATACATGTACATCAGGTAAGATCATTTTTTGTTCAATTCTGCCTGATAAAAGGAACAACATTTTCTCTTTTCCATATTCAAGAGTTTCCGGGTTGTTGTACCTCCCCGTATATCACTGGCATCAAGGGTGTCTGTGATTGCGGGGGGGTTTCAGACTGAATGTGATCCTGCCACAAAAGAATGTGACTTTCTGTTGCGTGTTCAGTCCTCTGACTGTGTTTTACACATTGAATGGGGTGTCCTTGGTGGGCCTTGCAGCAGAAAAATAACACAGATGAGTGTGACCTCAACGCCACAGTTATTCTTTTCTGTTTGACTCCATCATCACCAGAAGAAGGACTTTTTCTCCTCTCTGTCTGTATCTATTCATCAAATCTGGTTTTCCACAGTGAAAATGATCATCAAACTTTTGTTTGCTTTTGTCCACTGAGCTTAACAGTCTACAGCTAAATGGTGATTAATTAATGTATTTGTTTATTTATTTTTAAGTTGAGTTGTATGAGGTCCTAGTCTGTTATCTGTAATAATAGGTTTGCTCACCCTGAGTAATACTGGTCAGCTCCGTCACTTGAATGAAAAGCTGGTCTGGGAACCAGTACAGGAGGTGGACTATGAACCCCTGCAGCTCTTCTACATGATTTTGTTCATTTTTAGAAACTCCAGACAGACATTCATGTCCATGTATGTATGTATGTGCTTTGTTTAGAAATCTGTCTATCCTTTACCTTGTTGTGAGGGAGCCCTTTTGTTTTTGCTCCATTCTCAGATGAGGCATAAACATGATCCTCTGCCTGCAGCACACTGACCTGCTAGTTGTGTTTTTAATACACAAGTCAACTTGACTTTTGCCCAGTGCTCAAGTATATCATGAATTTATTCACTCTACACCAAATGCAGCTCATCATCATGCAGACACAGGAATGGCTGTAGAGTTGATTTCAGCTCTGTCTTCCTCTAAAACACCTGATAAGGTAAACACCATGTGGACCGTGGGTCCTCTCAGTATGCAATTAAAAACTCTGAGAGCTTTTCTGAGGTCTAAAGAGAGTCTGTAAAACACTGTTGCATTCAGTGCTACAGCAGGAGGAGACTGAAACTGTTGTTCCTCATGGTTGACAGCAGGAATGTTCTATCTTCATAGGCTCACAGTTTACACACCTAAAGACTAGTTCATGCAGATTACTAAGGATCTCTCCTGTGTCCCTCTTAGTTTTTCTCCCCACTCCTTTGTACCAAGAGACTCGTTTTTCCTCCACATAAAGATGTCACTCATAAAGATGTCTTCTTGAATATCTACAGTAAATGACATGTCTGTGTTGTTGTCAGAATTGGTCCTTTTTAACTGTGGATGTATTTGTGTATCCTCTAAAACCTGCAGACCCAAACAGCTGATCACTGTGCTGCAGGCAGGAGAACACATATGTGCTGTGTCTAAGAAAAGTGCACAAACAAACAGCTTGTCTGACAGCCAAGTTAAGTGCTGAAAAACCTCCAAATAGAGCAACAGTGGGTTTGGCTAAATGAGTTGAATTATGGAGTAGGGTTGGCCCTGTTTGCAGTGGTTTATAACATAGCTTCTGTTTCAGCTGAGCTGACCAGGATCCGCTGTGACTGATACACTTACAGATGACAAGTAACAGGCTCACTGAAAAGGCAAACTACTCCTTTAACTCACAGGAACAGAGCAAATCATCATTTTACAGGTTCAGTCCTCAATTTTGTAACATGGAGCTGCTGACTGCAAAAAGAAGCGACACAAAGATGTAGACAGCCAATCTGAGGAGCCTTTGGAAATGTATAAAAGCACTAAAGATTTTCTGTTTCTGTTTTTTTCACCTGCAGGACCCAACTGCTACGCAGACACGGCAGTGATACCGGCCGGCCGAGAGGTGAAGATTGATGAGTGCACAATCTGCTACTGCACATATGAGGAGGGCACATGGCAAATTGAGCGTCAGGCCACCTGCAGTAAGAACGAGTGCCAGCAGAGCTAGAGACTGGCAGGGTGAGAGGGGACATTGGCACACAACACCAGCGCCAATCTGCATGTAAACTCTCTGGCCTTTCAGCCACTCCACCGGACATCAGGGTTGACAGCAGCCCCTGAGCATTTTAGCGTTTCTAGTCACTCCTGTATAATGGAAGAAAAAAAAAACTGAAAAAACAAACTAAACCTGAAGCTTTTTTGAGAGTTTGTAATCCACACACAGAATATCTATTTATCTATGTATTGATTTATTTATGAACATATATAAATATAGAAGTCATTAATGCTGAACTAGTGAAAAGGTATTTTTTATAACCTCTGTATTTTAATAACTAATGTATTGTTGGACCAGAGGTCATAACCAGAATGTATATAAACACACACAGCTGTCTTTGGCGGTCAGTGCCTCCATGTCTCCAATGGGGTGTCATCTGCCAAATCATGACACCTGTCCCTCTTACACCAAAGTGCAGACTAGACCGTGAGTGATCCATTGAGGCATTATGGGTAAGACTTGGCTGTGTGAGAAGATACTGAGGAAAATGAAGTAACTTTCACAAGACTTGACTGTTTTCTGATCTCTTTGATTCTTTGGTTGTTGAGATGTGTTTTTATTTAGAGTGCTTTTTTTGTATTTCTCTTGTCCCACCGTATGTTTACGTTTCAAATCAATAAACAAATAAATAGATCCATGAAAAATAAATACATATTGGTCAGCTTTAGGTCTACTCTTTCCTTGGTGCATTTTACTAACTGAATATAACATTTAGCAAATGGTGAGGGGACTGTAGATCAGCCCAGTGTCTTTGAGTTCCAGGAAATATGCAAATTTTCTCAAGTTACAAACATATTCACCCGTTTGATGAAAGTTTCTCTCTGTTTGTAAGTTACAGCTTTAGAGCTCTGTGTGAAAGCAGCGGGTAAATATTTAATGAGTTGTCAGGGTGATATTAAGATGTTTAGTGATGCAGCGGTTCATTTTCAGTGGCTTTGGGCAGCACAGGATCAAGCAGAGACTTGAAAGTGAGATTATAAGGTCTTTATGGTCGGACTGCATCAAAATCTCCAAGATCTGGAGGTTTTTTTGTTCAATTCTGATGACAGCAGATTGTGTTTGGTGGACCAAATGTATTTTCCATAGTTTTTTATAACCCAGGAGACAAATTTAGGGGGACCAACTTTTTGTGGGGTTGTCAAGTTAAGTGAAGATTTGCTTACTCCACACCCAAGAGGCAGATGCATCCCGCCCACTCACACAGGTTTCCCATGAGGCCCAGAAGATTTCTAAGATTTGATGATTTTTTATTCTGTACTATACCAGGTAACAGATAACAGATAACAGGTAGCAGCGTGTTGCTGAACTGTTTGTATTAAACCCTCTGTGAAAAGGTTTTTAAAAGGTCTCACACATCCCTCTTTCAGGTGGTTTATCCCTGTCTCTGCTGGCTAACATGAGTTGTGACAGCTGAGGGGAGCTGTGAGTTTGCAGCTGCGTTAATCTAATAACAGTGAATGTGCTGACACTCTTTACCAAACTGTCACAGCCCAAAACACTTAACTCAACATGATAACCTCAGGTGTGGATGCAGTGATAAATCTCCTTTAAATAAAGATCGGACAGCAGCAGAGGCTGATACTGCAGAGGGAGGTGAGACAGAAAAATGTGTGTTTCAAACATAAATATGATTTAAGTGGTAGGAGAAGATCCTGATAAATGAGTTAAAAAAAAAATTAACAGGTGTAAAACTGAAGCTTAATATTACAGGTGGATTCTGCATCCATGACTGTATTGATTTAAACATAGCTGTTTAAAACCATTATCATCAAAATGAGGTTTCACCATGAGAAAAATGACCTGTTAAGTCAATCAGATACATGTGTTTTATGAATATAAAGTGTGTTTATCACATATGAGTCAGAGCTGGCATAATGAAGCAGACCTCAGTTAAAAAAGGACCAGATCTAGTAAAAGTCGTGTTATTTTCCTCTGAGGTATGGAGCAGCAGAGGTATAAAAGAGCAGACATTCAAATACTAGTGTTTCTCGAAATGTTCTTCAGTACTTTGAACAGTACTGGTTTTATTGCAGGTGGATTTTTTTTATTTGTCTCCTTTGTAAAGGAGTAGTTCAGAGCTGTCAGTGATGGGGATGTTCATCAGGAAGGTAAAGATGGTGAGGAGGTCAACATGAAAAACATCATGATGACCACAACAAGATCATGATCAGAATGACATGGTTAGTGACTGCTGCTGTAGTTTAAACGGCCTTGACTCTAGTAATCGTAAATAATAAACTCATGTCATACATAAAAGCAGAAAAAAGACTCATTTTCGCAGTTATGATTATGCAAAGGATCTCTATGAGATGTTTCAGTAACGGAAAATATCAGGGCTTCCCCTTTATTTTCATACACCATGCTGTATGTCGGAAACAGAGGGGGAGGGAGAAGAAGGAGAAACAATGGCGTTTACATCCTCAAGTAATGATGACCTGGTCATGGTTGTGAGCCTATTAAATAACAAAAAGAAGAATCAAAGTGTCTGGGTACATCCGATACTGGCCTTGTGACAGGAGATGTGGGAGCTGCACACAACGATCCAGGAGCTTAAATTATATCCCGAGAAATTCTGACAATACTTCAGAATGTCCCTCTGACAGTTTTAAGAACTGCTCCATCAGCTGACTCCATGTTTGCAGAAGGAGAAATTTCAGAGAGCTGATTTATCCAAAGAAACGGCTTGCCACATGTCTGAGGTAAGATTTATATTAGGCTGTAGATTTACACTCACCGGCCACTTTATTAGATACACCTGTCCAACTGCTCGTTAACACTTAATTTCTAATCAGCCAATCACATGGCGGCAACTTAGTGCATTTAGGCATGTAGACATGGTCAAGACAATCTCCTGCAGTTCAAACCGAGCATCAGTATGGGGAAGAAAGGTGATTTGAGTGACTTTGAACGTGGCATGGTTGTTGGTGCCAGAAGGGCTGGTCTGAGTATTTCAGAAACTGCTGATCTACTGGGATTTTCATGCACACCCATCTCTAGGGTTTACAGAGAATGGTCCGAAAAAGAAAAAATATCCAGTGAGCGGCAGTTCTGTGGGCGGAAATGCCTTGTTGATGCCAGAGGTCAGAGGAGAATGGCCAGACTGGTTCGAGCTGATAGAAAGGCAACAGTGACTCAAATAACCACCCGTTACAACCAAGGTAGGCAGAAGAGCATCTCTGAACGCACAGTACGTCGAACTTTGAGGCAGATGGGCTACAGCAGCAGAAGACCACGCCGGGTGCCACTCCTTTCAGCTAAGAACAGGAAACTGAGGCTACAATTTGCACAAGCTCATCGAAATTGGACAATAGAAGATTGGAAAAACGTTGCCTGGTCTGATGAGTCTCGATTTCTGCTGCGACATTCGGATGGTAGGGTCAGAATTTGGCGTCAACAACATGAAAGCATGGATCCATCCTGCCTTGTATCAACGGTTCAGGCTGGTGGTGGTGGTGTCATGGTGTGGGGAATATTTTCTTGGCACTCTTTGGGCCCCTTGGTACCAATTGAGCGTCATTGCAACGCCACAGCCTACCTGAGTATTGTTGCTGACCATGTCCATCCCTTTATGACCACAATGTACCCAACTTCTGATGGCTACTTTCAGCAGGATAATGCGCCATGTCATAAAGCTGGAATCATCTCAGACTGGTTTCTTGAACATGACAATGAGTTCACTGTACTCAAATGGCCTCCACAGTCACCAGATCTCAATCCAATAGAGCATCTTTGGGATGTGGTGGAACGGGAGATTCGCATCATGGATGTGCAGCCGACAAATCTGCGGCAACTGTGTGATGCCGTCATGTCAATATGGACCAAGCTCTCTGAGGAATGCTTCCAGCACCTTGTTGAATCTATGCCACGAAGAATTGAGGCAGTTCTGAAGGCAAAAGGGGGTCCAACCCGTTACTAGCATGGTGTACCTAATAAAGTGGCCGGTGAGTGTATATAGCAGTTTGCCTGCAAATGTTCACAAAATTCGCCACAGGGGTGAAAAAATTAAGTCACTTTTTTTGCTTTGTGGAAGTTTGTAGCCGGTGTGGAAGCTTGCATTGATTTTATGAGGTTTTTATAAAAAAGTGAATTATTGGCTTCGCTAATTCGCCCCAGTGTGTAATGACCTATAGCCATCCCTGGCTCCCCCACTGGCACTTTCTCTAGTCTTCTGACCACATTTACATCACATCACATTTACACCACATTCTCACGCTGATGGCAGAGGCTCCAACAGCAGCAGTTCTGGGGTGAAGCGTATTGCTGAAGGACATTTTAGCATGGTGCTAAGCGGGACATGGGATCAAACTCTCCATCGCCGATTGAAAGATGACCCACTGACAACTGCACGAGAGTCGCCCAAATCTGGATCATATCAGGAGCATTTGTTGATGTGCTGTGTATCAGGACAGATACTGAGCAGAATTTCCTATCGTACAGTCTAATATGTTCAGATATGCACACTGAATAAATATCTAGACGTTCCCCATGTCATATCTCAAAATACATGTATGAAGTTGGCAACTGAAGCATCAAAATACTGAGCTGTCATCAGAAGAGTAAAGTGTATGACATTCAAAACACAGCATCAGTCATACAAGGAAATACATGCACTCTATATTCTGACAGTATCAAAGTATGGAAATCAGATACATCACAGATGTGACATTTTACAAGGCTGTGGTACCAGATACTGATTTGAGCATATATGGGCTGCACTCAAAAAACACATTGGCAGAAACAGCTCCTGTTACTGGGTTATGTTGTGCAGCAGCACTGCCTCTATGGGCTCTATTTTCGTGTCCACCGGTGAGGCGGCAGAGGGTGGCGGACCCCGCGCAGTGGTATTTTCATCTGGTGGAGCCCGGTGTACAACCAGTTTGGTATTTTCGTGGACTGAAGCAGCGAGGCAGAGGGAGGTGTCGACAGAATCAGCTGCCGCAGTGACATTTTCGTGCTCGCCAGTGGCGTATAAAGTGCGCTGAAAGCTCACCGATTCAAACCTGGTCAGCTTTCATCGCAGGCGGAGCGCAGCTGGTCTAGTGGTATTTTGGTAGACCGGCGGCGTATCGGCAAACGTCACCGACCGACAGTGTCAGGCACATTACAGTGAAATAAATAATCAACAACAACTAATATTCTGAGTCAGCACATACATTTAGATCTATATCGATATATTCTGATCTATATCTGATCTGATGAGTGCGTTTGGCACACGTTTGGACAAACAACCTGACCGAATCAACACAGCTGAAACCGCAATAAATTAAATTAAATATCTAGTAAATAGACACACATAATGAAGTTAACGAGATATTTAATTCGTCTCCCTCCTTTTCTTTCTTCCTCTTCCTCTTATTTCTCACGCAGCTCGACCTGGACATGTCTCCGTGTTCTCTCCCTGTCCTGCTGCAGCTGCAGCGGCTGAACAGATGATTTGTTTCAGTGATCAGATGAGTTATTTACTTTAAGCCGACAAATGAATATTATAATATTCAGTTTTGTGAGCCAAATTTATTTTATATGCCAACATCTATGAAAGAAAGAGCCAGGCCACGGAGCGCGATGCGTCATTTACGCACAGATGGTTCCAATTTTAATGCCATTTTTGGAATTTATGATGTGATCTCTGCGCACAACCCACCTTTGTCACGTGAGGTTTGAATATATGCAACTTTATGTGAGTGTCTTTATTTGTGGAAAAGGGTGTTTGTCTTACCAGTGGGTCCAAACTTACACACACCAAATCCATCTGTGCTCATATGAGAGAGTGTGGAGGATGCCCTCTGCAGCGTTTACAGCGACACTTGTTGAGGGGCTGCCTTCTGTCGCCATCATGTGGCATTGCTGTCTTCAGACATCTCTTGATCTCTTTGACTACTTCATGAAAATTGTAATACGCCTCGGTGGTGGCGGATTTAAAGGCGAAGAGAGGAGCCGATGTTATTGGTCAATACAAGTCTCGGCTGTGTTAAAGCCACTCCACGCCCTCTCTCCTCTCTCGCTACGACTTACGCCGCTGGGAGGAGCTGAGTTAGGGAGGAGGGTTACTTACGCCAGGCTGCGCCGCTCACCAAAATACCAAATTGTGCTTGGGAACGCCTTGTCGGCATGGCGGACCTGACTTATGCCGCGCCTGCCCCACCTCTCTGGCGAGGCACAAAAATAGAGCCCTATGTCTTTAGCTCCACTGATGAAGAGACACACTGAACACTTAAATGCCACTGGTCCTAATTTATTTCCAGAGCTCAGAAAGTCAAAGTCACATGACTTGCAGAAAATATTTTGTGGTCTTTAATTTTTTTGGGTGGAGGAGTAATGAGAGCATGTATCTGACTGAGCCATGGGCTTATGTGGTGAATCAAAACCACTTTTAAGAATAGAAGTCCTGGTTATGGACACTGAAGGGCATGCTGCGCTATACTGATAGAGATGCTGGGTTTTTGTTTTTTTCCTATATATATATATATATATATGTATTTTTTTTTAATTGTAGCATAGCACTCAGTTTGTCACTCTTTGCAGTGTGCCATCCACTCTGCAACAGCCTTTGAACAAGAGGGTTGCCAGACAACATTGTTGCATCTCCTGCAGAGAGACGTGCCTATCAGCCAGCCGGCAGGATCGAGGTAAATAAGCCTAAATGCATGTACATGCTACGTGACAGGCTTCTGTCAGAGCAGCAGGGGGGCAGTGGCACAGATCTATTCTGCTCAGCTTTAACTCACGATCGTGAGGGTTCTCTTCCATCCAAGGAAAACAGGACCTGTGCTTCTACATACGAGTACTTAATGATAGCTAAGGACATGGGATTTTTCCCTCCTTTCCATTAACCCTCAGTCATAACACAGTGTCCTCATTTTAATGTGTCTGCTTCTCCCCTCAGTTTTCCTCTGTATTAAAGAATTACTGCTGTGCCCCCTCTTTTTTTCCTTTTACAAGATAATAATCCCTCAAGTGTAATTGCACAAGCAGATTTCCTGCTGTGTATCAGCCAGTAAAGTAATGACTCAGACCACGGATGTTATTTGTTACCACTATCTGCTCCGTCCAGGTCATTAACATTAACAATTGGCTTTGGATCAGTTCATATTTTAGTGTCCATTTAAGATCAGAAAGGGAGGAAAGAGGGACAGCAGCAGAGGCCACGTCTTAATTAAGACTGACTTAGGAGTCCACTCATCAGAAACAAGGCTGGTCTTTTACTTTGAAATCAAAGTCCCAGAGTGGCTGGCATCCTCACTTTTTCAAAGATGGGTCATTAATTGGACACATCTGTTGGAGAAACCCATAAGAGATTAGCCTGGTCTCCAGAATGCTGTTACTTAGTAATTAGGCTTCTGTCCCACTCCGGACAAAGCACAGCACCGCCCTGAGAAAACACCTCATATTTCAGGAGGTGATGAAATTCATTATTCATTTAAAGCAATCGGCCAGCTCTGCTATACGTAAGAAAAGCAACATGAACATGGAGAAACAAAATGCAGTGGTCAACAAAAAAAAAAACACGTACAAAGTCTTTGGCAAAGAGTGTCAGAACAAGACTTTAAATAACTACTTCATGTTAATTATTGATCTGATTGAATTTAACTCAAACTGGCAGCCCTGTGGAGGACTGTGATGTGTTATGATCCAGAGGACAAAACTAATCTTACAATGATCAAACATCAGACTGGTTCATCCTTTAGAGGGTTTCTTAAGAGAAACAAATTTCCATTAAAATGACAAAATAACAGCTTGTTGTAAAATTAATTTTCCGAGAAAACTCATCTGTACCTAAAATGGTATAGCCACGATAATGCAGCTCTTCGGCGGTAGTTGTCAGCCTGTTGGTCAGTCAGTCAGTCCTGCGGACTTTTGCAGACATCCTGTTGTGAGCAGATAAACCCTCCCTGTGATGGGATCTCCTGACCCCTGCTCTCACAACAGCTAAAGGTCAAAATGTTCACCTGAAAATAAAATTCTTCATATTCACACAGGTAGGTTGGCCAACACTGTGATTCACACACTCAGCTCCAAATATAGCTAGCTGTAAAACCAAAAACATTTCTCTCAGCCTCAGGTATACATTGTGTATAGAAGAAGGGGAGACTGGGTGCGGTTTTAACATGCTTTGCTTCAGTGCCTGCAACTCACTGAATTTTTTAGCTACAGTTCTCAAACTTGTGCACAAAGTAGCTTTATTTGCTGACTATAAACAGAAGAAATTTAAACCTCTGCAAAAATGACACAGCCCTCAAACAAAGACATGACACCCATTCAACTCATACTATTATGATAACATGACACTGTCAAACTCTAGACAATGTAAGCTTGCAGTCACCCGAAGGTGTGTAGTTTTAGAGCTTCTGGTGTTTTAGTATGAGCATCTGCAAACATAGTGAGACATTTAGGCAGAGGTGAGCACAGTGAATCAAAGCTTTAACTCTATTAACTTCTAAGATGTCATTCCTTTAATATGTTTAACAGAAGTGAGCATTTATGGGAACTTAAAAACCTGATAAAAGTCAACAGTCCTCTCTCCTCCTGCTGCACCAGAGAGAGTCCCCTTGACTGAGGTCCAGTAATAGATTTGATCTAAACATATTGGGCTCTATTTTTATGTACGCCGGTGAGGGCGGAGGGCGTTTGGACACACAACCTGACCTAATCAACACAGCTGAAACCGCATTAAATTAAATTAAATATCTAGTAAATAGACACACATGATAAAGTTAACAAGATATGTAATTCCTCTCCCTCTTTTCTTTCTTCCTCTTCCTCTTATTTCTCGCACAGCTCGACCTGGACATGTCTCCGTGTCCTCTCCCCGTCCTGCTGCAGCTGCTGCTGCGGCCGCTGCTGCAGCCGCTTAACAGATGATTTGTTTCAGTGCTCAGATGAGTTATTTACTTTAAGCCTACACATGAATATTATAATATTCAGTTTTGTGAGCCAAATTTATTTTATATGCCAACATCTATGAAAGAAAGAGCCAGGCCACCAAAATACCAAATTGTGCTTGGGAACACCTTGTAGGCACGGCGGACCTGACTTACGCCGCGCCTGTGGCACGTCTCCGGCAAGGCACAAAAATAGAGCCCATTATATCCATTAAGACCCCTGTACTTCTTTAAATCTATATAGGCTAAATGATATTGCTCAAGTTGTTTGTGATCCATTACCATTCAGAGATTCCTCCTCTGCGTAGATCCTGCTGATGGGAATTCAGGCTCTTATCAGTGATTCTGGCTGGCAACTCAGCATCATGTTCAACCCACTAATGGCTCTTCATGGGATAGTTTACATACAACAGATGGGTTTTGGGGAGGATTTCACACCTACATTCATCATTTGTTCAAGGCTTTCTGACTTTTCTGTTCCGTCAGAACCAAAATGACAGGTGTAAAACCTCCCCTGGACCTTGTTCTAAAGTCTAGACCAAACAGCCAGACTATGATCATGTGCCTAATTAGTCCATGGCTTTCTAGGTGAACACCACAAGTAGTTTTTAACTGGTCATGTCCCATTTTAATACACAGACACTTTCACAGAACAGTGAGACCGTCACCCAGGAAGGAAAAAAAACAACACTTTTTCATGGTCCATCCTAATGCTGAGTCTAATTTCCACACAGACAAGTTTTACAGCCTGTTTATCAAAGGGTTAAAAGAACATAAGGCATATTTATATAGAGTTTTGTTTTGACAACAGATTTTCTGGTTGTGGCTGCAGCAGGGACATAAACAATGAAGGAAGGAAAAAAGGACAGAGACATCAAGAATAACCAGCTGATGATCAGACAGATGCTGAAAATAAAGAGAATCCAAAAACTTTCCAGACCAAGAGGAAGCCCATGCATTTTCTCTTAAGTATACAATACGTCATCAAAGGGAGTTTGATAGTTATGTCTAAAATCTGTTTGCACACTGATGTTTACATTTCCATACGGCAAACCAGGTGGAGCTGCTATCATTACTCATCACTGAAAGAGTTGTTAGTTTTGAGTTAAACCGGTGCTTTGTTTCTAATGGGTTTCTTTCACAGAAATTCCTGCAACATTTTACCCGAGCTTTAATCCTATTTGTCCCATGTTTCTAAAGAAATAGGGTCATAAATATCTGACAAAACTTCCATGCATCTAATGATTGAGTCAACTCAAATACTGACAGAGGCCCACAGATCCACTCTGACTCTTGCCATGATGAGGCTTTAGGCTCTGACATCCTCTGATAACCAAGTACTCAAGGACTAAAAAATATGAATTGCTTTCCTCCTTGGCTGATGTATTTTTTAATATCAATATAAAACATATTGAAATTCTGAGACGTTCCTCCCCTTTGACTTTGTTGATATATTTTTTAATCAATCACTTGTTGAAAGCTGCAAAATTAGTTTGCAACACACTACTGAAGGAGACACGGAGATGAATACTTCCAAGTCCTCCAAAAGCTTGACAGTAAAATCCTGCAGTGCACCCACTGAGATTTATTAAGAATTAATGAGTCATTTACAAAGATGTTATCATACTGTTAATATCAGAGAAATGTAAACTGTAAAAGCTGGAGGGCTGTCATAGAAATCTAAAAACTCAGCATCTTAGTAGAACAGAACATGGTGAGGAAATTTCAAATAAAATATTTATGCGTCTTTTTGTTTGGATAGTAATAGTGAAAATTTAGAAATCCAGCATCTTACATTATTAGACAATGTCTTCAGATTAATCAAAAGTTCATACTGACATTTCTGACTTCTTAGGTGTGTGTCCATTTGTAATTTCAGTGCTTATTTTGGCCCCTTTACCACCAGTGACTTCATCACTGTAGTGCAGTCAGCCTGTGGTCCTGCTGAGGTGGTACTAAAGCTCAAGCTGCTTTGATAGCTCCTTCAGCATGTCTGGATTTTTAGATCATAGGTTTCTCATTTCTCTTGGAAACACCCCGTAATATCATAGTGATCATTTGGTAGGAATTTTGGCGCTGTGGGCAGGGTCCAGGTCCTGCTGAAGAAGAAAATCTGAAGCACCTTGGATTCTGGGCCTCTCTGATCTTCCTTCGGACTCTGGACATGTCTCCGTGTCCTCTCCCCGTCCTGCTGCAGCTGCTGCTGCGGCCGCTGCTGCGGCCGCTGAGCAGATGATTTGTTACAGTGCTCAGATGAGTTATTTACTTTAAGCCTACACATGAATATTATAATATTCAGTTTTGTGAGCCAAATTTATTTTATATGCCAACATCTATGAAAGAAAGAGCCAGGCCACCAAAATACCAAATTGTGCTTGGGAACGCCTTGTAGGCTCTGGTTCAGGAATCTCTTGATCATAGGACTATGACACTTGTAGTCCATTTGGGCCGGTCTGTGTGCAGAGGCTCTTGGTGCTCTGACTCTAGTCTCAGTCCAGTTCTTGTGAAGCTCCCCTAAGTTCTTGAATCTACTTTGTCAGTCCTCTGAAGGCTGCTCTCATCCCTGTTTCCTGGTCTCCTTCTCTTCCCTCACTTTTCCCTTCAGTCAACTTTCATGAATCTGCTTCATACAGGCTCTGTGAACAGCAGTGACCTGCAGCCATGATAACTTTCTGGACAGCTGTCAGGTCAGCAGTCTTCTCCATGATTGTGGTATACAATATTTTAGTATGTTTGAATAGTTATGCACTCACACTCCAAAAGAAGTACTCGAATATTTTGAGGAATGTATTTCAACATTTTCTGAGCTGTAGGCCATAATTACCTGAATTGAAACAGAAAATGTCTGAAACATTTTAGCTTGCATATAAAGAGTCTTGAATATATAAAATTTTCAGTTTCTTCAGTGACTGACAGGAAGCAATGAACTTTTTCCACAGCATTCTTATTTAGTGGGACACACCCATAATTATTTTCTGTTGTCCCTTTTAAATATATACAGTGCATCCGGAAAGTATTCATGCACTGTATGGATGCACTGTAAATTCCTTTGGATAGATGCTTAATGTCAGCTGCCACAGAAAAGGCTTCAATCCAAAGTTTTGAAGGTGCTGATTTATTTCTCATGATTTCCTTTAGTCTGGTTAATGATCCTATCTGCCTGTAATCTTCAGAAAGTCTTAACAGACTATACTTAGACAGAGGGGACTCGTGGCAGGAGGAAATAATTAAAGGTCAAAGTGAGGTGTACATACCTGTATCTTACAAGCTGCGTTCAGAAACACTGATTAATAACATCTTCGGATAGAAGCTCACGTATCTCTTAATAGCTCAAATGCTTTATGAAAAATAATCCACCTCCATGGACTTCTCACTTATCAGACTAAGAATGTAGGTTTTCTCTTTTCAGATGCTCATTTATCTCTCAAAAGAAAGTGCTACATGACAGAGGGATGTAATGGATATTTAATGTCACATTTGCAGCGTTTGTATCAGTGTCTATGGAATTATTTAAATAAAAAAGCCTTGTTATCTGCAAGTCCATTTAGGCTTTTTGCTTAATATGGGGCTGTTATCAACGGCACAGCTCATTAGCAGATTTTTGATTCTTCTTTCTCAGGGCCAGGCCCTTTGAATTTCTGTGGTATGAGAATACAGTCACCGCCAGCCCTGTTTCTCAGACAGAGACTTTATTCCTGCAAATTCCACTGTTCTGAACATTAATTTCACTGGACAGCTGCTAAATGCTGCTAAAATGCTTTGAGGATTCTATTTGCACCTCCTGAAATGATTTCCAAGCACATTACCTCAGATCCATTAAATCCAGCTTTGAATCTCTTGACAGTTCTGTGAGTCCTCCTTGGAGCCACATGTAACATTCCCATGTGATTACGACGCTCCTTGATCAATCTGAGTGAATCACTTCATGATTGAGCGCCTGACTCTCTCCAGTCTTGGGCCTGAAATTGTCCTTTATAGATTTGGTATTATATCTCCGGCACTCCTCCTGTGCCATTAGCCAGACATTCACATTTTCAATTTCACCTCTCTGCCTCGTCTTGCCTCCAGATGAGGGTGACACTCACCATCGCAGTGTTGACTTGTCTTCATTTCATACATGCTGTATGTGACAGCAACAGATATGCTTCAATTTCACCAACATTGCTGTTACAAGGACAAAATAGGAAGCCAACTCTTAACTCAGCTTTGTTTTAGTGCTGAGAAGTAATCTAAGCCTGGAAGACAGCTCCAGTCCTATTTTCTCTAGATGACACAGGTTGGATGGGTGACTACAGGTCCAATCAGGCCCTATCCATCACAAGCTGTTATAGGCCGTGCAGGTGAGTGATAATGCTTAGAGGCTCTCAGAGGACCGCATTTCAGCGTTTCATCCACAACAGACAGCCTACGCCAGTGTGACCTGCTTGTTGAACATTTTTCACAGGGAGGGGGGGCCTCAATTCAGCAGAGCACTGCTGAGCTGTGCACATCTGCATAAGTTGCTGTCAGACTGAAGATAGTATTGTGGATGGTTGTGTTATCACAAAAGGAACAGCTTTTGTGGCAGCCTTGTGGAATACTAAGTGTTTGTATTTGCAACACAACATCCATCCCGAGGTATTCATTTCTTACTTTCTATGGCCCTTGTATGGTAATTCATCATCCAGGTCTTGATGCATACTGTGAGATTGCCCAGTGAATTTATTAGCCACCGGCTTTCATGCCGCCGTAGATTCCCACTGGATATAAAAGCTTTACGGACATCAGACCTCAATGCAAACTTCCCTGCAGAATTTGTCACTTTTCTCTGCCCTCCTAAAGAACATAAAGAGCCAAAGCCAGCAGAGAGGAAATAACGGTTCAGACTGCTGGCGACCACTCTGTGGTTTCTTTGCTATGCTTGAGCTTCAAAAGCAGGTAATTTTGCTTTGGTCAGAGGGAATGGAAATAGCCTTGCTGGGCAATGTGGCGGAGGTTTAATAATGGAAAGCAAGGTCTCAAGGGACAAGTCCATTTTTCTGAGCAACAGACAAAGTCCATTATTCTCACTGTTTCTTTGCCTAATGCAGCCTTTTATTTGTAAGTGAATATCGGAGGTGGGTTGTTGCTACAGATCAAAAGCACAAATGTGTGCAACTGTGAGCCGTGTCCTGTATATCACTATTAAGACACCTTGACATAGAACAAAAAGTGTCCCTGGGCACAAACATATTGTGAAAGTGCAGCTCGCTCCTCTGTCTGATGTAGGGTTGGGGGATCTGGCTGGAAAGCTGGAATGTTTTCTTTACGTTTAGAAGCTTTTTGTTCAAGAGTGAAATTTAAAAAAAAACAGGCTATCTACAAAGAAAAAATAGAGACTTAGACATGTGATAAACCACATATGACACCTAACCTAAGACTCTTTGTTTTAGCGTCTGCCTGAAGCATCTTGGGAAGTGTAGTCAGTGTAAAATGGTTCAATAACTATCTCCACTCTCTCTTTTTCAACATTGCTTATTATGGATGTCCTGATCAGCTGTTTTGGCCCTCAGCCGGTGTCCACTTTTGTAATACTTGAATACCTGTTTCAACTTTTGCCTTTCCTTTTCCTCTGACAATTAAATTTATCATTTTATTACATTACAGATGTAGTGTTCACACTGCATATTTAATTGGTTGCACTATAGCAGTTGGACAGTGCCAAATCTCAGCAAAGGCGACGCCTAGTCTATGTCACCACCAGTCCATATGGAGTTTATCCATAGGACTGAACGGGACTGCAGACGAGAGACCACCAGGGACTCCAGGCTGGTGCAGGTTGTGACGTTGCTGCATCGTAGGTACAGAATTCACATAAAATTTCCGTCTGCAAATGACGTCTGAACAAAGTACATCATTCACTAAGACATGACACACAGACATTTGCAATGCTCGTTGTCACTACACAAGCTGTTTATTGTCCAAAAAGATCAACTCTAAACCATGATTTTTATTAAGATTGGCTAGAAAGGCACTCTGTGAACATGGTGACAAAATCAGACTTTACACTGATTAACAAAGGTGGAATTACATATCACAGAGCTGGCTAATGATAGATAGAATTAGCTAGCCAGCCTGCCACCGAGTCTTTTCCTTAACTTTATATTTACCGTCATGTTGAAATTCAATGAATAGATTTATGCAATTTTTCTAAATTTTCCCTCTGCTTGCTGAGTTTTTTAGTTTACGACTTTATTCTCATAATTTTACGACTTTATTTTCATAAGTCACTTCATTCTCGTACATTTACGAATTTATTCTCATGAATAATGTCTTTATTTTTGTAAATTTACTTCATTCTCATAAGTAATGGCTTCATTTTTGTAAGTTTACAACTTATACTCAAAAGTAATGACTTTATTCTTGTACCTTTATGACTTTATTCTTATAAATAATGTCTTAATTCTAGTAAGTTTACTTCATTCTCATAAGTAATGGCTTCATTCTCTTAGGTTTATGACTTTTTTCTCATAAGTAATGTTTTAATTTTCCTAAGTTTAATTCATTCTCATAAACAATGTCTTATTTTCGTAAGTTTACTTTATTCTCAAAAGTGATGACTTTTTCTCGTAAGTTTACAACTCTATTCGTGTTAGTAATTACTTTATTCTTGTAAGTTTATGACTTTATTCTTATAAGTCACTTCATTCTCATACATTTACAATTTTATTCTTATAATTAATGTCCTTAATGTCCTTAAATTCACTTTATTCTCATAAGTAATGGCTTCATTCTCCTAAGTTTACGACTTTACTCTCATAAGTTATGACTTTATCCTTGTAAGTTTATGACTTTAATGTCAAAGTCTTCAAAAAAAAATTTCTCAATGTGTTCCTAATACTTTGTCAAAATGTTTCCCTCAACAGAATTATGATAATATAAATAATGATAAATATAATTATCATCGGACTGCACAACCCTAGCTTAAAGTACTTCTTTGTCAGAGCACTCCACAGCATCCCTTTACTGGATGAAAGTAAAAATGAAGCATTTCTGTCATCTCAGTTATCAGACATTTCTTGCTGTGCATTATGAAGCCTTTTATTATCTATTATTACAGAGTTCATTTGTATTATCTCTGGACTGTGATGTTGTTAATTACTGTAATGATATAAAACCTGAGGAGGTGGCCAACCACACTATTTTTTTTGTTTTTGTGTACCTGTTTTTGTGTTAGGAGGACAAGTGCTGTTAACCCAACTCACTCTTGATTTACAGCTGCTTGTATATCTGCTGTAGTCAACATATTCATCACTGAAAGTGACATTGCATTATGCTGACTCTCCCTCGGGGAATGTTAACATTAAACATCATGCTCATGCAGCATCATGAAAGCCCTGAGGGGGCTTTGCGGGGGAAGAGTGTGTGTGAAAACTTCCATATTAAAAGCATTATAAAGAGCAGATTTTCCCCTCCCACCTCCCTCATGAAAAATGTACAGCGGCATATTCATTACTTCATTGAGCTAACTGAGTGTGACAAGCGGAGAGCTGCAGCAGCCGGGGGCAGGGAAGCAGCACTACAATAAAGCCTTGGGCCACTCTCTGAGGACATGGCTACCCCTGCTGCTCATAGGAGCTTTATCTTTGCACTCTGTTTGGATTTTTCCAAACGGCTGAGGGTGTCATACACAGCATGAAACTGCATTCACTTCAGCCAAACTGCTCACTAATCTAATGCATGCATGGTCATTGGGGGGTAATCAATTCTTTTTCTTTACAGTGTGATGAATCTGACCTAAGAGCTATGACTCAGGGCCCCTGTGCTATAAATATGGTCATGCATTTTCATCAGTTTACAAGACATACAGGCGTAATCCCAGAAGTGTATCCATTAAGCATCAGGAAAGCTCTTTATTCTTACATGGCTCTGTGTGAGTGTGACTTTCAAAAGATGTTGCCGTACAGGTACTTGCAAGCATGTCACGCTGCAAAGCTTTAATTCAGGACAACTTAGAAAATTAATATGTATCACTTTGTCTCATTTCTCCATTCTGATACATAACAGTTTGTGGTGAAGGATGTCTTTGTCCGTTTTCTCTTCACCCTTGGATTATCCATCCACTGTGGCTCATATCCATATAGTCCTCTGGCCCTGTTCAGTCTGATCCTAAGGTGACGTCTTGGCTTACCCCCAGCCCTTGTTGTCTGATGAACAAAAATAAAGCCCTGCCCAGAGCAGCATCAGCCTGTACTGTCTTCAGTCATAACACTACAACTGTGACTTTGCTTTGTTTACCCTCTGCAGCAGCATAAGCAGCAGCAGCAGAAACAACAATGCCTCTTAATCCAGAGCAACAGTTTCCCTCAGATGAACGCAGCCGGCACAAATTAACAGCAGCTGCACTGAAGAACGGGGCCTCACACCATTGGTGAAATATGGGGTTTAAATAATACCTAAGAATGTGTCTGGAGATGGCAGACAAGCTGACTAATAACAGAATTCAGTAACAAGAGCTGCTCCAATGGTAATGACTTCTTACTCCAGAAATATCTAATCCTGCGAAAAAAAAAAAAAAAAAAGGAGGGAAAAAAAGCGCTCGTCTCAGGGTGAGGTTGATATTTAAATTTCTGCTACAGGAAACTGAGATAATTGGATACAAAACACGGAGGACATATTATATATGAATTGTGTGATGGGAATATTATATAGCAATGATTAATGGACCCTGAATGTGATAAATCGCGTGGACCCCTGAATTAATAAACCTTATTTATTAAAGAGGAAAATAATGTAACAACAGTCGAGCCTACATGAAACATACGACCACTGCAAAAATCCCTGTCCTGTGTTTTTATTCTTCCAACAAATTCAAAAAGAATTCACCAAATCTCACAAGTGTCATTCCAGCTCTCTTTTGTGGAGGGACATTGAGTGGGAGTGGGGCATATTCACCACTCAGCTATCAGAAAAACTCTAATTAGGCTATTTTTAACACATCCTTTTCAACAGCTCTTGGGTGTTTACATTTGCTAATGACAGCCTGAGTGAAATCATCTATCAGCAAGCATCACCATCATCACCACTGACACATTAACATGGATCCTCTGCAGAGAAAGATGCCGCACAGCCTGGCTGCTTTTTACTATATAAAGCATGTAAATGTACGTCCTTATGTCTGTATGTTTACTTGGCACATTTACATTTGCAGTTTTCATCCCAGACGACTGAAGCAAACTAATTAATAGGCACAGAGGCAAATACTATTTGGTGTTTTTTTTGCTCCAGCAAACACAAGACAGCTCTTTAAAGCTCCAGATTACACCCCATGTAAAAACATTTTTTGCATCCATGTTATTTGCATAATTTTCATTTTGTTTATAGTCAGCTTTGAAGCAGAGCTTAGGTTAGGAGTCTCTTTGTCAATGCACACCACCTCTGGTTGAGAAAAAAGCCTCCTTTAGCCAGCATGCACACAGAAGAGTCATATCGGTGTTTTTCAGGCTCTCCCGATGTTTCTGCTGATGCTTAAAGAGACTTTGACATATTCAGGGTTTGCTTTATGGTCACCTTGTTGGGCTGTAATGATTTTTTTAATGCCATAATGTATCATCATAATATTCCAGCTGGGGATTGCATTTTGGCAATGATATTTGTGGCCTGTCTTTTAATTCAGAGGGGACAGGGGAGAGTGCTCTGACCCGTTTTCTAGTTACCATCCAAAAATATCATCTCCATCACTCCATCTAGTGCTCATACTGAGGAAGGGCAGACAACTGCTTTAGAAAAGAGGAGGCGTCCGTAGAAAGAATGCAGATCAGAAAATCCTCGTACTTAATCAGCAGGAGTGAAAGGACTACTAAAATATCCTACTCAAGAAAAAGTAGAGTTACTTCAATGACTGCGACAATAACAATCTACCCAAGCAAAAGGAAAAGGTCGTTATGTTAAATGAGCTAAAAGTACAAACATAGGTGAAGTTATTGATAGATATTCACAGTAAAAGATACACATGACTGTCATTAGTCAGGAGGATGATACAACAAGTCAAAAGACCCTATACTTCAACTTTTAGAGGATAAGATAAGGGGAGACTGCCCTGTACTCAGGGGCGCCAAAAATTGACAAACTGAAAGTTCCTCATTAGAGTTTTAAAGAGTGCAGAGTACTCATATCACTCTGACCCATGGCAGTGCTGGTATAGTTGGAGTAAGATATGCCCCTCAAACCATAAAAAGCATATTTTCACAAATCAATTTTTGGAATACATTGAACAGTATTACTGAAGGAAGTGATATTGACTCTGCAGTTAACGACAGTGACACTACTGGAGATTTTAGCAGCATTTCTCTGTAATTCCCTTTGTATATGGTCCCTGCAAACTTGAGGGTTAAATTTAGACCTCTCAGTGCAGCTGACGACATTTTTTGGCTGGAAATGAAACAGATTCACTTTTTTTTTTTTTTACCATAGACATCATTTAATCAGGTGGCTTTTATGCAGTTGATTTAAAGCCTAAATGTTCATTCACTGGTGCTTTATCAAATTTGACTAAGTGCAGTATTTTTTGGGTAATACCTTAGTGAAAGTAAAAGTACTGATTTGATAACAACACGTAAAAATTACTGTCTCTGATACATTTTGTCTCTTTATTGTTAATTTAAAGCTCCAGTGAGGAATTTTTTGTCCGTGTTGAAGTTGTCATCGATAATCCTGACATTGTTGCTGATTTCATCTCATCCATATGGAAGTAATGTTTATTAACAAAGAAAGGTCTATCTGTTGTCTTTTTGCAGTGAAATCCACCACTTGTTATAAATACTCAAGTAAATATTAACTAAGGCTGTTCCCGCCCACCTACCCCCTGACTGCAGCTGCAGACGTGAACATTACAGCATAGACATTGTCATTAAAGGACTTGTTAGTTTTTACACATCATAGAGACCAACCGCTGCTGGTTTCATTCTGTTTCATTACATACCAAAAACTCCTCGCAAGAGCTTTAATGCTTTTAGACTGTCCTGTGCTCCCTGTGTGTCTGTGTCTCAGTTGAATGTGTTGAATAAAGGAATAAAATAACAGTAATCTTACTTAACCCTGAGGCTGGACTCAATCCTCTCAATATTATTTGCCACAAACACATTTTTTGAGAAATGCTACACGGATAAAGTTGTCATTATGAGTGTGGAGTGATCGTCCAGACACCTTGGCTGCTCCAGACAAAACATTTATGTTTTTAAGTTTTTCTCAGAGTGATAAGTTACTCTATTTCTCCAAAATATAGCAACTCGCAGGAAACACTTCCTCTCCTGAGTGCTGCCCTGAGGTGGATTATTGGTGTGTGACCAATTATCTGACTGGCTGAACTTGGGTTGGTATGCGGCTTGTGTGTATCCAGCAAACCCTTCTGCTATCTTTCACCCTCCTGCTGGACACGCTCCTAAGTGAGAGGATGTGGTGCACTGAATGCAGGGGTGGAGAGGTTAAAGGTCAACAGAAAGTCATGAGCTAACATCATGTAGCCTCTGTGGTGTACATTACCTCACCTCTGTAGTGAGAGGTCACAAAAAGCCCCTACTTCTCATGTGACCCTGGAGAGCTGAGCAAAGACCAGGCCTGGAGCTCTAGGTGCAGTGTGAGGAGCAGCACTTACTATTAAAAAACAACAGTAAAGAATATATAGAGTAACAGAGTAATTCTTAAATCTTCACCTGAAAAAATGTGTGGTCTTTCTTTGAACCCCCTACTAAATACACAGCAGCAGACGGGATCAACCTAGCCAGTCTGAGGCACCAAGCACCAAAATCAAGATATCAAAAAGAAGAAAGAGCCGAGGGGTAAAATGAAACTCATTTGTCACACAAAAATAAGCACAAGTCAAACACTTTTATGCTTTAAAAAAAAGTTCATTTGGTGGCAATATTTAGCATCTTCCCTGTCTGTTGGCCTTGAACTGCTGTCAACAGATTAAGTGTGATCTGTAGATTCCTATCCCAGGTGCCTTGAAAACTACTCCTGCATCAAAGCTATCTTTTGTTATTCTCGAACCAGTTCATTTGATCATCACAATTAAATGTAGATGTCTGCAAGATCATTTCTGCCAGATGTCACTGCTCATTACAGCATATTCCATTTTGTGCTTAGATAACCATGTAAAATATGAAGATGTTGTAGATAGATAACTTATAAAACTTTAAAATGCGTGACAGGATAATGCTTTTAACATTTAACACATCCTCAATGAAAGTGACTGTAACCACAAAATATGGAGAAAATAACTGTCATGATCTTATAGATGCTTGAACTGGTTATTATATTTGTTGCTAGTGTGTAGAGATTTGGTGGTCTCTGTATTTACACTTTTTAAAACACACTATATTAATAAGTTGGATGAAACTACTTGCTTACATGTAAAGGATGAGAAGACAGTCAATGAAACTTTTAGGAGTCAGGTAGAGAAAACTTTGACAGAGAGTATAAATCAATCTTTAGTTTCTTTTGACTATAACAGTGTTTGAACTTCTTGACACTCTTCTGTCCATGTAGTGTAAAATATGTTTGTTAAATAAATATAGCAGACATTGCATTATCATGTTTTCTCTTTTGTAATGAAACCAAATGTTTAGACTGTGACACAGAGTTGTAGTTATTAAAAGCTTGTGTAATGAATGTGATGGTGTCTAAAAACTATTGGTCTTATCTCTTATTAGAGCCAGTAAGCATCCCACTTTACTTCCTCCTTAGATGATTTGTTGCTTTAACCTTATTTGTCCGTGATACTTTAAGTGCTTCAAAACAGCTACGACAGATTTCTGGTGCTGCAGTGCCCCCTCCTGGTCAATTAAAAAGAATAAATATCAGTGCAGACACAGTTTGCCCTACATGAGTGTGGGGTAAATGCTTCATCTGCCAATATGCAGTCCTTAAATAAATCTCATTGTTCCTGTGATGGAAAAAAATATATACATATAGTCTCTGTATTTTGTTGTGCAATTTGTATAACAGTTCACGTCTCAGTCTGGAGTTGGGTCATAAGTTGCTGCTCGAACATCTTTATTGTGTTTTTGTGGAGAGCAGTAAGTCTCAGACACTCCTCTGAAAGGATGTAACACCATAATCTAAATGATATTCCTGCTGGGGAGGTCTGCCTTAGATATAAAATCCAGAGTATTTGTTTTTGTTTAGCTCATGATGAGTTCAGCCTTGTTGATGAGAGCAGTATCTGAGGTGAAAACTAGTGCAGTGCAGTGGGTGATTCAGAGAGAGTTTCATCTCCTGGTTTGTCCAGCGGAGTTATCTCAGCGCTCATTTTTTACATCACTGTTTGCATCCACAGTTGCAAACACAACAGAGCATGGAAGCTGAGCAAACTGTGGTCTATACTTGTTAGAGTTAGTTGACAATGTGAAATAATGTTAAATGTTCTTCATAAAAGTTGTGTGTCAGATGAAGCAGTCCTTCAAGTATCTCTACACAGTCACAGAGCTACATGGTGGTACACAGCAGCAGAACCACAACTCACAAGGTTGTCTGTTATGTGAGTACATAGTAAATTCTCCCCCTATAGTTCACAGTCATAAAATCCCAGATGGGCCAGACTGTGGCCGTTATCCTCTCATCTGAGTGCAGTCCTTGTTATCTCTTACACACAGTTGCAATGAAATTACTGCATCAGAGTGAGCAGTCTCTGACCACAAAAGATATGTTTGCCTTTTGGAGCAAGAAGTCAGTTTCTCCTCAGTCACCGTATGGTGCTGTAGATTTTGAAGCAACAATATATATTTATTTTATCTTTGCTTCATTAACAACAATCCTAGGGAACCAATCGTAAACAGACATGTGTCTGACATCTATAGATGTTACTAAGACATCCTTTATGTTAGTGAGATGACCCATCATAAAAAGTTCAGTCATATTTATGGTAGTTAGAAAAAAAGCTTATACAGTACATTTAACATTAAAATGATTCACAAAAACATTTGCAGGATGTCTGAAATGGAGCTGTTTTACTATCGGCACATCCGTAAAAATGATCATATTAAAAAGTTAAGATTCTAGGTTAAAATGCATCCTTGCTCACCCTTGATTATTTGCACAATAGTATTACTCTCAACCTTGTCAAAATTTTACAATTTTTCAATACAAATACTATTGCTCACAAAAAAACCCACTTTCTTTTCTTCATATTTCATCTGGTGCAACTTGAGCAGTCCCAAACATGGAGGTGTAAAATGATGACCTCCTCAAGAAGCGGACCTGTTCCTGTGTGGATATACATATAAGGCTCATTTGAAGTTGAATGGACTAATTTAGATATATTCACAAATATTATTTTTTTATTTTTACAAAGTCTGTTTTGCTCAATGCCACTAATATCACACGATGCACCTTCAAAATGAGTCTGTAGATTTTTCCAGGTCAGGTTCCACAAACATATAAGTTTTCTTGCTAAATTCAGACTTTTGGATCCTTGTGACACTCAAGGTGTATGAAACGAGGTTATAAATGCCAAACTAACCAAAGCCAACAATTATTCAACAACTGGATCATCTGCATGCCAGAAAACTCCCTCCATCTCTCAGACTGAACCAGAAAAAGGACCTACAGGCAAAACTCAGAGACTGGAGGAAAAGTCAGATTCATTCAGTTGGACATGATTGGGTACGCAGAGAATCCAAAAATAGAGGCAGTGGTATCTGAAACGTCAGGCAAGAAGCAAAGTCTAAAAAACATTTAAAGGTCAGATCAAGCTTTACATAGACACCAGCATGATTTACTGACTCCAGGGTAATATTTTCACTCCCTCCTCTCCTCTCCTTTGTCTTTTCTGGTAAATCAGCTGGAGGAGCCCTCATTTGTCGACAGAGCTGTCAGTCATTCATCACATCTCCAACTAAACTTTAACCTATGTCCTATCCTTTCCAGCCCTTCAGCCAGTCAGAAAGAGCTTGAACAGTTTTGGCCTCATTTAGGAGTAGATTTTCTCAGCAACTTCCTGAGAGGGTCTTAAATTATCTGGGTAAACTGCATTTGCAAACACAAAATGCTGACTTTTTCACCCTTTTCTCACAGCTCATGCTAACAAGTAGGTGAGTGCTGAAGTTCAAAACTGTGTCTGGTGTTTTGTCTAGTTTGTAGATGCTGCTAGTTTTCACTGTTTATCAGTCTTTTCAGCTCATAAACAGAAGTGAGTGTACTGCATTATATCAGATGGGTGGGTTAACAATGCATTGTACTTAAACTGTATGCAGTTGCCACAGCTATAAAAACAGCATCACCTGTGAGACATTAAGTTTCATCACTACAACACTACAATGAATGACTTTTAATTTACCAACAGTTTGCATCTCTGTACTGATGAAATTTATGCTTCAACTCTTAAATTAAAAATTCTTACAGTCAGCAAGCCTCCTCCTTTTTCATCACCCCAACTTGGGATTTTCACCTCCCCTCCAGACAGACTATTGCCTCACCATCTTCTCACCCATAACTGCACCTGACCTTTCCAAATTCTTCTTCGGCATCAATATCTCCTTCTGCCCTCTGGACCCCACCCCCTCAGTCCTTGTCAAAGCCTGTCTACCCTGTCTGACCTCACTCATCACTGGCACTGTCCTCCTCCCTCTCAAGCTTGCTACTATCACACCTATCCTTTAAAAAGTTTGGCCTGAACCCTGACAGCCCCAACATTTTCAAGCCCATCTCAAACCTCCCATTTCTCTGTGAAAATCTGTAATGTTATTCAAGCAATACTTCCACTACAACCGACTATAAGATACACACTCTTTCTAATGTTTTATGTCCAGCATCCAATCTAAGTATTCAAACTGCTCTGCTTAAAGTCATCCATGACCTTCTTATCATTTCTGGCTCAGCCCTTTTTTGGTTCAGATCCTACCTCACAGATGGATTTCACAATACATCCATTTAAAATTGCAAATTCCACACCACCCTATTACACATGGTGTCCCTCAAGGCTGTGTACTTGGTCCTCTCCTGTTCATCCAACCCCTCAGTTTTATCATATTCCACCTTGGACTGTAATTTCACCACCTTTGCTGATGATACCCAGATTTTACCTCTCAAAAAAATTTACATTTAAAAAATGTCCTTATTGCAATAATTGATGAAAATACAACCGTCAATGTACAGACACGTGTGACACAGAGGGAACAAAAAATGAAACCAAGATATCAGTTAAATCTGAAGACCTGTGTGGAGGTTGGTTTTAGAAACTACATTTAGATAGTTAAGTTAGCAATGCCACCCTTTTTTTTTTTTTTTTGAAAAGCCCTTGGATAAAAGTTCAAAAAAAAAAAAGAGAGAAAATGCTGCAGGACTAAATTAAACAGGGCTGAGGTCACTGCTGAGAGGCAGCCTAAGAAAAGTCAACTCACCTCAAGTGCAGCACAGCGACCTCACACTGCTAACAACAGCGTTGGTGCAGACTGTGTCCCCGTGCTCTTCACTCGTATGCAAAAGGTGGAGGACTCTCAGCCTGCGGGCCCAAGACTCCCAACTAAGTGATGCTCAGCTGCTGAAAGAAATTTGAATGAAAAGTGAAAAAAAGGAATAAAACAACCAACAAAGCCACTCTACTCACCACCTTAAGGCTTCAACTAGTATATATTTGACACTGAGTCAGGAAACCATGGGCCCAGAGGGGAAGTAAGAACTGAAAAGCGACAAAGCATCTCATCAGAAAGGCCATATATTACCTGCTGAATAGAGGGTTGGTGGGGAAGCAGCTACACAGCAGGCTGCAATCAGAGATCTTGAGACATAAGCAGGATATACTGGATATACATCTACCAATAACAGAAGAGTTCAAATCGAGGATTGTAGTTTAGATATTCGATAGACAAACATTTGGAATAATGTCCTGAAAGCTTTCCATGTCCCTCCATCTATTAGAAAAGACTGTCAGTGTGATTCTTTGTCTCAGCTGCAGTTCAGATCCATCTTTCTGGGTGATTCATGTTCCTGATTTTACCCCAAATTCTAACATTCATGTTAACACCTTATTACGACTCCAATTTCTCTGCATGGTTAAACTCTGATTTGTGCTGTAAGTGTTTTCTATGTTCTTATAGGTCAGAGCAAGGACATGAATAATCTGTACAACACTGATGGAGACTTTGATCAGATAATGTTTCTTTTTTTTTTAAATCTGGGTTAGCTAAGCGGGTTTTGTAAGGTTTCTTGGCCTTCCTCTCATACAATAATATTTAGTCTGAAAAATAATGTGGGTCTGCCCACTCCTCTGCAGATATCACAATCTCTGTCTGCAGGCCTGAACACCTCACTGTATGTTTCTGTTTTCTTCCCCTGTTTCTTGATGAAATAATATGACGACACAGAAAAGTCAGAAAAAATCTGACACAATTCACAATGTGGGAGTAGATACACAGAGGAAAAAGATAAGGAAAGGAAAAATGGAGAAAAGACACAAAGAGATTAATTGGTAATTGTTGTGTGCATTTTTCACAGTAGCTCTTCTGCTTCTCAAACCTGAGACATTTATCCTCAACATTTCATCACATCACTTTTATGTGTTTAAAACACTAGGGTTATCTCAAATGTCCACAGGAGGGCGTCCTAAATCACTCCCCTCACTTAATCATACTCAGTAATTCTTATGAATACAGAGACTGTGGTGGGTCCCATTCCTACATGACAGAGAAGTCATTTTAAAACGGCATACTGGTACTTTTTTTACGGAAATTAACAGGAGGTTTATCATGTTAGAACAGAAAACAAACAAAAACAAAACATGAGATGCTGACAAAAATGAATTAATTTCAGCAGAAACCTTCTGCAGAAATAAATATGAAACATCAGAAGGAGGATTTTGGTTCCTTGTGGGTCCTCTTCCCAACAGAGGCTGTACGGAAACAAACAACAGAATAAATTTTAATCTAACCATTGTCTTCTGATTTTTTTAAGCAAAAACAACAACAACAGCAACAACAACAACAACATAAGTATTTAAAATAACATTTCCAGATAAATTTGTTCTAATTATGAAAAAAAGGCCAATTCAACTTGAACACATTGGCTTAACATGCATTTACAGTCTATCTATTCACTCAACAGTTTCTCTTTTTCACTCATGGCCAAATGTAAAACCAGACACCTCTCGGCTGTGAAATAAAACCAGGATCCTTGACTCTTTATGTGACACCGTCTTCTTTGTTCATTTATATTTGAGTTAGCTTTGTTATATTTCTAAGTGTTAAATCGTTAAAATAATGCTGTTAGGAACTTTACATCAACTGAGATGAAATAAACGCAAAATATTGATTTATCACAACATTTGGTTTAACTAACTCACATGACTTAATGTTTTAACACTACCAAGAGGGATGCCTTTTTCTGTTCAGGCTAGTGGACTCAATATGACTATTCTCCATTTAACTCTTAAGACAAGAGAGTCAAAAACAGATGACCTTATTCTTACAGACAGAGAGGAAGAATATTTGAAGAAACAGGAAACAATTGATGACAAGAGGGTAAATTAGAGGGCAGCAGTGATCCTCATTGATAGAGCAGAGATGTTACAGCAGATTTCTCTTGATGCAGTCTTTTTTTTTAATACAGTGACAATTTACTACCAATGTAGAGGATTTACAGAAAGAGCAGATCTGGACTGACTCTTTTCTTTCTTTTTTTTTTTTTTTTTTACCACATCCTTCATTTAAATGTGTAAAAATCTAAGGAAATGTTCAGTTTCAGGATGACAGAGATGTATATAAAGTGTTAAAAGCTTTTTTAACATTAATAATACTCTTTATAGATTGAAATGAAGACCTGCTCTACACGTCACAGGTCACAGTCTTTAAAATCCTCACTTCAAACAGCCGATAATGCAACAATTTTCCCCTCAGAAGGTTAACCCATTGGAAAAACATGGATATATGAATAGAAAACAAATTTGGATATGATGTGGTTATTACCAATCAGTTAAAAAGTAAAAAATATATATCCTGCTGAACTTTCGGTGCCAGGTAAAATGTTGGGGAGGCTAAATTTAGGTCAGTGACAGAATATGGTGATTTTTGTATGTTCATGTATCTTCATCCATTCTACTGACCCTTGATTCAGTTTATCATACACCTCATCATCATTTCATTTCTGCGTAAAACCCTCTCTAACTATTTCATTCTTTATCAGGTTGAACTTGATAAGTGATTTGGAAATGGGATAAACTTCTCTTTCCCTCTGCATACCCTTTCCAGCACCTGTTACCGCTGAAAACCTCTTATGTTTTTGGATATTTATTAAAGCTGCTGACTATGATGATTTCCCTATGTTGTGTCATTTCTTACATATTTGTGATTCTGTCTAACATCCACCTTGGCCAAGAAGAAGATTTTGAACTCTACTGGGACTTCCTAGTTAAATAAAGGTTAATATAAAAATAAAAGCACACTTCACCATGTGGAGCCAACATCCCTCTGCTCTAGGATTGCTGGCGGTGTGTCAGGATGTGTAAACCTGTTTCCTAGATGGGCCCCACTCAAGCAAGCTTTACTGGCTTTTGGAGCGAGCATCCCCAGATGGCTGAATCCAGAGCAGCTCGTGGTAATCGTGGTTTTTCACAACCTAGATCCATTTCTTGGTGCCCAACACCCCCTGAGATCTGTTTCCTCTGCTGATGAGGCTGGCCTCCATATTTTTCCCCTGAAACAGAAAAAAGACGACCAGTTGGATTGATAAAGTGTCTGCTGCAACGGTAGAAGGTCCCCGGATCCTTGCTGGCCAACGCTCTGTTATTGCACAAGAGGCTGTGGGTATTTTTTATTTTTTTTAATGTTGTCCTTTTTTAAGTGTCACTCTGGAGCACTCCTTTTTTTAACATTTAACTGTAGTTGTGACTACTTTAATCCTAGACACTATTGGGTGATAAATGTCTTATTTACAGATGTAGAATGATGTTTTTAATTTTACCACACTGTGCCCTCACCTCATATGTGACCACGGCTCCTCTCTGCACCTCCTTCCTGAGACCTGTGCCATCTCATACACTGCACAAGAAAGCCTTAGACAAAAAGGTGAGAAAGTTCTGATGGTGCCAGCTGCCTTTTTATGCCATCTAATCTGTTTATATGAATAGGCCTATAATGATGTGATGTCAGTGACTGATTCAGGGTGAGTTGGAGAATAATGAGGTGCCCCATTATCATAATTTCCCTGATTCAGATGAGTGGTTTTCTAACTCTGGGTGGTGAGCTCTTGCATTGTTGCTTCAAACACTCGTGTTCTCTCTCTCGCTCTCTCTCTCTCTCTCTCTCTCTCTTGCTGTGTGGCTGTTTGTGTAGTTCGGCCCACACTATATGTTTATGTCATGAATGACAAATAAATGGAGCACTCTGAGAACATTTACGAGGTGGTAAGGATTTTCCTCTGAAAATGACACTTCCATGCTGCATTATCAAACCTGTGAGAGGTTTTAATAAATCTGTTATGAGTAACATTTTGGTTTTAAGACAAGTGGATTTTCTAATTTGTCTCCAGCCTGCAGCCTACAGCACTCATCATCAGCTAAAGGTGATAGTTTTCCGCAGATGTGACTGGAGTGGTAACCAACATTATTAAGTGTCTGCCAGCGAAAGCTTGATGTCTGTGGTTTGTGCAGCTTCACGCTTACACAGGAAATAGGGATGAGTTGGTTTTCCTGTTTCTCTTCATCTGTATTTTGTTTAGATTCACATATCAGTAGGATTTTCACTTGCAGACTCTGAATTAACTACGGGACTGAGGTTATGTGGTGTCTAACAAAACACTTTTTTAACTAAGTCACCACATTTTGTAAATGGTTTCATATGCTCAAAATTTCTGTCAGAAATGTTTTACAGGAGTGGTGATAAGATTAAAAATTACATTTAGAAGTATGTTTGAATCTATTGTATGTAAAATCACCTGGAAATAAGACAAGTTTTGCTAACTTAAACTGGTCCTTCATTAACTACATAAAGAGTGGCTCCCTTTTAATGCAGTCCGCCATCTTACACACTGAACAGACAAACTTGAAACAGCCATAATGAGTGTTTTTGTGTTTCATGAGTATCAGCATGAAATGCAGCAACTGAAAGACAAAGGAGAAAGTGATTGTTGCGCACAAAAAGACATTGATGGTAAAACCCTGTCAAATGAAGGATTAAACTTACGCATTACAGGCTTCTTGTCCTTTTAGGCCACCATCACTTCAGCAAGGGCAGGGGTGAGCAAGGTGGAATTTTAGTGTAGAACCTGGCTGCTAGATTTTGTCAAATACTCTCTTTTCCACAGACTGAGCCTTCATGAGGAAAAGTGTTATTCAAGTTACTTTAGATATTTGTTTTTTTACTCACCACATTATTCAGGTAGCCTCTAGAAAGATATTAAACCATGAGAGTTACTTGTTCAGTTACTCTACTTCGTTACTCTGTCCAGCCATGTCAAAGTAGATCCAATTTTCCCATTGTTCACCAGGTGTAGTTCAATGACACCATGTAGCATTTTGGGGGTCTTGTCCTCCTCATCACAAACCCCTCAACTATGAATAAATACAAGTGGCAAACAGAGTGATGGATAGTTGCAAAGTAAATTTACTCAGGTTCTGCACTTGAAACCTCTGTGGTTGAATGTTAGTGTCGATTTTTGCGCCCCCAGTGGCCAGAACACTCTTTGCTTGTCTACGTAGCTACATGTCTACATGTCTAAGTACGTGGTGTTATCTGACAAAAATCTCATCCTGCTGACGTTAGACTACTAAATGTCTCAATATTGTGTACTGTGAATACTCCATATGTAAAATGTCCAAACAGGGCTGTTTGTCCAGGTGCTCTGCTGACACCTTCCTCTGGTTTCAGGCATTAAAAATGACAACATAAAATCAAAATTCCTGTAGCTGACAGTCTTTTTTTGCTTTGTTTCAATACAATTTGAAGTCTCTTGCATTTATGTCAAAAACTCCTCATAGCAGTTTTCAGTACATTTTTCAAGTATCTGCACCTCATTTGAATGTACACTTTTTGGGGACACTTTTTCTCAGTTACTCCACATCATTAGAAAGACAAAAACTTGACTATTACTTTACTACATTCTATGAATCTTCTTGTTACTCACAACCTTTGCTCTGAAGTCAGCTGATGAATTTTCTCTTATTTCCTAAAATCATACACTGAGGAAACTAAACTGTGTTTGTGAAGCCCTCTGTGTGGTTTGTCTGTATTTTAAGCCTCATGTATCCATGGTCAAACGTAGAGCAGCTCAAAGCAAACACTACTGAGCTCAGAGAGTTAATTTGCTGTTGGTAATGACGCCGCAATGGAGAAGAAAGATGACTCTACATCTTTGGCCCGAGTTTAAGGTTTTCGGATGAAGAATAAGTTGTGTTGTTCAGATGTTTACTCTAGAATATGAGTATTGTGTCTACACAGTCTTCATCATGACCTCCAAAAAGGATGTTAAAGCATGAGACTGAACATTTGTGTTGTTCCAGATGAACATTTTAAACTCAGTTGTCTGTACTTGCAGTAACTTGGTTGCTGTTTTTGATTCTGTGACTGGTTGTTTCTATTATTTTGGAGCAGCAAACCTGGAAATTTGCAGCATGTGAGACAAATTTCCAAACAAACATCACAGAGCAGAAAGAACATCCATGATTTCTTAACTGTGGTCATGCAGAGAGAAAAATCAACAATGTTTTAAGTTTATAATGAAAAAAAGATTTAAAATGTTGGTCTTATTACAGTTTTTTATCTAGAAGCCTAGCATTTCATGACCAGCCACCACCAGTAAATGATAAAAAAAAAAAAAAAACAATGTTAAATGCACTTTAATTCGTTGTTTTTGGACATTTTGGACAAAACAAGTGTTTGGTGAAAAGCTCAACGTCACCTACACATGACAATGCAGCTGGAAAAGCGTTGTATTATCTCCTCTTGTAGTGGCTTGGTTGAAACGGATATTTACAGACACTTAGAAGTTATGCACTATGAGCTCTATTTTCGTGTCCGCCGGTGAGGCGGCAGAGGGTGGCGGACCCCGCGCAGTGGTGTTTTCGTCTGGCAGGGCCAGGTGTACAGCCAGTTTGGTATTTTCGTGAACTGAGGCGCACCAAGGTCCGCCAAGCTGGGCGTGGTGGCGTGGCAGAGGGAGGTGTCGACAGAATCAGCTGCCGCCGTGACATTTTCGTGCTCGCCGGTGGCGTATAAATTGCGCTGAAAGCTCGCCGATTCAAACCTGGTCAGCTTTCAGCGCAGGCGGAGTGCAGCTGGTCTAGTGGTATTTTGGTAGACCTGCGGCGTATCGGCATACGTCACTGATGCCTCACCGGCAGGTTTCCACAGTTTCAGGCACATTTCAGTGCAATAAATAATCATCAACAACTAATAATCTGAGTCAGCACATACATTTAGATCTATATAGATCTATTCTGATCTATATCTGATCTGATGAGCGCGTTTGGCACGTGTTTGGACACACAACCTGACCGAATCAACACAGCTGAAACCGCATTAAATTAAATTAAATATCTAGTAAATAGACACACATGATGACGTTAACAAGATACGTAATTCCTCTCCCTCCTTTTCTTTCTTCCTCTTCCTCTTAGAGCTCAAAATAAGATGTCTCTGTGTCCTCTCCCCGTCCTGCTGGCTGCTGTCCTGTCCTGCTGGCTGAACAGATGATTTGTTTCAGTGATCAGATAAGTTATTGGTTCCGATGGTTCCGATTTTAATGCCATTTTTGGAATTTATGATGTGATCTGTGAGCACAACCCACCTTTGTCACGTGAGGTTTGAATATATGCAACTTAATGTGAGTGTCTTTATTTGTGGAAAAGGGTGTTTGTATTACTAGTGGCTCTAACATTACACACACCAAATACATCTGTGCTCATATGAGAGAGTGTGGAGGACGCCCTCTGCAGCGCTTACAGTGACACTTGTTGAGGGGCTGCCTTCTGTCGCCATTGTGTAGCATTACTGTCTTCAGACATCTCTTGATTTCTTTGACTACTGCACGAAAATAGTAATACGACTCGCCGGTGGCAGATTTAAAGGCGAGGAGAGGAGCTGATGTTATTGGTCAATACAGGTCTCGGCTGTGTTAAACCCACTCCACGCCCTCTCTCCTCCCTCCCTAAGACTTACGCCGCTGGGAGGAGCTGAGTTAGGGAGGGGGGATACTTACGCCGGGCTGCGCCACTCACCAAAATACCAAATTGTGCTTGTGATCGCCTTGTCGGCACGGCGGACCTGACTTACGCCGCGCCTGCAGCACGTCTCCAGCGAGGCATGAAAATAGAGCCCTATAGCTTTAAGACTCTGCATAAAAATGTTTTTGCAGAGGCAGCTTGTCTGAGAAGATTAAATGTAGCTGTTATCGATAAAGGCAAACAGAATCATATACTGTTATGTTTGACTTCACCAGCTGTTCTGTTCAAAAATGCTCAATATGTGAAATCTAAATAAAGTCTGATTAAAGTCTTCATCTACATCTGTCTAGGCTTGAATGTGGCCGTCACAGTCAGGACGAAGCAGCAGTTTCTGGGTTGCCACAGAAATGGCGGCGATGCAAGATGGTGCCGCACACGCTCCGGGATCAATCATCGTCATATTGGGAGTGACATTCTGGAGAGGTGCTTTGTTGATGTACTGCTCAAAGCTGTACAAGACAGTTCTGTTCAAAGGTTAGAGTTATGAGGGTCATGGCTCTTGACTGTTAAATGACTGCTTGTATAACCTACAACAAATGTAGAGTTCAAGTCCCTACTGTGTTGACCATTAAAAATCTCATTCACTGTTATTTATGTTCAAACAGTGTGTAAAAACACTTCAGGACACCTAAAAGTATCTGGGTACGGCAAACCTCTGCTTTCTGGGGAAAAAGTTCAAATACACAAAATATGTTTTAATTTCAAATTAGTCGTAGAAGTTACTGAAAATAAACAATGGTGTGTTTTCTTCAGAAAACCCACAGTAACCATGACTACCCACATACAGCTGGCCAGCACAGCCAGTGAGATATCTATGTATCCATGTCTATGGATTTGTATAAAAGGACTAGGAAGAGGGATGTGCATGTATTTATCATTTCAGACAATATCTTGATTGTTGCTCAATCATGAGTGAAATGACAATATTGGGGGTGTGCTGTCATTAAAAACCTCGAGACTTCACACAAGTTGACCAAACATGATCAAGCCTGGAGGGACAGACAACTACAAATACACACTGAAAACACAAAGAGTGATCCTTTGTACTCTGCGGTTCCTTTATTGTTACCGTCCACTTAGGTACCTTGCAAAACAATGGTGAGATGCACTATGAGAGGCAACAACCAAGGTGTTAAATCAGGACTGACAGAAGGTAGGAGCTGTCCAAAATGCTATCAAATCCAACTGAACATTAAAATGCCCACAATATCAGCTCCTAATATGACATACCAATTTGGTAAACTCCACTCGCTGCATGGGACCGGCAGCTTTCCTGCAAAAAACAGAGCATTCCTGCCACATCCAAGAGCTTTTCTCTCCCACACAGAGGATTGGAGTATTTTCAGAGTCTCATGATCCAATCTCCCAAAATGCAGGTATCTCTTAGGATACATAGATTAATTTTAATAATAATAATAATCATAATAAATTTTATTTATAACAGGCTTTTACAGGTGCTCAAAGACACTTTACAAGAAACACAATATAAAATACAGAAGATTTGGAGTAATAAGACCAACATTGTAAAAGGTTCAAAAAGACATAAGATGAAAAGACAATAAAAGAACAGTTCACGGGTTAAAAGCCAATTTTTCTGTAGTTTAGTGACTTTGTGACAAGTTTGATCCAGAGCAGTTCAAGTAGGACTAATGTGTTTACATGTCTTTTAAAAGTCCAGCTTCAGTCAGACTAAGGCAATAAGTGGATTCTTCTGAACACTGTACTGATTCTTATCCCAGGCTTAAGTCATAGGGGCAGCTGCACTTTGTAAAGTCACGTTGCCTCTAGTTATTTCTGCAACCAGCTGACCTGGAAATGTCCGATCAGAGGCCAACAGTGAGGGTAATAAAAACTTAAAATTTGTGTTGTTACTCAGTGATGGAGACTTACTTGATAGGTCAGGTCCGATCCCCTGTCCACATGCTGAAGTGTCCTTGGGCAAGACATCTGACCCCTGACTGCCATTATTAGATACGCCCAGCAGTGTGTGAGTGAATGGGTTAATACTAATGGATGCTTTATTTATCAGCCTCTGCCATAAGTGTGTGATTGTGGTGTGAATAGGTGACTGTGACATGTAATGTAGAAGCTCTTTGAGTGGCCAGAAAATTAAAGGAAGCACTTTATAAACACAGTCCACTTACAGAAAATCCACAGAACTTGATTAAAAAAAACTGGACTGATAAGCAGAAATTTTGGAAACAGAGCAAACTAACCTGGTCCTGTCTGAAGGCATGTATCATGGTGATTTGTCTGTAGGTGACACAACAAACCCAGGTTTTTTTCATGGGTTATTTTAACATTAATGTTCATGCTATTAGCAATTGAGAGTGTAAACCTTCTCATCTCTAACATTTCTCTCTTTGCTGAACCCCCCCCTCTCCTCCATGATTTTCCAGCCTGTGCTCTGCATCTCATCACTGGCTTCTATTCAAAATAGGCTCACAAACATCATGATTGATTCAGCCACTATCCTCCAGGATCTCTCAATGCCTGCCTGGGCTGGAGATTAATTTCCTTTCCCCATCTTAATTTTTACTCATCGCCTCTCCATAAAAAGGCTAAATGTCAAGCATGCCTGACTCCCTCTAGTGACACGTCTATTCCAGCAGATAATTACCATAAGGAAATAGATGCTTTAGTGTGCAGAGGGGAATTTAATTTACTCTGACATCCTCACAGCATAATGCATTCCTAAAGAAAGAGAGTTTTCAGTTTGCAATTGACTTTTTAGATGAATTGGACTATTTAATGTGATTATCAGTCCTGAACGTCTTTGACTTATTAAGGTGTTGAAACCAATTAAGGGTTACATGCTGCTCATGCTTCCAAATGTGAAATCGTGAATACTGCTTAAAGATCCATGAAATAAGAACCAGACGGAGCCTTTTGTTCGGTAGTCGACATCCCTGATGATGTTCTGAGACTTGCCAGGTAATGATATTAATTACAGCAACATGGCTTTCTTCAGGTTGTGGATTGACCTAAAGAAGCAGAGGGTTACATTTAATTAGATTTGCAGTCTGTAAATGTGAGAAAATTTCAAATGCTGCAAAATTTGAATCTGTTTTTACACAACAAAGAAGAGTTTATGCCTTTAGAAATTATCTGATGTTTTGATAATGCTCAATATCATGGTGAGGAGTGAGCATTGATCCCACCTCTGCATAATCCTCTTTAAAAGTATGACTAAATCATTGCCCTAACAGTACTTTCCCCCAAAACCAAGAGTGAGTAAAGCTGCTGTGTCACTGGGTATCTCTGGACCCCTCCGCACTTGGTGATACTGCTGAGTCACATATCAGTCCCAGCATTCCCTTAACTTGTGGCTTTTTTATGCCGTCCAAAACTGAACCTCTGACCCACAGACAAAGCTGGGACGGCCATGAGGCTTTGAGGAAGTCAGTAAGGGTTGCTGCAATGAGAATTATGGTTGTGAGGACACAGCCAGCTCCTGCCAGAAGTTCCTCCTTTTGCAACCAACTGCCTGAATGTTGTGCTTCTTAGGAGATAAGGGCAGCCTCCCATGAAAGGTGACTCAGCAATCCAGCACACAGCCTCTCCTGAGATAAGAGTGCTCTGCAGGCCTGAGGACAGTGGGATACAAGGATGAACGCTCACAAGCAGGACGGCATGAGAAAGTCAATTCAGTCCAAACACTTATCTCTGGGGGGAATAAAGTATAACCTCCTGCAACTTCATCAGCTCTGGGTACAGCTGCGGAAAATACAAAGAAAAAAACGCTATGTTTATAGTGATTAGGCTGCAGCAGCTATCCACCCCATCAGACGCTAATATGAGAAAGTAATGGCAGACTGTGTCTGAAATCGAGTCATATTAACCAAACCAGAGGTGGCACTCATTATTTATTTAGAATTTCCATCAATATTAATCCTCCATTTCTATAAGATTTAATGCTTTCAGAGATTGCACAGGCACCCATCACTCTGTGACTTCAATTATAAAGCTGTACATGAGATTGACACTTTGGTATGATTACAAGAAAACTGGGAAGTCGTTCTTTAACATTGTTCAACAGCTTCTGCATAGGGGTATCAAGCTGCTGCTGTGCTGTACTTATTAACATTACAACTATCTGTAGAAGGGATGAGGGACAATAAACTGCACACCATCTTTGGAGATGACTGAACTTATTCACAATGCTTTTTTTTCTACATGACATGTCAACAGCGGTGGACTGTAACTAAGTTCATTTACTCTCTCATTTTATTCAAGTACATTTCCTCAGTTTCTGTTTTTTACCCGAGGATCGCTTTGGGGGAAAGTATAACTTGTTCTTCGCAACATTTGAAAGACAAGTTTCTTAGATTGGCCTCCTCTATGCCTCTACCATGTGTTCAATAATCACTCCTTATTTTCTCTGAAGACAGAATATACATTTTCCTTTCTTTTCCAAAATCTGATCCCAAAGACAATAAACTGTGTTCACTCAGTTTTGTAATTGTTTGTCTGAGTGGTTTTGCCGTGTCTATATGCTGCACGGGTCTGTATGGTTGAACATAGAGTAAATGCAGAGATATTACAATTATCAGGGCCAGAAAGTATGACAATAACAGTTGTTGAGATATCTATGAAAAACCTTACAATAATAAACAGCACAGTCAGTCTACCTAAGGAAGAGAGGTGCAACAAATGACTTCTTCAACTTGACATGTCATCATTCAATTCTAAAAATATCAAAGTTTATGATGTGTCATCATCATCATCATCATCTCTGTGACTGATACTTCGGTGGAAAAGATGTTGCCTCATTAAATGAATGTCTCGCTTTTATTGTGATGTTTTTTTCTGTCTTTAATTGAGGGTTTGCTTCATCTGCTGTATGCTCTAAGATCATGAGGGATTGAACTAAATGAAAACATTTGATCGAAAAGTAGAAAATGTAAATGTTCAGTTGTTTAGTGACCTGAAGTGGCTGATTCAGCTAATAAGGTTTTCCACATGAGCACTCATGGCCACAATAATTGTTTTAGATGTTCACTTTGTGTACAAACTTCATCACAAATTACTCAAATCCAGGACCATCTTAAACACAGTTGTCTATGCTCGTGTGGTCACTTGGTTGGTTGATTCTATTATTTTGGAGCTGCAAATCTAGAAATGTGCAGCATGTGAGGCAAAAAAAAAAAAAAAAAATCTAAATTTCCAAATAACCACAACATAACAGAACTTTCTTGACTGTGTTCAAATTAAAAAAAAATATTTAGAGATTTTTTTCTGAAAAAAGTTTTAATGTTTGACTTTTAATGGATTTAAAATTGCTCGAGTCATTTTATGGTTGCTATTATTTTGGCTGCAAACCTGGCACTCTCTAGAATGTGAGTTTAAAAGTGGGAATAATGCTTTCTTTTTTAACATGATATGGCAGAATGGACAGTTATGTGTTCTTGACTGGGCGAATACTTTGTGAAAATAGAAAGATGTATTGAGATTCTTATAAACAGGATGGGATTAACAACTATTGGTCCATTTTAGTGGGATAGTAGTGATCCTGAATTTGATGCTGAACTTATAGCTGGAGTCCGTTTATAGAGGTCTTATGTGGGACCTGCCCTCTGAAAACCCTGCACATAGGAGGAGAGAAAGAAAGAAGAGAAAATGGGAGCATGGGAAAGAATGTGAGGAAAGGGAAGGGTTTGAATTGATCCAAGTGTTGATGTGAAGTCCTTCTCCTGAAACTATGCTATATGACACCACTTTATCATTTTGAAAGGAAGTACTCCGCCATCTTAACTGAATACCAATTGGACTGAACACAGTATTTGTTTATGAGAGTCTGTGCTTTGACTCAAGTCCAGAGGTTGTGTACTTCATCCATACACTCTATGTTTATACACTGAAGGCACCCGTCAGTATTTACTCATTTAACACACTTAGAGACACCTCGGCCTGTGGCCAGGAGGACCTGGGGTCAAACACTAACCTTCTGACTGAGACAAGAGCCACTGTGCTGCAGTGCCACAGCCTCTCCTATGTGCTGCAGACAGTGGACTCTGAGTGTGGAGACAGTTTACTCATTTACAATCGGAGTTTTTGTCTCAATTTCAAGCTGCTTTAGAAGGAGGGACAGACTGTCAGACTCTGCTGATGATCCTGGACTCAGAGTCAGCGGTGCGGTGTTAGACTCAGAGCAGAGGGAAAACCATGTCCCCTCTGATATTCTGTAGGATGATGATGATGATGATGAGAAGAAGGATGATGATTATGAGTCATGAACAAAGTGTGCGTGCAATTTGAAGCATAAAAATGTCTATAACTGCAGCATCCTGATGAAATGAAGACCTGATCTAACTGATGGACTCTAGCTGATGTGATAGGGAGGACCAGGGAGGGGGGGCTTTGGCACACAGGGTACAATCATTGCAAAGCATGAGCGAAGTGGATAAAGCATGAAAGAAAAAAGTCATTATGTGGGAAAGCAAAGAGTTCTCTTAATTTCATGGACTGCTTCAGTGTGCCAGAACAGGTGACAGAAGGGGAGCTGTCCAATATGCAAGTAAGGAGCTCCCCCCGTCTGTTTCCTCGGTGAGAATGAAATAAATAAACAATGAATGGTCCACTCTCCGCGCGCGCCTCATCCCATCTCATGCATGGCTGCCAGTAATGGTCTACTGGGTGTCAGCTTTTATTGGCACGGCACAAAGCAAGTGCCAAGGGCTCGGTGGCTCGACTCCCCGCCGCAGACTCGGCCTGTGGATAAAAGCAAGCAAAATGCCCCAGTCGAGCTCAGAGACATAGTCATGTTGGGCTGGAACGAGGAAGTGCAGTGGAGAGGGGAGGGACTCAGGGCGCAGCTCCATGGGGCCGCCGCGGCACTGAGACCTTCTGCACATGGAGCCGGGGAGAGTTGGAAGAACTTCATACTGCAAACTCAAGGAATAGCAGGTAAAGTGACTTCCACCGCGCTTTTCAGCTCAACACTCATCTCTCAGGCTAGCTCAGACTTCTTCACTGCAAATCGTTCCTCTCGTGGCGTTCAGGAGACTTTTGCGCCTGTCTGGGAAAGACTCTCCTTGTAGTTTCGATGCAGGTGCACTGCAGCACCAGATCCCGTTCAGTGAGCGTAATTCTTTGCTGGAGAGCCTCAGACGGATGAACAGACAAGAGAGAGATACTTTTGGAATTTAAAACAGAAAAATAAACCGTAAAAAGGCGTCTTTTTTGTTTATTTTTAACAAATTTAGAAATAAAAAGGAAAGTCAGGAATGTTCCTCTTTTTCCATGCGTCTTAATTTATTGAGGGAACATCTGGATGAACTTTTCACAAATCAAACAGTTCGCTTAAAAATATCGGATCTGTTTTTAGTATTTCTACCAAATTATCGGCACATTTAGTTTCAATTTTAAACAGATAAAAAAAACGTTTTTCCATCCTTGCCATGGCACCTGTTGCATCAGATATGCGCTCTTAGTGAACTTTGAATATTTCTCTGAAGTCCATTTCAAGTGCTTAAGAATTTTTCAACTCATTTTTACTAAATTAAACTTTTAGAGATGACTTAATTTTGGGGACTGAACACGAAAGCGCATGTGAGAGCTCGGTGCTGCTTAAAAACAGGAAATCAGAAGTTACAGTCTCACACGGCTTCTCATTTTAAAATCTATAAATAATCGAAAAACCTGTTAAATTTCCCTCACCTTTGAGTGGTTACTACCTGATGGAACCACAGAGTCGGTTAACTGCTTAATGTTTTTTTTGAAGAGAGAGAGAAAAAGCTCATGTGAACAGGATTTTTGACGCTCCGCTCAGACGCACGAACAGAAAAACGGACTGATGAGAAATAAAGTTTTTACATTCACACTTGGAGCAAAATCTGGAAAAATTAAGCTCTTGTCAAAAAAACAAAAAAAAGGAATTTAAATTAATCAAAACAAACCGATATTAATGAATATTTGGCCTTTTTAGTCGAACAGAAATGACCTGTTAAGCGCAGTTTACGTCAGGTGGCGTTTAGAAGATAAAGAAAGTCACAGAGCTGCTGCTTCAGTTCCGAGGAAATATCTTCAGACTCAGACTGAGACTTCTGCTCATGTTCTTTTAGTTTTCTTGAGAGTCAGATGATTTTCTTTGGGTCAAAATTTAAAAACTGAAGTTATAAATTATTTTAGTTTCCTATAAATCAACCTAAAATCTTAGTACATTTAAGATCATCTTAAACTTGTTCAAAGAAACAGAAGAAAACATACGTTTGATTTGAGATGTAGAGACTTTTTCAGACTGCAGCTCGGTACCTGCAGGAAAAGGATTCTTTCAGGGTTGGAGAGAGAAGAGCTGAAAGTGCAGCAGGTCTCATGTGTGCAGGGAACCTACATCATCTTTCTTGTCAGAAGAAACAGAAGTGTGTGTGTGTGTGTGTGTGTGTGTGTGTGTGTGTGTGTGTGTGTGTGTGTGTGTGTGTGTGTGTGTGTGTGTGTTGGAGGGGTCGTTGATGAGGAGGTTAGACAGTTATTAAAATGATTGTACTGTCTGAATAGCAGAGTAGTGAAGTGTGTCAGATGCAAATGAAGGAAACTTCTTTCCACTCGCCCCCTCGTTAGGGTCCTAAACATTTCCCCTAACATTATTTATCCACACACACACACACACACACACACACACACACACACACACACACGCACAAACGCACACACACATTTCATGAATTTCTGATGAGGATCTGCAGGTGATCATGTGCCATAGTGCCATATAGGATAAATTATTTTCTTATTTGCCTATAGCCTACAGCATATACAGCATAAATCAGTAGATTTTTGTAAGTGGCCAGTTAACCTGTTTATCATGAGTGGAAGCTTCTTTGATACACCAACTATATCCCTGATTTATATGAGTTATCATCATGGTCAGAGTTAGATAAGTATGAATGTGTGATAAATCCCCCCTCAGTTCAGGTATCCACATTTACTTTAACATGTTTTCATGCAGAACAGATCTAGTTGTCATAAGCAGGGACATAAGCAATCCAATATAACCTCTTTAGTGTTTAATTTTGTGTCAAATGAAAGGCAGCAGATTTGATCAAATCATATATTAAAACAGATACTTTGTTGACATGAATCTTAATTCAAGTTTTTAAAAAAAAGCCTTTGTGTGTGTGTCGGGGGGGGTTTATTATCCAACTTTATAGTGGACGGTGTGTTGTGTTTCTATCTCCTGTTGAGGCTTCCTGAGGATCCAAACCTCGCTGGCGTGGTCCTTCAGTATCTGTTAACGGTTGTGTTATTTGTCATCTCCACCCAGCTCCCTAGTGTAGCTTTTGCACCTCACTTAAGCAGACGCTTCAATACCCCCCCCCTCCCCACACACACACACACACACACACACACACGCCCAACACATTTACCACTGTCACACATATACACATACACACACACTAACACAAGCAGGAGGACCGAGAATTCTGTCAACCCACAAGCCTCTTCCTGCCGCTCCTCGATCTTCATACTCAGACCAAAACTTTTCCAGTCCCTCTCTTTTCACAAGTTCTTTCTATCAGCACCATTTCACAAAAATTACACTTACCCCTATTTAGTACATGCACACTACCCCCCCCCCCCTCTCTCTCTCTCTTTCACACACATACAGTGATATCACAAATGTCAAACTGTTAAACTATGTTTAAGTGTGTTCCTTAAAAATCATCGGCAGCAGGGAGAGTTTAGGGCAATGTAAAGTTTAGCATGGGCAGAATCAGATAAGATGCTTAGACACTATTTATATGAACCCTCCCATTAGAATGCATCACAAGCACATTTAAACAGCCTTATAAGGCTCTGTTACAACCCTTAAAAGTGAGCATACTGTCTTATAAAGGTATGATTTATAATGCTTATATCACCACATAAACACCACGTTTAGCTGTTATGAACACTTATTACCATTTGTAAGGATTGTTATAAAACCTTGTTTTATCAGACTGTATAAATGTGCTGATGATGCATTATTGGAGGTGGTTCATATAAAGTGTATTTTAAATGTTTTTGATTAATCCTACTCTAGGGGTCATTCACTTGTAACAACAGCTCCAGTAAATGAGGACAAAAAAAAGTCAAATCAAGATTGAAAGATGTGACTGACATCTGCAGTTTTTTCAATACCAGTGCCACAGACTGGTGACCCCTGCAGCCCCCTGAGGAGGTTCGACAGTGCTCACTGCCTCACACACACACTTACTGGATTAAAACACTCTTGCTGTGAAGTCTGTAGTAGTGAAAAGATTTTTAACTTATCATGTTTTTGGACTACTTTTGTGCATAGTTTTACAATAATAGAAAAATCTATAAAATCCAAAACCTTTTAAAATTTGTATTATAAATTTTAAATTTTATAAACTATGTACATCTTAGTTACTGGGTTATAGCACAGTCTAAACACACACAGTGTTCAGACTCATAAATTGAAACCTCCAATATTTAACAGAGAACATGAAAAACCTTTGACAATAATGAAGTATCACATAGTATGAGGGTTAAGTGTCGTATGAGGCTAAGATACCAAATCTTCTTAAAATCAGAAATTATCCACAGCATGTAGAGAGTCTACTAAGTGTGAAACCAGTATCAGTGTGTGCTGAAAGAAAAAAAAAAAAAAAAGCTACTTCCTGAATATTCGAGGTGCACCTTGCTTTCCACCTACACAAGTGGGTTGTGGCTGAATGCAGGAACTCTTTCGATTTTGTCGAAGCCCTCCACCTACATCTGTGTTTCCCTTACACCATCTGCCCAGAGAAAAGGGCACATGAGAATAAGTCCTCCTCTGCCACAGACCCCCAAAGTCCAGATGCTGAAGAGCGACGCCGCACAGTTGTCATCAGCAGAAGAACACGCAACACCCTTGTGTTGTGCTGAAGAAATCATATGCACCAGTGACCTTTGGCCCCCTCCTCCATTCACACTTGCATCCTGGGCGTCTTCAGAACGTCGAACTCCTGACTTGACTCCGCAGAATATTGTTGCATTGCGAAACAGAGGCCGTGCGTTTCCCAGTATTAGTTCCAAATGTGTGGAGCCATCTGTCAGTAAAACAGGAAGGCCTAGGTTCCCCTTCTCCCTTGGGCTCATTTCGCTATTTTCGGGAGCTTCACTTCTCCCTGAATGGTTGCTTGGACTGGGCAGCGGCCCCACCAAGGGCTTCTTGAAGTGGCAGAGCCGGGGCCGAGGCTGTCGGGCCCATCTGCTGCAGGCCTCAGGGCCATCCATTATTAATGGGGCCACTAGCACTGGTGACTCCTCAGATATTCAGCCCTGGCCAGAGGATCATTCTAAAAAATAAATAAAGAGAACTTCTCTGTCCTTCGGCCTGCTTTTCTCAGCTTCACCTTCCTGTTGCGCTCACTTCTCTGACTTCTTGCTCTCAAACTGCTATCTCCCTCTTCGCCCTTATCTGTCCCCCCTATCTATCGCTGCTTCTCTGTCCTCTCATGTCTCCTGCCCTCTTTCTCTTTTTTCCCATCTCTTTGTTTCTCATTGTGGCTTGCATGTGTCTGTGTTCAGGCCCCGGGCTCAGCGATGCATGCTCAGTTAAATTAGAGAGAACATGAGCGCCGATCAGCTGGGCACGGCAAACACCCGCATCCTGGTGACCTGGGGCCAGTTAATTTTCTGCTTAATTTTGCGGCAGTCAGTTTGCATTTTTGGATGATTACGTGGCAGGAAATTAACAATAAATAACAAATGTGGTCTGAAAGCCCGTTTCTAACCCCGTGCAACCAGCAGGCCCCCTCAGCCGCAGTAAAGCCACACTGCAAGGTCCCTCTCTCTGTCAGACTTGTAATGAAAATGTCTGTAATTCTTTGTAATGTAATGTGGGGGACAGTGGTGTGTCTGCAGCTGTGACAAGAGTGATCTCACTGAGGTGATGAAGGCGTGCTGAGGAGTGCACCCTTAACTCCTTTCTAGTTTTTCTTATCATGCTTCCTTGGCCTGCACTTGATTAAACTCACACGCATCTACATCTCCATTTCTCTCCTATTAGAGTACTTGCACCGCATGGAGACAGAGGAGGCCCAAGAAATGGCCCAGATGCCAGGTAAAAGCCTACCTACTGCATGATTGAGCTGTGGAGAGCAGAAAGTAGATACAATGGGTTCAGAAACACACTCTTACATTACCTAGAGGTAATTTTGCTTGGTCGGGGGGATGTGTGGTGAGTGACTGGTGTTCGCTGGTGTGTGTCTCCAAAGGCAGGGACAGCCCCCCTGCCAATGAAGCTGCGGAGGATGCAGAGGAGCCCATGGCCGTCCCTGAGGACCTGTCAGCAAGCTCCACCCACCAGCAGAACAACAGAGGGGACAAAGGTACATGAACCATCTCACCAAACGCACCCACACAGTGTCAGCACATCACTGATGCTTGTGTCAAATCCAGAATCAAAGTCATAAAGTGTGTGAATAATAGGCATAGCTCATTCAAAACGCTGCAGTCATTTCTCATCCTCATGTTTCCTGTTCCCAAAGCACCAAAAATCTGAGTCAAAGGGTTAAATGAGAGAAAGTATTGGCATCAAAGCTTAAATAAACATGTATTTAAAGATTTTTAGAACTTAGTCCTATTCACATCCAGTGGGAGGTATTCGATGTTCCAGATCCCTTAGAAATATTAATTTATACAGCAAGAGACACATTTGGGTCATTGGCATCGAAGGTTAAAAAAAGCACAATCTCTTTGATCCATCACATGTCATTAACAAGCCGAATCTTAAGGAATAACTAATGTGGTCTTGATTTGAGTTTGAGAACATCGAGCCAGGGAATATGATGATGATGAAAATAAGGATGAAGCATGTGATGGGGATTCAGAGCAGCAGCGCATATTTATGTCATGATTCCTGATGTGGGTGGTTTTCAAAAATGATCAGTATTTGCCTCTGAAAACTTAAACCGTGACAGGAACACAAACAGACCCAGAGTCCAGTTTATCAGGATATGGGGGTTAAATTTGACTGATTGAGAATTGCAAGTTATTTCTGTAAAATGTGCAGGATGGTAGGGACATGGGGGGGGGGGGGGGGGGGGGGATAAATGAATAAATAAACTCATCTGAAAATCAGAAAAAAAAAAAAACAATAAAAATATAAGACAGGTCTGAGGATTTTTTAAGGATATCAGGTGTGCAACTCTTTAACTAGCCTGGCTGGGCCAAGTGATTCACGCAAAAGGATGGCCCAGCCAGGCTACTCTTTAACATGTGTATGAAATTTTTTAATGATTTCACTCAAATGCTCAAAAAGAAGCTGATCAGTTTTCCGTGTATTTCCACTGATCAGATAACAGCAAAGATACAAAGTATACAGTCTAAAATTAAATATCGCAAGAAACTGAAATTGGATGTGTTAAGAGTTTCCTGAGAAGAAGCTGCCATCAGACAGTTTCAACACTCCTGGAGATAAAGAGTTCAGGAACAGGGCCAAGCCAGAGAGATCAGCTCTTCACTGCACCACATAGGTCACACACCTGCACACACACACACACACACACACACACACACACACACACACACACACACACACACACACACACACACACACACACACACACACACACACACACACATGTGCCTACTCTCAGAGGCTCCCCTGTTTGACTGCAAAACTGTTGAGCTGCTGTCAGACTGGGTTTTTTTGCACAAGCAGGGATCTCTTTCCAGTTCTGCATAAATGCTGCAATGTCATGAAAACATTTCAAAACATTCAGATGGAGCGAGGGGACATTTTTAGAAAACAGTTTTATACCTCTGTGAATTTCACTTCTCTGTCTGCTAATAAACTTGAAGCTAAATATGGATACGTAAAAACCTATGATTTGAAAAGTTGGCCTCTTATCAAGCGTCACTTTACAGAAAAGGAGACAGGGTGCAGCTGGAGGTGTTGACGTATGACTCTGTGTGCTGCACAAGTTTCTGTTCATTCCCTACACACTTTGTTTGGTTCGCATGTGTCTATATAGGGACAGAGAGAAAAAGCCCAAAGAGTAAAAGAAGGGAAGTGCAAGTATCTGGTACATCTATGCATGGCTGCCTCTGTGATAAAAGCCAGAGTGAGTTATAATTATCACCCATGTAGGATCATGTGCTTCTCAGTTCTCAGTTGTGAGTAAAAGACAGAATGTTAGCGAACCATGTGTGAGACGGACAGGAGAACTAAAGCTCAGAACTTTGATTGTTGGGTACTAAAGCTAGGTTTTTGCAGCCTGGGATTCACACAGTTGCTGCACTTGAGAATCCGTGAATACATTTTTAAAAAAGCCTTCAGGTCTAAGACAACCTTAATTCGTCATTGAATTGCAGCAGTTTTCAGAATTAGTGTGTCGGCTGATTGGAAGTGATGGACACAGACTTGGTTAAAATCCCGTATCAATGTGCTAAGCTTTCATTTTCACTGATTCACTGACAGAGACTCTGCTGTTTCAGAGACAGAAAGAGAGACTGAGCGCTCTAGTTCCCAAAAACATGGAGGCGACTTCGTTTTGACAAAGTGTGTGAGAGGGAAAAGCAGGCTGTTTTTGGTGTTCCTGCAAGTGGTGTTGAGTGTGATGCCGGGGTGGTTTAACACATGTGGTTCCACTATCTTGCACACAGGGTTATTTTCAGGCAGTGAGAGCAGCACAGACTCAGTAACAGGAACCTCGAGCAGGCTCCCTGCATTTACACTCTGCAGAGCTAACACAGTTGTTTAGTGGCTTCTTACCTGCCAACAACATCTGCCGGAATAGCTCAATTATTTCTCCTTTCTATACCAGCCATTGCTCTTTGCGCTAGTATGTTCTGCAGTATCTGTTTCTTTATCTGTATCCACAGATTAGATATGCTTTTATTCATTTCTTTTACTTCTTTATTTGTCTGCTGTGTGATCTGTCAGTTGCTTCCCAAAACGAGTGAATCAGGATGTGTGACCATGATAAACACGATATCAAGTAAAAGCCTTGTTCCTACTCCCATTTCAGTCACAACTTCCCCAAATCCATGAGAAGTGAGTGGCAGCCGGTATTCATGCTTCCCCTCTGTCTGTTTCAGCCGGCTGATAACCTCCTATCTGTGCTGCTGATGTATGACATGCTCAGGAACTGACAACCATAGATGACCATAATAGTTTATTGGTGATTGTTTGGATCAACCTGAAATAATGACTATACATGCATACGCACAGCCAAGGACAATGCAAAGTGCACAGATTCATTACTTGAGTCCAAGTATACACACTTCTGGTCAAGTATAACTCAAATACAACTAATACTAGAGTGAAAGTATTGCTCTACTTAAATAAAGTACGAACTTTCTGGCTGTATTTTTTCCTCCTGAGAGCTTTGTAGTAGCTTTACAGTAGTAGGTTTACAGCTTACAAAAATTCTGAGTGATGGTTTTTGGACCCCAAAATACCCAGCAACAGAGAACAGAGCAGGACATTTTGGTAAATTTTACACATTAGGAGTTTCTAAGGAGAGTCACATAGTTGTGATATCATGTATTGGGCAAATCTTATGAAGCCACCCAGAGCAGCCCACTAACTTATCCTGGGATAACGATAACACTCCTTTACCTTTTGGGGTTGCAGTTGGGTAAAATAAAAATGCCTGAAAAAGATCAATTAGGCCTGAGATGAAAGCCCAGTATTTGTTTGATTGTTTTCTTTCTGAGTAACAATTTTAAAAAGTCAAGAAAATTTCTGAATAAGTGATATGAAAAAGAAAAGACAAAAGACAAAAGACAAAAAATTGACCAAATACGCTGAGGAAATGCCTTTTTTCTTTTTTTCTTTTTTTTTTTTTTGGTTTTAAAAGAGGTCAACCTCAACTGGTATAGACTGAGGAAAAGGAAATAGAACCAGGTTTGATCAAACAGGCTTTGTATACTCTGACTCTGTTTGACAGGGTTGTAGACCAAGAGCGTGCTTTTGAAAGACCATAACATCCTGGAACGATAAATACACAGGGGAGCACACTGCTGCAGTTATTGGGACTACCACCTCACAGATAGCTGGTTTGAGGTTTGAATCTCAGCAGGGGCCTTCCTGTAAGATCTAAGTCCTGGTTCTTACCCCTGTGGGAGAGATAATCTATTTGAATCTTCCAGAATCCTAAAACCCTGCAAAGTACCAAAGCAAAACAGCTCTGCTATGGGGCAGTAAGCACTGTATCCTCATCTCTGGCTCTGAGCTCAAATCCAGGCAGGGGCTATTTATTACAACTGCAGCCATAAATATGCTTTTCAACCATTGCAGTGTGATAGGGGATTGATAAACTTTAAGTGGCCTCTTCGCGGTAATGAGCATTGACACTACCACATGTTGAGCAGGTTCTGGTTTCAAGCCCTGGCAGTGACCCTTTTTTAGGGGGGTGTTGGGATGGTTACAAATTCAACCCTCAGCCTCTCCTGGTTCATTTTCATTTTTGTGTGCTCTTACATTAGGAAATGGATGGCATATGTAAATGGGCAGCAATACTTATCCCAGCTCTAAAATACCATCATTACAGGTGTACAAAAAGCTTTAGGAAGTAAAGTAGCATTTTGGCCAGTGGTGGGGTCTGCTTTGAGAGAAACTGGTCTTGGTTTGAATCCCAATCAGGGACTTTCCATGTGAGGTGGACATAAAGTGGTTTCCCCACAACGCAATCTGCTTTTGAGCAACAATACTGTTGAAATGAGAGGACCTAAATAAGATGACTCTCGCTGTAGTTATTTGAATAAAGGTACTCTGAAAAAAAAGAAAATATTGCTCTGACATGTAATCTTACATGTGATTGAATTGAACAGGCATGAGGTGTGGTCATTGATGCTCAGGTGGGGAAATGTCACCCTTCTGTCATATCAACCTGTACCATTACAAACAATTCTATTTTTATTGATTTGTTTTTAATATTGTGTTTGTTTATATTCCTGATATTACTGGTTTAAGTATGAGTTAGTGTTGTCATGATTATACTGCACTCCTGTACACGACTTTGGTGAACTGGGGTCGTTCTTAAATGTGCTTTAGAAATACACTTCGACTTCAAATCCCTGATGCGAATGACATTGTCTCCGTGTGACATGCAGGTACCATGAAACCAGCAACACAAACCACAAACCAAACAAGCAAAAACGACATAACCACAGCTCACTGAATGGTGATTAGATTGGAGAAAAGAAAAGAAAATTGAATCCACTGATGGCTGTGCAGAAGTTGACATTTCATGAAAATATTAAGTATGAGATCTGTCTTTCAAAAGTCATAAGCCCTCCTTTTAAAAGCCATAAGTTATTCCTTTCCCAAATGATCATGGTAGATGTCTGCCTTATTTTATCACAAAAATAAGAGAGAGAGAGAGAGAGAGAGAGAGAGAGAGAGCAGCCAACAAACTACACAGATGAGCAGATTGTTTGTCACAACACAGCAAACTTAAAAAAAACAGTGTTGGGTAAGGATGGATGATAAGTTAAAGCGACTCTAACCAAAAAAAGCAATCACAAATATCTCTGACCTTATCCTATGCTGCTGATTCTTTTTTTCTTTCATTAGTTACACCCTGCTCTTATGGGAAATGCTCTGCCTGTCCTCTTGTTGGTTGTCAGTGAAAAGGACCAGAAAAAAAAGTTTCAGTTACAGGCTGTTTTACAATTCCTTTCCTGTGCTTCCCTTTCTGTCACTTCTCCATAATTCTTGGTATTTCAGTTAGACAGGCCCTGTTTCTAAAACTTCCCCTTTTCCATAGATTCCTATATTTCATGATTTCCTCCTCTTCCTCTTCACTTGAACAAACAGAGGTAGAGGCATGGGGAAATCAGACTGCCACCATGACATGCAAACCACAGGCTGGTGGTAGCTGTGGGACTGAAATGGCCAGTCAGTTCTCTTAAATGTTTCTAAAGACCTCTAGTGGGAAAAGAAGGACCTGGTGGCACAACACAGAGGTTACTTCTGTTTTTGTGATTGCTCTGTGAACACCACACATCAAACTTTGAAACTGTTCAACCAATGAACAGACTGAGTTTGACTTCTCTCTGAAAAGCTCCAAATGACAGGAAGTCAACAGATGAACTCTCCTCGAAAGGATTCAAGACCGAATTGGAGCAGGTCTTGCGTGTGCTCCTCAGAGTTAATCGTACTCCATTGCTCTGATAGACACCGCTGCCGTCCCTAGTTTCACACAGCTTCCTGTGTCTCTGTTTCCTGTTTATCTTGCTGTCATTTGTTTCACCAAAGTGTGATGGTGTGAGATGATGTGTGTTGCTTCATATCTTTGCTGACATCTTCAAGCAGAAGACATGCTATCCACCTGTCCGTAAGACTGAATGTGAATATTGTAAGGAGTGCACAGTTTACATGAGCTGGCTGTGAGCTGATCTAATGCTATGTTTACATCTAGAATAAAAGTAAGTCTTGGCAATTTTGATGAAGCAATTGAGGTAACCTGCAAATGTTGTATTATGCACCACAGGAAGCTGTCGATGCTTTAGTCATGTTACGGTGCAGCTGCAGCAAAACAAAAGAGTATTTAGTCTAATTATGATTAGCTGAATTAAGAAACAGTCAAAATCTTTGGACCATAAAAATACAAAAATAAAGAAGAATGAAGGACGGAGCAAAGCCTAGGTTTTGTGATAAGAAGACATTGAAAACAAAGAAAGAGACAGCCTTACAACATTTTTTCTGCATGTTTCTTTTTAGATTGCACTGTGCAAGCTAGTCAACATTTCAGGAGCAGCAGCATGCATCAGTTAAAGTAGACTGGAATTAGCACAGTAGTAAAATTTCCTTCCAGAGGATGACTTCTATCGTTGACATACTCAGAACAGTTTTACATTTGAAAAATACTTTTGTTACCAGACAAATAACAGAGCTGCAGGGGGGTTTTAGGGTTAGTAATGCAGGGAAAAATTAAGATGAGTTTTTTTTTTTTTTATCATGAAGAAATGTTGAGCATAAAGTTCAAATTAGAAAAAAGGGAGGGTTTGGAAACTGTTTCCAGGTCAAAGCTGCTGCTGTGTATCATGTTTGTTCAATATGCTGCAGCCTATTCAATAGATAATGATTAAAGAGGTGGCTCAAATCAGTCATTTTACTGACACTAAATGACTGAAGGCAAAATCTTGATCAAACCATGAAGTTTGCATTAAGCTATAGGTTTATCTGTGAACTTAGGCTTAAGTTACTGATGTATCACACACACACTGATAAGAGGGATGTTTGCAGTCATGACAGTCCAGACATTCAAACAAAGTTATAAACAGTCACAGTGACATTCACAGTTAAAGTGTAAATGATTACAGGTCACAGCAGACTGTCAAGAGGGAGATATTCTCAGTTTGCAAACTGGCTAATCTACAGAATCAGTAAGGATTTTATAGATTAGATTAAATAAGGATAAGAAGACAAAACCTTAATAAGCTCACTAAGTGACAGCTGAGTTAGTGTCATGTACTCATATACACCTTGACGGTGTGAGATAACAGACTATGCAAGTGTATAGGTGACCTGTTGCCTTTCTACATGCGTGTTCTGATGTTTTTTCCACATGTGAAGTGACCAAACCGAACTGGGGAGAGCAGAGATTTGCTTACAGTAGTGTTTCAACCTGGATGCAGCACCATGATGTTTTGTTTGATCCTTGAATTTAGATTTCTGTTTTCCCCAACATTTTGACCATAATCAAAATGATTTCACTTTATTCTCAGAAGTACAAGTTTATCCCTAACATTTTGACATTGTCCTTAGAATGCAGAAAATCCTGCAAATCCTCCTCCTCCTCTTTTTTCCCCCTCATCCTTGGCCCCAATACAGAACCACTTACATTAAGCTTAAATTGCAAGAGGAGCCCAAAGTCCCCGGTAATGGGCACCAGAGGCCCCTCACAGTCTCCCCTCGTTGTTGTTTGATTGTATTTATTTGTGTGTGTGTAGATCCATCTGCTAGTGGGGGAAAGCCGGTTTAGAACTTAGAAAATCCTTTTTGAAATGACCAAACACATCCTACAAACATTCACGGCTTAAGCCAGCACAGACAAAAAGTCTCCTCAGATCAGTGCACTTGAAGCCCTCAAGATGAACAAGAGCAGCTCTGTGTGGTCTCATGTTTCACTTTCACAGTCTTAAGTTCATATAACATCATAAAAAAAAAAAAAAAAAAACATGCTCGTTTTCTAAACCGTGGCCCCCCTTGCCCTCTTTTCCAGCGTGTAACATTAAAGTTGAGGCTCGCAGTGATGAGGAGAATGGGCTGGCCTGTGACATGAATGGCATGGAGGAGGAGGAGTGTGCGGAAGACTTGCGCGTGATCGATGCCTCGGGGGCCAAGGTGAATGGCTCACAGCCGAGCCCTGATGCCAAAGCCTTCACTGCTGCTGGTGGTATCCGGCTGCCCAACGGGAAGCTCAAGTGCGATATCTGTGGGATAGTTTGCATTGGCCCCAATGTGTTGATGGTGCACAAGCGAAGCCACACTGGTAAGCTGCCTGAACACTTCTTACCCTTCCTTTGCACCCATGTTCATAGTCAGTATGAGGATGAAAAAAGGAGCAGCCCATTGTCTTCTATGCCCCCCCCCCCCCAACTTTTGGACTCTAGCCTTTTAATGGCAAAATCAGGTGTTGATTGGCATTAATATTATTATCAGTATCATAGGGTCTGCAACCGCAGCGCTGCGTCTTCTTTGCCTGCACACAAACATTAGTGATAGAGTCTCAGAAATTAACTTTAAAGCCTGCTCTTCTGTTTGCAGTCAACCTTAAGCTCAGTTGTTGTTGTAAAGTCATCCTTGCGCCTGGCTGTATGTAGACGCTCCTGTGGTGCGTGAAATAGGCTTTAAGCGTATCATTCATTATTGTTCATCTTAAAAAAAAGGGATTATCACATGACAAGCAACAGTAACTGATCAAATTATTGTGTGAGAAAGTAGCATAGATGAAGTAGTGAAAAAAAGGGATATCAGCTGCAATTAAATTGGATCTCTATGAAATGACAATTATCTAGCTATTAAAAGTTCTTCAAGTTTCAAAATTGATATTCTATTGTGTGAAGCCAAACCAGTGGTGGGGAACATTTTTGAAAAAGGCACTTAACTGTCAAGCTTTAGAAACTAATGAAACTCAAAGTGGAAGAAAGGAACACTAGACTAATGTAAATGCAAAAGAAAGTACAATAAAAGATATAATGAAGTGCCTCCTATTTAAATAGAAAATATTCTCTGCTGAGTCTTTGCTCTTGAAATGCATTTTTAATGAATTTCCTTTTTTATATATTTTTGCTGCTTCACTGGTGACTCTTATTTTATGGGGGGGCCTTTGAAAAAAAAAAGCCATATTAAAACGTTCTCAGAGAATGCCACAACACTCACAGAGGCTGGATATTGGTTTATTCCAGAGGCGCTGATCAGGAAGACTGGCTCTCAACACAAAGTGTTTCCTTCGCTTTATTCAAATGAGGCTGAATTTGCATTGTGATGTGCCGCTCTTATTTTAGAGACGAAGTAGAGGAAAAAAATGAGATTTTCAGATCAAATTGACCTAGGCAATGGTGCATTACAGAACTGGCAGGCTGAGTCTGAAAGGCTCTTGTTCGATCAGAGTGCCGGTAGTTGGTGGGGCAGGGGGAGCATGGAGAGATGGAGTGTCACTCTGCCGTGAATCCCTCCCACAGACTGCTGTAGATGCTTCTCTGCCGGGCGGCACTCCATCATTTGACTTGTTCCAGCGCCTCGGAGTCTTTAGTGCAGTGACCCTGTATTCCCACCTCAACAGCACACACGATGTTCATCCACATAAAAAGATTTGACATTGTCAGTGGAGGGAGCTAAAGAAAAGAGGAGTGTATCAAGATTACATAAAGAATATCTTAAACTCTGTGTTGGGTCCATGAAACACATCAAACTGGGTGCCAGTAAAACTAAAAGGTCTCTCTCTTTTGTTTTATTCTTTGTTTTTGGCTTTCTCTGTACGTTTCTCTTCCTCTTATCAGTAATTTGAACCCTCTGTGCTTTTTTCCTCAGGAGAACGTCCTTTCCAATGCAGCCAGTGTGGTGCCTCCTTCACCCAGAAGGGTAACCTGCTACGTCACATCAAGCTGCATTCAGGAGAGAAACCCTTTAAGTGTCACCTGTGCAGCTACGCCTGTCGCAGAAGAGATGCCCTCACCGGACATTTACGCACACACTCGGGTCAGTACGCAGAAGTCTCTCCCTCTAAAACCTGCGGCACTGGTGGTCATTTATGTGCATGTCACAAAGAGCATGCACTGTGGCACAAAGTGTGGAGATGCACTCAGAGCTGCAGAAGGGGAAGTTGACTGGGTGTAGATGTGGTGTCACTTCTTTTTGCAAGTGCTTTGCAGAAGCATGTGTTACTGAAATTCTTGGGTCAATATGTATACAAAACCAGCTCTGGACTCATTAAAACAGGAAGAAACAGCAAAGGGGTAACCCATATAATTTTCACCCACTCGTTACAGTGTTTAAAGGTTTGTTGCAAACATCGGCGTTTGGCGACCTTTGCTAAGAGGATGAGAACTGAACAATCTCAGATCGTTTTCACTGTCTCCTCTGTCATTCAAGTGTTTGTGTCTGTCCTTTAGTATTGAGGTTTGTGATAAATGTCGCTCAAATTTGAATTTAAATGGATTCATCAGAGACTTTTTTGAGCTGCGGGTCACTATACATGTCTGGCCCCGTCCCCGTCATACATGATACAATCTCAAGCAGCAGTCCCACAACAATCCTCTATCTGCAGACGTTCAAATGTCATACTTTTGGAAGCTGTTTGTGGGAGGTGCCAAAACAGATGTCACTTTGTCATTTGTCATCTGATACCTCTGTAGATACCATAGACTGTATTGATACTCAATACATTCTATGGTGGATATACTGAGTTGCTATTTGTCGACCACATCAGTGTCAATTTAACAAGTGACAACCTAATTAAAGCATAGCCTGATGGCATCATCCAGGATAGATCAAGTTGAGACTCAATTTCCCATCTTGAAAAACGGATCTCAAATCCTGCTATAACAACATTTTGGGTAAGGATGATATGATTTATTGTATTTTGATTATTACTTTTGGATTAGACTGATTCAAGTTCAGCTTAGCCTGAGCTTAAATCAGTCTATAAAAATACTAATTTCTTTCAAATAGTTGTCAGTAGTCTTTATTCATAGTAAATACTTTCCTGTATCAAATCCTCTAGTTCGTAAATTTATAGAGGAACACAAAGGAAGATGTGTCTCAGTTTTTGGTCTAACTATAAAACAGTCTCAGTGATAAGTTTAAACTTTTTTGAGGTATCAAAAAATTATTAAAATGCAAAAATAATAATAATAATAATAATAATAATAATAATAATAATAATAATAATAATAATAATAATAATAATAATAATAATAATAACTAAGTATTAAGGAATATAACAGAGTGATAATTGTCTTTAGTTCTTGTCTCTTTGTAATGCGAATGATGAGGTGTATTGTAGAGGAGAGACAGACAGAAGCCCTAAGCTCCAGCTTGTTCCTGTTTGGGTCACTGATAATGTGAATTTTATTCTGTGGAATTGGCCAGTGAAAACATGTTCAGTGATGTCATTAAGTTGAATATTTATATGAATTATAGAATCTTGTTCCTTTTCGACATATGGCGAGAATAAAAAATATTCATGTTAAAGTCACTCTCAGAGCTGTGGATAAGGTGACATGAAGGTCAAATCAAAAGAAAGCCACATATTAAGTGTGCCGTCATGTGAAGCTCTCTAGTGTCCCGCTCTCTCACCCAGGTTCTCACACATATTATATTTTGCAGTTGGAAAACCACATAAGTGTGCCTACTGTGGACGAAGCTACAAGCAGCGCAGCTCTCTAGAGGAGCACAAAGAGCGATGCCACAACTACCTCCAGTGCATGGGGCTGCAGAGCAGCATCTACACAGGTTGGTGCATTTATTATTCACTTCACTGTCACCCACATAACCTAAGTGCAGAATTTGCCATAAATGCAACAGCTGACAGTGACACTAGTACCTAAAATTGTTACATTATTTTAATCTAAAAAATCTGTGTTTGTTCTAGAACTGTTTAAAATGACTGCATAGATGATTCAGTACATCAGAATTTACAGCTTCATCAAACTTGAAAACTTAGCAGCCATTAAGACAATAACACCCCACAGAATTCTTGCTGGTTTCTACAGACGTCTTCTCTAAGAGTCATTCACAGTGATTTTCAAAAAGTGTATTCATAGTTCGAGTGACTCACAGGCGTCAGAACCGTCCGCTCAGTGCTCTGAAAGAAAAGAAAACACCATCATGTTGTTCGACGTCTCAGTTCATCACTCTAAAGGGGACAAACTCAAACTACTTTGACTCTGAAATCTACCTCTCTGTCTTGCTTTCCAGTAGTTAAGGAAGAAAGCAACCAGAATGAGCAGAGGGAAGACTTAAGCCTGGCGGGATCTGACAGAGCCCTGGTGCTAGACAGATTAGCTAATAATGTAGCTAAACGTAAGAGCACTATGCCACAGAAGTTTGTGGGTAAGGGCTGAAATCTGCTTCCTTTGTGTGCATACAATGTCAATACTTTTGCCAGGAGATTATTGTAAATGCTGCACCTATCAATGAATGTTGCATAGGTGACGCTTGCTGTGAGTTTTGTAGCAACTGCATTTTCTTTGCCAGCCTCGCTCACCTGAATGCATGCAGTGTAAAAGAAAAAAGAAAGTTATTTCAAACCTGAAGAGGAACAGAGCCTCTAATTCATTTAGTCACAATGAGAGAAGTTTGTTTGTCATGTTTGCTAAGTGTTTCATCCTGTTTAGTTTGACATTTAGATCATAGATATTGTCTTTACAAAAAGATGAAGTGAGTTTAAAAGGCTGAGAGGACACCAGCTTCAGATTAGACAGATCTTGAAATGGAAAAAACAGACAGTCATTCTCAAACTAAGCTAGAGAGTCAGCTAAGAAAAAGAAGGTGATGAAATCACTGAATGTAAAGAGCCTGACATGTAATGCTCACGTGGCTCCCCTGTGTCTCCAGGTTCCTCAGGTGACAAACGCCTGTCAGACCTAACCTATGATGTAGGAGTAGGTGAGATGATGCAGCCTCATGTCATGGACCAGGCGATCAACAGCGCCATCAACTATCTTGGAGCCGAGGCTCTTCGTCCTCTGATCCAGACCTCTCCGGCCTCCTCCTCTGATGTGGGCCTCAGCTCCATGTACCCACTCCACAAACCTGCACCTGACGGTAATGCGGGGTCGGGCCTGTCTGCCAAAGACAGTGCAGCAGAGAACCTGCTGCTGCTTTCCAACTCCAAGTCTGCCTCCAGCGAAAAGGATGGCTCCCCCAGCCACAGTGGCCAGGATTCCACAGACACCGAGAGCAACAATGAGGATCGTACTGGCGGGGCAGCCCCCGGCCTCATCTATCTCACCAACCACATCACCTCAAGGAATGGCGTCCTCCCTCTGGTCAAGGAGGAGCAGCAGAGGCAGTACGAGGCCATCCGGGCCAACATGGAAATGGCCTCCGAAGGCTTCAAGGTGGTAACAGCAGACGGAGAACAGGTGAGGGCGTACAGGTGTGAACACTGTCGCGTTCTGTTCCTGGACCACGTCATGTACACCATTCACATGGGCTGCCATGGCTTCAGAGACCCCTTTGAGTGCAACCTATGTGGTCATCGGAGCCAGGACCGGTACGAGTTCTCCTCTCACATGACCCGAGGAGAGCATCGCTGACGCTCACAGCTGTACATACAGAAAACACGGCAAACCTGAAATACAAGGATAGACCTTCAAAGATGAACACACACTGTTAATGTCTGAAAGTCATTTTATTCAGAGCATGCTCAGTAGAAAAACAGATAAATGTAGACCACAGATACTGAAAAATCTCATCTTTTCTTATTCCAAATCCCATTTACTAAACCTGACTGGAGAGTCTATCAAATATATGAATATCTATCAATTCTTTCTCTTGGAAAACTGGACTGATACATTTTTCTTTTCTATATGAATTATAGAAATATTTCCATGTAACATCTTAAAATCTCTGTATTGACGTAGTGAAAGAAATGTCAACAAGAGTTGTTTATAGTGCAGGAAACCTGTTTTATTTTCAGTATTAAATACAATCATGTAAGAATTAACAATCAATGTACATACTGTAAGCCTTCATTCACGATCAAAACGTCAACCTGTACTTTATTTCTGGCAATCTACATATTATTTATATCATATTTACACAGCTGTCTGTTTTTGTATTTATTAAAGTGTTTGGTGTTTGTGGGTAGAGTAGTTGATAATAAAAACGGCATATTTTTCTGTCCAGTTGTTCTTAACGTATTTGAAGTGAAAACATGAACAAGACTACTGCCGTGGGCTTTTGTTCTTTTCTTTGTTTTGTTTGTTCGTTTGAATGGGAAGAAATGTGATCCTGAACATTTACGTTTTATACCTGATGTTATTTCACTTACATAATGAAAGAGTTTTTGGGGTTGGAAGGAGCTTTATGCCTGCAAAAAATCAATAAAGGATATTTTCTATATGCACAAAAATGGGAAGTGTTTTAAGTTTGTTGAATCAAATAAAAAGGAGCGAATTTTACAAAAGAGGGCATTGTTTTATTTGAGATGTTTGCTGCTTATAGCCAGAAAGGATCACCTTCATAATCACACTGATCTGTCACAGCAAATGCTTATTGACAGGGATCCTGCTTTCTTGTGTTTTGCAGGATTATACAGTATTTACCTCTCGTCCAAGATGCATCCACATAAAGCTGTCAGAAGTGCCCCTCAAATTAGAGCAAGGCTCAAAAAGTAAATTCTGTAGTAAAAGCACTTTTTCCTTAACAGTTGAACCTCATTATATATAAATAAGGAGATTTCATTTCACCCTCTCAAACAATCTAAGATCATTTAGTTCAGATGTCATTCAAGATGCTGCTCCGCTCAGCTGTGAAGAAAGAGCCAGTGAATGACTGGCACCTGAGTGAAAAATAACAATAACACATAAAAATTTAGAGTTAAGAGTTCATAATAAATCTACATTTCTCCATGTGCTGCACGGCTCACTAAGAGGGGCTTCAAAAAAAAACAAAAAACAGACTTGATGTTTCCCATTTATTTTATTCTCATCTTCAGAGTTTGATTTAGATTTTTAAAGCATAATGCTAAACTAAAATATTCTTCATAATATCCTATAATTTATTTGACAAGCATCAGAGATATTTTACACATGAGTCAGGTATTTGTCTACGCAGAGATCTTTGTGTTAAAGTGAAGGAATTATTCAGTGCACACAATAATAAAGACTGTTTATGAGCATGAAGAAACTCCTTGGACGCACTCAGACCGGCATCACTGACTTGTGTCATGCTCAGGACCTGAAGAGTCCCCCCAGTCCTCTGAGGAGCAGCAGAAGAGAGCTAGGACAGGACGGATGAGGCACTAGAGCAGAAGGCAGGGGCCGGGGCTCTGAGGGCCGGGCCTGTCTGCAGAGGCTCAGGCGAGGCCTGCAGAAGAGCTCGTCGGCGTTGTGCTGCAGTGGCCTCTTCCAGATGGCCGCTGTGTGAATTAGCAGAAATGGGAAGCAGCTGTGGCCAGAGCCGAGTCCCCCCACACTTGAATGGAACCCAACAAGGGAGGGAGGGCATTTGCATGAGAGGGCCAACAGCTATGGCCTTGCCAGAATCCCAAATCTCACTTCTCCTTTCAGCCAGCTGACAGAAACACTTCTTTGAGAATTAGACTAAACCACTTCCAGTGGTGCTGTTTACAGGATCCAACAACAAGTTTTCCTGTACACATTTGTGTCAGAAATAGAAAACCAGACAAATACTGCAGACTTGGGGAAATGGGTCACTATTTGAAGAATCCTTTCTTAATTATCTGAGGCTATGGGCACCATGAACGCATGATAAAATATTACACTAGATGCACAAACAGATGTATACTACATTAAGAGAGGACAAAATGAGACAATCTGTATCTGAACTTCTGTGTATCAAGTCCAAGGTCTTTACTCTGTGGTTCAAATATACTAAATTAATATTCTTAAATACAATATTTTAAGGTTTGCATGAGTCTTTTTTATACTCTACATTAGACTCTACATTCCCTCCATAAAAATTCAGTAGATCTTTATAAACATCTTCTGTTTATTCTATTTTATTCTATTTTTATTTTTTAATATTTTATTCTATTTTTATTTTTTAATATTTTATTTCATATTTTATTCTATTTTTTGCTACTCCACTTTCTTAGGAAAACACCACTCCGAGCTGTTTTAATTTTGTTGTATGCCTCATACAAAGACAATAAAAAGTCTGATTCTGAGTCTGAGTGAGTCCTGAAACATTTCCTACCTAGAGAAAATTGCAGGCAAAAAGTGGAACTGTGAGAACATCTGGGACTTGTGGATAAGCTGCTCAGCCATGATGTCTTTTTATTTATTTATTCTGTCTGTTAAACAGCCAGATACCTCCAATGGTGGAGATACAAGTGTCTTCATGTCCTGCTGCTTTTTATTACGAATAGGTTGGTTTCCTGATTGGAGCTGAATCAGGACTTCCATATCTTGTTTTCTTTGTTGATGGATTATGTGGACAGGGGTCACTCCAAGCACATTTTAATGTCTGGTTTTCTTTTTCTTGTGTGTGAGTCATTGTGGCTCATTTTGTAATTGTGAAGCCAAACAAAATTTTCCACATTTATAAAGTTCATTTAACCTCCCGAGGTGTTTTGATTTGAACAGTTTTGTGAATTATTTACCTAATATGTTCCAAAATTCAGTGAAAGCAAAAGTACCATTTCATGTTCTTCCCTCTGATTTACTCCATTCATAATCCGCCAAATCCCTCAGACTCATTTCAGGATTTACTAGCAAACCCTGAACAAAAATTCCCAAATGCACAGTGGCTGTTTAAATGTTTACATACTAACAAGGATTAGAGCCGCTGATATTTTTAAGAGGTCTGACTTCTTTTCTCTGAATTGTGAGTTGAACTTTTTCATTTCAGCGGCCTTGAACCCTCTACATTCCTGTTTCAGCAGTCTGAGAAAGCATTGTTGTTTATCACTGAAGAGATCTTTTTCTAAAATGAAGCAGATACTGATGGATGCCCAGTAATTCTTCACTTCTTGAGGTCTAAACCTCAGTGGAGGTCACAATGTAGTTTCATCCAAGTGTTACATAAAAGTACTTCAAAAAAAATTCATGAAAATGGATTTTTTTTTCAGCTACGTATTTTTTAGCTGTGCCAGTGATATAATGTATTTCAGAGCTGACTCAGTCTGGTGGCTGCAGGTGATGCTGTCATTGTATTAACACACACAGTCTGTGTTGCAGCCAAATGGGGTTGGGGCCACGAGGACCTGAGACATAGAGTTACAGAGTCGTGGTTGAGGGTAGTGGCTCAAAAAGGTTTTGAACCACTGTCGAAGGTCCCTGATGAGCCTAGCACTCGTGATTTCTTACTGACGGCTCTACTCAGAAGCTTATTTTTGAAGGATTTTGCTGAAAAATAAATCTTAATTTCACTTCAATCAAATTTCATTTATACAGTGCCAAATCACAACAGTCGTTATCCCAAGACGCTTTCCAAATAAAGAGCAGGTTTAGATCGCACTCATTCACTTAGTTATTTAATTGTGTTGCAGAGGAGTTGTGATCCTAATGCTTTGCCACTGTCTCTTGTTTTTTTTTTTTGCTGGGAGCACCATAAACATTACTTACAAAATAAATCACTTCAGAATAAATCCCTCACTGGTGACACATGACTGTATTCCAAATTTGATCTGCAGCCATAAATGCAGGTCAAAGCCTTTAATTCTGCTGTCAATAAACACAAACTCTGTCATGTGTGTTTGAGAGCAGAAAGCCTCCGATGCGACCACTGCTACATGCTCACACCATATGGCACCACTTTCAGTCCGTACTCTATGGATCCTGCCAGCACCAGAGGAATTCTGTGCATCTGCTCTGGTCCAGCTGTGTGGAGTCCGTGTGTTTGGTGACACCCTAGGGGGTGTTGTGTGACTACTTCCTCCGCTGGCTAATTCAACAAAGTTTCAATACAGTGGCCAACCACACACATCTGAAATATTTATCAGGGACTTGACAAAAAGATAAAATATAAATGAGGTTTTTTTTCATGGTCTTCCAGATTTTGAAAGATTGTTTCGTTAAATTTACATGAGAATTTCAATTCATGTGTGCACAATCTGTAATAGTCCTCTTTAACGGGACAGTGTGCGTATAAGCAGGAAGGCACTCAACTAGAAACACACTAATAAATGTTTCTCCCAAATTCTGAATAAATTATAGATACATTTACTCCAATGTTAGATTTAAGATCAATATTATTGATCTTCTTTATAGTTGATAAAAGAGGTGTGTTGCTATAGTGAAGGTTTTCATTTAGAGTAGGCTACACTGCTGCATTAACAACTGAAAAAAGACGGCAAAAGCTCATTTTTAACATGTGGCCTGAGATGCTAGTCATGAAAAATACAGCAAGAACATTTATGAATGAGAAATCATGTGATTAAATCAGGTGATAAACTTGTTTTCCTTTTTCGTTTTTATGACAGAGACAGATGTGTAGTCAGTTGCAAATTTTTATTCAATCAGAAAAAAACTAAAATGTTTAAATTGCATTTAAAAAAAACCTCAAAACTATAAGGAACTATAAGGTCTTATTGACTCTATCTGATCCACAGGGAACTATTGCTTAGTATGCTGATGGTTTTTCAAACATGACAAAAATTATAGTTATTGCTGAAAAATCTAAATGCAGGTCACTGCTTTCTCTGAAACACGGATCTCTGCTGCACAAAACATCCTGCTGCTTTCCACAAACCTGCAAAACACCTGTGAGATGAGCAGCTAAATAAAACAGTCAGTGCATGAATAAACTCCTGAAACATTTCTACAGCTGGGTACAGTCTGAATGACTCCTCACATCTTTTTATTATTGCAAGGTCAACTAGAAATAACGAAATTTTAGACATTTTAAAAACAATTTTCACATGCTAATCAAGTGTAGCTATGACTGTTGAAGAGCTGTTCCTACATTTCCACTAACACCGTTTGCTTTTTGTGCAGCAAAGAAAGTAATCATAACTCAGTCCTAAATAAAATAACATACATTTGAAGACAGAGGACAGTAAGGATATGAGCCCAGTTTAACGTCCACATCCAAAAGTCTTGTTCCACTCTTCATACAACTCCAAATCTTTTGCTGAGACGCTGGGTCTGACTGTCCTCAGAGCCTCCTGGAAGTCATTGTAGAGGATTGGTCGCACCTCATCTGCAGTTATAGTTGCAATGTCACTGAGCTGGATGCTGCGGATTGGCCCCAGTGCTGCTTCTTTACATAGATGAGTCATATCAGCTCCAGAGAAGCCCTCTGTAGCTCCTACCACTCTTTCCAGCTCTGACTCTCCAAGCTGGTTCTTCTCTCGGGCCATGAGGTTAGTTACTATCTGCCATCGGGCAGCAGCTTCAGGCAGTGGGATGTATAACCTCTTTGCCAGGCGTCGGCGTGCAGCCTCATCAATCTCTTGAGGCCGGTTGGTGGCGCCCACCACCAGAATACGGTCCTCAGCGGCTGTGGCTGCCCCATCGAGCTGGACCAGGAACTCTGTTTTTATTCTACGTGAGGAGTCATGCTCCCCATCCGTCCTCTGTGACAACAGTGAGTCAATTTCATCAATGAAAATGACAGCAGGCTGATGGCAACGGGCGATAGCAAACAGGGCTCTCACCATCTTTTCTCCTTCCCCCACCCACTTGGAAGTGAGTGATGAAGCACTGATGCTAAAAAAGGTGGCACCTGACTGACAGGCAATGCACTTGCCTATCAGAGTTTTTCCAGTCCCTGGTGGTCCAAACAACAGGATGCCTTTAGGTGGACCTCGAAGGCCAGTAAAGATGTCAGGTCTCAGCATTGGCCAAACTACGATCTCCTTTATAGTGGTTTTGGCAAACTCCAGGCCTGCTATGTCATCCCAGGCAACAGGGGGCCCATGGTCCATGATCTCACTCATGATCAGCTCAACTATCTTTGGCTCAAAGTTTTTCAGACGCTCATCCATGATCTGAGGCTCCTCATGGGAGTCCCGGCTCACCCCTCCCTCTTCTTCCCCTTGTCGAGGCATAGGAGACACAAATTTAGAAAACGTTCCTCGGGGTCTGTTAGCACCCAGAGATTTCTTTACAGCTGCTGACATGCCAGGAGCCTGACCTCTCTGGGGCTGATGGGAATGCTTTTTCTGCTGATCAACAATAAACTGCTCACGAGCTGTTTTGAAATTGCTTCCACCTCGCTGGTCAGTACCTGCTTGACCTCCATGTTGCCCCTTGCCACCATTTCCAGCTTCTGGGTTGTAGAAGTTCTTTCGTTTAGTTGGGTTGGGGTTGGAGAAAACAGAGGATTGATAGTTTTGTGTGCTACTTGCAGGACCTGGGTTTACCTGTGAAGGAACTGAAGAATGACTGAACACTGGCTGAGGTCTAGCTGGAGGTCGGGGGAATGAATTTGGATTACCTGGGATGTTCTCAGAGCCTCTTGGCCTCTCTGATATAAAAGTAGTGGTGGGGTAACTGGCTGTATTGTTAACCTCTACTTTTCTAGGCTGCAGTGGGACTGTAGGTTTGAATATAGAAGGCTCTGACCTGGCTGTCGGAAAAGGAGCGGACAAAAGATTACCTATGCTCTCTTGCCCCACACATATGTTTACATCTCCTGGTGCCACCTGGGAGCCTCCCCGACCTCCCACTGTCTGAATCATCTTCTGTATACTGGGCAGCTCCAGGACCCTCTCCATAGTCAGGGATGACTCCCATTTGTCACTGTAGTTCCTCTGACTGCGGGCCAGATGCAGTGCACTCTCTGCATAGTTGTTAAGCCCTTTGTGAGGGTCATCCGAGTCTAGCACTGCGGCGTAGCGCTCCGAGTAGGTCCTGAGCAGGCTGTCCATGCCGGCCTGAGAGAGCTGGGAGCTTGCCCATGCATACTGAATGGAGAGGATGTGGGCCCGGTAGGCATCGGCCGTCTGTTCAGGTGTACAGTTGCCAGATGAAATGTCAAAGGACCTCCTCTGCCATTCGTCCAGGTGTGCACCGCTCATGCCTGGCCTGCTCCAGTCTGGTGAAGGAGAAGGGGCAACATTTATTAAAAATACATGACCTCAGGAAAAGCAAAGACTCATCATCATCCCTGACCACACATAGAAAAAAAATCACATTCTATTACAGTCTGTTAGAGGTTTTTAACACAAGCTAGCACTTTTATTTAAAAAAAGGGTATCTTTTCAAACTTTTTCAAATCAAAAGTCTGAGTCAAATTTAAGTGGTACTGGATAAACAGACCTGGCAAAGGCTTTTTTATTGAAACACCACTATTTTAAGTAGGAAACTCCAAGAAAGTCTGGTCCAAGATTTCTTAAAACTCTGTTTTAAATTTATGATACCAGTTTTACTATACAAATGAGGTTCATTTGGCCTGCTGATGATAAATTTATAAAACGGTCACACCAACATCATGTGACACCCCTCATAAAGTCTGCAGAGGCAAGGTAAAGGAAACTTGTCAGGTACAAACATTTTTACCTTTCTGGCCTTTATAGATTAAATGTTTTATAAATATAATATCTTTTATTTGTGGAAATGCAATAGCAGGCAGTTTCCTTGCTTTTGGGGGTTTAGATTACATTGGACCAGGTCCTGATCCAGAACCACAGGACCTAGGGTCTCATCTCAGATCCGGACTACCTTATCTAAGTGGGTCTGCAGACTTTTTAAAACTCAGTTTCAGATTTGTAGAACTCTTCTATCAGTGTCAGTGCAAGACAGGGTGGGTCGGCTGTCTCTGGTTTTCTGTCTTGACAACACCGGACTGGATCCTGATTCAAAATCACGATAGCTAGACTTGTGAGATCTGTCCCGAGTTACTCTAGAGAGGCTACATGCTCCTAAACACAGTTTCAGATGGGTGCAACATAAGATAGGTAAGAAAAACAACAAATACTTTTTCACTAATCACACAAAAATAACATAAAGGTTTCTCAAACCTGAAACTGTGTGAGTCTTTAGACTACCTACAATACTTTAAGATGGATTTTGGATAAGAACCTGGTCCACTGTAGTCCAGACACAGCAAAAATCCGTGAAAACAACAAATTAAAGACTATTTTATCATTATTTAAACTCTGTTTTGATGAGTCTGTTGAGTTATGTAGATCACCCAGCCCATATCTGACAAGATAAGATCTTGTGGTTTTGGATCAGAACCTTTTCTTCGCAGCCTTAACCATAATAACAAACTGTAAACTTCAGCGTCCTCGCAACAGCAGTCACTTACTAGAGGCGTTGTCGTCTTGCGATATTATGGAAAAGCAGACGAGCGCTGCTCCACGGAGACCAAATATAACACCGTCAACAGAAACTTTGCAGACAACTGTTTACTGTAACCCGCACCATAGTGTTCCCGCCACTTGTTTCTTCCTCAGCAGTTCCGTTTCCTGTTGCGTCCCAATTCATTTTTCAGAACCCTGCCTTCGTCCTCCGGAATCGTTCTCGTCAAGCGTATAAACCAGCTAAAGAAGTCAGAGTTCAACCTGTTTCATTTCACGGGTTAATATTTATATCCGAGGCCTTTCGATAGCTTCAGACCAACCACTTATGTAAAAGGTGGGAACATGTTACATCTATTGGTAGAGGGAGTGTTCCATTATTTTTCAAGGGTAGCGTGGTAACGGTACTATTCAGTGATGTTTCGTTGCTTTATTGGTTTAGACATTACGCGTGTGATTGTTGTTAAGGAAACGACATTAATAACTTTACCTCGAGTTTACTTGAGTCGACTGGTTCGTACAGAATACAATCATTTTATTAAACAAGTCTAGGACGCCATCGTGTGGCCACAAAACGCCAATCTGATAAGTAGATGGTCGCACTGATGCGAGGCACTCTGGGAAATGTAGTACTGATGGTAGTAAAATTTTATCCTCATCCTTTTCCTCAAAGATTTCTAAAAAATCAACAACAAAATGCTTAAAACAGTTTTTTCAAAGTCGTGCCATTTCAATCGAAAGAGCGGAAAAGACATTTAAAAATTAACAATTCCTAGTATCAGGACACGTATGAACTACAACTACCATAATCGTAGAGCTTTTTGTTTATGCTGTCGACAGTGGATGACATCCGCTGCAACGGTTTGGGAAGGCAACGACGCTGGTGGATTATAGGGTTTCTTTGTGCTTTTTCCGTATAGCGAACGAAAATTTTGTTTGGTATTCGGTAGTATTTAATTCATGTCTTTTGGGGAACACTACAAAAGTTTTCTTGACAGCTGTTTATAGTTGTCGCAGTCCGCCGACTATCGCTGAATCGGAGTCGGGATGCAAATTGATCCAGACGGGACCAGCCCCTGGAGCCGGTAGCAGTTGTCAGTCACACCCCTGTCTGGACTTGCTAAAGCACCTGTGTTTATTGGGAGAAAAAAAACATGAGAACGATATCATATCTTTAACCATTCGTGTTCTTTTATTATAGTATAAGAATCAGCGTTAACGCTTTTAAGAGACGTAGCTGAGAGAAAAGTGTAGGCTGTATATGACTGAGTCATCATCATGGCTCGGACAGAGGAGATAACCCTGAACAGCATTTCTGCGGCAGTGTCAACGAGATAGCCTCACATCTAACTGGAAAGCTTAGTTTAAAACACAATCAGTCGTTTTGATCTTACTTCACCTTGTAGCAAGCTGGCATTATGACTTCACCGATGTACACGTTTGTGACGCGTGACGACAACAGCACGATTTATGCCGAAGTTTCCAAAATCCTCATCACGACTGGACAGTGGAAGAAACTCAAAAGAGACAACCCCAGATTCAACCTCATCCTTGGTGAACGGAATAGACTGCCATTTGGACGTCTCGGTAAATGATTTTATTTTTTGTTTCATACAATTGTGACTGCTGACACAAAAGTCCATGTTTGTAGTGTTTGTTTGACACACACTCAGTTGTGTGCATGAACTGCCTGTTCTTACACCTGCTTCAATGGTTTTCTTGTCTTTTTGTCATACAAGTCAATCAGTCAAAGTATTATGACCACCATGCTAACATCATGCAGGCCGCTCTCTTATATCCTCCCTCTCATTGGGTCAGGACCATAAAAATCCTGACCTGAAGAGACATGACCTCCACTACACCTCTGAGGTTATGCTGTGGTATCTAGCACTAAAACTTAAGCAGCAGATCCATTAAGTCCTGGAATTTGGGAAGAGGGGTCATCCATGGATCACACCTAGTTGTCCACAACCTCCCACAGATGCTTGGTTATATTTAAATCTGTAAAATTTTAAAACCAAGTCAGCACTTTAATCTCAGAGTTTACAGTGGGCACAGTTTGCAGATACACAACCCAATGCACAATAAGCAGTGATGAACAGTGTGTTTTGACACCTTTCTGCCAGAACCAGCAGTTTGAGCTCCAGTAGCTCTATTGTCAGACCACAGGGGTCAGCCTTTTCTCTCTACACACATTAGCATGTCTTGGCCGCCCATGACCCCTTCCTTGGTCCACTGGTTTTCTTCCTGAGACCATTTTTGGTAGATACTGACTGAATCCTTGTCATCTAACCACCCATGTTAAAGGTGGCTCACATACTTACTCTTGACCATTTTTTCCTGCTTCCAACACATGAATTTTAAGGACAGTGTTCAGCTGCTTCCTAACATGTCCCGCATATCCCTACTGACCAATGTACCAGGATTATCAATTATGGTGTATCTTTATTAATCAGCAGTGGTCATAAAATATGATTGGTCAATGGAAGGCTCTCATACTGTGCAGATGTGTGTATCTTGAGTCCTTAATAATGTTCCCCCTGGACTTTCTAGGTCATGAGCCTGGATTAGTGCAGCTGGTGAATTACTACAGAGGAGCAGACAAGCTTTGCAGAAAGGCATCCTTGGTCAAGTATGTTAATCTTATTTTTGACATATACTTCTAACATATTAAGCTTTTGTTTGCCTGTCATTCATGTTACTAATGACCTTTTCTGTGACTGAATTGTTTAAAACTACTGATCATTTACCTTTAGGCTTATAAAGACCAGCCCAGAGCTGTCAGACTCTCAGAACTGGTTCCCGGAGTCCTACATTATCTATCCCACCAACCTCAACACTCCTGTTGCTCCAGCTACTAATGGCATTAGTCATCTGAAGAGCAACCCCAAGACGGATGAACGGGAAGTGTTCTTGGCCTCCTATCAGTCTAAAAAGGAAAGTGGGGAAGGCACTGTATGGATCGCAAAGTCTTCTGCTGGAGCTAAAGGTAAAAGTTACTATCCTTTTATCTTGTTTAAATTCAAGATACAAGAGTAATGGAGTTGACTATTTACTTTCAGTAACTTAAACTCAAATCAAGAAGACACATTATTCTTTCTGAGCTGTATTGAGGCTCTGTCGAAGGCAAACATATCCTTTAGGTGAGAATGAAGTTACAGTGTGTAAAAATGGAAATATGTTTAGACTGAAACACTCCCCTAGCTCACTTCTGACATCTGTGAAGCTACAGGGGCCTGGGAGGACAAGACGCTCCCGAGATATATAATAAATGTGATCCTCTATCTGTCAAGTTTTAATCACCAAAAATTAATGTATTAATACAAGTTCTTTTGTGCACAACAGCAACCACCCTCTCTATCTTCCAAGTCCTTCAACCGTTACATTGCAATCGGCCCCTCAGTTGATAAAAAATCACATGTCTATCCAGTTTGCCCATTTTCTGCTATAGAAGAAACGTGGTAGTGCAAAGAGGCCACCTCTATGAAAAGGGGGTTCCCTCTTTTGTTGATATGAAAAGCTAATTTTAAATGAACAATGACAAAATGTTTTTGATCTTTAAGGGATTATGCTTGTGAACAAACACAATTATGAACCGTATTTTCCAATTCTATACACTGTAATAGTGCGTTTGTACTTTTTTGGAATCATTGCTCATAGAGTTATAAGTTTTGTGTAGTGAGTGTAATAGATGATATCAGTAGTTTGATTTTGTGCAACAGGTGCTGGCATTTTGATATCCCATGATGCTAATCAGCTGCTGGAACACATAGATAATCAGGGACAGGTTCACGTTATTCAGAAGTACCTGGAGAAACCTCTGCTTCTGGAGCCAGGGCAACGGAAGTTTGACATAAGGTAAGTCTTAACAATTTTGTCTGCGCCACTAACTGTATATGAGTATGGACAACATGCCTCCACCATTGTAAGAGGGGAAACCAAAATACAGCCTCAGCTGACACCCGTTCAGCTGATAAAGACACATTTTAAAACTCACTGATATGATGTCAAAGACCCCCTTAGGGCTGTATCGTCCACAGCAGAGCGGATTGTTGTGTAGAATTGAGGCAGACACTCATAGTTATTGAAATCCCAAGGACTCTTGTGTTAGTGTCTGTTGTCTTTTCTCCCTACTCTCTTTCTTTACTCTGCTGATCCGGTGAAGAACCCTGCAGGAGCCTGAACTTGCAAACAGAGCTATCAGTCATTACACAACATCCTCTCTACAAAATATCAGATTCAAAAGTGAAATTCTTCAAACAAAACAAAAATGACGTTTGCATATTAAACAAAATGATAAAAACTGACTACAATAAAAGAAAGCATGTTTTAGAATATGTGTTTATACCATACTGGAGGAGGAAGGCTTTGAGACATGTACTGCAGCTTGTCACCAGGGGATCTCTAAAAATTTTGGTTAAGACTTCGGTTGTTGTTTTTTATACAGTGATTAGAGCACTTGAACTAAAGCTGATTTTGTATTGACAGGAGCTGGGTGCTCGTGGACCATCAGTACAACATCTATCTATACCGGGAAGGTGTACTGCGCACCTCTTCAGAGCCCTACAACAGCTCTGACCTCCAGGACATGACCAGCCATTTGACCAATCACTGCATCCAGAAGGAGCACTCCCAAAACTACGGACGCTACGAGGAGGGGAATGAGATGTTCTTTGACGAATTCCGACTGTACTTGCTGAACACACACAACGTCACCCTGGAGGCCACCATATTACCTCAGATCAAACAAATCATAAAGTAGGTCCTGCTCGAGTTTAAAACTGTCTTCATGTGTGGATCTTATTTAGAAGACAGTTGAACATGTTTATTTATCATTGTGGAGTTAATTCAGACAATATCAGAGCACAACACACTTTAAACACAACATTCGTACATTTGTGTGGTCAAAGATTCTGAAAAAATTGGACAGAGTACACACAATCATAACTTTCTTCATCATATTTCCTCAAGCTCAATATTTGACTTTTAGAGATAACAATGGAGAGGAAATGTGATGTTTTTGCTTGAAGGTTCATGTTAAAAGCACTGACATGTTCATTACTCTACCGTTAAAAGGTATTGTCTCTCTGGAGCTTTAAAAAGATTGTGAGTGAACAACAAAAACTTTTTAAATAGGTGAAAAACACAGGAACCCTTCTTTTGAGAAATGGTTTATTTTAACAGACCTCTGTTACATTATAACCTGAATGCTGGAAGAGCTGGGATGCTAAAATGTTGATCAAAACAGAATTTGAGGGTTTGCAATTGTAAGCCTACAATTAGGGGTGTCCCGATACAACTTGTTAACTTCCGATACAATACCGATATTGTAGCCTTCAGTTTGGCCAATACCAAGATTGATTCGATATTGGCACAAACTTGTGCATGACAAGTTTCGCACTTAGCTGCAACATCTTTTTCGGACTTAAATGAAAAATACTGCCACACGGCTGAAATCACTCTTACTCCTTACTACTTTGGTAGTACTTTAGTACACACTGTTGTTGTGACTACCTGGGCTCTGCATGCCGGATCTGGGTGCGGCTAGCTAGAGGTGCCAGAGTGGAATCTAGAATGGACTGCTTGTATCGGAGTGCTGATATCGGAGATTTCAGATGCAGGCTGATATAATCCGATTATCCGATAATCGTTTTTTTGCTGATATCAGACCGATATCTGATATCAATATCGGATTGGGACATTCCTACCTACAATTAAGTGCAAAGACAACAAATCATATGTTGAAGCTGCAGCATGTCAAAGTTTTTTGAATAATATACCTGTACCTAAAGCACATTTAAAGTAGCTGTTACAGAGACAACCTAACAGAGAAAAGTTGTGTTATTAAAAAACACTCCTGGAGAAACATCTCCAAACTGATGATGACATTCATTTACAACAGGTTAGTCATATGACTGGGTATGTTTTAGAGGGGCCTGACTGAATCACTCAGAAGTAAAGCTGGGAAATTTGACAATCCACATACATGTTCCTCAGCCCAAGTGTGAAGACTCTGGGGATTTCATCATCTGCAGTACTTCATATTATAAAAAGATTCAGAGAGTCTAGAGAAATCTCTGTAAAAAAGGAGCAAGCCAGTGAGTAATGCTGGATGATTGTCATCTTTCAAACCCTCAGGTAGCTCTGCATTAAAAAACATTGTGTTTGGCATGTAGGCTCTCACCTTATCACTCGTGGCAGTTTTACTTTCATAGGCAGAAATTGAGGAGTGATAAAATAATGTCTTTAGCCCCTCAGTCAGAGGGGCCTGCAGGTGGATGGTGGGGCTGAAAGTGCAGCCCATGAGCATGGCAGCTGAGGCTGGGACCTTGCAGCCTCAGATGGATACTTGGAGGATGTATTTATTTTGTTATTGTAACATATGCATATCAAGTGAGAAAACAGTGCAAATGTTTGAAAAGGGTTACACAGCATTCTAACTCTTATGGAAATGGAGCTGTAAATTGTTATAGAGACATATTAAAGTGAGCTAGTCCTTAAAGGAAATGTTCTCTATTAATGGCATTAAATGTGAAGTTGTTATAGTATTTAAAACCAGCAGCCAGGTCTGATGAAACTGTTTTGATGTCTGCTTTAACAGGACCTCTCTGTCGTGTATTGAGCCGACAATCAGCACCAAGCACCTGTCCTACCAGAGTTTCCAGCTCTTTGGATTTGATTTCATGGTGGACCAGAGCTTTAAAGTGTGGCTCATTGAGATCAACGGGGCTCCAGCCTGTGCACAGTCAGTAACCTTCAGCTGAGTAATGGGGAAACTGTAACATGACATTCATCCTTTACATTTTGACATGGTTTTGACCTTTTTTTTTCTTCGCTGTTTTTGAACATCCTTTGTTCAATCCACATCTTACCTGTCATTTTGTCTTATTTTTTTTGAGAGTAAAAGTTTTTAATTTTCTTGAATTCTTCATATTCAAGAAAAGGTGACCACTATTGAAATACTTAAAATAGAGATTTCTTCCCTCATGACTCACAAAGTTGTAAAATGCAAAGGTGTCATTCATTTTAAATACCTGAGGAAGATGTAATATAATATCAGTTTTCTGAAGACTTTTAATTATATAGAATTCTATGGTTATCAGCTGACTCGTGTTATTTCCCTCTCTCCTCCAGGAAACTGTATTCAGAGCTATGTCAAGGTATTGTGGATGTGGCCGTCTCCAGTGTCTTTCCTCTCAATAGTGGCTGTGACTCATCATCTGCTTCCTCTTCACCTTATTCCTCCTCCCCATCCTCCACCTTCACCACCAACTCCTGCTCGTCACCTAAGCTGAGAGGTCCCCTTCACGTGGGCCCTTTTACTCGACTGTAAGCGCACAAATATTCTCCTCATCTTGTCCTTGTTAAAAAGCTTTTCCCACACTGTCCCCATTCCTAAACTCCACCCAAGAAGTAGCACATGTCAGCCAACCAAGTCTTGATGTACAGCCCGTCCTTTGAAGGGAGTCAGTGAACTGCATAAAGTCTCTCTGTAGTCATGGTGTAATTGTGAGGATGGTTATGCATTGATAACCAAACTATTTTGGGGGTTTCTGAATGAGGACAGATGCTGTTCCTTCTTAAATACGTCACTGTTCCCCGAGCAGATCAGTGAAGGTCTAAAGGATGCAGAGACACTCGGACTGAGACTGTAGTGCCTTACATTTCCTGCCACGCTCCCTTAAAAAGAATGCTACTTAGCATACTCTTTTTTGTGACTTATACTTACCTATAAGCCTTTGCACTGTTGCTCAAAAAGGACAAGGCGGTTATGGTCCATTAGCATCGAGCAGATTGTTGGTATTTAAGGTCTGGTAGATTTCTGGGTTGTTGTTTTTTTCTAAATTCTTTTTCTTGTCATGTTTTTTTAAGCCACTGTTTGCAGCCATTTGTTTTGGAAAGAATGTCAACTGTTAGATGGAAGCTATGAGGTAGCCATGTTTAAATTAAAGGGACAATTCAACCCAAACAAAACATACGTGAACAGTCTGCTTGGAAATCCAGTGCTTTTACTTGCCATTAGAAAGCCTGTAGTCCATTAACAACATGGACTAATGTTATTAATGTGTGACTGCACTTTACTCAGACTGTTCTCAAAAACCACACAGATGTATTCTTCCCTCTGCAGCACTCTGGTAGGTTCTGTAAGGGATGAGTCACTTATATATTGTGACGTTAATGAATTTGTGTTGAAGTTTGAAATCATGTTTAGCACCCAATGCTGAACATTATTTGGCAGACACAGAAATAACTGAAGGTGAGTAAGTCAAAATGTGAAACTCTCCAAACAGCTTACACAGTGTATTATTTTAATAGGTCAACATATACAGACCATGGGCTGTGTCATTATGCAGTGAAAACAAGTCCAGCCAATACATTAACGATTATGAAAAGTGGAAAGATACAGATACTGTATTGAGTGATAGACTGCTAAATATGGCTGATATTGCTGTCAATACCAATACAATACAATACAATATGAAACCACCGGTCAATGACTGACTGTTAAATTTGATATGTTATGATGATGATGTGATATCACTTAGAAAAGATGAGTATGAAATTGGCCAGGTAAAGGGCAGATTCTGACAAAATGTTAATAATAGGCCAGATTAATCATCTTCAGTAAGAACAATCAGAGATGAAAGCTTATCTTAAAGACACACCTCCATTCAGCATTTCTGGTTCTGTGATTTAACTTGTAAAATTTAAGAAGAAAGTGGGTAAAACAGCCTCATTCAGTGAGGTAGTCTCTGTCTGTATGGGGTTGATAGTCTGGCTTATGTGCTGCTTTTTCCTTGGCCAGTTTCTCAACAAAAAGGGCCAAGCTGATCAGTGTCCCTGTATGTGAGACATTTGCTATTGACAAGTACCTCATACAGCCCTACATCATAAAACCTGCCTTATTAATTCAATATGTCTGATGAAATAACCTTGGAGGCTAGCCTTGAAGTTAACGTTACTCTTAGTTTGATCCTGTGGAAACAACATAATCAGCACAGAGAAGGAGAGCGTCCATCATGTGATAAACTAAGGTGAAGGTCTATCCCTACAAGCTCCCCTGTCAGGTTCCTGAGCTCTGTGTGGAGAGGAAAACCAGAACCCTAATAACCAGATCGTGAATGAAGCATTAGCTCTTTATTCTGATTGAGGACATTGTGGTATTTTAATAAATTAATTCGGAGAGCATGTTTGATCAAAAGCATGTTGTAGTACGAATCCTAGTACGAGCCCCTTCTGCACCATTTGCCTTAGTTTGTAAAGAGCCGCCCTAATGTCTCTCTGTGTTATACAGATATATGGAAAGTAGAAAAGTGATGTTTTTTACGGTGTCCGACGTGCTGATTATGTTTTTGAACTGTTAAAATAAAAGTAGACTGTATAAAGTGTTATTGTTTATGAATCAAGACCCCATGAGTCCTCAATGATTGATCTTGAATAAGATGAAAGAACAAATGAAACAGTCATAATTAAAAAAGAGTGCATATGTAAAGCTTAATCAGAACAATCATCATGCACAGAGCAGGTCTGAACCCTGATAATAATGCAATGGTAATGGTAATTAATAATACAATGGTTTAGTGTCATATGTGAGTCATACAGATACAGGTCTTCTTCCTATCACTGCCCCGTCTTCAGTCACTGCTGGTGTTTACTCGTGTCACTGTTCGACACGCTCTCCAAATTCTTGATTTTGAATTTTACTGATGAATATTGATTTTGTTTCATGGGGTCCTTCAGTTAATTTATTACTTTAACTTTTACTTTGCTTGTGAATAGTTGACGCTTATGAAGAAATATTCAAAAAGACTTGTGTCCAAACTGGTTTATGTAACTGTTTCAACTATTTGTTGGGAAAAAAGAAAAAAAAGTTCTCCCATAGAAATGGGTCTTCTAACTGTGTCAGCATCGATCAGTTGCATGTTTGGTAGTCATTCAACCTTTGTGTGTCTAGGGCTCATTAATATGAAGAATGCTTTTTTTATGGGTTTTAAATGCTGTTTCTCTCATGTATTTGAATCCTTGCTGTTCCTCTGTTTTAAAACGTATGTTATTTTGCTTTCTGTGTCTTAATCTACATCAGTTGGGGGACAACATCAGAGGATTCATTTCAGTTTTTGAGAGTCTCATGTTTTGTTTTGTTTTTTTGTTTGTTTGTTTTATTACCAGATTACTCTGGGAAATGAAGGATATGCAAGTGACAAAAGATCAAACAGATGCAGGTTACACTAACAAAATCATGTTTTGCTGACAGAATAATGTAGATGAATCCCTATTACTGAAAACAGACTAAGAATATATTTATGAGATGTGTTACAGGTGTGGAATTGACATTAGAAGATATATGTGATTAGAACTGGGTCATTATGTCTGTCCAGGTAAATAGGCCACAGTACTTTGCAGATTTTTTTGAAAGTCTGAAAATAAAGCTCAACATTTGTTTCTCTGAATTGTTTGGATCATGTCTTTCCATTAAAGGGATGGGTGCCTTAGAGGAAATTGCATATTGATAACAGGAAGCAATGAACCTCCAGCATTTCAATGCACCTTTAATCGTCTAACCTAAAGGGAATTAGCGTCATTCTCTGTCTCTCTCTCCTGAACCGATGTCATTTCCTTTTATTCAGAGTTATTTGCACACCTGACTTGATTTCACAGTTTGTCAGTGTTCCTTATCTTTACCAAAGACCAAATCCATGCTGTATTATCATCGTCCATCCTCAGTGTTTGAGTGGCTTTTATCTGTACTTTCTGCATTAACTGTATAACAAAGCAAGAATAACATTTAGAGGGATGTCCGTGCTGTGTTTTTGTAGCTGATGTTTTTCCAATGTCTTGCATGAACATTTGTGTTTACCAGAAACAGTAATACAAGAATAAAAAATGACCATCACCAAGCCTCTGTTGTGGATTCTTGATTTTGAACCTGGTGGACTGACATTTTTTCTTCTCTTGGATTAGAACACGGCACAATTCTGTTTTCGTAGTTTCATGTGTAGATAGAAATATAGATCAATAGACTGATTTTACTTTTCCATCAGACAGGTTTCTTCACATAACATCCTTCAAAGGTTCCTAGAGAGCCTTTAGAAATGAACCAAAAATATGGACCTTATGGTCCTCTGTTTTTCCACTCTCCTTTTACGGTTTGGCTCTGTATGCCTGCAATTGCTTCTCCATGCCTGTAGAGGGTGCTGGAGTCGGACCAAACTTCTCCAGGGGCTTGTGGTTTCAGCTTGTGGCTGCAGAAAATCCTGCTGCCTTTGGTGGTCTGAGAAATACACTTCAACATTGTTTCCCCTAAGTCTCTTTTTCCAGGAGGGTTAAAGAAAAGATAGAGATAACTTTCCCTGAGGGATCTGATTTAAAGTTTTGGTATATAGCTCTCATTTAAAGTTTGATAAAGAATAATTCGAAAGATGGGAACATAATAGAACAGCCATTAAAAATCCCTCACATGTATGTTTGTCCAGTAAAAAATTTGAGTATCTTTCGGAAAAAATATTTTAAAATACTTGAAAGGGAAAAAAAAACTTCAGGGAACCCTCTCTGAGGTTTGTTATGTAAAGATATAACCATAGCCTTTACTTTTCTCAGGAATAGATCTATTTTTAATTGGGAGGAACTTTACTTTGAGGACAAATTGTTCAAAAATTTGCAAACTGAATAAGACCTGTGCAAAGACTTTGTGAATTACACCCAGATGTTTTCTGTTATTCAGGAGTAGTTGAGCCAAGAGCAGGATATAAAATCCACATTGGAGTCTAAACTCTTGTGGTGGTGTCAGAGAAAAAAACTGAAAAACTCCCCAAGAAGGTCATGGAGTGGACCAGAGGTGATAGAGCAGAGTTTGTCGCAACTATCCAACCATTAACCGTGAAATGACAAACTGACAGAGCAGAGGAAAGCATACACAAAGCTTGACAAGAGTAAGGGATGACATTAAAGATGAATTCACTGAATGCAGTGGGCCCACACCGTGGGGAGGGAGAGACTGTTAAGTGATCAGCAATCATTTACCAAACTGTCATGACTCAGCAGAAACATACTGTCAACTCATGACATGATTTGGTCTCAGAACAGACAAGGGGCAATTCTAAGTCACTTTACCACCATGACTCAGCAGAAATACCAATCATTACACAAGTCTGGCATCGCGACATGACTCAGTAGAAACATGGGATGACCCTACACACAATGTGATTACTTGCCTGAGCATGAACTTCAGACAGACAGACATCATTGGTAAACAGACAGAAGGTCGGTATAGTTTGTTTTCAGATAAGTTGTGTGTGTGTGTGTGTCTGTGTGTGTCTGTGTACATGTGCGTCCATGTGTCTGTTGATGTGTGATTACAGAGTATATATTGAGATAAGCTCTTCCTGTTCTTCAGTTTTTACAGCAAGTCACGTCGTCCAGACAGAAAAACAGAAAGATGAAGGCTTACCTACTGCTCCTGCTGCTGCTGCCTCTCTGCTCAGGTACCAACACACACTCATGCTGCTGTCACCAAGAGTTGGAGGATTCATTTAGACAGAGGTTTACCTTTAAATTAGACTTAAGACTCCCTTTCCTTTATATAAATCCATATTTTAATCTTCATCTGGCCTGCAGACCTCTGATTTACCGTAGTAGTAGTTTGTTTAAACATGTAAGATCTTCAGTTTATATAATGTTCAGTTAATATGACTGAATACACATTTAAAAGGTAATCAAACTTGTGGTACATTTTTGGCCCACCTTTGGGACATGGTACAACAAAAATTGCTTGAAACAAAGTTGAGGCTTACATCAACTTCAAGAATGTAATTTAACTTGTTCTTGAGCACCATTTATCACCGAGTGTAACTATAGCAGCACAGAATTAAGGTTAGAGAACTAATACGGCATGAATACATAAAGGGGGAGTCAGTTAAATGATTGGTTTTCTTCGGTCCACTGACTGAATGAGCCTCTGCAAACCAGCTGGACTCCCAATTGAGGTTTTATCTGCTACCGTGGGTTCAAAGTGATGTCATGTTAAGAAAGATCTGTAAATTTGTACAAAGCCAGTTCCAAACAGTTCAGATGCTTTTTAAATGTTGATAAAAAATTTATTTTGATTGTTTACAAGACATTATAACTTTTCATTCAGGAAAAAAAGTTTTACAACAAATATCCTTATTTTATGAAAACTGCCACAACACATTTCAGAATAGATGCACGGTTTATATAACTGTGATGGATCAAATCTACTTTTAAGAATACTCTCTAAAACTAAAAAAAAAAAAAAAAAAAAAGAAAGAAAAAAAAAATCTAACCAGGTGTGTTTGCATTGCAGCCAAAGAGCATACCATTAGGTGCTATGGTCAGGACTTCCTTGTGGTCAACAACCTGCAGTTAACCTGCAACAGTCAGGTCAAACAAGCCTGCTACACCAGAGGTGAGTTCATGGTGGACATGTGGACATGTTTCTATTGTCCTGCAGCTGTATCCCTCAGGTGTGTGTGTGTGTGTGTGTGTGTGTGTGTGTGTGTGTGTGTGTGTGTGTGTGTGTGTGTGTGTGTGTGTGTGTGTGTGTGTGTGTGTGTGTGTTTGTGTGTGAGGTATTTTCTTTGAGTGTTTCCCTGACAATTGTGAACCTCTGAAAGGTTTATCTTTCAGGTCAGTCTGAACGGTATGTACATAGACTGTATATGGAATGGGTGGGGCCTCCGCAAGAACAGCACCCTGTGGTGACGGGCTGCAGTAGATGTCATAAATCCTGCCTCCTCAAGCAATCCCTATGGAGCTGTGGACAAACTTTAGAAATTAATTACACAGAACATAAATGTTTCTTCCCACTGGTTGCGATTTTGACATGTAGTTACTATAAGACTGGTTTGTACTCAAGTCCTCTTTTTCTGTGAAGCTCTATTTTTAAAAGTTATTATGGGGTTCATGTTTTCCATGATTGACACTTGATACAGCCTATGAGTGTACAAAGACTGAGTAGCTCATCTGGGGGATATGCTGTTTGAGCCAAGCGTCATCACAGCGACTCTCCCACCAGATGCGTACAATGCTACTGTGCAAGTGGTGGTTTCAGGAAGTGGAGAGAATCCTGGAAATACAGAGAGCAACAGACAACATCTTGGTACTATTTAGTAGCTGCGCACGCCCCTTGTAATAACCCCTGTAAAAACTGTTGTTCAGGACTGCTTACTTGAGCTTCCTACCCCTTCGGCTACTGTAATAACCGTTGTTCGAGCCCACACGCAACATTTTTGTTCTCATTCATGAAACGCTTAAATCGGGGACATATTCGGGGACAGTGACCAAGGTGACCAGACGTCCCTGATTTCCGGGGACAGTTCCCGAATTGGATGACCTGTCCCCGGAAATCAGGGATGTCTGGTCACCTTAGTCTATGTGTATGCACTTTGGTTGGGTCCTTCATGTGCATCCTCTTCATGTCCTTTGTTAAATTCATCAGGGTCCATTCATAACAAAAGTTACCACAGGAGGTCACAATTCAGAAAGACACAAGCTCACTACAGCTTTAAAAGTGTGGTACCAGGCTCAAGAGAAAGCTTCCTCATCACAGGCATGAGTAAAGGTTTAGTGTGTAGGATGAAGATATTCAGAGACATCTAGCTGTAAGATTCTGAATGGACACTTCATTGTCGATCTCTCCTGTTACTGAAGTAAAAGACACTGACACGCTAAGGATGTAGTGGGTGATGGTTGGTCAACTCTGAGTGTTGTAGTCAGTTCAAGGACAGCGAGATGTGTCTCTGTCAGACTAAAGAAATAAATGATGAATTATTGTCTAGATGTTGTCTCCTCATAGTTGACTCTGATCATTCTGAGGAAACATCAGCAGGATCTCTGACAGTAGCAGCTTGAACTGAGATCATTCAGCATGTTTCTGTAAACCATCTAAAAGAAAACTGACAACTTCAGCGTCGCTCTCCAAACATTCATTCATCATTAGGATAGTCACCTATGAAAGCACCTTTGTTAATAAAAGACAGAGAGGTGGAGTTGAGGAGGGCTTTAAACCTCCTTGCTAACATCTGCAGTGTGATCTTTCAAACTCAAAATCTTTCTTTCTGCAAAATCAGTGAGTTATTTAAAAAAGTAACCCCAACACAATGTGTGCAGATGGAAAAAATGAGCTTTCCAGACCACAGTTGTTGTTTGAAGCAGGCTGTAAACATGGCTGTTTTTACTTTAAAGATCACCTTTAAAAAAAAAAAAAAAAAAAAAAAGACAAGTGTGTATAGTTTCCTGTATCCAGCTCCAAGTGGACACTCGAGAAACTGCAGTTTATAGCACTTGCACCTTTATTTCTCAAGCCGGAGGTTGCTGCTCAATCAGAAAACACAAGCTGAGATGGTATAAAGCTGTCAGTTAGCAGTGCCCACCACTCATTCTTTTGGCCATTTGTGGAGCTGAAATCTTTGACACTTTTGTGTTATTTCCTTTGCTTTAAATCCCGATTCAAGAGTAATTCATGAGTAAATTGAACATTAAATATTTCTAAAAATTAATTCGAATTTGACAGTTTCGATGTTAATTTACTTGTTGATAAAATCTGGACGTTGGACCCTAACATCTTGACACTAAATATTTCTGATTAAATTTAAAATCACTGTAAAAGAAAAAATGTGTCTGTGGTCAGTTTTTTGAGGCTCTGATACCCTGTTTCTTGTTTGTTGTTGCAGACAGTGGAGAAAAAGGCTGCACTACACTCGACCAATGTACAAAACCTGGCTGGAACTGCTGCTACACGGACAACTGCAATCAATGAGCCAATCACAGCCCAGGAATCACTCATGCTGTCAAACTAGATCATAGACAATAAAGCTGTGATGGAAATTTCCAGAGTGCAGTTTTGTGTTTTCTTCAGTTCAGTGTACACAGAGTGTGTAAACTTAGTGGTTTTGTTCATGGACTTTGAATTGTGTGTAAACTCCAGTGAAGTCAGTACTATCTCGAGCTTTTTAAACACAGTTTGGGGATAATAAACTGCTATCTGAAAGTCAGTGACAGAAGTGGAGGTGCACCCACTTTCCTCGCTTCTTATATAAAATGTATCACGGTACAAGCACTCATATTATCAAACATACTTTTTGACTTGGGCACTTTAGGTACCAGAAGGATCCCATTTATTTTATGTGTGTGAGGTCAATCCAATGTTTTTTTTTTTGTTTTTTTTCAATGGACAAATCGAAATGCAAACCAAAGTAAGAAGACATTTCAGCAGAAAATCAAAGTCATTTGAATCCAGGTTTATAGTATCAAAAAATCCCACTACCTGTTGTGCATTTTGCACATTATGAAGCCCAAAATACCACAACGGCGATCCTGGACTGTAGAGCAGCTAAAACGGTCCATCAAGCAAGACTGTGAAAAAATCCACCTCCAAAGCTCCAACATTCAGTGCCCTCAGTTCACAAGGCTTACTGTGTGTTGTTAAAGGAAAGGTGATGTAACACAGCAGGACATGACCCTGAACCAACTTTTTAGGAGTGAGTTACAGCTTCAAACTCAAAATAAGATAAGAACTTTATTGACCCCCAAAAGGAAATTCAATGAATGAATGTTTACGGAAAAACAATCACAATTTTTCAGTTTGAACATTACATCTCATCTTTGTTCAGTATTCAGATTAAGTGGGAAAGGATTTGGAAAACGTTGTGTTCCATTTCCATTCATGCTCTACACAATGTCCCAGCATGACTGGAATTAGGGTTTGTAGAAGTTCATGGATATATTTTATGGTTTGATTAAATCAACTATTGGCATTTGGCTTTCGTTTCTTCTACTTCCGCAGTGAAAATTTAACATATTATGGTACCTGGATGGGTTTGCTTCTTTAACTGCCTCCCTCACACGTGGAGTTCAACAGGGATCCATTGTAGGTCTATCATTTTCTATTTGTGCTCCATTTGAGTCAAATCATTTGTGAATTCACAATCCAGAGCCTTGCTATGCTGATGATATTCCACTAAATGTCCAGCTGCAATGATGTGTCTTACATTTTGTCTTGCTTTAGTCATATCGAAGGCCGGATGTCTAAGGACTTTCTGAGTTTAAATGAAGACTTAAGTTATTATACCACTTCCTCCAACTCCAGGAATGACATCAGCTCCTTTAGGTCCACTATCTCCCTACTCCTTACAAAGAGCAGGACCAAAGATTCAAAGATTCAGTTTTAAAACATTTATTTTTGCATTTTTTTGTTGAAATCTTCAGTACAGTCTGTCCTCTGACAGGAATGCATGAAAGAAGACATGATTGGCTCAAAACAGTCACATGAACATTGTCATAATTAATTATCAGTATCATTGTATAATCTGAACACTGAGACACTTTAATCCAGAATCTCCTACAAACCCCCCCTCAACCCCCACCCCCCCTCCCTGAACATCCAGGTGTGTCCCTGAACTCTGTACAAGCTCTTCAGAGTGACGAGCATAGAAAATACTAATGTTAAAGAATAACAGTATTAAAAAGGCAAAAACATGAATGCCCCCCTCCCTCTGCCCCTGATAGGCCCTGCCCCCAGAGTGACATCATCATGACATTCAGAAAACATTTTTAACAGAAATGGTCCAGAAAACATCGTCAGCAGTCATCCAGTGAGTCACTGAAAACCAGTCAATCAGGACAGGATATATGGGATATCCTGCAACCTTCTTGGCTGAGAGATGCGAGTGTTGAATGTGAAGGGTGGCTGGGTGTTTTTACAGTGTAGCTGAGGAGCTGCTGCCCCCTGGTTGTGAACAGAAATATACACACAGATTTCTGCAGTATATACAAACAGAGCTGCAACACACATTGTCCTTTGAGAGGACAGAGGTCTCGCCCAGGGTCCAAATCTGTCAACTCCAGATTCTGATTTGTTTAAAAAACAAACAAAAAAAAGAAAAATAAACACTTGAGTCACAGTTTCTATGCTGGAGGTCAACTTCATGTTTCCCTTGCATCCTGTTTACTTCCCAGTTTCGTTCTGCTCAACTTCAGATTTAAATCCTTTTTTTTTTTTTTTTACATCAGTGAAAAGTTTATTTGAGGACCACATCAGAGTTAGCTCTGCTTACTCTGGTCTACAGCTCACCTATCTCAGGTGAGAGTCTCTTGAAACAGGTCCAAGAACTATGTCTTAAGACCAAACTGGACTAAACGTCGCCTGAGATGAAAGATTTTGAAGCACTTTCAAATATTATCTCGGGACATGAGTTGGATGACTCCACAGGCTTCTTGTAGCTTAAGTTTCATTTTAAGTTTGAAGCCTCTCTGAACTTCATATCTGCTGCATGTTTCATGTTAAAAGCTTTTCATACTGGTCCTGTTCCTGAAGGCTTTTAGTATGAAACATCTCTCTGAAGTGTGGAGGTTGGCAGATTTACATAGAAAAGCATAAGCATGTGGTGGCATGTAGGATATGACACAATGTAGTTGTAGCTCATTTGGCAGGATTCCTATGATCAGTAGTCTTGAGGAATCAATAATCATTGATGACTTTTTTTCCACCAATAAAACGTGCATTAATGAAAGTTTTATCTCCCAAAAATGTTTCCTAAATTAAAATACAATTTTCTAAAAAACACTTAAGACTTCTCAGCCCTAGACACTTCCTCTTTTCCTGCTCTGCTCTTATTGGAGGAGAAAGTTACCTGAAACACTCCTGTCAGCTGACATTATGAGAGTGTTCATATGTTTTCATCTGTTCTATGTATTCTGCTGCTGCAGCAGACAGATTTGGCAAATCTGGACATTTGGCAAGACTTTGTAACCTAAACGTTCATAGTTTCAAGACTGAGGATTCCTGGTGTTTCAGGTGTGTGGATGTGTGGCCCAGGTAACTGCTCTCCTCTGCTCTCAATCAAACTCTCCAGGTGTTTAAAACTATGAATTCACGTTTGTTGAGCTAACATCTGAAGAATGGGAAAACATGTAGCTCTGCAGCCACAGGCCTGAGTCCTGACACACACCAATGATCGTACTTCTATACTTGTGAGGACCCTCATTGACCCCCACACCCCCTGACAATAACATTAAACCATGACCACTGACAACTCTTGGTTTTACATGTTCACATTTAGCCACCAACTGTCTCCGTTTACAGTGTGCTTAATGAGCTGAAAGCAGCTCCTGTTTGCGTTGTAACCATGGAAACAGTCAACTATTACTGAATTATGATGATGCTGAAGAGCACTTAAAAACATTATGACTCTCTAAGAGAATTTTTGGAAAAAAATTCTGGATGGATATCAGAGATGGTGATATCCTCCTCACACTGAATGATATCAATACTTGTTTCATGTCTGTGTTCACATTAGATTCACTGTTTTAACTCTTACTTAACCGTTACAGCTACATGCCAAACCCCTTATCCTTAACTGAATGAAATCGACTCTGAAGACTCAAACTGACAATTCACGAGGACAGTACAAAATGACCCCAGTTTGTCAAAAAGTCCTCAAAAGGTATAAAAAGCCTGGTCCTCACAAAGATAGCTGTACCAACCTACATCACACACCTGACCCATTCTCTACGAAGGGGGTGTAAGGGGGGGCAGCCCCTCATCACTGGGTGTGGCTGTGTCGTCGCTCGGCTCCAGGCTGTCCTTCAGACTCACTGTGCTGTCTGATACCGGAGGGGTCGCCTCAGAATGGGGTGGGGTTAACTCTGATATGGGTGGGGGTAGCTCTGTGGGGGGCGTAGTGCCCCAGGAGGGTTCTTGGGTGCCATTGGCTGTTGGGAGACTGGCAGGTTCCTGTGTGGGTGTAGCTGGGGCAGGAGGGGGCTGAGTAAAAACAGGGTCGACCCGGATGGGGGTGGAGTTAGATAGGAGACCATCAGTTAGGGAAAGTGAGGTTTTTTCCACCAAACGCCACTGCATGATGCTGGTGTCCTTCCCCCCCGTGGAGATCAGGTGACTGTCTCTGTGCAGGAAGCTGACATTGGTCACATGGCTGCTGTGGGCGCTGTATTTATGACTGGGAGCCTGCAGACACATAGAGATGAAGGATTATGAAATATTATACTTTAGGTCAACATAATGAGTATTTATCTCTATATGAACTTCAGTACCCTGATTTTCGGCCCTGGACTGGTTTTGATAGTGTTCAGATTATGTTCGCATCAAAGTTTCTGATAGCTGCATGTCACTCAGCCCGGCACCTGTGGTCTTTGTTTTACAGCACTGAACATTACATTCTGAGAACTGAGAAAATAAGAGCACCCTGGCTCACTGCAGTCTTAGCACTCTTAGATTAACACTCACTCCCTATTACATTTAAGTTTTTTACTACAAAAAGACAAACTCAGCTTCTTTGTTGCCCCAGAAACAAGACTGAATGTCGCTAAAACTCTGTTGGCTTGGCTGATGTGTTACCTTGGCAGTTGAGCATGGGTAGGCAAACAGGTGGACTTTACAGAAGTCATCTGCCAGAGCGATCACCTTCCTGTTGTGAGATCTGATCAGGGCGTTGATGTCGGTACCATCAGAACCCTCCGGCCACACACCTAACCAACACACATACACAGAAAAATACAAATACACACAGAGATACACACATACACACAAACCACACATAAAAAATGCATGCACAGTGACCCAGGCAGTTGCAAGGAGACACATGCAGCGATACAAACATCAGACATACACACACAGAAACAAAATTATTAAAGACAAAGAGACGCACATACATACAAAAAGAGGTAAGAAACTTCAATAGGAAACAAAGCTTTTTTGCATTTCTCTTGAAAAACTAAGACACTAAATATACGTCAAAATATATGAGGGAAGCAGAGGTGCTGTGAGATCACTTATGTAGCCTAGCAACAGTAGTGGCTGGTGAGGGCCTGGTGCTACAAAAAAAAGCACACTACTGGACACAGCCTCTCATTTGTTATTAGATAGTTACAACCCGTAGTAGCAGCAGTATGTAACAGTGCCTGTACTTACATTGTTTGTAGTTACAGTATAAGCAGTAGATATAGTCGCAGTAATATTAACAAAGAGAAGTAGTATCAGACGATGTACATTATGTTGTAAGACTATTTGTAGAAGTTGAGGTTATCATAGCAATGATAGTTAAAGTGGTAAATGGAGCACTACAAAAGAAGTAATAGTATTAAGGTAGCAGTTGTAGCCGAAGTATTAGTATAAGCAGTAATAGTAACAATTGCTGCAGCAGAAGTAGACGACAGTGGTGGTAGTAAAATGGTATTAATGGTAGTAAGCGCAGCAGCAGTAGTAGTATAACAGTTACAGTCTATTATCAGTAGCTTCAGTATTGTTGGGAAATGTAGTAGAAGTAGTTTTTGTACTGTTTATGTAACTGTGTGATTGAAGTAGTTGTAATTGCAGAAGTAAAAGTAGCTTTTATAGAAAAGGAAATGAAGAGGTAGTTTTAGTATTAGTTGTAGGAGCTTGATAAACATGTGTGCAGGTTTACAGGTCTGCATCTGATCAGACTTAGGACGTAGTGATGGTGCCTGTTAAAAGGTGCGCATACATAGAGCTCTACAGCTTAACAGAGGGTTCAAGTTCATGCCATCTTGAATGTGAAGGTTGTAATGTACTCACCGAACACATGGTACCCCAGAACGCAGGTGTAAGTCGCCCAGTCAATATCTTTACACTCGGAGCGATTTCTGATCAGTTTACAACCATTTGGAACATCCCCTGAAAACACACCAGTGTTACTAAGCAACATGACAACATTTTAACCACACAAGTACACAGCACAACAGGACAGAGGACTTCAGTGCTCACAGTAGAGGATCTCATAGTCTCCAGAGTTGGACATGATGAAGTTGTTGTCAGGTGACCAGTCCAGGTGTGTGATGTAGCTGGAATGTCCCTGTGGAAATATTCAGAAAACTTGTGAAATCACATCCCTGAGCAAGCAGAAGGGACTGCTGGAGAAGAGAACCACCTACTGGGGCCAGCTGAGTTGGCAAGAGAGCTGCATCCAATAAACACAGACAGGAAGTGACAGATGCCAATTTGAGGGACTGATCATTGAACTTGTTTTCACTTCTATCAAACACAATCAGCATATAATTAAATGTTTGAAATATGGTTACAAAAACAAGATCATTTATATTGATATTACTTTGATATGGCATGATTCAGAGTCCAACAGAGTCCTGGGCTAAGATGATGTCAAAGCCTTTGTTTAGCATGTACAGTGTAGCCTCTGTCACATTTGTGATCTAAGAGGAGAAGAAAAAGCTGCAGGGACTTAAAAAAATAAATACTTGAAATTTCTGACAGTCTGCTTTGAACTGGATTCTCAATATCAGAGGATCCAGTGGAGTTCCAAAAGATAGAAGGAATGAATTTCCCATTTTGTATTGGTTTTTGCAGGTTTGATGAGAAATGTTAAACTGCTTTATTGTCAGTATTTTACAGGAGACTGTAAATAGTACCAAGGAATAATAAAGGGGTTTCCTGTCAGAGGGAAAATGACCTAATAGTGCAGCTTTCACTGTGCTTACTGTACAATAATGTACACTGAATTTCCCACTAAGAGATTACAGAGAGTTAGTCGGTGCATGATTTTGGACACAGCCGCAGTGCAGCTGGATGCAAACTTAGATAGTTTTCTGCAAGTACAACCACATGACCAGAGAGTATGAAAAGAAAAGAAAAGAAAAGAAAAAGGAATAAGGGCTAATATACTCACTGTGCACTTCCCATATCGGCTGTACTTTCGTCCTTTGTCCGAGACGGTGTACAGGTAGATAAAGTTATCATGAGATCCAACAGCTAACAGGGCGCCATCTGCAGACAGAGGAAAAGGTGCATTATTGTAAAAATGTATAAACGTAAACACTGCAGCACAAAAGGACCCTGTTTCTCAAATCTTTAAGTCCTTTAGACAGAAATTCAGTAAGTTGTTTTTTCTCATCCAGCTTATTGAGTGTCCTTTAATTTTCCAGTCCCCCCAAAAAATGATCATGATAAATTTTGGCATATCATCTGATCTTGATTATTATCACTTTTTTTTTTTTTTTTTAATTTTTAAACTGCCCGTTTTAAAGCATCTGTACTAAAAACTAAAGAGACTATAGACTAGTTCAACATGTTATCATACAAAGTAAATAATGCAAATTGAATAAGATAAACTTAGAAAAATATAAAAAACATTTTAACTCGAAATTACAATAAATGTAGATAAATACTAAATAATACAGTGAACTAGTTTACAGTCCTGAGTGTTTTTGCAGGTATGCAAGACCCAAAATAAACAAATGGCCCCCTCAGGAATAATGAAGATGCTTTAAAATGTAAACATTAGATGATGTAAATGTAGATGAGATGACTGATTACTGCTTTGGTCTGGTGGCTGCACCGCTAGTTGTGGCTAAACTGTCCTTTATCCTTCTCTCCAATCCAAACAAGGTAGTGGTAGAAGGCTGTCTAACAAGAGTCTGGTTCAGCTCAAGGTTTCTGCCTATTTCAAGGAAGATTTTCCTTTCTGCTGTAACTTGCTAAAAGCTGCAAAATTCTCTGCTCATGATGGACTGAGATGGACTAAAAATGAACCTTAAACCAGGATTTAATCCTGTTTTAAGATTCATCCTGCCTCGGTGTCAAGCAGGTCTTTGTGTGCGTGTGGGTCCATGGGTGGGAGGGTCGGGTTTTATTGTTGTTTATTGTTGTTTTTAGCCTGTGAGGCACTTTGAACTGCATTTTTTGTCTGAAAAGTGCCATAAAAATAAAGTTGAATCTGAAATTTGAATCACCTTTGTACAGAAGTCTGACTTAAAATTAGGTAGGTGTGATTTTAGTTAGTCAGTGTTTAAAAAATGTACTTGAAAAAGACTTATATACATGCACAAAGCTTTGTGTGATAAATTAACATGGCATGTCTGGTAAGTAGAAGGAACTCACAGCCAAGCATGCAAAAAGTGCGGACTGTACAAGGTCACTGAAAGTGAACAACGTCTGTCACACAAGGCTTACTTCCTCTTACCATCAAAACTATGACTCACTGTGGGCATGTGCTTAGAAACGAACTTTGGCCGAGGCAAAAATGTCTTTGGATTGTGTATTAAATGACAACTTCCACATATGTATTGGCACAAAGGAAAGGGCATTGATGTTCAGTAAAAGGTCAAAAACTTATGAAGGCTTTTCTGAGCACATCTGCAGTGGATCAGCTTGACCAGAAACGTTAAGGTAGAACTGAGCTTGTACATGGAGTTACGATGCACTTCCTGTAAAAGAGAAACCCTGAACTTTGGTTTTCAGCCATGGTCCCTTGGTTTGCTGAAATTCAAAAGGCTCTTATCTATGGAGCAGCTGTCATTACGGCTGTGTACTCTAATAATGATCGAACTATGACACTAAACTGGTGTCACAGAGATCCTGTCTTGCCTCATGCTTCATCTGATGTCTGTACAGCAGTGGGAATCACACCCCTTTCTTAAGGCATAAATAAAGTATTATACCTGGCAGTGAAAAAAAAGAGCTGATGATGCATATTCAAGACCTTAAGGGATCTCTGACAGCTTGGTCTGTGGACCAGCTCAGTTAGATGGAAGATTTTGTCAATTGGGAAGCGCATTAATAAGGAATGTATATTTACACATAGGTATGTTGATGACTGGGCTGTCAACACATGTGATATTTGGGGCAGATTGAATGTTGTGTATGGTAGTGACTTCCTGAAATATGGTGCAACATTAGAATGCTCTCCATTCTTTGCAGAAGTTCATCTTCAAAGAACAGACCTTTGGATCCAGAGCCACCTGCTTGTCTGGGAACAACATGTTTTTAGTCAACTCCACTCACCTACAGAGAAGCGCATCACTGACAGCTGCTCATTCCCATCAGTGTGAATTGCAACCAGGTCAGTGGTCTCAGCATCCAGAACATACCACCTGAGACAGACCAGATGGAAACCTCATAAGACAGGTAGAAAGATGATTGTAGATAGCTAGTCTGCAAACTGGGCAGTCTTCCTAGAGTTGAACTGTTATCAAACAGGGAGACTGGTTAAGTACCATATTTTTCAGACTATAAGGCGCACTTAAAATCCTTACATTTTCTCAAAAATTGACAGTGCGCCTTATAATACAGCGCACCTTATGTATGCTAACTAGTTGTGCTTACTGAACAATTTTATGTGGTACAATGCATTCAAAAATCTGTTGAAATGTGTAAGTATGACTTCGGTAAGCAACAAAGCCACTCCACTCAATGGATATTCGGAGCATAACGGTAACCGTCGTCTGAGCTTTCACAAAAGCTGGTATCATCACTGACTCAGATGATGACAAGATGGATCCAGGCATGCTTGATGCCGAAATCGCACAGCTGTTTAACTCAGACACTGCAGATGAAGAATTCGATGGATTTGTTGAAGAGGAATGAATCAATAAGTGAGCGTATTTTTCTGTACCAGTATTTGTTGTTACAACTGAGTAGAATTAAGTTTGATTTATCGGACTGTGTTGTTTTGCTTAATGCGCATTACAATCCGGTGCGCCTTATGTAGGAACAAAGACATTAATTCATAGTGCGCCTTATAATAGCACCGCCTTATGGCCCGAAAAATATGGGAAAGATTATTTATATGGAAAATTAACTCAGCTGGTCTCAAAAAGACTGCAGGGTTCAGAACAAACCAAGGAGTAGGACAAAAACATAGATTTTAACAGGAGGCACATCACCACTTTCAGTGTCTACTTTTCTACTGCAGCACTGAGACATTTCAAATGAAAGAGATTTTTATCACAGGCATCGGAGTGAAGATATGCACAGACATGCATCCAAACAGGTCTGTGTGAGCATTTGAGCAGTTTGTAGGTGGAGTTAGGGACTCATTTCAGGGGTGAAGTGTGCCAAGTGTTCAGGGCCAACAGTCAAACTCGGCCCTGAAGTGTAACCAGCTCCTCTGAATGTCTACGGGTGATTTTACGCCCTCTTTGCAAGTGGATTACTGAGCAACTCAGATCTGAATTTATGAGCTCCAAACAAAGTCGGCAAATCACCGCTCAGTTGGAAGTACCTGGTTCTTTTGGCAACACAAAAAGTGAACCCCAATTTTCTTGCTGTAGCTGAGCGTCCCACAGGAGCAGCTTGACTTGGGCAGCTCTCAGTGCATCATACGTGTCTGTGGTCACACAACCCACCCCTGAACTGGTGTCATAACAGGACGCTTCATTATGTTGCTCAGAAATGCCAGGAGCAGAGAGGAGGAGCTTGTATTTGCAGGTCTTGACTGGTATGCCAGCTTTTATATCAATAACAACTCAGGAAATCCTGATGCAGATAGCAACTGTGGAATCAAGGCTGATCTTGGCATTTCCAGTCACCTGCCATTGTTATGTGAAGCTCTGGTAGGACAGCTGCATTCACTATGATCTGATATGTCATCTCAACTCTAATCATGCAACAGATTATAGTAATGGAGGGAAAGGCTTCTGCACTGAAGCAACAAACTCAGGTCTTTAAAGGGAAGCATAAATGGTTTGGGTCAGTTCAGCAATCCTGACACTATATGTGAGAAACCACCTTACTGGTTTGTGACACCAGTATACGAGGTGATTTCAAACACATTATGAAGACTGGTACTTTCCCAGCAGATATTTGGAGCTCTGGTGTTTGTTCCATGTCTCTGCCGAGTTTTACTGCACACTGGTTTGATTCCACAGTCAAGACAAGAAAACACTGGGCAGGACATTACTAATAAAACCTTTCTCTATGAACCAATTGTCTAATCTTTGATACAAGATCTTAAAAAAAGCATGTTAAAATGTTCCAGTCAATCTAAACCTAAACATTGCAGCAGTAACCAATGGGACAGTCAGGAAAACCCTAGAGAAATTGGAAAAAACTCCGATGGATGTTTCAAGAGATCACAGGTCACCGAGTCTGTGATGGATTCCTTGAGCAGCCTGTGCCAGAGCTGTCATTGCTCTGTCACTTCTTTTTAAGCAAAGCATTCAAACCCTCTACCTGAGGGTCAGAGGCAGCATGGTGGCACATTTGAGACCAAAAGGTCAGACTTGTCACTGGAGGGGACTCATGCTGTCGTGGAGGAGGTCAACAGTAAGATCTTTAAATCCACTCTGAAACATACTTGACACGAGGGCAAGGGGGCTGAAAGGCTTTCTTGGTTCTGCTTTAGAGTTTTACAGCTTACAATCAGGAGCGAATTGAAGGGTTTTTGGATGAGAAAGGTGGAGAGGCTGCTGTAATAATCAAATCCTGAGGAGATGAAGGAATGTGAAAGGCTCTCTGTGTCTTTACATGATGAACCAGATCAGATTTTGGAAATGTTTCCCAGATTGTAAAAACAGGACTGCACTAGTTTGGTTGTGCAATACTTTTTCTTGCAGTGCACTCTGGGTTTAGAAGTACCAGTGATGTGCATGTTAATACATTAGTGGGCCAGTCATGACAGATATACGGTATTATCATGTTGGCCAGATATTATTGTTCCTTGAGATTGACACGAGTCATAGACCACGATGCACCTGCAGATAAGTAGGTATACAGGGAAGGTGAGTGAGTGAGTGAGTGAGTGTGTGTGTGTGTGTGTGTGGGGGGGGGGCAGGATCTATGGATCAATCAGTGATTTGTACTGACTTTCCTGAGTATGTTCCTATGGCAACCACAGCTCCACTGGGATGAAAATCTGCACAGTGTCCATGTTCCTAAGGAAGGAACGCAGCCGTCAATCATCCAAGAACAACAAAACAACCAATAAGCTGACAGGCACTGACTCTGCCTTCCTTACCTCCAGCGTGCGGCTCCACAGAAGACTGTGATTCACAGAGTTCCAGACACACACCATTCGATCCTGGGCGCATGTTAGGAACATCTCTCTAGATGGATGGGATGCCAAACCCCAGAGTTCATCAGTGTGACCCTGAACACATCATGACACAGAAAAATAATTAACACCTGAACATGCAACAAAAAAACATAAAGACCATTAACACATCACAAAAAATACAGAGACCCTTCACAAAGCAGAGGCATGAAGATGAGCAGGAAAGATGTGCCACACTAAAAAGTACACAAGACCGCAACAACCATCATCATCATCAGCGCTGTTTGTTCACAGGTCAAGATACTGTATTAAATCACACACATCAGAAGATCAGTCATATGGTCTCACCTGGAGCTCCACCAGGAAGCCATCATTGAAGGTTCCTCTGAGGATGAAGTTACGGGATGTCCCAACAAGAAACTCCTCCCCCTTCCCCTCAGACACAGCTCTGATAGTTCCATACTGATCTGGCATCTGTGTACACAAAGTGGTTTGACTCGCGTCAAACTCGAGGTCCGATGTTATCTGAGTGTGTGTGTGTGTGTGTGTGTGGGTGTGTGTGTTGTGACCTCAATGTCGCGGTCGGCTCGAAGCTCATGGTCCCACAGGATGATTTTTCGGTCTTTTCCCCCTCCTGTCAGTATGGTGCCACTCCTCATCTCACACATACAGAAAACACTTCCCTCATGAGCCTTGACCTGCCGGTTGATCTGGAATGCTGCAAGCACACACACACACACACACACACACACACACACACACACACACACACACACACACACACACACACACACACACACACACACACACACACACACACACACACACACCCACACACACACACACACACACACACACACACACACACACACACACACACACACGTTTTAAGACTAAAGCCAGCAGGAGGCAGCAGGTGACAAAGGAAACACCTCCCATTTCTAAAGAAGTCCCCCCTGAAAATACTAAAAAAAACCTTTTCTACTTCCTGTCTCACCAAATGTGCTGACAGGGTTCACTGAGCTTACAATCACTCTGTTGTTTCTGGATCTCTTTCAGTCTCAGTGCTTCAGCAGGTTTACCAAGTCTGATCAGAGTGCAGTACTTCCCCAGAAAAACCTTTAGCTCTTGGCACGGGCATGTCTGCTCTGAATCACTTTAACAACATGTCACTAAAACCATTACAGACACCGGGCCAACACTCACTCTTTCTTGGAAGTGAGAAACTGATTTCAGGACTAACAGAGTTAACAGGAGTTAGTCTACATTATCCACAACTTCCATGTAGTGTGTTTTAATGTTCAACAGCTATGACCAAACAGTAATTAAGAGATCAAGATTGAAGTGCAGGTGAAATTCCTAAGCAGTCTGAGTCAATGACATCAGCTTCATGGAGGGACAGGAGAGGATTGTGCACAAGAATACAGGAAATAGTGTGTCTTTAACCTGCTCAGAATGGGGGATTTTAATTTCAGTTTTCAGTAGGGGGTAATGAGGTTCTGACAAAGGAGGAGGCTGAGATGGTGCAGGAAGGTAAGAGGTGCGATACCTGAACAGTTTATTAGTGACTGTAAATCAGTGCAGTGGAGACACATGGAGAAGACGAGTAGATATAAAATCAGGGATTTCTGCATGTTTGTCAACAGTGAACGCTAAGGTCTACTCTTACCTTAGTCCACACTAGAGCAGGTGGTGAAAAGAATTTAGAGCATGTTAAGGCTCTCTGTAGAGCTCAGTACAAAGCTGGAATACTGTGATATCTCAGTGACTGAATATCATCAGCATGATGATTTTTTTGAAATCATCATTAAATCAGTCAACTGACTTTCTGTCTGTTTAACTCGTTCTGGTAATGAACACATTAATGTGGAGCCTTTGCAGCCAAATTGTTTCCATGCTGAAAGAGACAAAAGCTTGGCACAGAGGGATCTGAACAAGACAAGAGGATCTTGATTTGTCTCTTCATATTCCTGAGACCTTAAAAATGTCCAGGGATGCAGCAACTGAGGAAATCTGATTTTTCCACATAATATAATAACAGCATAGACTAGTACCACACAGATAATTGCTTGAAAAGATAAACACTTCAAAAGCCTCTTTAGCTGCTCTACAATCACAGACACAGAGGACGTTTGAAGAGCTTCTACAGTGCAACAAGAACCTGCTTTAGAAAAACATTTAATGTTGTTGTATTGGAACTAAACCAAACTGTTAATGCTGGATGATATTTATGTACCGTTTTTCTTTACCAAAAGCAAAAACCTCACAAACTGCTGGACGAGTCTGGCTAACCACTATTAAAGTGATATACAACAGCAGACATGCTGAACCTGGGCTTAAGGAGAACCCAAATCATGAAGTCATCATCCATTACCAGGCTAAGTATGAGTGAAATCCAACACTCAAGCTGATATATCTCATAGGTGCATCTCATAAGAACTCCCTCAGTATTTAGTACCAACACAGAAAAACCGTCTCCTCACCTCTGGGTCCCTTCCCGGTGGGTGTGTCAGCTGAGTTCCTGGTCCAGACCAGCAGGATTCCTCCAGAGTCTCCAGTAAGGATGTCTCCAGTGCTCAGAAAAGCCAGACACTGAATAAACTTTGGCTTTTCATATTTCTGTAAAAAGATGAGAAACCAGAGATACAGGCTAGACCAGACGAAAGCTTCTCGAAGCATCTTTTACGATTGTACGATGAGGGTATGTATGACCTGTGTATGAATCCTCACATCCAAACCAGCAAATGTGTCCATGGAGTTTTGGCCCTAATTCTGCCCTCTACACACCCACAATCAACCAGATATGGTCAATAAGAGCTGAGCTGAGATAAGGTAAGGTAAGTCATGGCTGAAACCAACAATGAAATGAAAACGCACTACAACTTTAACCTGCCTCCCCCTCTGAAATACGGTGTTACATTTATCATGAGTCTCAAGGCTGACCATAATCAGAGTCAGCTTTATTGGGCAAGTATCTCTACACTTACAAGGAATTTGACTCCGGTGAACTTTGACCTCTATGTACAAACATCAAACATGAAATAGTACAAAAATACAAATGATGTACAAACTCCAACTAGACATTGAACTTGTATATATATATATATATGTACAAGACAGTAGTGTTATAGTGCAATGATGAAGAGTGCAGTGATTAAAAAAATTCATGACATTATGTTACATGTGGGTTATGTACAAGAGGTTTATATACACATGATGTTTTGCAGTACTAACAATAAAAATCAATATTTTTTAAAACTTCAGAAATGGCATTCAGAAAATTGATTCATTATTAAGATGAACAACTGAAATTGGATTGTTTGCAAATCATTTATCAAACTGCAAATCATCATCTATATTTGATCTAAAATAGTTAAGTGAAATCATATAAGTTGAAACTTAAAAAAGCCTCACTGGAATTCCCTTTTCAGTCCTCCTCAGGTGACTGACCTGTTGCTAACTCATCAGGTTAGTTATAAGATGTTCCTCAGTTTTTTTTTTTTTTTTAAGATTTTAAATGTCCCTGACCCGACTGCTGTGAAACATGCTCCTGGTATCAAATTGCGAATCCAGAGATACTTTGAATTGAATACTCATTGAATTTTTTTAGTTTCATTCAAGAAAAGACAAGATGTTCCCTTTATTAGACCCACAAGGTGTTGTTATCCGTGTTCTACTTTCAATCAAATACAGAGTTTAAACTGTTTTTAAACCATCAGAATCTGTTTTCATCGACACTGTCACAGTGTCTAACCTCCTGTTACTAATACTGAATATGTGGATTAAACTTACCCCAAAGATCCCCTGTTTACGAGCCAGTGAATTCCCAGACCAGGTCCAAAAGAAGATATGGGACTTCCCACAGGTAACTATGGTGTTTGCATCAGTGGGGTGAAACTCCACAGCCAGGACCACCTCATTAGTGGTCTGAAACACACCAGTTACACTCAGTCAGACACCACTCAGAGACTTAATGGATTTGGTGAGAACCAACAACTACAAAGTTAGAGTCCTTCCAAGGAAGTGTTTCAGTCCAAATATAACCTGCAAGTTTAGTTTGTCAAAGCTTGTCTCAGGCAGCTCCTCTAAATAAAGAATCGTTGTAAAACCAGGTTACACTGCCACACATCCAATCATTAATCACTTTACAGAGCTGCACAATAAAATCCATATGTAAGCATCTGCAGAACTGAGTCTCAATCTCTCCCCACCACCCATCTGGAAATAAGTGAATGTAAACTATGATTTCTTCTGCATGTTCATTTTACCCATCAGATGGAAGCTCAAGGATTTACAGCCCTGCTTTTGCACTATTTTGATGCCATTAGATAAAGCTTTGACCATCTGTCCCCTAACCTCAGATTAACTGGCTATCACTTGGCGATTGAAGAAATCATCTTGATTTTGGAGAAATATGCTGCAGACACGGGTATTGTGAATCCATGAAGTACAGTGGGTAGATTTTAGAAAAGTTCAACACAATTTTAAATAACTTTGCAATGACAAGCAGGTTATTGTTTTGAGTGCAGAGTGCTCACCTTGATCTCGGCAATCTTTGACTTTTTCTGCCAATCCCACACTGTCAACATATGATCGTTACAGTCGTCAATGACACTTAGGTGCTGGCCGGAGTCCTGAGAGGGACGGACATTCAGGACACAATATAAGAAAAGGATTTGAGACATGATGGAAAACAGGGACATGCTGGGGACAGATCTGATGATCAGATGAGGTCATGGTGAGAGACAGGAGGGATTTAGTGTGAGGAGGAGTGGAGGGGTAAACACAAGTTGTGAGATGATGTGAAACCGTGTACATGTCATGATCAGAGGGCATGTAACACTGTTAGTCTGAGTATTAAATGATGTCTGGATGCACAGTACAGCAGTGCTTGACTGAGCAGTGTGGTGTACATAGGCTACAGTTCCCAAGATGCACCTGGGTGGTACTCACAGCTTTAGAGAAAGCCAGGGAGCCGACTCCTCGCTCAAATGTTCCCAAACCAACAACCTGGAGAGTTGATAGACTGACGCTGTCCCAGATCCGAACATGAGGCTGCAGCGCCTAAGAAAAGCAACTCAAGGCTTTATCTAGACACACTTTCACTCACTGTTAGATCATAAAAAAAGCTTCACACTGTCCTTGTTTAATGAGGTCTCTTTATCTTTAATGTGTGAAAAAATAAAGACACATAGTAGTCCTGTCCTCACCCGTCCATCTTTGTCCACTCCTGCAATCTGTCCTGTGGCAATCCGGATCTTATCAGGATGGATGGCTAGACTGAAAGGTGAAGACAAAAGATGATGTCAGACTTGTCATCACATATTAGCCAGGGAGCAGCAGACAGTCTGTGTGTGTGTGTGTGTGTTTCCTCACCACTTGACACAGTCTGTGTGTCCGAGGTAATGTCTCTGAGTTCGTTCTTCGTAGTTAAACAGAACAACAACGGAGGCTATGAAGTAAACAATCTCTCCAGTTGGAAGGAGGTAGACGTTAGCTCTGCAGTCTCTGCCACGGTAACCATAACTGCAGGCAGTCAAGGAAGAATCTGGAAACATCTGGAAAACACCTTGATAAATCTAAAGATCTACTGCAGATGGTTTGGGGTTTTAAGTTTGTGTACTACATAGAGTGGATAGTCGACATGGTCCCTGTTAGGAGAGTTGGCCGGAGTACTGACATGGAAGATATGGACAGCAGAAATGGTCCCACACACTAACAACATTTCATTTAAACTGTAAACTTTCACCTCACTGTCTAACAGCCTGTTCCTTTGGTATAGAATTTCCTAAACTACAAAAATGCATTAATATATATGAGGCCAATTAATGATCCACTAAGATGTCCCTGATATCACCACGGCTCTAAAGACCAACAGTAAAGGGAGTCTGCTTAAGATCTGCAGGGATGTCCAGGTGATAACTGCGCTCCAGATGGAAAAACTGGATCTATTCGCACCAAATCTGGATAGCTTTCTTTCCTGACATCCTTATCATGAATTTACTTTAGCCACAGAAACTGTGAGGCAGAGATCTGATACTTTGACAGCCCTGGTCTTTAAATGTGACAACAAGATCTCATAGCTAAGAGGACTTCATGTTAGGGGTAGACCGACTCTCCAATTTGGCTGATTACCTGTATTGGCTCTTTCACTCTTCCTAATGTCCTGCCCAAAACACCATCTCTTTGGCTGCCTACAAGTTAGATGACCCTGTGACCCTATTGTCCTGTTGTGTAACTGGTTGACTGTTAATTCCAGTAATGATGTTAAGAGTTTCAGTTATGAATAAATATTTGCTAGAGGTTTTTAAACAAAGTTTTTGTTGTCATTAACATTCTAAATTTAAGCAGAAAGTTTCACACTTTTACTTTCGACACGTCAGCTTAAAATACCAGTTATTAGCTTAATGGACTACTAATTATTGGCATCAGCACTGGACCTTAAAAACCAACATTGGTTGACACTTGAATGGGTTTTCTGTTCATCTGGTTGCTGGTTCAGTAATCTGTTAAATCTCTGATGAAGCTGAACCATTTCACAGCTTAATTTGTTTTCACTAAAGGTACAATGTTTCGTATTCTGTAGGAATAAATCATGACTGACACTATGAGAGCTCCATAATGCAGAGAGGCAGTGTGTTTGTCCAGAATGAGGATACACCCACTCCAGCTTGAGTCTCTCTGGGGGAAGTTCTGTCCTAACATCCTCGTAGTTCTCCACATCTGAAGGGATGAACATGGTGATTGGTCGACCACGCATGAACATCTTTATGTTGTTTCCCTCTGCAAATAAACAGACGCAGGTGAAAACATGTTGATGAATAAAGATTCAGTGAGAACTCTTTGATCTACATGCCAAAGAAATCAGTTCCTGACAGCTACTTTCAACCAAACCCCTCATAATTAACACTCTATTTTGAAATATCTGAAGACATTATTTACTTAATTATACATTGACAAACAGAAATAACAAATCAGGTGGTGTCCAACAGGCAAACTTTGTCAGACAACGTAACATTAAAGGTCTAGCCTGATCAAAAGTAACTTAGATCAGGGTTTTAGAAAGTGAATCAAACTAAAACATGGATCGAAAAATATCCAACATCAGTCAACAGAGAGGTGTGGAAAAGGTGAGGGGCAAGAACAGGACCAATAAGGAGCAGTTAAAGGACAGGTGAAAAACCAGGTGAGGGATAAGTGAAGGGCAGGTTAAAGGATAGGGAGGGGCTGGTAAGGCAGCACTGATGACATTCAGGTGAGGCAAGTAAAGCAGTTTGGGCAGATCAGTCAGAAACACCTGCCCTGTCTTTGTTTACCTCCGTGAAAGGATACAAACATGACAGTTTAATGACGTTTCATAATAAATAACCTGTCAATCAATGTAAGCGTGACAGCAGTGTCCAATCACAGGATTTACATTTAATAACACGGTGGGTGGGCCGTCTGTTTGTATCTTTGCTTAAGCCTTAAATGCATTTTAAGGAAGCATCTGTTCAGCTTTATATGGAGGTAAAGGAGAGCAGGGGGCGGAGCCAAAATCAGGTGTGACATCACCTGATCAGTCTGAAGGAGAGCTAGAGCGGCTGAGTGAGCGAGGCCGACGATGTAAAGCAGAGAGAGACAGAGAGATGAGATTGGTTCAGAGCAGAAACAGCAGGCAGTCAGCGGCTTCCAGCCTGTTGTTAGCTTGTTATTAGCTTGTTACCAGCCTGTTGTTAGCCTGCAAGCTTGCTCTGACACGCATCAGGACTTACCAGCTTGGCTGTTTTTCTCTCGTGTTGACATTTTAGCTGGTTTGAGACAAAGACATCATCACTCAACAACACAGACAACACAAACAAAAGAAAATTACGACAGCAATATAATAAATTAACAAGCAAAAATACAAACAAGAAGAAACAAACAACACAAATAACCAAAACAGAACAATACCTCAACAGCACAAACAAAAACAACCAAACAATAAAAACAACAATACTGGGATGGAGGAGCATAGAGATGAGGAGAGTTAATTTCATCTGTAAATGTTAACTTAGACAGTTCCTACTGTTTCCAGCTGTGGCAGCTGTGGTCAACTACAGTGGCCCGAGAGGTCAACTGCACAAACATTTCATGACCCAAACAAAAATAAATAAAAATTTAATTGAAGTAATGTAGGAAACCAAATACAACATAAATAAAAACGCAAAACACATATTTGACCGAAAAGAAAAAATATTTCACAAAATTCATACTTTTTAAAAACTTCAAATCAAATATTTCACAAAACAAAAAGTGGTTAAAAACGTGTTTAAAATGTTTTAAATAACATTAAAATATTGTACAAAACTGCTAAATATTGGAAAGCCCAGAAAAAAAAATTCAGGAGAAACTAATTTTGTCTTGTGAAAAAGTTTTTCTTTCAACTCTTTTTTAAATATTTCATTGAAAATTTTTGTTCATGAATTGTATCAAATATTATGGCTTGTTTAACGTCTTTGTCCAATGAAATATTTTTGCTTTGGGTGAATTGTATTCTGCATTCTTGAAATGTCTGTGCTGTTGACCTTTGAGGCCATCCTGTAAACTGTACAAGGTTGAGAAGTTATCAAAAATGTAAAGTTGCAGCAGCTGAAATTAAATATCCAACATTTAAAGGATTAACTTGAAGTATTTAATCATTAAATCTCATACACTCTTTACTTTTTATGACCCATGAACTTTTGTATGATCTATTCATTAGATGACTTTTCAGTGGGGCAGTTTACTAAGTGATTAGAAAAGGATTTTTAGTTTCGCTTCCAGAGAACCTTCTGTTGGGAGTCTGTTTCTGCCCACCAGACATCTTGGTCACAGTTTCCCTGAGCTTGGCAGTGAGAGCAGGCTGCTTCTGCGGTTTGCATTTTTGTGTCTACTGAGCAGAAGGACATACAAGCCACACGGATGGAATCTAAATCTAATTGGACGACAAAATCCATCAAAATGATCTGGCTTTTCCTTAATCAGCCTTGATGGAACACCAGCCTGAGACCATGAAGTGGAAGATAAACTCTTTCTGTCTTTGTTGTGTCTTCTGTCTTCAGTCCAACATCAGTAATAGTTAATGACTTCATAAAGCTGAAAATTACTCAGTTGTAAAACCCCAATTCCAAAAAAGTTGGATCGCTGTGTGTTTGGTAATAAAAGCATTTTGAGTTTTTAGTTTGTGAATCACTTCCGCTCTTTAATTCATTCAAAATAGTTCAGAGATAACATATCAAATGTCAAAACTGAGAAATGTTTTTGGTTTAGGATACACATATGCTCATTTTACATTGCCAGAAGGACCAAAATCACCAAAACCCTACAAAAGAATCACCATCTTCAAGGTTTATGTTAATCTTCCTTAGGGACATGACTTGGGAATATAAAAGGCTTACCCTCTCAGGAGTAAAGATAAGACAAAGTTCCACATCCTGTGAGAGACTGTGAGCACACATGGTTTAACAATTTCAGAAAAAAATAAAATGGCAAAATATTTGGGAAATTCTTCAACCATAGCACATGATTATGTTTAGTGAAACACAGAATCAGGGGAAATCTCCGTACAAATCTCTATTTAAAAGTGATGAGGCTGAAAACCAACACCAACTAAGGTGGCAGACATGACTCTGCAGTGGAAATCATTGCATGGGCTCAGAATCTCTTCCAGAAATTGTACAAATGCAGACTAAAACTCTATTGCACAATTGCAAAACATCAGCAACTTCTCTGAGCCTGTGCCCACTAAAGATGGACTGTTGCCAGGTGGAAAACTGTCCTCTTGTCTGACAGACCTAAACATTACTTCTGGATGTCACATCCTCTGCTCTGAAAAGGAGGGTACGCAAATTCTGCACATATTACAATAGCACGGCTCTGCAGTGGAAAAGTTCTGGTGCTCAAGTGAGCTCCCTACAAACTTGTCACCAACTGAAAACATTTGGAGCATCATGACTCAAAAACATGACAAAGAAACCCTGAACTGTTTAACAACTAAAATCCTCTATCTGGCAAGACTGGGACAACATTTCACATGTCAAAAAAAGGTGATGATGAACTCACTGTTATACACATCCCTGTCCTAACTATTTTGCAACCTGTTACTTACTGGCACCAAATTTTCAATGAGCATACATCCTTCATAAAACAAAAGCAAGTTTCTGTTTTAATATTTGATGTGTCTTTGCACTTTGCACCATCAGATATACAGTGAAAATAAAAATCTGTTTCTGTCAGTTTATTAAAAGTGTTTGGACCTGTATTGAGTCTGGCGTCAACAAACCACAAAGATTCACAATTGTTGTAAACATCAATGAGTGAAATAATAGTAATGAAATGGATGAAATAAAACTAAAATATATTTGAAGTGAAATAAAAAACACAAAACTTTGATGAAATAAGAAGCAGCAGGTAGAATGCAATAAAAAATATGATCTAAAGTGAATAAAATCTAGATATTTTTGTCATTATTGTGCATATCACCAGAATTTAAACCTTTCATCTCTGCTGGTATCCCTGTCCCCATGGTGATTTTCACACTTATCAGATCTCTGAGCCACCATGACATCACTACTGTCACCACTGTCACCATCGTTATCATCATCATCATCATTATCACACTCTGAGACATGACAGGACTACATTCATTTTGAAAAACAGGAGTACAAACTGAGACAGGTCTGAGAGGCAGTGTGAGTGGCCGCTTTTTTTTGGCTCTCACACATGATGATGATGATCATGATAATAGCTGTGGAAACTGTGGTGCTTTCCAGATAGAGAGGGAAAGTGAATGCTTACCTTGACTAACTACCGGGTCTTTGTGTCTGAAAGAGAACAGAAGATAAAATGACTAGTTCGATAGGAAAGTCAAAAATTACTGTAAAAGTCAAATCAGGCTCAAAAGAATCAGTCAACTCCCCACCAGATGGTTGGGTAAGACACTGAGTCCTGGGAGCGACCTAGACAGGGGTGTGCTCATGCCATAAATGGGATTAGTTGATACACATGGTTGCTTTTCACAGCATCCTCTGCCATCAGTGCACAAGTGTGACATGTAGTGTAAAGATAAACACACATCCTCCAGTATCAGCTCACTGAAGGAACATGGTCTGATAACGGCTCACTGAAGATAAGTTATGAGAGACTACATCATTGAGGATACATGGAGGCTTTAGTGAAACAGTACTAAAGAACTGGTATTTATTCACTTAGCAGCGAGACATCTTCTTCTTAAACCAATGAGTTATCTATTTACACTGTTGTCATATTAATTATATTACTGAAGATGGATTTGCATTACATTGCAAACAGGTGACTTGTCAGTGTGAGCGAGTCATACCACTGCGTAGTTGCCTTCAATTATCTATCTAGCAGCTAAGGACAACTGTTGTAGTGAAATGTAATGGATCTCTCAGCAATGGTTAAGAAGATGTCAACACCAGATAACATCAAACTGAAAGCAACAACATCTGCTGAATAATGACGTAAAGGACTAAATCAGTGGCATCTACTTGTTGAAAACACTGACAATAACTTGGTAGTGAGTCCTTTGTGGAAGAGGACGCACTCTTGTAAAAGCCAGAAAGACTTATTTTAAATTGACAAAACCAATTTTCTATACATGAGGTGGTTTTACACTCATTCAAACATACTTGCCAACATTATATTCTACTTTTACACCAGTCTTGTTACATGCTGTGAAACAACAAATCACCCTCTAGAAACCAGGATAAACGTTTCTTGAAATATTCTTAATGGAGGACCCCCCTCCAGAACGGATGGGAAAGTTTTTTACTTCTTTTATTTTAAAGCGGTCAGGGATTCAGTTTGCAGTATGTTCATAATGAGTCTATGTGGTGTATGATCATACGTATATACCTTATTCTGCATGTGTGTAAACAGATTAAAATAAGCCCACATACAATAGTTCCTTCAAAAGTGTCAACAGAGTAAACTGAAAATGTCCAACAGAATCAATCATCTGTCTGATAGATAAAAAATGTATTGGACTGATGCAGTGCTCACCCACCCAAATCGACACACTGATGGTAGAGGAATTAAGGTTAAGTTCCAATCAATTTTAGCTCATCGAACTGACACACATTCACATGAGCTGAGCCACCTGGAGCATTGTAGGGCTCAACTTCCCATCCCTGCTGTCAGGCAGGCCTTGTATCTCCATAACCACTTCTTTACAAGAAGTAAAAAACACCTAGTGGTGGACAGCAGGAGCTTGGATTGAACTACTGACTATGTCTGCAGTACGTTTTACCTCTCTGCATTCTTGACCACTTTAGTTAGCAGTTTGGAGGTGGATGCAGCTTTCACCAGTTTGTTCCTGGTTTCCTCCGAGGTGTCCCAGGTGCTGCTTTGAGAGCGCTCCATACCTGAGGACCTCTTCACACTAGGTCCCCTAAAAAACAGACAGACAGACAGACAGACAGACAGACACACAGACACACACACACACACACACACACAGGCGGTCACAATAATGCTGTAACCTCAGGTAGAAGATAACAGTGGTGGAGGAGGAAGAAAAAGTCACTGATATTTAGAAAATGCTTAAAATGGTTTCAGTTTCAGGCTGAGTCCCTAACGAGTGTTTTCAAAAATCAAATCAAATCAAATTTTATTTATATAGTGCCAAATCACAAGTCGTCATCCCAAGACGCTTTCCAAAAAAAAAGAGCAGGTCTAGACCACACTCATTTTTAAGTTATGCTTTTGATTGATACTTGATGCTCCTGTCAGGAGGTTGTTGATGTTAATGAAACAGACTGAAATTCTCTTTTAATAATATCTTAAAAGCAAACAAGACCATCAGCAACAAGACAGACCATTTTTATTTCCTCATTTTAATGCCTGAAAGTGGTGTGGGGGGTAGGTGTCAGCGAAGCAGCTGAAGAGACAGCCTTGTTTTTACAATTTCTACATAAATTAAAGCTTCCAAAAGGGATAAACGGGCCCCCAACCTCCGTGCAGGTTAGGGTTTGGTGGACATTGTGGCAGGGCAAGCGTTAGTTTGCTTAAAAAATACTGTTATGAAAAGCATTTATGGGAAACAGGATTTATAAAAAAATGTGGGTGTGGTTTTTGGCCACATCCACCAACCACACCCATACTGCACGTGTCAAGGCTCTGTCAAGGCTCTGTTATGGCTGTGTTAGGGTTGAGACCCCTTATAAACACAGGAAATATGGTGCAGGTATGTAGATGTAGAGCTGAACTAAAGTAGTTCAAAAGTTAGTGGCAAGAATTATATCAAAACCAAAAGTCGCGGCACTGTAGGCTACTGACCACGGCCTCTGGCAAGAACTCGGTTTTTAGCACACACAAAGACCAACATGTCAGATTATCCCAAACAAAAGATGATGCAGGGACCCTCAGTCATATAACCTTTCCTGATGCCACTAGGGGGTGCTCTAACTGGGATGAAATACCTTGTGAATGCTTAAGGCCTGGACCCTGGTTATGTGTGGTGCATTTGGGTCAGATTGCAACAAGACTGGCTGAGATAAAAACTACTTCCTGTTTCATGAAAAAATGACTTTTTTGAGGGCTTGCCACAGCCTCACCTATCAACGAGATCAAGAGCTTTGAGCAGCTTTTAATCTTCAGTCCAGCCATGACACACTGTAAAGACTTAGAGTTGATAGGATAAAACTTTCTGAGATGAGTTTGTTTAAATAGACACCCTGATGGTCACTAAAACTTTGACTTTCTGCTCAAAATTTCTGACTCCCTGTTGGGTTTAGGTGCAAGAGACTTTCTTGTAGATCTTGGCAAAGTACTGTACACATACCCTGTGAATTTCATGCATGTAGACAAAAAAACCCGATGTGGGGAGGGGTTTTGAAAACTTTAGGGGTTGCTACTGAGCATAACTTTTCTGAATTTCTTTGCAAAACCATTAAATTGCACTAATTCCATGCATACCTGACGTGTGAGTTATCATGTATGTTTAGGTCTCCAAAAAAGCCAATGTTTTAGCAGAAAGCATAACAACACTAATCCCTGGGGTTCCAATGGGCTCTTGCAACCTAAATCTTTTTATTTTTTATATATTTTCTTGCATCTACACCTTGCACCTTGAATTGCCATGTGTATGAATGGTGCTATACAAAAAAACTTGATAGCCTCATAAGAACAAACATCCCAAGCATTTACATATAGGTAAGTAAAAGTCAAATTTTTCACATTGAGTTTCAGGCTAACAAACAAATTAATATTGAGTATCTCAGAGCTGACCACTAGGACCTTAACTCAATCAGACCTAACCACCGAGCAGTCTGATGAAATTATGTTCAGATGCATCAAAATAAGACCATTATGCAGCTCAATCAGCCATTTGTCTGTGTCAGGGTTTGTCATGTGATGGTGGTGCACATGCCTGCTGCCAAACAGGAAGAATGGCAGAGCACAGCCAGTGTGGTTGACGAGCAGAATCAGTAAGATCTGACCATCAGTCAAAGATAACGGTGCCAATAAACTGCTGTAGCTTAACATGCTGCTGGCTGATTGCGTCAAAACCCCGGATTATCAGTCTGTAGAAGTTGTCAACAAATGTCTCTAAAACACTTGGTTATCAATCTTGAGATACTGTTCGGTTCTGAAGGATGCAAATTCAGTCTGCCATGCCGAACATTTAAGACTCAGTGACTTGTTTTCATCCTCCAAAAATACAGCAGCAGGAGTTCAACACATGACCCAGGAAGATTTAAGTGGGCTGGAGCAAGTTAGAAAATGAGGCCCAAGACTGCAAGAGGCCTGCACAAGGAAAAGGAAGACAGAAAAGACAGGTGGAAGAGGGAAAAGAAAAATGGCAGGATCCTCAGGTGAAGCTGGGAGAAGAAAATGTTAGGTGTTAAAACCACTTGCAGGCCAGCCATAGCTTTCTATCTGTTAGAAAAGGAGTCAAGAGGGCCTGGGGAGACTCTGTGATCTCCTGGAGGCCTCAGCTATTTGCAGTTAGAAAAGAGGAGGTTCAGTTCAGAGGAGCAGATTCATAAAGGGCACTGGAAAGTTAAACAAAACATGTACACACACATGCACACACACACACACACACACACACACACACACACACACACACACACACACACACACACACACACACACACACACACACACACACACACACACACACACACACACACACACACACACACACACACAAAGCCACTTCTGAGCTTTCAACCAGCAACATTTAAACATCCTGTGGTTTACGGACACACTATGGTCTTCAAGAGATTTGAGAAGACTCCTGGACCTCCAGAGGGCTCAGAGGAGACTTTAGGAACCATAGAGAGTTACCCGAGATTTTCTGACCCTTCAATTATCTCTTCTGGATCTTATGAGAACCAAGGGTCCCCAGGAGTCTCCTCAGATGTCTAGGATGCCTGTTGACTGACAAAGGCTTTTAGATTGCTAGAAGACTCTCAGATCTTCAGAGTTCTGATGAGACTTTAGAAAGTGACAGGGGTTTCAGGAGACACCGAAAAGTTCTCAAAGTCATCTAGGCCTCCGACTGAGGAGCCACAGTCCTGCCAGTTGATTTTCTTTCTGCCCAAACCAGATAAGCTGAGTTGAGTTAGGACATCAGGGGGACCTCTGTGTGCCCTGATGGGCTGATCAGGTGTTAGCAAAGCAGGGGAGAACTGCAGCTCCTCAGGAGAGGGGTTAGTAACCAAAGGCAGAGTTGTCAGAGCAGCGTCAGCAAAAAGGGGGGTTAGAGCCAGCTGACAGATTACAAAGTAAAACCTTTTGGGAGGAGTGTGGCCTTTACTGGTGTCAGCACACTGGGCTGTCCTCTGCGGCTGGGGATTCACAGGGGTCTGGGGAGGGTGGGGGGAAGGGGGAGAGGGAGAGGGGGATGAATTCTTTAGGCGAGGAGGCTCCTCACGTTCCTGGATCTCCTCCATCTGAGATCGCTGGTTGCTGCTCTCCTTCTTCTTATCCGTTCCACTGTGGATGAAACCAGGACCATATGACACCAAAAACCACTGAGTGCACTTTTTCTACTAGTTTTCATCTACTGTTTCTACTGTTTCTACTTTACTTCTACTGATTCTACCATTTTTACTGCAGTGACCCAAACCACCAAAATCCATCTGAGACGTCTGGCTGTTGACCTCCTCCTTCCTGTCTGCTTCACTGTGAACAAAACCAGGATTGTGTGAGGCCAAAACAAAACCCACTCTACGGTCGCTACTGTAGGTCTACTGATCCCCCTGATTTTCCTCTACATGCGAGACAAGTTATAACTCATTCGACAGTGTTAGTGGTTTTCAGGCTGCTGACCAAAAACCTGGTTTGTAGAGAAATTCGAGTTTAACTGAATCATGAACATTTATCAGATCTTGTCTGGAGACATTCTGGAGGCTGAAATCAAGGTGTGGAGAAAAAAATCAATGACAGTTGACGGAGGAAAGGGGAGAAAAACTGACAGGAAGAACCCTTTAAATTAACAGTGTGCATCTGTTTGTGTGTGTGTTTAACCTCTTAGCGGCCGATGACACAGTCTCCTTCCTGGTGACAGAGGTGGAGTCTCTCTTTCTTCCAGAATTTCCTCCATTAGCGATGCAGGACATGGAGTAGGCTTCCCGCATAGCAGCTCCACCTGAGGAGCAGCACACCGCTGTTAATGTTTACCATGAGCAGTTCAACAGTTCAACTTCTTTGGAACTTTTTTAAGTTATAAAGTCAACTGTGAAAAAACAGCAATACATGATGATCTGCTGTGATGAAAAAACACTTCAAGGAAGGATGGATTATGTACTCCTGGACCGGCTGCAAAGAACTAAAAAAATCCTACCTTTCCCTCCATGTTGTTTCTTGGATGAAGAGGAGGCAGACACCTCAGAGGCAGAGAGGCGGCGAAGGACGTCAGCAAGAGCAGCTTTCATCACCGTCAACTCATCTTCCTGCTGCTGGACTCGAAGCTCCAGAGCAGAAAGACGGTCGTTGACATCAGAAACACTCGCTCCAGACATACTGTCATCTGTGGAAGGTGGACACACTACATCTCAGTATCCCTATATCGTTAGAGAATGGTATAATATCTTTAGTTTTGCTTTTCTTATATGTGCTGTGCTGTCATAAAACCACTGATAAAACAGAAGGTTTCATACAGCACATTTTAACAGATCATCTAGAAATAATAAAGCATCTATCTATCTATCTATCCATCCATCTATCCATCCATCCAGGCAGGCAGGCAGGAAACTTTTCAAGGCTGTGATTGGTCAATAAACCCCACAACCTAGTTAAAAGACTGTTAGGGAGAGGATTTGCTCTCTGAAGGATGGCACTGATGGTGTTCTTGACCCTCTAGCCCCTTACAGCAGCCCTTCTATCAGTTCAGTTTGACATCCTGTGATTTTATTGCCCCTGACATTAGGAACATTGACTTATTGCCCATTTTCAAATCCTGCCTTAAAACACACTAAATTACACAGGTCTACTCAAACTGATTATTGTTGCTCTGCCTGCTGCGGAGTCTAGATTTTACAGTTTTTTGATGCGTTCATGTTTCTTAACCCTTGTGTAAACCTTAGATTTACATCATTTCTTAACACTCAGTGGCTAAAAACAGCCACTGACATTGACTGCTGTAAAAACATATTGGATTCACATTTTTTCCAGACTTTTTTTCATATATCGCTTAATTCACTTCTGCTCTATTCAACTCGTAAATGTTTCATTAAGAATCCAAATTTTAACCCTTTCAAAAGGACCCATTTAAAACATAAAGTCACTAATATTGAGAAAAAAATGGGAGGAAAATGACTGATTTTTATTAAATTTATTTTCTACCATATCAGTGACATTATGTTTTAAATGGACAAAGGGTTAAAAAATGTTTTTGATAAAACATTTACTAGTTTTGATCAAAGCAGAAGTTAATTAAGAGATATATGAAAAAAACTGGAAAAAATATTAACCCAATATGTTTTTACAGCTGTCAAAGTTAGTGGCTTTTTTTAGCCACTGAGCGTTAACAACGGATGAAAGTTTGTCCAGCGCGTATATTTGACCTGGTGAAAATTTTGAAGTCATATTCTCAAAGTGTCAATCAATATAAGCATCTGCACAAAAAATCATCATCATCATTTGCTGCAGTAAAAAAAAAGTTACGTGGAAATTAGTGGCAAAATTTTGCCCCTAGTGGCTGATTTTAGCCACAGCGTTACACAAGGGTTGTCTTTTTTTATTTATCTGTAAAGTGTCCTTGAGTGTCGTAAAAGGTGCCTATAAATAAAATGTATTATTTTTATTATGATTATTATCATTGGCTTTGTTTGAAGTGTTGTTATTGTTCTTTAAAGCCATGTTTGGTTTGTCATATTTAAAATCCACTCTGGTCTAACAGCACTGTGGTCAACTGTGTTTGTTTTGAACATGCTCGAAAACTGAACTCTGCCTTGATAAGGTGCCAGGCCATGGCTAAGTGGATGAACAGTGTTCAGCACAGAAACATGGATAGATAATATAGGGTTGACTGGTTGGTGTTGAGGTTTACTGTATATCATCATGTTTACAAACAAGATTATTTCATATAACTTTAAAAACACATTCTTCTTATCTGTTCCTGACATCCAGGCACAAGTGCTTATGAAGCTCTCCAATGTTCCCAGATATCTAAAAAGATTTCATGGGTCTAAAAGCTGCAAATTGAAACATCTTGCTCTATATCAAACTGAAAGGAAATTCTCTGGGAGGAAAATCTGGTGTGAACTGGTGTCTGGTGTTTCTGTTCTTCACTTGAAGGGTCTCTGGTGTGAAATGAGAGGAGAATCTCAAGTCTGAACTAGTATGAGAATTTCTGATCTAAACTGGGAAGAATCTTTGGTCTGAACTTGTCGGGTTGAACTTGAAACATTTAAGTTAATAACTTTAGAGGTCCCTGAGCCTGACCAACAGAGAGCCTCTGGTCTGAACCTGGAGAACTTCTAGTCTGAATTAGGAGGATTTATTATTTGGGTGAGGGGGTGGGGTGGAAAAGAGTGAGTGAGGGGTTTGCAAAGGTTTATGTATGTAATCAGATAATTAGCCGGGTTCAACCATTGCGTTTCCTTCAGAGTGATGTTCTGTTAGGGTAGTTGCTGAAACACAGCTGTGTGAAGTTTCCACACAGTGAGTAACTTCAATCATTTCACCACAGTCCATGAGAAAAAGCAAACAGGAGTCTTAACTCCTGTGAGCAGGCTGCCACAGACAAAGTCATCTCTGGAAACCACTGGAGAAACTATCAAACCAGACACAGTGAGGGCAGACACTCATACCTGCTAAGAAACAGCAACAGTAACAAAAAGGCTTGTTGTTCAGCAAGCTTTTGATCACCTACTTGCACGAAAATTCTGTGCAGCAGGCAGCAAAAACACAAACAGGAAAGAGTTAAGCCTGTGGATAAGCTGAGGTGGTTCTTCCCAGACATCCAGTGGCTCCCCCCTTTTGTCAAAGTGACTCTGTGTTTCATTATCTGTAATTTTAGGCCTGAATGAATGAAAAAGAAGACTGTACCAAAATCAGTCTTGCACAGTTGTGAATAATGTAATAATAAGGCTTGCAAGGTAAAACTGTAGTTTGTTAGAGCCTGTAAAATTGGGTTTCTGATGTCAAGTCAAAGTTTTTCATGTGGCGCCTAAGGGGGAGCCAGTTCCAAGAGGCCCCTCAAGCACAGTATTTTTTGACATTTCCTTTTCTGTTCTTTTTTTTTTTTTTTGCCCCATGGGTGCCATTTAACTGAGACCGAGTGTTTCTGTCACTATAGCTGATAGCTATCAAAGTCTACCATCATGGCCTCATTACCAATGACAGGGTGTATTGGCTAAGAGTTGCGGCTCTACCTAGCTTCTTGGTCTCTGAAGGGATCTCACCTAAAAGGGCCATTCTGTCTGGCTGAATGTCTGCCTCTATAATACAGCTAACATTACCAGTGACAGCAGTAACCTCACCATGCGTCCACAGGCCGAAGAAAACAGACTTTGCATACTGAGTGATCATTTTTATGCCCTGTTGAAGACTGTCCTTATCTGATATCAGAGTTCTTGTTCACAAAAAGTAAAAATCTGTTGAACCCTTTGTTTCAAACGGAAAAAAAGAAGTTGTAGTATAAAGGGAAACAGTCAGGAAAGTTGAGAGTTGCAACCTAAGAGAATTCATGTAAATTCAACTGAACTTGTTTCGCCTTGCAAATTTGGCCACACGCGGCAAGTTTTCTGCAGAGTTGGCCAGTCGCCCTACAAGCATGAACATGTTCATCACCAAACCTGCAGATTTGAAGTAGAATATTTATTCCTTTGTGTCTGCCATGTTATAAGAGTATCAGAGGGTATGGTTTACTGTGTTGTCAAATTCTTTGGAATGCTGGAGGATCTGTCTCTCAGTTAATGAAGCTACAGTTTCATAATTCCTCTCTAATGGACCCACAATCCAGCCTCAAACTAAAATAAGACAAGATAAAGAGAACTTCAATCATCCCTGAGGGGAAATTCAATAATGTAATAAACTACAGAGAGTCAACACACAAAATAGTAGTTGACTAAATGATTTATCATCTACACCCTTGTTAGTTGTCATCCCACCTACATGAGAGTGTTCACCTGCCGAAGGACCAAAAGCTGGTGGTGCTAGCTTTGCTAATGTTTTTCACACTCAGCAAACCAATTTGACTTTATTTTTTTTCCAGGTAACTCTGTGATCTTGTGTTTAACCATGTGAAATTAATTGAGTGTAACTTGAAAAAGTTTTGTCTCAGCATTAGAGTGATATGTTAGTCACAGTTTGAATTTTCATTCATACAGCAAATAGTAAGTTGCTTTGGGACACTGATACACAGCAATAAATCCATTAGTGGTTATTAGAGGATAGACCTTTTGTCAGCCTTGGCTGATCATCTGGGCCTACATTCAGAATTTGGCCAAATATCAGTGTTAACCTCTCACTTCGACATTGACATAGAAAATTACTAATCAAGTAACAAACGCACTACTTTGACTCCACTGCCACTGTGTCCACCCCCAACTCTCTCACCTTGTCCTGTCCACAAGCACACCTGATTGGCTAAACATCACAGGATCATCACTGTTTACCTGTTGTCCAAAAAAAATCGATTTATTTCCTTAGTCTGACTGAAACTGTACTTTAAAGAAACACATTAGTCCGCATAAATCACATGAAATGAAACTTCTCATAGGCGGACCAGCATACCTGAATAATGCGGTTGAGGATCAATCTGTCATGAATAAACTCAATCCAGCAGAAACTGGTCTGAGCATTCTGAGCATGCACCAGTGTTCTGGTGTCGCACGTTTCAGCCTAGATTCAGATTTCTAAAGATATTCAGGAAAGTTTTGAGTTGAAGTTTGTAATCTTCCAAACGATGAATTATGACAGTTTTCATTTGCATTTCAAACATTAATTGTTGGTCTCATTAACTTCTAATAATTGGTATCTGTATCAGCCCTAAAAAAATAAATAAAAAACATTGCTAAATCCCTGAAACGAAGACACTTCCTGAAAGAAGTATTTATGGTAGAGTTGTTACTGTGTTCTGCATTATAGTTCGCAGGTTTTCATAAAGCTGTAAACAATATGTCTGCATAAAATCATAATTACGCATGTACACTAAGGAATACTGATCTATTTCATACAAATGCAAAGTGCCGTAATCACACTATAGTGTAAGTTTTGAAAAAAAAAATCTGTTCACCATTATTCAACCCCCCTAAAAGTTTTACAACCCTCCGTAGGACAAAGACACACGCACTTTCACAACTACGCACACAGATACATGCACACACAGACAGACACACACTACTGGACTCTTGGATCCCCAAGCTAATGCTACAAATGTTTCAAATACAGGTTTTTGTCTTGGTCAAGAGTCCCGCACTCTAAACAATTCTCCTTTTCTTCGTGCGGAGCTGTTAGTTTTGAGGCCCTGCAGCCGCCGCAGGGGCGGTGCAGACCTTTTTAGATAAATACAGCAGTGACACGTGTAAAGCCGTCAGAGGCGCGTGCGGCACTCAACATCCCGCTGGTGCACGGACCGGTGACCGGGTTATCTTGGCGGTGCAAGCTGCGGCCGGGACTCACCTAGGCTGCCGGTGAATCCGTCCATTTTCCGGGAGAAAAGCGGGAATCCGGGCCGGAGGCCTGCGGGAGGCTGAGCGCACACTGCGGGCCTCCGTCCGGGGTTTTCCACCGCAGCTGCAAGAGGAACAAGCAAGCCGAGCCGGGTCTTTTCTCGCAGCGATGCCCGCAGTGTCCGTAAGAGCGAAGATCGGACGCTTGTCTGCGGACTGGGAGTAGAAGCCGCTCCTGGAGAATCCAACAGCCGAGACTCAGACGAAGGAATCCGCGGAGCCGCAGACACGACGGACCGACGCTGCTGCGCGCTTCCGACTCCGCCTGCTTTGGCAACGCGCGCTTCCCCCTGAGAAAGTAGTGTGTGCGCGCATGTGTGTGTGAAGGGGGAGGAGGGGGGTTGCGAGAAAAAGAGGAGGATGGAGACAAGTGGGAGGACTAAGGGGGACTCGGGGTAGGTAGGTCAGGTTTCGCAAAGTAGCTGGTCTGAGGAAGTACAGCGGCACCTAACGGACACTCCCCGTCATTACACAAACATTGACGACAGGAAGTGACGCCGCTCTGTTGTCTCAGAAGACGTGTTCTATTCCCAATTTTCACCTCGTAAGGGTAAATCTTAAAGAGATGTCTGAAGACTGTTTCAAAGCAAAGGTCATTGGATATGAGAAGTGTAATGTCTCAGTTATAAACCTGGTGGATGATGAAGATGATGCTCTCAGTGATGAAAACTTACCAAATGTCAAATCCCTTCCTGTCAAATAAAAAAGTAATTTGTTTCAATAATGGTTTTTTTTCAAAACTATGTTTAAAAACTTCACCTTAGACACCAAAATATTTCTGACAATATATCTTCTTTATTCACAGAGAAACCCTTTAATATCTTTTCTAATCTGTCCTTACTGAGCAGTTAAGTTGGTAGATGTTAGAGCACCTTTTTTGATACAGAGTTGGAGACAGTTTCAGTCACTGCTCCCCTCTGTCTACATTTTATTTTACTACAGCTATTTAAACGTGTATCAAATCTTAACTGTAGCCTGGAAATTTCACATGCATTAAGCAAGAATGTTTGTGTTCTTTAATATTTATGTGGTTAAATTTATTATGCATATGTGAACACTGACCTTATCACAAATTAGAAAAGAAAAGCAATGTCACATTACACATAATTATTTTCTGAAGCTCCTGTTCAGGGCATTTTTTATAATTGTGCAATTGAATAATTTTGAATGAATGCATTATTTTATTAAATGCACATTTCACTACTTAATTTTCAGGTGTTTGTTTGGTTAGAAGTGTTTGTACATGTGTAATCAATCAATCAATCAATCAATCAACTTTATTTCTATAGCACATTTTAAAATAACCACAAGGGTAGTCAAAGTGCTGTACATAAAACAAATAACACAAAGAGCAAGATAAAGTGAGCAGAAATACATTAATGCAAGGGGATAAATAAGTAAATAAATAAGCAGGCTCACGGCAGGTGCTAAAATGATAAAAAACAAAGTAACACTAAAAAGTATCAAAAGCCAAGGAGTAAAAGTGTGTCTTTAAAAGGGATTTAAAAACAGGAAATGAGGAGGCCTGTCTGATATTCAAGGGCAACTCGTTCCAGAGCTTCGGGGCAGCAGCAGCAAACGCTCTGTCCCCTCTGAGCTTCAGCCTTGTATATGGGACCGTCAGTAGCAGCTGATCGGCTGATCTTAAGGGTCGGGGTGGGCAGTAAGGCTGGAGCATTTCAGAAATGTAAGGTGGAGCAAGATTGTTCAGGCTTTTAAAAACAAATATTAAAAGCTTAAAATGAATTCTGTACCGTACAGGGAGCCAGTGTAAGGATGCCAGGATGGGGGTGATGTGCTCACGCCTGCGGGTCTGGGTGAGGAGACGTGCAGCAGAGTTCTGCACAAGCTGCAGGCGGGCAAGGGAAGCCTGGCTAATCCCTACATACAGAGAGTTACAGTAGTCAAGACGGGTAGTTATAAAAGCATGGATTAATTTTTCCAGGTCAGGTCTTGATAAAATGGGCTTAACCTTGGCTATTTGACGTAGCTGATAAAAACTTTTTTGTACCACCCCGCTGATCTGTTTCTCAAATTTAAAATCAGGGTCAAACTTAACTCCCAGGTTAGTGACGACCTCTTTAAGGTAGGGTGAGAGGGAGCCTAGGTCGATGTTGGGGGGGTGGCCTCCACTTGGTCCAAACATCATTACCTCGGTCTTGTTCTCATTTAGACTGAGGAAGTTAAAAGAAAGCCAGGCTTTAATGTCCTTAAGACAGTCAGTGAGTTGCTGGACTGAGTTGGAGTTGTTCTGTGCAAGTGGAAAATAGATCTGACAATCATCAGCGTAAAAATGAAAGGAGATGCCATGTTTCCTAAAAACAGAACCAAGGGGGAGTAAATAAAAGGCAAATAAAAGAGGGCCAAGGATTGAGCCTTGGGGGACCCCATGTGGGAGGGGAGCTGTTGAGGATGCAGAGTTGTCAAGTTTGACGCAGAAACTTCTGTCCCTTAAATAAGACCGGAACCAGTCCAGGGCAACACCCTTAATACCCACACAGTGCTCCAGGCGAGAGATTAAAATGCTTTGGTCAACAGTGTCAAATGCAGCAGACAGATCTAGGAGCACAAGGACAACAAACTTTCCAGAGTCTGTTGTCATTAGAATATCGTTTGAAACCTTTAAAAGTGCTGACTCTGTGCTGTGGAGAGCTTTAAAACCAGACTGGAACAACTCTGTGATACCATTATCTTCCAAAAATGGTAACAATTGATTGTAGACCACCTTCTCTAAAATCTTGGACAGATATGGAAGATTTGAGATGGGTCTGAAACTGGCACAGAGGGATGGGTCAAGGCCAGTTTTTTTAAGTAGAGGCCGTACTACAGCATGTTTAAAATCCTTAGGTACTGTACCAGAGGAGAGGCTACTGTTAACAATATTAAGGACACTTGGTCCAATAGTAGCAGGTACCTCTTTAAACAAGCGAGGGGGGATGGCATCAGCAGGGGAACCAGAAGGCTTCATATGGCCGACTATGTCCTTTAAAATAGAGAGGGACACAGACTCAAATTTGGCAAAGACAGATGTGGGGTGCAGAGGGGCAGAAGGGTCATATGAAGGTTGAGAGATACAGGCTCTGGTTGACATAATTTTATCAGTGAAGAAGTGGAGGAATTTTTCACAGATTTCAGTGGAGGAATCAAAACCAGGAGACTTGGGAGCCTCAAGGACAGTGTTTATGGTTTTGAACAGAGCTCTGGGGTTGTTACAGTTAAAAGCAATTAATTCTGAGAAGTATTTATTCTTCTCGGCTTTTACAATCCTCTGATAATTCCTCAGACTATCTTTAAGGATGCCAAGAGACACGTGCAGTCTGTCATTTTTCCACCTGCGCTCCGCCCTCCTGCACTCACGCCTGGCTGCACGAGTGACGTCGTTCAACCAGGGCTCGGGTGTAGGTTTACACTGATTGTTCTTACTTGAAATGTTTGATGAAAGAAAATGCTGTGAAAAAACATCAGAAGCAATTTGTATCGTGTTTGAAATACTCAACTGGAAATCAAAAAATCATTTAAGATCAATTTAAGAAAATTTTAGGGAAGTTAAAGCAATTTGAGGACTGAATTACCTTTAGGATTCAGGTTGTGAACTTCAAAGTTGATCATGTCTATGACATAAACTGCTTAAAAAAAGGTGCCTTTGTGTGGTTTGGTTTTGTTTGTTTGTAAGAATTAAAAACAAGAAAAGATTGTAAGCAACGAAGTGAAACCAAAAACAACTTTTATTCTGTTGAATAAAGAAAGATGTAAAAATTCACATTTAAAAAATAAGAGCCCCTTTAGAACTTTATGGTTTTAACTCAACAAAAAACACAAACAAAAGAAATCATGAACACATAAACAGAGAGCAAAAGATCTGCTAAATCAGGAAATAGAAAAAAAAAGGTTTAAACAGCGACCTCACATCAAAATTTACTCATACCAAAAATAGGAATCCAGTGTCAATACAGAGGGACTCAAATTGATCGATCATACAGGTGATTCAATGGCCTGTAAAGGGAGAGTATAATATTTAAATAAAGTATTGTACATAGTTTGTTTTATCTTCTTATTCACTGTTCAGTCTTCTTCAGTAAACGCTTATGAGAAGTGGCTGAAATCAAAACTCCACTGAGGAAAAAAAAACACCACAATTAATAGCAAGTCTCTGTAAGCATCTGGTTGACTGGATCACTGTTTGACCTTTCTATAATCGACTAAGCTGCATTTAGATCCTTCAAACCTGGTTTTATATCAAGGATGAATTTCTGGTTTTAAATGACTGAAACAAACAGATAAAAAAGAAAACTGAAACAATCAATCAGAAAATATTTGGGGGATAAACTCCTCACTTTTACCAGGAACACTGTTTGTTATATGTCACATATTGAGATGTATAAAAAGGCGTTTTTAAGACTTCATCATGTCAGATTGAGGAATCAATCAAATAGACACATTCCGTTCAGACAGTCACAAGTAGACCTGAGTAAATCCTAAAGAGAATTATGATGATGATGATGATGATGATGATGATGATGATGATGATGATGATGATGACAAGTAGGTTGATGTGGAGGCACCGAGTGATAAATGGTTGATCAGGTCAAAGGTCAAGGTTCAGTTAACATTCATAGAGAGGACTGAATCAGTTTGAGTTCATCTTTAAACTGCAGTAAACGTGAAGACAGTCTGGTACTGAGCAGCTTCATGTCTGTACGTGATGAAACAAACTCAGCTCTGCAACATCAACAGATTGTCCAGGAGGAGAGGAAAGCAACACATGTTCTCATTTGGGACTGTTGATGTTACACTGTCTTTTCAGTGACAATCAGAGGACAACTGTACTGATGACACAAAGTGAGAGCTGATACGGCAGAGCTGCTGAAGAGTAAGGACAAAGAAAAGGGAGGAGAAGGCACGTCTGACTTAAGATAGTTGGTCCAGGAACATCTGGAGTTGGTCCAGGAACATCTGGAGAAGGCATTTGTTTAAGGCTCGTTCCCTGCAGGAGGTGCTTCAGTAGCTGAATCTGACCTTTGAGATATCAGCGATCAGAGTTCTGGCCAGGTAGATCCCCACCATCTGCTCATTGGTAAACAGGTAAACAGAGACACAAGGTGAGACAACCTGACCTCCAAATAACAGCTGAGCCAAAAGAAACACAACTCTGGGCTCTCCAGTTTAGGTCCGTCCGTCCCTAATTCAAGTTGTTATTGATTTATTAATGACACAAATACATCAAACTCTTTTAAGTACGGGAGTAAGACACTGACACAACTGGCAGGGCTGGAAATGGCTTTGAGTGTTTGTGTGTTTTTCCCCATTGATATTTATCACTTTATTTGGTGACTCTGACAGTTTGAGAAGTATCCTGGTGATGAGTCAGGTCTGTCAAGCATTACTGGTAAAATTCGCTACCTGTCATTTTTTTTAGCATCAGAAATGTCTTTCACTTCAAATTATTTTGCCCACAACAACAACAATCACTGCCAGCTTCTTCCTTATCATCCTAACTTTAGAGCATTTCATAGCCACTCACTAAATTTAAGAAATGCATTTGGTTTGTTCTGCACTACTGTAGAAACATGAAGGTGAAAGGGCACCTGCTGTCCTGTATAGATATAAAAGGCTCAGATGTCCTGTCAGAGGTGTGATAGGTGGGCTGACACTAACATCCCTGTGATTGATATTATGTTCCTTTTTTGTTTGTACAGAGCTCATTTGCCTTCTTTGTAGGAAGCTGAACCCAAGCTTTCCAGAGTGACAGACTGTATTTGTACCTGCAGCAGAGAGATGACGATGAAGACGAATGCAACTGTGTAGAGATTTCCTGGTAACCAGTCCTCCAACGCAGGGATGCAACCTTTAACGTAGATGTCTTCACTCCATAGCCTCTGCAGGTACATCAAAAACCATTGAAGGGTATGTTTTTGTTCAAACTCAAGATGACATTGATATTTTATCACATGATTATAAAACATGGTTATTTCTTGTTGGAACGTGAACAATAAAGATATAGAAAAAAATGTATCATTATTATTGCAAGAGCACTGTTCACTCCGAGGGCACCTGTGCTTTAAATCTCCACCAGGTTCCTGTGGTGGGAGAGTAATTGTCTGAAATCTTGATAAACCCCTTTACTGTGATCAACCCCATTACACAGATAAAGATGAGACATTCACACAAACTTCAACAAAGCAAAGTCTGAACTCAGGAAGAATTTAAAAAAGGACAGAATGATTGAAAAAAGACTAAAGAAATGGGAGTTACAGTGGAGAAACCTTAACTAGGCACTGCAGATATTCATGCATGCATATTATAGGAAAAAATACAACACAGTTTCATGTAATAATTCCATGAAATAATCAAATTTGACTTTTTCCTGTGTCAAATTACGGACTAAAACAAGCCCCCTCAGGTGGATACAGCACACTGACCAAAACCCTGTCTGAGTCTTTTCTGCTGTTACTGTTTCCTCTCACCTGAACCTTCAAGAAGCACCTAAACCAACCCGCTGAATCTTAAATAAATTATAAAAAAGAATCATAAAACATTTCAGTGAAATCTCACCTCTGGTCTAGTTCTCACATCATAGCCACACTGAGTGTTTACCACCAAGTCCTGAAACAAACAAGCTTTTTACAACTCAACACAACAGGTTTACAGGCAGACATGTATCAATGAATCAATGAGTCACATCAACTAAACAATAATCAGTATTAATAATTATTGTACATGACTTACAGCAGGATCTGTGATGCAACAGGAAAAAGGAACTCCACATCTCTCTCTGCTGCTGTGAGTATCGTTACAACTGAAATACATGTTCTGGTCCCAGTCGTTTGGTGCTTGAGCGCCGCAACAGTGGTTCTGTGAAAAGTAAAAGATGTGTCAACAGAGTGACAAACAGGAACTTACATTTCAGCCATCTGTTCCTGAACTCCACTGCTCCTCTAACAGAGCCTTATTCAGAGAGACAATGACATTGAATCAAGTGAAGGAGGATGTTTAAGGGTTAAGTGAGGACACCTTAGCCCCCAAAGTCCACACTATTCAAATGACTTTCAGGGTCCTTAGATTCAGCTGGCATCAAAGAAGAAAGATAATTTACCCATCAGAAGACATTTGGTTCAATCAGAACATGGATGCTAATGGTTAAACTAAATCACCTTGGTCACTGCGTGAAATAATGCCAGTTTCAGACTAACTTTGGAGTTTTTCCTGATCAGCTGTTACTTGACTCAGTTTGAGATGGGGGGCTGCAATGCTTCCCAATCACAGATTTTACATGGATGAGTCAAGGTTAGGTTGGACAAAAGGTGGCCTACCTGCTCTTAATACTAGATCGTTGGGTGTTGAAATTAGAGAGAGCTCAAAAATACCCTATAGTGCTGCTCTACATTGACACATGCTTCATTGCAGTATGCAGCACCATGGAAATTTCAACCTGAATCGGTGGTTGTTTGAGGCATTTTTCAATTCTTTATGTGTTAACCAAAGCTAAGCTATCACCTGTTAAAGATAGAGTCCGCTCTGCAAAGAAACTTTAACTGAAACCTAAACACTAACGCCAGTCTAATCATTTACTCTATTTAAAAGGTTTTCAGCCTTTAACTTTCAGAAAGCCTAAAAAGACATCACCATGAGTACTGGGTTGGACCCGCTTTTGCCCTTAGAACTCTCTAATTTTTTTTGTGGCAGACTTTCAACAAGGTGTTGGAAACCATAATTTCATGTAGCTGAGGCCCAATTTGACCCACCATCTGAAGTTTACCTGAGTCAAATTCCTTATACGTGTACACATACTGTATTTGGCCAATAAAGCAAAATCTGATTCTGACTGGAGCAGCTGAGATTCAGACTCATCTGACCAGGTTTCTCCTGTATTCTATAGTCCAATTTTGGTATCCTGTGTGAGCTGTAACCTCAGTTTCCTGGTCTTAGCTGACAGAATTGGGCCCCCGGTGTGGTCTTCTACTGCTGTAGTCTGTCTGCCTTTGGGTTTGACTTGTTGTGTATTCAGAGATGCTATTCTGCACACTCTGGTTGTAACAAGTGGTTATTTGGCTTCCTGTCACCTTCTAATCATCTTGAACCAATCTGCCCATTCCCCCTTGACCTTTAACATCAACAATACATCTTCATCCACACAGCTGCTGCACACTAGATATTTTCTCTTTTTCTGACTCTCCTCTGTAAACCAATGAGATGGTTGTTGATAGAAATCCCAGAAGATCAGCAGTTCCTGAAATACTCAGACCAGCTCCATGACATCAACCATGTCATGTCCAAGTCTCTTAAACCCTCTTTTTTTCCCTCATTCTGATGCTCATTGAACTGCATGCCTAAATGCACTGAGTTGCTGCCATGTGATTGTCTGCGTTAACAAGCAATTGAACAGGTGTACTTAATAAAGTGGCAAAAGAGTGTAGGTCTGCATCAATATGAGTAATGAGTTTGAAAATGTTGGATACCAACAGTATTGTGTATTCCTACTTAAAATCAATGTGTGACAGTTAACTGTGACCAAACCTGAGGCAAGCGATTTCATCAACTAGAAACAAGATCCTACAGGTTTGAGTCAAGTTTGCTGAGCAACAGAGCTTTTTGTTAAGTATCCAAACAAGCGTAAATGTACCATCCTCTGCAGGGAGTCAATGAGGTTCTGCAGGTCAATGTCATCTCTGTATGCTTTGATATTTGCCAGGAAGAACTCCTTGATCCACTCTCGGACCTGACTCTGGAAAACCACAGCCAGGACTGCAGCTGTCAGCTCCAAGATAAATATGAAGCCAATCACTCCTGAAAACTGAAACATAAGCAGACCAGTTAGACCACAGATTCATCGAATACCTTGAAGGTGCCTGCACTTTGACTAGATAGATACTTTTAAACATAGAAACTTAAGTGTATTTAGAAAAGCAGATTGACCAAATGTCATTAAACAGAGAAACTTCAGAGGACAGGCCATCTTTATCTAGAAACAAAAGTAGATCAAAAAAGCACATTCATTAAAAAAATGGAAAAACTGCAGCAGACAGATATTCTGGACCTACAAACTTAAGCAGACAGATGTTTTCTCTCAGAGCTCCCACACATCCAGCAAATCCCAGGATGAAGGTGATTCCACCTACTGCCAGGACCAACCAGACTGGGTCAAAACCATGAAGCCGGGTCACCTGGGTAAGATCTGAAAGGACTCCCTATAAACCCAGACAAACCAGTTGTGGAGAGGTCAATCAAAAAGAGTCAGTCCAGTCCCAAATATGGCAGAATAACTACTGACATTAAACAGAACCTGATACTAAATGTATTAAACAGCAAAGTGTTAAATTGAGCCCTCTTTTTTTAATTCAATAGATAAATAGCTGGCTCACATTGTGCTTACAAATAATTGTTAATTCACCTTTTCACTCCATGCCCAGAAACCAGCTGCAATAAAGGCAACCCCTGCCAGCTGAAACACAAAACCAGACATGAAAGGAGACGTAGTGCGATCTCAAATAGACTTACATCAGTTATGACTCATTTTTGACACTCAGACCAAAGATTAGTCAGTGCCAGCATTTTTTTCTCATCTGAAAAAATGACTCACGCTAACAGTAAGTCTAACTCAAAATTTAAGATTGGTTTGTTGGCATGCTGGAATGAGAGTCTGGAGTCAAAGCTTTTATCAGTATCAAACTCACTGAACTTTCCTGATAACCAGAAGCAGTGAGGCCCCTTAAGGTCAGCCAAACTGAACTCTTTTGGGTGTGATTCTAAACAAAACTGTGACTCATAGCATTTCACATGAACACAGATTGTGAAAGATCTTCCTGTTCTCTCAACCACTCAGGATACAACAGACAGTCTTCCTGTTAGCTAACCATCAGACAGGAAGCAGCCCTGTTTCAGGGCACTCAAAGGAAACACAGCTTGTCACAGGTATTACATGCAAAGATGTGGACTGGTTTTCAGATGTGTAAGCAGGTAACTCACCCAGAAGATGATGTTGTAGCTGAACATGAGATATTTGTAACAGCAGCTGACCTCAGCGTTCTCATACCGATAGTAGTACATCTGTCACAACACAAAGCTGTTACATACACAACTGTTACAACACTGACACAAACTACACACAGCACTGTTTATCAGCTGTAACCTGTCCACAGGAGGAAACACAGCACTTAAAGGCTGTTTGTAGGTTTGACTGCTGACCTTGAACAGTCTACACTGTTACCTGTTGGACAACACTGAAGTTGGCATCTTAATTGCTGCCTCTGGTTTGGTTTTTGAAAGGTAGTTTATGGAAACAAGGTCCTGTTTCATAACCACTCTCCCTAGCCTTGTCAGATCTGGAATAAATGATCTTAAAACAGCTTACACATTTCTTAAACAGTCTTAGATTTGTGAAGCCTCAATTCTAACTCTTTGTAATTCTATTCAACATTTCTTCTCTTCTTATGTGAAAATGTAAAAGTGTTCAAATTCACTATGCTTTTCACCCCTAGACCACACTGAACCAGCTCCTGATCCAGAAAACACCTAGTTTTCATATCTGGCCTCAATTATTCTTAAGAGACTGCAACCTCTTTGAAACACATGTTTAGATTTGTAAAACCTTTATTATATCTGTGAAAATACAAGAGAGTGGGCCATTTCCCTGCACTGTCCAGGTCATAATCCAAAACATCGAACCTGTTCTTTAAGATCCGGACCAAGTCCAGAAAGATCAATGGAACCTAAGTCTAGATGGCCCAAAGTCTAAACACACTTTTTTTTTCAATTCCTTTAAAGTTAAGTAAGCTTTCATTTTAATTTCACTCAAGATGCCCAAATTCCTGACAATCATGAACCGCACTTTCCTTTTACTGCAAAGCAATATTTGGCCCTTTGGGCCCAAAACAATCAAATACTCTCTGATTGGTATTTTTTATTCTCCATGACAACTGCTGTTCTCTGATCTTACAGCTAACTAGCCACAATCAACCTCTTTCGCTGCATGTCTTCCTTTACTGACCTCTGCCAAACCCATAACTGTTACATCTGTTTCAGGTAAGTAAGAGTAAGGACCACAATTAAGTCTTTGGCATTTTTTCTCATCTGATTTCATCTAGAAAATGCAGGTGTAAAATAAGTCAATAATTTAGCCTATTCAATTTCAAATGGAGAGAGATAAAACAGGGAAACAGCTATTTTTGCATTTTCACAAATACATTTATGTATTTCTAACTGTGTTTACAAGCCCTTCCATGACCATTTTAGTAATGTGATACTATTTATTTTTGAATTTATTTATTTGTGCAAAGAAAAAGATTTTTAAAAAAGACACACGCAAATAAACATGCAATTTGCATAGATGGGAAGAAACATCCCTCAGGGCTTGAAAAAGAACACATCTAAACTTAAAGCATCTGTAAATCTGTACAAAAATAATAGCAAATCTAGATGTTCACAAAATTTTAAAGCCAGGTAGGGAAGATATTCAACAAACAAACTAAAATGATAAAATTCAGCAAAATACCTCATTCTGATCCCCCCCAAAAAGCAGTAAAAAATACCCAATAATAGAGTTAAGGCTTCACGAATCAGAAACTGTGTTTTAAGAAGTCAGTAGCCTCTTTAAGATGATCTAGCCCAGATCTGAGTCTAGTTTTAGGTTTCGACCAGGACGTTGCTTCCTTAACTTTCTCTTTAAAAGCCAAGTCGGAATCAGCGCACAAGATACTTAGTTTGGCGCCGCAGCTGTCAGTAGGTTTAAACTAAGATCGTGTGTGTGAGCAGTGTGTTGGTCAAAAAGGGACTAAAAACCGCGAGTACGTTAAAAAGAAGGGGTCCCTCGCACATTTATTTAAAACCAGATATACTACATTAGCTTAGCTTTGTTTTATGCCTCAGGAACGCGTCTCTGAACCACATTATTTTCTATAGGAAAGTCATCTCAGTACATCATTTATAATCCCACAGAGCTTTAGGACCGCCGTTAGGATAGGCTGCTGTTATAAACTGTTAATAAAGAGCTGCTCAAGAGTTTCTGTTCGAACCAATGCTAACTGTGAACCACTAAAACTGAGAATAACTGAAAGATAATTCTTTAAAAACCAGGTGAAACTGAAAAAAGTGTATCTTAAATGAGTTAAAGTGCATAAAATAGAAGGAATTACCTCGGAGTAGGTCTTATAAACACATTTATGCTGCTCTTAAACTTTAATCAAACGAGTGCAAACACACCCTACATTCGCTGTTTCCGCCAGAAACAAAACATAGCGTCTCTTCTGCTGTTTTATTGTCTGTAGACTGAGCAGCTGAAGTGAGCATTACTGCCACCTGCTGGAGATCAGGTGAACCTCTGGAAATGCTCAATTTTCTTCCTCGCAAACCTCATTAGTGCCATTAACCTTATATTTACAAGCTAAATTATATATATATATATATATATATATATATATATATATATATATATATATGTGTGTGTGTGTGTGTGTGTGTGTGTGTGTGTGTGTGTGTGTGTGTGTGTGTGTGCGTGTGTGTGTGTGTGTGTGTGTGTGTGTGTGTGTGTAACACATGGCTCTACTACTTACAGCCATATTATTATTATTTTGTTTTACTTTGACGATAGGGATCTTTGTGCAGTTGTCAAACATGTTGTAACATTTGACATATTGTGTATGCCATACAGACTATTTGTGTTGCTGCACATATTGCATGGGTTAGAATAAGAAGGAGAAAAAAGGATGTTGGTTGCTGTTGTAAAGAATTTTTCTTGGTAGATAATTTTGATGTTTTTCAAGAACTTGGCAAATAGAGGTTCACATTTATCATGCACCACAGGGGTTTCTTATGTGAAGATTCACCAAAAGGAGGTGTGAGCAAGGCAGTATCTGAATCCAAAATCTAACCACAGGCTCTGTCTAAATATTCCTATTTCTACTCACTGTAAGTAAAACTAGTTAAAAAAAAAAAAAAAAAAGAAGACGAGCAGAACAAAAACACAATTTAACTCCTGCTTTTGAAATTCTGCTGCATATAAAATACTGAAATATGTTAATTTCATGGCATTTTAATTGGTTTCGTTACAAGCTTAAAGCCATAGTGAGTGACTTGTACGTGTCTGTAAATATCTGTTTCACCCAAGCCACTATAAAAGGAGATGACACAACGCTGATTAAGCCTTCCGGCTCCTCTAACACCTCGTGGTATTTTTCAATATTTGTTCTTTTTGTGTTTGGTGTTGCGGGTTAACATTCCCACACTGGCACTCAGGAAATGACATGCTCTACTCGGTTTTACCTGACAACGAGAAGGGAGGGGGGAGGAGAGTGCTGCTTGAAAAAACATGGCGGAGAACCTGAAGAAGTGACCAAGAGGTTCACAAGTGGATTCTGCTAAAAAGAAAAAGTCTTCCTGTTCAGGAGAAGATCTGTTGGCGAAGAAAGAGAGTGATAAACGGAGAAGACGAATGCGGATTTACATCAGCGTCGCTTTTCCTCGATGGAGAGCCCTGAAGGGGGAGATTGTACTGAGGTCCGACACCGATGTTGCCTTGATACTACTGGATAAGTAAGTGACTCTGTTCAGTACGAGCAGGATGTGTTGCTGTTACATGTACTGGACCGAGTACTTTATTATGTTCTTGGAAATGGTGCTATGAATGTAAAGTACTGTTAGCAGCCTGGTGTTCGCCACATTGTGTAACGTTAGCGGAATGAGCAGTGAGTTACAAGGAGTGTGGCTCGTGTTGTTGTGTCTAACTTACTGAGGGGAGTCTATGTGCTGTGATTAGTAACTTAAGTAGCCTACACGTTGTGTAGACATTACAGTCCATGAACCGTGATAAGCAGTATTCTGTGAGTTGCAAATGTTACTCCGTGTATGGGTTACACCAGGCCTTATGTCATATTAAGGTGCCGGCCGTATCGTTGAAATAATGCAGAAATCCTTTAGGGGGCTGTAGCTTTAGACCCTCTCAAGGGTGACAATAGATGTAGAGTAAAACACATAAACAACAAAGTTATCAAATTCATTTGAATTAACTCAGCCATCTTAAGTAAGAACACAACTATACAACAGGCTGAGAGTAAAACAGGGAAAAAACATTTATAAGGAGAAGAAGAGTGTTTATTGATCCCTGAAGGGAAATTCGATAAAAATAATAATTTTAGCAAGTTTAATCATTTAAACAAGTTTGCTTAATAGAAGACTATATAGAAAAATCACGTATCTTTTAGTTTGTTAGTTTAAACTTGCTTAAATAATAATCAAGCAAGATTTTAAGTATTTTATGTGGGAGCTAATTAATATTCTTTTCTACAATATAATCAGACGATAAAGTGTCGTCATGTAGTTCTGCATGTGTGCCGTACTTTCAACATTTCCCCTCTTCATTGTTGAATGTAGCGCAAACGTCACTCACATTGAATATAAAAGTAAACTATAATCATCTCTCGACTTTGTGAGACTTATTCAGCAGCATAAAACTAACAATGCTTCTTTTTTCCATACATCATATAAGGTAAAAATCAAAAAATATTTATAATAAAGAAGTTGAAGAGAATGTGGATTCTGATCCTGAGCCCATAAACTAGCAGACACCTAAATGTGTGCCAGAAACTTGAGCGTAGCTGATGCCTGAAAGGCCGGCTGAAGAGAGCCTGGAGCATGTTGGATGGATGGATGGCTGAGTTGCTGAAGAAAGATGAAGGTCTAATTCCTCAAACTAAATGAATGGATGAAAAGCCATAAAATTAAGCAGATAAAATAATTCAGACAGTTAAGAGCTGGATTGGAATGAGATAAATGAATGGAAACATGAGTGAATGAAAAGATGAATAAATGTTTGTAATTGGTAAATAAATGGTTGAATTTTTAAACAGATCATGATTATATAAATAACTGTGCAGCGATAAATGAATGGTTGGAACTGTAAATGCATGAGTCAGTGAACCGACATAACTCTTACCTCCTGTTACCATGAAGAAGTAAGTATGAGTGAATGATATAAAGATGATTGAATGAATGAATAAAAAAAAAGAATGAATTAGGGTGAATGAAAGGATGTTTACATAATGTTTTGCTTTCAGGTCATATGGTGTGTTAATGAATGGATGGCTGGATGAACAGATGAATTCATTCTGTGTGTGTGTGTGTGTGTGTGTGTGTGTGTGTGTGTGTGTGTGTGTGTGTGTGTGTGTGTGTGTGTGTGTGTGTGTGTGTGTGTGTGTGTGTGTGTTTTCTTAGATTATCTGATCACTCTGTGACACCCGCCTGCCTGCCTGCATGTTAATGACTCAGCTGTCAGTGATGTGAAGAGTGTTTGAAGTTGCACTTAACAGGGACACTCTGTCCTAAATCACTTCCTGTGAGACTGCTAAGGTCATGGGGTCTTATGGTGTCTAAGTGTTGTCTTGGTAACCAGCGAGGAAGCCCCCTTTAACAGAAACACATGTGGAACTGCTCTTCCTGAACTGCACTGCTTGCATGTTTCACACAGTTTTGTTTGTGCTGTGGAGAATCCCTTATGCTCGCTGTACTAGTGATAACGCACGAACAGTCCACATTATCAAAGAGTCCTCCTTCTGCTCAGACTGCATAACTCAAAAACCCACCCTCTCCAATCATCAGAATACTGTGTAAAAGTTTTTTGTCAGTTACTTCAGTCCTGAAAAAGTCTCTAATCAGCTGATGAACTCTGAACAACTCTGTAAGGGTAAATTGAGTCTTTATTCTCTTACTCTGGGTCAGTAAATAACCACATTCATAGTTCAGACTGCTGACCTGACAGTTGTTAAGAAGACCACCATCGACCCCCTAAACAAGGAGGGTCAGCCGACCCCAGAAGGTCCCTGCTAAAGAGTCTGGCTGTCCACAGAGTCTGCAGCAGATTCATGGAAAGTTGACTGAAGGGGAAAAGTGAGGGAAGAGAAGGAGACCAGGAAACAGGGATGAAAGAAACCTTCAGAGGACTGACAAAGTAGATATAAGAACTTAGGGGGTCTTCACAAGAACTGGACTGAGACTGGTGTCAGAGCATCAAGAGCCTCTACACAAAGACCGGCCAAGGAAATTGACTACAAGCGTCATAGTCCTATTGTCAAGACACTCCTGAACCTGAGAAACGTTGTAAGAGTCTCACCTGGACTAAGAAGACAAAGAACTGAACTATTACTCTGTGGTCCAAAGTCCCAAGTCTTATTTGGAAATCAAGGTCCCAGAGTCTGGAGGAAGATCAAGGAGGCCCATAATCCCACATCATTGAGTTCCAGGGTGAAGTTTCCACAGTCTGTGATGGTTTGGGGGACTATGTCATCTACTGCTGTTGGTCTGCTGTGTTTTATCAAGTCCAGAGTCAACGCAGCCTTAAGTCCACCAGGAGGTTTTAGAGACCTTCATGCTTCATCTGCTGAGAAGCTTTATGGAGATCCATTTACTTTTCCAGCAGGACCTGGACCCTGCCCACAGCGCCAAAACTACCAGAAACTGTTCTGCTGATCATGATATTACTGTGCTTGATTGTTCAGCCAACTGGTCTGATCTAAACCCCATAGAGGATCTCTGGAGGATCATCAGGAGAGACACCAGAGCAACAATACAGACCAGCTGAAAGAGCTATCAGAGAGACCTGGACTCCAGTAAGACCCCAGCAGAGACACAGACTGATCATTTCCATGACACGATGCACTGATACAGGAATTCTCAGGAACCAGAGACAGATGAACATACTTTACATGTATTTATACTTCAATAATTGTTCACCAGATTTTGTGATGCTGCTGTGTAGGAATGCTACCAAGTGAAGTTTTGTTTTCTGTCTTTATATCATGACAGTAAAATTTCTATCCTATCTTCCATCCCACCTGCAACACCCACTTTCAACAAGCTAACTATATCAAGTTGTGAGAGCGACTGAGTTGAGGTGCATGTGTGAAAGGCAAGTTCCTTAAAATATCTGGGCCTGACTGTCTTGAAGTGATCTGGAAAATCCAGAGTTATAAACTCAATATCAAAAGTGAATTGTTAGAAAATGAGTTCATCCCAGATCTCTGTTCTGGTAGAATTAGGCTTTACAGGCCCTACAAACTCCAGAGAAACTTTTAAAGACCATCAGCGGGCACAGAGCTTTTCACATCACGTGGTAGAAAGTAAACAGATACAAGGTACTTCATGATGCAGTCTTGAGACTGGGAGCTAATTTCTTCCACATCAAACCATGAGAAACTGGATGGTGAGACTTCTGACAACTCACTGAGTTTACACAACATGGCACATTCACTCTCTGTCACACACACTCACACATCAATGGCTCAACTTTCACAAGCAGTCTGGGATTGGGTTTCTCACTCAAGGACTCTGACATGCGGACTCTAGAGGCCAGCGATTGAACTGCACCTTCTGATCATGAGTGGACACCCAGCCTACCTCCTGAGCCTCAGCCATCCCATTCAGAGTCCTATTATGTTTCTGCAACCTTGTGCTGCTGTAACCATGGAGACAGTGACCCTATGTTCACTGTCACCATGGTGACGGAACAGACAGAATTCTGGGTCAGACTGATTTTTAGCAATACACATATTTAAATGCATGCTGTGGGGTTTTAACAGACACTGTAAACCTGGGACAATCTGAAGGTAAAGTTTCGGTAAGCCCCAAACGCCTAACTCAGTCCCTCTGGTTTGCCCCAAACAGGCATTTCATCTGATTGACCTTTGACCTTTAAAATATCTCCAAATTGCTGGCGATGACAGAGGACTGTCAGTGGACCTCTTCGGTCTCCAAGGTAATGTTATGGTGATCACTAAAATCCTGTGAGGACATCTTTTTTTTGTGGCTCACTAGCTTCTCTGCTGGTAATGTTTAATGTGTGTCTGTGTGTGTGAGATCTGTTACCGTGACGCCTCACCTCCAGCATCCTGTCACTGTCTCCATAGCAACAGGGCTAGTGATATGACACATTACACAATATTTGGATCATTTTCGTCTGGGAGTCTGTGTGTTTATGTGTGTTTATGTGTGTGTTGTGGGGGCTCTTTATGGCTGTCTTCTTGAGAGCTGGTTCCAGTTGCACACCTCAGCTCCTTTGGACCGTTTTGAAGTGCCCAGGCTGTATTCAGGTAAAAGTTTAGATCCCCCCACACACATTAAGACAAACAGGTGTGTAATTAGATGTGAGCTAAATCTTTGTGACCTACATAACCGAGCTTCAATAAAAAAGGGACTGACAGTAACAATAAATGATCACAAGATGGCACTGCTCAGTGCTGCTCAGTACATCTGCTGCTGCAGACTGACTCCCCACATGTTCCGACAGGTAAGTTCAGGTATGGTAACATTTCAGAGCGCTCTGTCTCACTGCATTAAATGATTTAACTGCACACTCGTAGCCTGCAGCCTAAAAAGATGAAACTGTAGATCTGAGAGTCAACGCCTCTGTGTTTACAGTGACATAAGATCTGACTCAGAGTCTATAGACTGACTGCAGCAGGAAGACCTTCACCTCCCTGTTTCATTCAGACATTCACATAAATGTAATTACATGTTGGTAAGAAATAGACTGTTGTTGAAAGGAAGCAGTTCAGAGGTTTGTTATGTAACATCTAAGAGAAGATGTAATCCTCAATAATCCGGCTGGATCAAACAATATGAAGTGAATAAAAACTGGAATTAAAGGAGGATTAGGACTCATAAAAAAGGAATCCCCTCACAGGAAAATAAAGCTCATCTTTTATATGCCCAGTGAAACAAAAATATAAAAGAAGTGTTCATCTGAATCTGACTAATATTTTCTCTCCAGCTGTCTAAACTCAGACCCTTAAATAAAGTGTCTGAGCCCAGTCTGACACTCTTGAGAGTTTGAGTTTGTTATAATCTAAATATTGGTAAAAGATAACATGTCTCTGTAGTTTAACCTTCACAACCAATATCACAGGGCAGACTGCTGACCTGCAGTTGTCCAAAAAACAACCATCGACCCCCTAAACAAGGTGGGTCAGCCGACCCCAGAAGGTCCCTGCTGAAAAGTCTGGCTGTCCACAGTCTGTATGAAGCAGATTCATGGAAAGTTGACTGAAGTAAAAAGTGAGGAAGGAAAAGGAGACAAAGGAACAGATAAGAGCAGCCTTCAGAGGACTCAGTAGATTCAAGAACTTAGGGAGTCTTCACAAGAACTGGACTGAGACTGGTGTCAGAGCATCAAGAGCCTACACACAGACATCCTAAGGATATTATTTCAGGTTTTTAGATGCTTAACTATTGCAACTGTAAAGCTCTTTTAAAGAGAGGGTGCATGATGTCTTATTTTTTATGATCTTGAACAATTGAGTTTAACCCTTTTCACACTATTTTAAACATATGACATCTACAGCGAATCAAAGGAGTCACTCATTGCTTAGCCCTTATTAGTCTCTCCTTTCAAGTCATGCAGTGTTCACGTTCAATAATTAAAGTGTGCTTCAAGTGTTAAAGCAGATTGGTTTCTGGAACTGATTTCCTTACTATTCCTCAAAGTGACTTGATGTTCAGTCTTGTCCTCACTAAAGCTAAAATGAGTTCAAACAATGGATGAAGCATTTTGTTTGCTACAAACTCCTAAAGGGACTTGGCTGGCTTGGTGTTTCAGTCCTACTCCTATATGCTTCCATGCCACAGCTTGGACAAGGGTGGAATCATGTGGTGCATGAACATACAGTTGGAAAAGTCTTAACACAGCTTCAAAAAAAATAAACAGAACTTAAAATCATAAAATAAAGTAACCCACACGGGTAAGGTTACTTTGGTCTAAGTGTCACTTTTGATGATTTTTAATTCCTCCAGCCCCAGGATGGAGTTCAGACAGGCAGAAAGTGATGAACATGTAGCACACTAGCATCTGCTGCTCACCTGTCCTCATATAAATATCAGACATTAATAAACCCACACACAGTGATTCTTTTACAACAAAATAAACTTTACTGTCATGTCTGCGAACACATAATTATTTTCTGTACAAAATGTTTCATTTCATAGAGCTCTGTTTATGGTTTCCGAAAGGCCCATCAGTGGGCCCTGTACACCCCGTTGTCTGTCCATCCAGGTCTCAGAAACCTCTCGCCAAATCAGAAGGCAGCAGCTCTGCAGCATCACTTGTTAGCTGGCTGAGCAGCGATGTAGAGGGCCACCAGGCAGTAAAGCGCCCCCCCGACTGTCAGACCCATGGTGGTCCTGTAGAGCAGCTTATCCATAAGACCCCTCTTCAGGTGGACAGGGACCCCATCTGACCTCTGACAGAAAGAGAAAATTAATTCTACTGAGGTAACTGGTACCTCATAATACAGGTCATGTGACATTAAACAACAATGCCTGAGCACAGGTCATTCATAACCTTTGCTTCAGTACCTCTGAGACCTCTTCACTGGAGACTGCGGCCCCCTTGAAAGGCTGCATGGACCCTTATTATGCTCTTTATTAATACCACTGGAATCCAATGAAAAACCAGACTCATTCATCAGTTTTGAATGTGATTTCCTTAATTGTTATTTAGAAATAACGGTTCCCCCAATGACCACATCAACCCCTCATGCAACATTGAACTAGGGTTGTTTTAAAACTGATACCAAATATTGCAAATACCTCTACAACTGCCTAAAAACCTCCTGTTTGTATTAATCATATGCTGGAGAACAAAATCCAGTCTGTGTTTTACACCTTAGTAATTCACAAATTAAGCAATATCACACTTGAGGTCGTGATGTGGTACTGAATATCATCATGGCTGTGATTTGGTCATGCACACAAGGCCACAGAGCGGGTGTTAAAGATAATCACAACTTCAAGTGTGATATCACTTTTATACAACATTTCTACACTCAGCTCCTGATAGTAGAAAGTTACAACCAGCTAAAGATGTTTTTTTGTTTATTTCATCTTTTATTTGGCTCCACAACTAATCACACTGGCCCTCATTTATCAAGCTTGCGTACGGCAGAAAACTTGCGTACACCTTGCGTACGACAATTTTGACGTGAGGATCGGCATTTATCAATCTGCACGTGAGCGTAAGCTAGGACCAAATCTCATGACAGGTCTGACATCGTGTACGCAAGTTTGAGTCAGTGTGGATCTGCGGTGCAGCAAATATCTGTCTGAAAATAATTGATATACAAACCTCAAACCTGTCATTAAGCACAACCAGACAGATTTCATTAAAGATTAAGACGTAAATAAAATAAAATAAAATATACTTGTTATGTCCTTAGTGAATAGGCCTATTTAATAACTCTGCCCATAAACACTGCCACTGAGCAGGAATGCTGTTTTAAAATTGCGCACAAACGCACACGCGCCACTGTGGAGCACTACGTTTGACCCCTTAAAGGCAGGTGTCTCTGTCTTGCACCAGCAGCGGGGACGTTGTACAATCCTGAAAGGGTGTGGGACATCATTTGAGCTAGTACAGTTTTGCACAATGTTGCACGGGCGAATGGAGTGCGTTGGCTGTGCCGGTGCAACGTGAGGACCCGATGCCTGGAGAACAATAACAAGGAGAGACTCTACAAAGGTGCTGTACAGAGGAGACAGGACCTTATCCATGGATTCTGACATGTAAAGTATACGTTTAGAAAGTGCTCTTGCTATTTAATCAGTGATAAAAATCCAATAGAAATCCATAAAAATGTGCCTCAGGGGCAGCAACACACCGTTTGGTGAGGTTAATAATTATTTTTGTTCAGCCTCTGTCAGACTCTCCAGTCTGCTCTACATTACTAAGACACAACAAATTAAAACTAAATACTTTCAATAACACGAGCAACGTACTATATGTCATGGCAATAAAAATATGAGGCATGTCTGAGATATTAATTTATCATCATGAGCAACTTATTGACTAATGATTTATTCAAACTTCAGCCACTGTCCACTATTCTGCATAGGGTTGGATATCGAGAATCGAGTATCGATGGGGACCGGGCCTAACATTTCGATTCTTCCGGTATCGTTCAAATATTAAAATTTCGATTCCAAGTTTCGATGCCGGAGTCCACCAACCGGACGAAATAGCCGCCAAAAATCAACGAAGAAGTAGCCGCTTAACACCAACGAGGACGGAGCATATGAGACGAAGCCACACAGAAAGTAAAGAGAGACAGAGAGAGAAAGTACATTGCAACCCACAGCAATGCAGCCGCTGTGGGTTACAATGTACTTTCTCTCTCTGTCTCTCTTCTCTCTCTCTCTGTGGCTTCATCTCAAACGCTCCGTCCTCGTTGGTGTTCGGCGGCTTCTTCTTCGTTGGTCAAAAGTTTGGCTAACTTTAGCAGGAAGAATGAACTCTTATCTCAATGCAACATTAGCAATACAGTTTATATCATGCAAAGGAGGGTAAACGACCAACATGATTAAACCATAGACTGTATATACTATGGACAACTTGGTTCCGCCTGTATGCACATTTGAAGCCAAATAGCTCTCGGTATTTCTGGGATTTTTCTTCATTTCCTGAAACCAGCGCTGCGCAGAGCGGTGCGCGCAGAAGCGGTGCGCGCATTCGGCTGCGCAGTCGCCGAGAGTCGCTGTGATGACACTCGGCTCAAACAGCGTATCCCCCGGGAGAGCTACACAATCCCTGAACGCCCATAGGCTGTATCAGGTGTCAATCATAGAAAACTTGAACCCCCTAATAAACTTTTAAAAACGGAGCTTTACAGAAAAAAAGAGGACTTGAGCACAAACCAGTCTTCATGTCAACATCACAAGCAGGGAGGAGAAAAATGTATGTTCTGTGTAATAAATTTCTAAAGTTTGTCCACAGTCCCATAAGCTTTGCTGGCGGAGGCGGGATTTATGACCTGTACTGCAGCCCATCAACAGAGGGCGCTGTTCTCGGAGTGGCTTCACCCAGAGAGGAGGCAGACTCTGTCCATTCTATATACAGTCTATGGATTAAACACCTCAGGATTCATGGAGGAGAAATACCCTCTAGAGTGCTCGTCTTTGATGCGCTTCGCCGGTGTTGTGCCATAGAATGCACCCCTGCCATAGAATGCACCCCTGACGGGAGCGCGGTTGAAAGTACACAACAAGGCGAAACAATCCAAGTTTTCCTTACCGTTGAATGGAATCTAAAGCGTGTGCCTTTAACGATTTCACTCAGGCTATTCAGATATGCCGAAAACAATAGCCCTCTGATTCGGAATATTTACTGTCCTGAAAATATAATGTTCTCTACCTTAACAGCTTACTGTACAGTTTATACACCCAAGTACACCTCTATGTGTGCATTTTTGAGACACATAAAAACAAAACGAAAGTTTACTGCTCCATTTGACATGTTGTCATGATCTAATACTTTTAATATGAGATCATTGTCTTCCACTTTAAGAAGCTAATGAGTGGAGGGGAGGCATTCTACGGCAGGGGTGCATTCTACAGCACCTGTCTTCCGCTAACCAGTCAGGATCAGATAAGTGAAACAATAAATTACTTCTGTCCTCTTCTAACTTTGAAGCGGTAAACAAATTGTACTGTGTACGGTGAGTAAACTTAAATATCCAACTAACGTTAGCCCTTGTACTATTTCATAGACAAACGACCTGACAACAAAAATTGATATTTATATACTGGTTGAAAATAGCCCTGTGAGAAATTCATAGTAAAGTTCTTAAAAAGTTAATATGATTTAAAAATTCATGGAGAAGTTCAGAAATTTCATCCAAAAAGAAGAGCTCCGGTTAGCGCCCTCATCCAACCTTTTCTTTTTTTTTTTTTTTTTTTGATATCCTGCCTTTTAAAAGAATGGAAAAAGAGAATCGATAGGAATAGGAATTGAAATGAGGAACCGAAATCGGAATCGGAATCGTTCAAAATCAAATGATACCCAACCCTAATTCCGCGGCAGCGCTGTTCACCGCCACCATAATCCTGATCCAGATAGGAGTTTTCTGGACTGGTTTTAGACCAGTTTTGATGCTTCCAAAGAACAAATCCTTGTTAGTTTCGACCATAGATGAGAGGATATCCACGTTCAACTCAGAAAAGTTTCAAATATTTCTAATATTTCTGCTCTTTCATGTTTGACCTCAGTGGGCGAGGCTTCTGAACCACAAATATTTGAGGGCCTAAACATGTTAATGACGATCGATTTCAGCCGCTGCATTTATCAAGACTCGCTCATATGTACGCTGGGATTGGTCAGATACGAACCCTTTCATAAATGTCACATGTCCTATCGTACAATTAATCCTGCGCTCGGATCTGCGCTCGGATCTGCACTCAGATCTGCCCAAGATTGATAAATGAGGGCCAATGTCATTTAGCAGATGTTTTTATCCAAAGCAAATTGTAGCCTTATTCTACCACTGGGGACAACAGTGGAGCTAAGTGCATAGTGTTCTCTGAAGAGCTGGGTCTTTAACTTTATGAATGTAGAGAGGGACTCTGCAGATCAAATGGAGTTGGGTAATTCATTCCACCATTTAGGGACAACAGAAGAGAAGAGCTGAGCTATTGACTTTGGGGCTTGATGGAAGCACCAGGCGCCTTTCTGTGGCTCAGTGTAGCAGGCAAGAAGGATGTTCATGTCCCCCATAACAACCAAAGGTGTGACATCATCAGGTATGTCTGAGAGTAACATGTCTAGTTCCATAAAAAAGCTGTTCAGCTGTTTGCATGGTATTCAAAGGATGTGTTATTGCTCATTGGTTTAAACTGGCTAAAGTTCCAATTATCAGAAAGGATGATGCCTTTACCACCTCCTCAGCCATAAGAGCCAGGTGTATGAGAGAACACTACATTAACTGATAGGGCAGTTGGTCTAATAGCACAAGTCAACAGTCCTGCTACAATTTATCAGTATAAACTTAAAAATATTATCCCACTTAATTATTATTTTGGTGCCTTGTGTGATTCGCAGGAACAATCAAACCACAATCACACACAAGAGGTGATGCAACGCATATATAAATGTGTCCCTGTTCCAACTCCTTTTGAAACATGGTATCGATCTAAAAACTAGTACATAAAATAATACATTTTTTAGTTTCAACATTTGATTTCCAGTCTTTGCCCCTTTTTAAGATAAAAATAATCTTTTAATAATTTGCAAATCATCAAAATCTATTTTTCTTCTTAACATTCTAAACAGCAACCAAACCTTTTTGTAATCATACTGTAAAGAGCACAGGGAAGGTAAGGCTCCAGAAGCGTGTCATAATGTACTGAAAACAAAAACAAGTCACTTCATGTGAAGTTGACTCTGTAAATATTTGGTCACTCTTCCCCTAAATGCTGTAATGGAGATGGCTGAACTGTAAAGGCTGGACAAACATCCCTGCTGACGGCTTAAAGCCCTTTAAAAAAAGGCGAGACATTTCCTCTGCACTGCAGTTAAATTCAGTGTCTGGCCTTCTAAACAACTGGTAAGGTGTTACTGGCATAATGTAAGATTGAAAAAGTTTTATTTCTTTAGGTCTGTTTGTAGCATTACTCAAGTATGTTAAGTGAATATGTGGTTTTGCATCATATTACAAAGACAACTTCAGTTTCATTCTGGTGAAAAATAGAAAATTTGACTGAGGTCCATTACAGAATTTAACCCAGCCAGAATAATGTAGTGCTTAAGGGATGTGATCATTAAATTGCATCTTGGTTTATCATAAAAGGGGTGTTTACAAGGAAATTTAATGATGACAGAAAGTGACCGACTCACATCTGCCTTTGTATATGCACTGTACAAAGGGGAGGGTGGCTGCTGTGCTGCTACAACACCCTGATTGCAGAGTTGAATATTGTATTTTTTTTTTTTGGTAGAAATAGGCACCTGTTTATATCTGCTGACAGGAAAGGACAGACCAAGTGAGCTGAGATGGCTCACAGCTCTCCTTCAAATATCTGCAGGTCACATCACAGCAGCTGTGTGGTGTTTGTTTACAGTAGCTGATATGCAGCTTTGCTGCACTTTGGTCTCTGACTATGTCTCTATCTGCAAAATGCCCCTGGCCCAAACACGCGCACACACACACAAAAAAAAAAAAAAAAAAAAAAAAGGCATCTGCCAGTATGAATGGACATAAAATTTACTGCAAATAGTTCTATTTTGTAAACCACATTTTTGCATTTCGGATTTTCATGATTGAATTTGCACTATAAAACACTAATTTTGAAGAGAGGTTCAATCTAACATTTTAAAAAGATTTCATTTTATTTTTTTTAATAATAATAACAATAATATGGTTATGGTTAATGGTCTTAATATGTGAATCCTATTTCTGTTCAAATTAAGTATCTAGTTGTTGGATAAGTTTTGTGGTGAAATTACAGGTGAGGTCTTTCTCTCAACCATAATCGGACATGCAAGTATTCATAAAACCATAACAGTCAAGTTTGGATGTTATTGATATGTTTTTAATCTTAGTGTATGTTCAGAATTATTTACTCATTGCTTATATTACTTTATGTGGGTCAAGTTCGAGTTTCTGTGTTTTTGTGTAATATTGTGTTTAGTTTTTACATTGTATTTAAGTAGAGGTTTCAAATAAGCCCTGTAAGCTTTGTGCCTCTTTTTGCACTGTCTATCTTTTGCTGTCATATTCTTTTTTTTTAAAAAAAATTAAGAAATATCATCTTACATGCTAAAGTGAAATTCTTTATTTTCTGCTGTTCAACCAGTATCTAGTGAGAGGGCAGGTGCAGTTATATGTGAAATGTCATGTGCCTTACATGCTACTAGATGCACATTTTATATTCCGTAATGCATCCACCCCCCCATCCTTTTCCTGTCCTCCTCGTCAGCTTCCTTTTTGGGCTCTCTTTTCACACACCTCTTCCCTCTACCCCTAAACAGCCTTATTTTCCACTTTTTGTTTTGTTGTGACCAGATGATGAATTGATCATTCTCTTTCCTCTGATGAAATCCGTTACCTGGAAGGCTTTCTGAAGGTCTGGGACTTTGTTGGCTCCCATGTACTCCACATAGCTTCCTGCTTCTGACACCAGTTTGGTTGGAGATGCAAAGGTCATGGGAGGACTGACAGGAGGGGCACCTGGACGCAGACCCTGAAACAGAGAGATGGGAGAAGAGGCAGGTTAACTTTAAATCTGAAACATAACTGTTGGTGAGGTGGTCAGTAATTTTGTTTCCCAAAGTTTGATCCACTGCTTTTTCACAACTACTGGCATATTTACCTCTCTGGCACACACACACAAATACACAGCTGACAACACTGCTCTGTATGTGTATGAGTTGGAGATTTCTGACATTAACTCTCAGTTAAAACGTTTGTAAAAAGTTGTGTAGTGATCTTTTTAAGTAATTTTAGTCTGTCAGAGTTTTCCCTAGTAGCTACACCAATTGGCTAAACTAAGCTGGTTTAATCAGCTGGTTAATGATCTGTTTTGAGCCCATGACATCAGAAAACGTAAAAAATGAGCTTTTACATTACTTAAACAACTACGCTAAACCCCTTTTTTGTATTATCTGTAGGTAAATGAATAAATAACAAATTATTGTAGGTCCTCGGACGTCAGTATTGAGTTATTTCTGTCTGGATAGCATTAGCAGCCGTCCTCCTCCCGGTGCTAACAAGGTCATGCGGTGTTAGGCGCTCACCTGTGGGTTATAGGCGGTGGCAGGAGCTCCAGTGAGCCTCTGCGTCACTCCATTCAATTTGTAATACATGTCTGGGTCCAAAAACACGCTCAGAGACACCGATATTTAATCTATTACCGAAGTCACACTGGTTTGCCACTCGGCTTCTTCCTGCTGACGACGCTGCTCTGCGCGATGCCGTCACAGCGTGAAGGAGGACGCACAGCTTGAGGGCGGGACTGTAAGCGCTGGCGGAGGAAAACCTCAGTGAAGTATTTTGATTGAATAAGGACACATTTAGGAAGGAAACATTGCTCATTACCTGAACTCTGGCAATGACCTGTCCAGGAGAAAAGCAGGCTTATTCTTTGCCCAGATACGCTCTTTTTATATGGGCAATTCCAATTTTTTAAAAAAAAGCTGGGATGTTTTGTAAAATGTTAACAAAATTAATCAGATAGTTTGATAATCATTGAAATCCTACACTTTGCTCGGTGCAAAGACAACAAACCAGACGATGTAACTGAAATAATCTGTTGCTGACAGCATTTCCAAATCGATAAGACTGTTTATGATTTTGTCACATCACCTCTACTTGAAAGTTTAAACTACTCTCTGTTCACATCTGGGAACTGAGAAGACCAGTTTCTGGAGTTTTGAGAGTGTTTCCTTTCTCTCAACTGTACAGCAGTCCAGGTCTCCTTTGTTGTATTTTTGTTTCATGATGTGCAAATGTTGTCAGGACTGCTCGCAGCACCTGGACTCTCCTACTACAGAGCCACGTTGTTGATTTTCAAAGAATGTGGTTTGTCATTGTTCTGCTGAAACATGCAAGTTCTCCTGTGAATTGATAGTGCCTACCCAGATGTGTACGCATGTCATGGGCACTTATCCATACTATTATGGTTAGGTTTGAACTTATGGCTCTTAGACATTTCTAGACTTTGGTACAGATGGAGGGGGCCTCACCCACAGAATACATATATAACAAATATAATATAACAAAATAGAATTTTGTTACTTTGTTCAAAATCCTTAAGGCTATGATTTGAACTTGAACAGGTTAAGTGTTTTCTTTTCTTAAACAGACAGATTTTTTTTCTGGCTTGTTTTCCATTTTGACTTTGAAGCGAAGATTTTGAGCATCTCTCACTGGTATTTTTATCTCTGCTTTTGGTTGCTTGTATTAAAAATGAAAATCAGAAAGTGAATCCTACCTGTTATACAAACACAACTCAAGCTTTAAAAATTCCATGATCCCAATGAAAAAGATCTCCTTTATATTTCATGGTTTATTTACAAAATCTAATTTATCAAACTGAACTAGAGTACTGAGGCTATTAAGAAACAAATACATCCTTTCACACTCTGACAAGAAAACACAGCTGATCATATCCTCTCACCACCCACATATTGTGAAGCTCTAATTTTCACTACCCATATGTAATTTATTCCTCACTTACTTCAAGATGGTACTTCAGAAATTCAGTCTCATAAAAGAAAAAAACAGATGTTCAATAGGAGGCAGTGCCTGACTTAGAACAACCTCAATACAAAAGAACATTTCAAAGAAGTTGGAGCAGGGGCATGTTTGCTGTCGTGTTGCATCACCTATTCTTTCAACAACTCTCAGTCAACATTTGAAACTGAGGACTCCAGTTTCTAAAGAACCAAAAAGTGAAATATTGTCACATTCTTGCCTGATAACCTGTCCAATAGTTTAGGGTCTCATCTGCCATATTTATTTTTTACGATCCACAAAAAGCTTTCAATGGGTGACAAGCCAGGAGTGCAGGGCTCTTCTACTATGGCTGCTGGAAAATATGCAGAATGTGGTTTGTCATTGTCTTGCTGAAATATGAAGATCTTCACTGAAAAAAAACATCATCTGGGTGGCAGCATATGTCGCTCCAATATCTGTATGCATAATTCAGCACTGATGGTCTATAAGTTGTGCAACTCTATACCAACATGGATACTGGCTTTTGAACTGTGAGCTTCTAACAGGGCTAAAGAATGCAGCATCCATGATCTCCAAACAGTATGTCAAATTTTGATTTGTCAAACCTCAGATGAGTTTTTCATTTTACCTCAGTCCATCTTAAATATAGGCTTGGGCTCAGAAAAGTGTTTCTGAATCATGTTTATGCTTTTCTTTTTGTATGGTGTAATTTTAACTTGTTTTTATCGATGCAGAAACTATGTTAACAGAAAGTGGTTTATGAAGGTGATTTTGAACTCATACAGTGATTTCTGCTTTTGTCTGATTTTGATGCAGTTCTGGCCAGGGTCTTAAAGATCACAGCCATCCAATATCAATTATCAGCCTTATCCCTTTTGTGCTGAGATTCTTTCATATTTTTAATGATATTATAAACTGTGGATGATGAAATTTAAAACGCCTTCGAAATTAAGGATTCTGGTATTGATGAAATATTTGCTCATGCACATAGTCAAGGTCCTCTTTCCAATTTTACTCAAATAAGACAGCTTCTTTGGATACCATGTAACATGTTAGTAACATGTAAGTAATATAACACACAGTCACGTTACAAACTTGTTTCAAATTAACCTGATAGTAAATTTACATGTGTTTGCTAATATTTCTTGCCTGTCTGGGGTAAAACTTACCTCCCTAATGATAGGCACAGCTGGTATGACTCAAACTTGTTTCATGGGCACTGTGTGTATTTGACAAAAGCAAGGCTGGAGAAAATGCTTCACAATGTAGACACATCTTGCACGTACTGTAAAGATCAACTGGCAAATAATCCACATGTTCGGGTCCTGCTTCAGCCCTAAAACCATTAAGACTGGCAGTTGTTGTCTGCATCAGGATGTTACTCCTAATCCCATTTGTGTCTTATTTGGGCCTTCTGTTTTTTTCTAATCAAAGCCTGAAATCTATTTACTGAAAAGCAAAGCTCATTTAGTCTTGGCAGCAATCTCCTTAATTTCCAGAGGCCTCACCCTTTCTCCCTAGGAGTGTAAACATCTCCTAACTTCACTTCCTGAACTGGTTTCAGTAGATTCACAATGAAATTTATACAGAATCTCATGCTTCTTGCAACCTTTACATTTTATTTATGAAAACTGGTTAACATTCAGTGTTTAAATTAAGTTAATGTGCTGTCTAACTGCTGTAACATCATTTTACTATTATTTCACAGTGTAAAACAGTTTTTCTGTCGAGGAGGGTCGAATGCCTTTTCATCTAGTGTTTTTGTAATGAAGACTTGTTCAAACCACCAGTCAAAAACTGTCTCTCTCCAAAGCTTCCAAATAATGTTATTTTTAGCTGTTCAAAGCAAGTCCTTGTTGTTTTTAAAACAAGGTTTTCAACTTGCACATAACCCATTATAAATCAACCTTTGTGTAGGCTCTGCAGCCTCCCTACCTCGGTAACCTCAATATCTGTGCAGTGATCTGGGTGAGCGGGGATGCTATCATGAAAATGTTATCTGTGAGGGAAGGCTGCAGATGAATTAAGAGGTTTCAAAACATCACAACTCCGCACAATAGCTATACACAGCGGTCCCAGGAGCCACACGCTCAACCAAAAAGCCACTCTATAGCCACAAATAATGCTCAGAACAGCACCTAACTTCATCAACAGTACATATAGGGTCCCAGTCATAGTACTAGCCATCAAACATCTTTTTAGCTTTGCCTGGTTTCTTTAGCAAAGAGACTAAACACAACTCACCCACTCTCTTCCAGTAGCCGCTTGTTTGTATGGAGACCTCAGGCGAATCCATTACTGCAGCGGGGTGACGCAGCTCAAGGAAGAACATTTATGATAATTTTTCATTGATATGCAATCAGACTGAGACGCTAAGGCAGAAGAACTACCGGGTCTGCAGTGCAAAATGATTAACATGATGATTATTACTTCAAGGAAATGATAAAGAATTGATTATAAATGTTCTTCCTTGAGCTGCGTCACCCAGCTACAATAATGGACTCGCCTGAGGTCTCCATACAAACAAGTGGCTGCTGGAAAAGAGTGGGTGAGTTGTGTTTGGTCTCTTTGCTAAAGAAACCAGGCAAAGCTAAAAAGATGTTTGATGGCTAGTACTATGGCTGGGACCCTATATGTACTGTTGATGAAGTTAGGTGCTGTTCTGAGCATTATTTGTGGCTATAGAGTGGCTTTTTGGTAGAGCGTGTGGATCCTGGGACCACTGTGTATGGCTATCATGTGGTCGTTACTAAAGTAGGTATAACTAGAGAAGCAAGCAGCCAGCAACATTCATCTCTTGACAGGGTGTATAACTCGGTGTTATGGCGTGTTTGACCAAAACTTGATTTTATGCCGAAATATTCTTTTTAAGTTGGTTTTAGGTTGGTATTATAACCAAGTAGGTTGCATGGCACTTTAAGAAGAATGTTAATGGTTAACTCCCCTTGCAAATTTTACCAAGGTGGGATGAATAAAGGTTTATCATAGTTTCAAAACCACAGTGTTGTTAGGCTACATATAGATGCAATCAAATAATTGTATGGCAGAATATGTAAGTCATTATAAAAAAATGGACATTTAAATCTTATTACTTTTCCAAAATCATCCACACTTAAAGTAAACAATTTAAGCCCACCACAGAACTCACCTACACTGCCTTATGACAGCATACTTAAAAATCCGAGTTATTGACCTAGATATAAAAAAAATCATTTTATCTCCCAGCCGTTTAATATTGTGAAATGTTTTTTGTGACAGCCCAAACAATTTGTGTTGTGCAAATAACAAAAACTTCTCCCATGTGTCATCCTCCATTGCAGTCAGAAAAAAATGTGTGGTACCTTGAAGTGCAGCCAGTTGACAAAAGAAATGTTCAGTTGCCTAGAAACAGAGTTTAACTCATCCTTTGGCTCAACTTGCGATGCCATGCTCATACCAGAGTAAATAGTCCATTTGTCCAAAAATAAGTGCTGGTGTTTTGTCTGGCATAATCTAGTCATCCTCAGCTGTTTTGTTTTCACACTGCTGCTCCTTAACTTAATTTCAAAGATGCGTTCAACTGATGTGCTTTCACCCTCACTGAACAGTAAGCTAAGTTTTTGTAAAAGCATTTGATTCAGAAACAGCAACAAAACCACCAATATGTTTCAACAACTCACCTTACTATTTGCACAGCTACTTGTGTTTCATCTGTTATAGTAAAATTCAATTGACCAAAACCAAATTGAGTTTAATTTCAAGCAAATAAGTGTTCTCTTACCCTTCCAGCAGAAAAGTGACAACTTCAGTGTTGGTCTTCAAACATATCATGAATACACTGTTTTTTCTGCAGATGTTTAGCTGCACAGCTGCTTTAATACCGGCATTAGTCCGTGCTTACTCTTTTTCCATCTCCCTCTATCAGTCTCTCTTATGTCCATCTCTCTCTTTCTCCATCTCCCTCTATCAGTCTCACCTCTGTCCATCTCTCTTTTTTCATCTCCCTCTCTCCCCTCTCTAAACTCAGCTCAGTCTCGGCAGATGACTGTCTAACATGAGTCTTGTTCTGCTCAAGGTTTCTGCCTGTTAAATGAAGTTCTTCATCTCTTCTGTGACTCTCTAAATGCTGTCAAGTATTTCACTTATGTGGTTGAAGATAGGATGGGAGTGGTTCTGATCTTACAAGGTGGGATTGAATCTTATCCCTCTTTGCATTTGGTCTTTTTAAACAGAGTCTGGCTGAGACCTTTTTTTAGTTATGAGTCTTGAGATTACACTTGTTGGGAATTAGCATGACATAAATTAAGATTGGTTGATTGATTGACTGACATGCTATAAGGATTGTCTATCTACAAAAGGCAAGACTAATGTGATCCCATATTTTTGCTTCATTTTATGGATTAAGAATTTTTGTTACTGATATCTGCTCTGTTCTTTTCTGTTGCCACTGCTCGGCCTTGGCTATCCCATGAAACAGAGGGGAGGTGTGCTCTCCCTGCTGCAGGCTATGGCATTCCACATTATCAAATGGAAAGGCAGGGACCTCTTAAAAGGGAACTGGTATTCATCAAATATAACTATCGCATGCAAGTAATCAATTATTTTTATTGATCAATACATTCAATGTACCGTAATCAATATATTTTAAAAGTGGTCCTGACTGAAATGATATATAATAGAGTTTATTCGCCATAATCCTGTTATAACAGAATGCTTTTTAGACTATTTCTATCATGTCGCTCCAGAATATAGGAAGTCTGAGGATAGCTTGAGCTTCCTGCTAACATAGCAGCAGTCTGAGTTGGAAAATATTTATTATTCATACATACGTATTCAGTCAAGTTATTGTCATATGTTTTGACTTCTGCAATCTGTTTTTTTTATTTTTATTTTTTATTTCAAATATGATACCAATGATTAAACTGGACAGTATATAATGGGCAGCCCTTAGCTCATTCTTGAAGCTAAGTTATGAAGTGAATGTGATATGCGGTTTAAAAGTGCTTTTAATGATCTTAGGTCTGAAAACCACAACATCAGGGAAGTCTATTCACCACTGACATGTAGAGGGAGTTCAGCTAAAAAGGGGAAGAGATGGGCTACAATGGATAGTCAAAAAAATGTAATCTTTCCATAAATGCAGCTATTCTGTCTGTGTTTCCACAATTATACACAATAGTTCCTGCAGTTAAAGTTATGATGGGATTGGTGCTTGCTTAAAAGTATAAAGCAAAAATTTATATATATTTGATCCTTTAATGGAGACCTCTTAAGCTTTTTGGAGAATCAAAGTAGTCCAGTCATGTCTGTCATTCATGGAGACAAATGTTTGCAAGAAATTAAGAAAGAGAGAAAAAAAGAGAGGAAGAGTTGGCATCGATGTGCTTCTCTTTAAACCCTGCAGAATTTCACACCAAAGACGACGAATAAATAGACAAAGAGTTTTCAGTGAGATAAGTCACGCTTCCTGACATTCAAAACCAAATGTTTCCAACACTTAAACTTCCTGCCTTTGAGTCTGCTGTTGCCTTGGAAACCACAAAGGGTGATTAGCCGGTGGGAAGAGATTCAGTTACAGCACAGACTGTAACTGGACAGGCTGGTTTAACCCCTCAGGGTCCGAAGGTGGAGAGAGGCCCAAACAGATGAATATGAAACAGCAACATGCCGTGTCCTCTGAGGGGCAGGAGGGAGGTCGCCTGATGGTTTGTCTTTTGTGTCCAAAGAAAAGTCTCTGACCCAATACTAAGTCCCATGATACAATAATCCATGAGGACCTGAAATTATGGAAAAAAGAGGGGCACACCACTGTAACCTCACACATTACAGAGGAAATCATGTGGTCTTTAAAAGAAAGAGAGACACATAACCAGTTATTACTTGAGTTGCGTCATAACATTTATATTTTCAAGCTTACATAGAAAAGTAAAGAAGTGGTTAGTATGAGAGCACAAACTAGTCCACAAACCTGTCAAACAAAACCAAACTGAAATTAAGCCTCAAAAGTTTGAGATGAGAGTGTAGGCACAGACCTTCCAGCTGAGCCAAAAAAACCTGCTGGAACTCGCCTCAAAGAACCTGAGTCCATGAGCATGGAGATGGGACTGGGCCTCTGACCTGCTTGTGGTAAATGATAAGTTGTAGTCAAGTCCTCAAACTTCAAGTCTGAGACAGGTCTCAAGTTCTTGGTGTTCAAATCCAAATTGACTCTAACTCACCGAAAAGAATCTCAGTCACCCAAATCCAAGTTGTAGAGTAGTTCTTATCAAGTGTAGCCTATTATTATCCATTTTAAAAAGGAACTGTTGGGATGTGTAGAAAACACATCTCATCTCCAGTCAGAGATTTAACTGAACTGTTGGCATGTCTGGAGATTTCCATTATCAATGAAGTCACAGCACTGTGGGTTGTGCGTAATTAAACATTTCACCTCCATGAATGAGAAGATACACTCGTTCATTCATTCTGGCACAGTGACATCACTAAGAGTGTTGTATAATATCTTAAATGCATGCACCCTACTGGTTATTAATCAGATTTTTAACTGACCTAGCATTACAGATCTGTGGACTGAGTAACTTTAGAGGCTAATGCAGGGCGATGACAACACAATTTCAGCTGGATTATTGCGCGATATGGCAGACATAGTGTGTCCAGACCAGTAAATTGATCGTTTTATCCCATGGTTGGCATGTTTGATTTTCCCCCACCTTCTAAGATTTTTGTGTCAGGTCAGTAACATCAGCCACTGTTGTTGTTTCTATGAGTGTAGTGACAAATAGACAAAATGATTTTTACTCTTAAGATGGCTCAAGTCTTTTTAAGATGTATTTTTGGGCTTTTTGGCCTTTATTGACAGGTAGAGGCTGGTGAGTAGAGCAGGAAATGAGAGAGAGAGGGAGAGAGAGAGAGAGAGAGAGAGAGAGAGAGAGAGAGAGAGAGAGAGAGAGAGAGACAGAGAGAGACAGAGAGATGGCTTAGGTCTTATCATATTTGCAGACCTCTTAACAACTGCTAACATATAAACTTCTGAAAATGTTGAAACAGCTCCAAACCACATAGAACATTTACTGTAATTATCTCAATGCTAAAACTGTGTTGGACTGTGTTCCAGCCCACTATTACACTGGCAAAAAAGAGAAAAACATTCACTGACACTGTTTTGGTCCCACACCTTCATCAGGCACAGTTGGGTTTAAGAACCCAAACACTGACACTATTTTTCTTTTTGCAGGTCAGGCAGTGCGCAGGGTTTCATATCACTCCTCACTCATGCACCTTTACTTGGAAACAGATGAGCAAAGTCCTTTTCCCTTTTAATATCTTACATTCACCAGGGATTGAGTTTCACAGATTCAGTTGTTTTGTAGATTGCAATCTTTGTACACCCACAGTGAAGCTCTAATGTAACACCATCCTTGTAATTCTCTTATCCACAGGTTGTTTTCTGAAAAGGTATTTGCCGCTCTGTTGAAAGAAATACTGCCCACTGTGTGTCCAATTTCAATAAACTTCATGTCCTCTGGTATATAACAGTCACTACGTTTTTTTTCCTTTCTTCAGCGTAACACCTTCTCACAAAGTGGTAACCTGTGGTGTTGAGAAATGAAGCCAGTGTGCAAAAACTGCAGCTCTTCTAGTGTCCATTCATGGCTGGCTCTATAAGTCCAGAGAGATGTTTGAGGCCGCGCATAAATGTCCACCTAAATCAGTGATAAATAACCAGGGGGTGAAATTTTATACACCTTTGCATCGATGGTTGAAAATATTCCTACAGAGATAAGACAAAGATTATGACTTTGTGTGTGGTTGATGCCCAAGAGGTTAATGAGCAAGACTTTCTCGAGAGTGAAGCTCTAGTAATTGTTCAAGTTAGTGTCTCTATACCAGACCTCACAGCTCATTCTATGATGACTGTATGTGATTTGTTGACCAGTGTTTGGGCCAGGATTACTGACTGCTTTACTCTAATGAGGTTATGATAACAGCCCTAAAAAAACTGCTTGTTTTGAATTATGTAGTATGTGTAAGTCATCGCTCCTCATTCACATGAGATTTTGATGAGTCATTTAAGGCTGTTAGGTACCACAAGCTCTCCTGGTTATTTCGTCTGACAATAAGCTAATGCAGTCAGCCAAAACCAACAATACAACTTTACTTTGTGTGAAACTCAAGGGTGATGAGTGTTGACTGCTGAGCTTTCATAACTTGGTGTTTGCAAACCCCAGGACAGCCTTTTTCTAAATAACAATAACAACTTCTGGTCATGCAACTGCGAAATAGGAATTTTGAATAAAATAACACAGTAAGAAAAACAGTCAGTGACACCACGGAGGCTACATCTAGTATTTAAAGAGTTTCCCTGATTTTTTGTAACTTTAAAGTCTCCATTTTTTTTAAACCAAAAGTTCCTGTTAGATAATGGTCCTTGAACTTAAGAGAAACTAAACCTGATACGATTACAGTGTTGAAATACATTTAAAAAAGGGGAAAATTCTACCCTACAATCCCAGAAAACCCAAAATAGATAGTTAAAACAGAGGGAAGAACTTGTCAGTTGTCAAAATTAAAATGTCACTAGACCTGATGAAGAGTTTTATAGTTCTCAGGATTTGTAAGAAATGAATGTCACCACAATGCATCAAAATCCATTGACAGAATAAATGCCATCTCGCTCATCCACCTCAACAGTCAGTGGTAAATCTGTAGGTCACCTCTCCAGCTAAGCATTAAATGGAAAAAGTTCTATTTTGCTCCACCTCAGCAGTTAGTTATTTCTTCATCTCAACAGTATTTAGTGGATGAACTCTGCAGACAGACTGTGGGTACAACGAGCAGAGCGCACCTTCAGCTCATGGTAGCACTGGACGAAGCTGTGGTAGATGAAGGTGATGGGCAGTGCTAACAGCACGATGCCGCTCACCACACACAGGCCACCCAGCACGCGGCCTGCAACCGTCACCGGGTACATGTCCCCGTAACCCACAGTCGTCATGGAGATGATTACCCACCAGCAGGCGGCAGGGATGCTGGCATAGTCCTGGTTTCCACTCTCTAGGTCCAGTCCATGCTCCAGCAGCTGAGCCAGTGCACTGAAGATCGCCATGGCCACACAGATAAATATCAATAACATCATCATCTCCCTGTAGCAGCGCCGCAGTGTCAGGCCAAGTGTCTGCAGACCCAGGAAGTGACGTGCAAGCTTGATCACCCAGAAGATCCTCATAATACGCAGGACACGCAGAGTGACACCGGCCCGCTGCAGCTGAGAGTTCTCTCCAGTGAGGTTCGTCACGGTTACAGAGATGTAGTATGGGGTGATGGCCAGCAGGTCAATGATATTCAGGGGGCGACGGACAAACTCGCATTTATTTCGAGAAATGAGGAATCGGACGATACACTCAGCTGTAAACCAACCAATGCATACCGCCTCAATGATCCTGCAGGGAAGAGAGACAATCAGAGGGGAGAAAGAGAGGCAAGAGTCATTTAGAGGAGACAGAGATGAGAACCAATCAAAGAAAGGAGACTGACACGTGCACTTAACATTTAGGAAAGATAGGCTGTTGATCTTCATTTACCTATTTTTGCAGCTGGATCACATGGTTTTATTTTGTACCGTCTACATGATGGATACTGTTCAGTCTTTATTGATATCTGGGAGTATTGTGTCACCCAGAGTGAAGCCTAAATATTGTCAAAATATGTTCCTTAGTTGTATGTGAGTTTATATGTTTAAGTGTGGATCTGTTCCTATAACTAAATATTGAATTTCCCTTTGAAGATCAGTAAAGTTCGTCTTATTTTATCTTATAACTGGCGTATAAAACTATGAAGCTTGGTAACGTTTTGGGCCATTCAGGGCTGAAGTGAAACAGATGTGGAGGAGATAACTGTGATGTTGTCCTTGTCTTCTCGCATCCCTAGATCAGTTCTATACCAGAGCAGTAATCATGGTGTTTGGAGATGAGGGAAAATACTACTGCCTCCAAGATCTTTCTCTCAATAAAAATCTCAATTCCACTGTATCACTAAAAACACAGAAATTTTTATCATGAGTGGGAGGACTGCAACAGGTCTCTAAGAGGCAAAGGAATCCACATCTCATAATGTTCCTCTAAACATCAGAAAAGTACTGCACCACTGGCTTTGTAATTATAATTTTAGCTTCCCACAATCACAGAAAGTCAGTTCTCACTTAATCTTCCCCATGAAGAGCTGATTTAATAAGTTACGGGAGTGCAAAGAGGTTTCAGATGACACTCAAATATGTTGAGAGGGGACTGCTGTATCTGCAACACGTGCTTCAGCAGTGCAAACTGCCTTATAGTCACAGGTGAAAAGAGCAGACAGGGGGAAGAGAAACGAGGAGCGATTGTGTGTTAGTAAAGCAGAGGGAAGGAGTGAACAATACCAGTGGAAGTACCCCCCCCCCCTCTTTTTTTTCAGCCTCAAGAGTGTTTAAATTCAGTTGCTGCATGTGATTTACATCTCAATATCAACCAAAAATGAGCCTGGCTGGGCCATCTTGTTGCGGGAATCACTTGCCGTTCCTTCCCACAACAGTCTGGACTTCGGCCCATTGGGAGCGTGTATTCCCGATCAGAAAAATCATTAATATCCACAGAAGACGTCGGATATAAATGATTTCTGCCGACTTTGCAAAGTCAACTGCAGAATTAAGGGCGTTCTGAATGAACGGCGCTTTGAAAAGTCCCGCAGCATGTGTTAGACGTCACCATCTACACATGGACCAATCAGGGGCTGCCTTTCCCTGTTTTCCAGGTAACAGTGGAAAGTGGGCTCTGATTGGCCCGGTTAATTTCTGATCAGGAATACACGCTCCCAGTGGGCGAAATTTATAAGCATATTTGCTTCGCGCCCGGTGTGTATAGGCGAAAGCGATTTTTCGGACCGGTGAATACTCGCATTTTCGTCTCGCTTTTTCGCTTCGCTCCGCAAATTCGCCGGTGTGTAAGGACCTTAACAGTTCAGTTCAGTTCACCCCAATTGAGTTGAGTCCTCCTGGTACAGTCTTTCAGTTCAGTCTGGTCATTTCAGACCCATCTCTAGATCAGTCAGGTATCATCCAGGGCCAATAAAGACTCTTGCTTTTGAAGATTTAAAAATCCACAAAAAGCAGACTGTTCACTGACCTTGCAAACAGAGGTTTATCTATTGTGAAATTGATTTAAAGTTAATCATCACAATAATGCAGCACTATTATTACACTGTGGATTTTTTATTATTCCTCATGTGGACAAATTTCGATTTGCTAGTCCTACAGCTTGAAGAGTTGATGGACAAATTACATATAGAAATGTGTGGTTTGATTGGGATAGGTGTGCTATTCCTCTCTCTATCGTATACAATTATTTTTTGGTCAAGATAAACTTTGCATTGAAGTTAATGGGACAAGCCAAAAAAAAAAAAGAGTAATCATTGGAGTTTTTTAAATGTCTACTGCTCTGACGATATTTTTGTTGTTGTTGTATAAGTAAATACAAACTGGTTCAGTTTGCTCCAGTTACATTTGTATTTCAAATGGCAGAAATTGTGGGTGGTCCCACTAGACATCCATTTCATCTTGGCTTTTGACAGGCTTCATGGACTTGGAAGTAAAGGAGAGACTGTAGTCCTCTGACAAATCAACAGAATCAAGTCTTCTGATAAAAAATGCAGCGTTTGGATTTCCCTCTTTTCATCATCCAACTGTCAGTTCTGACAGAATCTCTCTCAGCAGTCTCTATGAATTCTGTTTATTATAGTGTAAAAATATTGATGCAAACTTTGGTCTTAGAAGCCTCTTTATTCAAGAGCGAGACACATTTCAATGAAACCAAAAGTACCTGATAGATAAGCAAAATGAATGTAAACACGTGTTGACAATAGTAATGTTAGTGTTTGTGTGTGTGTGTGTGTGTGTGTGTGTGTGTGTGTGTGTGTGTGTGTGTGTGTGTGTGTGTGTGTGTGTGTAAGTGTAGGTGTAGGTGTAGGTGCAGGTCTCTATCTCCTGAATATATCAACCTGGCTCACCTGTCCTCAGCTTCACACCTGCAGCCAGTCCACTAATTAACCCTGTAGTATAAAACTCAAGACTCTTCACATTCTTCCTACCAAATTGGCAAGTCTAAAGTCTTGTTTGGTACTTGAGTCAAGTACTGTTCAAGGAAAATTCTACTAATAAGGTCAATGACCTTTTTAGTAGATTTTTTCCTTTGACAGTGATTTTGATATTTGTTTTTCTGGCTGTTGCGCTCCTAATTTATGTCTTCACTCTGTGTCAAGGATCACTAGCTCTTGAAAACAGCTCCTTTGCCTCTGCCGTAAAGCTCTCAGTGCCATAGTTTGCCTCTGAGTTCTGCTCTTGGGTCCCTTTGTGACTTGCAACAAAACTGGTATAACTACCTTTTCAAAGCATGAAATAGTGATGTTGTGATGAGAGACTACCATAACACAGTGTCATTATGGTTTATAGTATAGGGGGTGGTCATGGTTATCTATGCTGGCTGCCACCCACGATAAAATAGACAAAGAAGCAGATGCAGCAGTGGTAGAAGACGACGCAGTAACCAGCTAACTAGCAGGCCTTTACTGTGCAGCAATCTGTGCTGCATTGCGAATCATTTTTCAGGAGATTGCAGGTGATAGAAGGTGTTCCACCTGCACCCCAAAAAGTTTTCTCACCAGTTTGGGGTTTTTCAGTTTTGAAACAAAAAGGCGGGGTGTTTGTAGACACTTGAGTTTGCAGGGCATTAAGGAGCTCCCTGTTCCTGCAGCAGTGAATGATTCTGATTTTCTCTGCATATTGATAGCAGATGTTGGGTTTGTGGATGTTTTATCAGTTCATCTGGTTGCCTCTCTACTATTTTCATTTTTGTGCTTGTTCTTTCTTGCACATTTTTTTTGGAGAGTTATGGTTACAGTCTCTTTCCACCTCCCCCTGCTTCTGTTTGGAGTATTTTGCCAAAAGAAGAGATGAAAAATTTGGGTGTTTTCTGTACATATCATGATAATGTTACTAATTAACCTTTTTCATCACATAATCATGAGATATAAATCCTGTATTGTGACATTCCTGGTATGTAGGTCTTGCCTTGCTGTCTGTGTTTATGTAAGATTGTAATTGCTTGTATATTTAGGTGATAGTCTTGGTCCTCGTGAGCTCAGGTGAGGTCCTACCTGTGCTGGTCCAGGGTCTCAGCAGTTTTCCAGTCTGGCAGAGTGCTAGCACACAGCATCACCATGGAGATGACCACAAAGAGCACAGACACTGATGCGATAATCTGTGCAGCCAGTGAAGACGTGGGCTCCTCGAAGGTCCTCCTCATCCTCTCCAGCCAGCGGCTTTGAGGCTCCTCATGGCCCCGTGGCTCTTCCTCTGGGAAGAAGTGGACGAAGCAGTCGGAGAGACGGTCATCAAGGCGTCGCTGGCAGCAGGGCTGCAGGTCAGCACTTTCCAGGCCCCAGTACAGCATCTCATTGTAGAAGGAGAGCTCACACATGTGGGGCATGAAACGTAGCTTCCCATGTTGCACATACAGCATGATGAAGCTAAAGGCCTCAGAGTGCCGGTCGAAAAAAAACTCATTCCGGTCACGGTCATAGTCATCACAGAGCTCCAGTAGCTCGCTCTCGGACACACAGCGATGAAGTCGACTCAGTCTGCTGAGAGGGAGGCGTTTCATCAGCTCTGCTGAGAAGGAAAACCTGCGGCCACCAACATTCAAGGTGCAAAAACTGCCCCCAAACTTCATCTTCTCCAGTTTTCAAATGAGCAGCCCAGTTCCACACTTTGTCATCTTTGTCTTAATAAGTTCAAATTTCTCCAAAACACAGACATGCAGCCAAGTGTAACTTAATGTCACACTCAAACCAAATTTTCTGCCGGAGGTAAAGCAGCTGAGACTTCTGAATTCAGTGTCACCACTTTCTCATAAGAAGCTCATCTTCTTCCAAAACTGTCCAGAGCTTAAAGAAAACCAAACATATATAAACATCAATGTCAAAGATTTCTTTCCACTTTGATTAAAAAACAAAACTAAATTTGGCAGTGCTTTGTTGTAAATACTTGTCTCAAACTATTCAAGTTTATCAAGCACATTTAACAGTGAAAACTCACCAGATTTCAGCATCAGACTGGAATCAGCTGTCCTGAAGCAACGAGATGTGTTCTCTTTGACTTCTGGGCTGCTTCTTGTCGCTGAATCTGAGACTGAAAGCAGAAGCACATCCTCCTCCTCCTCCTCCTCTTCCTCCTCTTCCACCTCCTCTTTCTGTCTGAGAAGAGGAGGATCAGAGTCGATGATTCAAGCAGCTCTTAGTCTGAGCCGGAGAGAATATGATCCTCCACAAACCTCCTCCGTGTCTCACAGAGTGACACAAACATCCTCCTTTTTTCTTCACTCTTCATGTTTTTATTTCTCCTCCTATTTTCTCTAACTTTTCTAGCCCCTGCATGTCAGATTTTTTATCAAATACAGTTTAATTTAATCTGTTTTATTTTAATTTAATGTTTCAGTGAACATCAAAAGCAGCTATAAATAATAAATCAGACTTTATTAATTCATCCACTCTGAAGTTTTTAGTGAAGGGACAGCTCCCCCTACTGTTAATTCTAATAACTGCTGCAGATGATAATTTACCATGTCGCCCTTCATTTGCTGCATCCCTAATTACAAATGCAAGATATCTCACTGAATTGACTAAAATGTGGTTCATTGTTAGAAACTGAAAAGCTTGTTTTAAGAGGCAGGTCAGGAGCTGGTGACGGAGGGATATCAAAGAAAAAAAATACTAATCTAGAAATGCAGACTGGCAACAGAAGCTGAACAGCAGGGACATAAGTTATGGTGGAATGAAGAGAAATTGGGAATTGGTAGACAGAGTCTGCAAAAGACAAAATTTCACAGAAAGTAAGTTAAAGCAGACCCATTATACTCAATTTTATCTGTCATTACAAAAGTCTGGGACACTTATCATGATAATCATGATATTGCCTCCCTAAAATCCCTCATTGGAGAACTTTTAGCCCACTTTGTTTGGGTTACATTTACGGTGATATAAGATAAGACTCAGCCTGAGGGGAAAAAGTCTGAGACTAGCTGTTTGCACCCACTAAGCTCCATGTTTCCCACCATTAGGATAACATTAGCTATTGTCATGGAAAAAAAAAAAAAGAAAAATTCAGTGTTAGAGCACAAATTGTCAGAAATCTGTGTACTTCACCTCCTCTTCTGAAGGAGGAACTAGCCACTCAAACCTGCAGCACCTGTCTCAGTGGGATCACAACCACTTCCTGGGATCCCCATATAAGGCGGGAAAACCGACCTCTTCCCTTTTCCCTTTGTTCTCAACCAAACTGCCATGCTGCCATGTGTTTGTTGAGTCCACATCAATGTAAGTTAACCTGACTGCTAATATATGATGTGATGATGTATTTGAACCTGTAGAGATTAGACCTTCATCTGATTTGATATACTTTGATAGATAATGCCATTAATTATCTTGATTACTGATTATTGATGATTGACCAATCATCTTTGATATCCATATTTCTATTGATGGTGATGGTATTGATACTTTATTTTACATTGTTACTGAAACCTATTTTCTGTTCCTGTCTAGAACCATGTCCATGGCAACTTTTACTTTGGGAGTTTGGGGGGGGAAAAAAAACTCAACGCAGAAACTGTTTCCTGGTGGTGTGTGGCTCCAGTTTGAACTTTATAACCAACAAATGTCCCTTCGAGCCAGATACTGAGCCACACCCACCAGTGACCAAAACGGCTGATTGCCCAGAACAAAGCCAGGTAGCCACCTAGCGATTGCATGATGAGTTCAAGTTTTTCATCAGCACTATTGAGATGGAGGATGACCTTAACCTCCTTCCCAGCAATGGTACTGTTGGCGCCGAAGGAGGAACCGACACAGCCCGAGCTGCTTATCCTGAAGCGGATGTAGACCCACTTATCTCCTCACAAACATCTCCAGCAGAGCCTGACCCACCATTGAGCTTGCCACCAGATGAGCACCACCAGAAAGCTGACCATCCCCCTGGGCCACCAAACGTTCACCCTGCCCCTGACACAGGGGGCAAAGTTGATTTCCCTACTGAGTCCCTTCCACCAGATACCAGCCTTGACCCAGGGGCCAAATCCAAGCCACCCAATGAACGGATTCAGCCAAGACGTAGAAGCCAAACCTAGGAGAGAGAGGCGCCCCACTGACCGCTATGGTTACCCCCCGTCATATGCACCTTCTGCACGGTCTCTTGGCACCTGCAGTTCCCGGAGCAAGGGAACCCGTTACCCCCAGTCAGCCCCTAGCCAGTTTACAAGCCATCAGATTAGTAGGCATAGCCATAGGTCAAGCAGCAGTCTTACTTCCAGGTTGAGCAGGTTGAGTGAAACCCAGCACTGCATTCTTGATGAAAAGGCAAAGCGAGATGAGTTGGAAGAGCTGAGGAGACAAAGACAAGAGGATGAAGAATTGGATGAGAAATGTGCATTGATCGATAAGAAGGCTAGACAGGCCCAGAGAGCGCAGGAGGAAGCACAAAGGGAGAGAGAGACTTATTAGACAGACAGAAATGGATAGACGTATCCATGTCAAGAAGCAGGAGCTAGAGTCAGCCAAGCTCATTACCAGTTTCACCATACAGAATACTGGACCCTCTGATGATGACTCTGGTAGGTCTGCTCCTATGCCCTCACCTCCTCACAGAGATGTAGCCGATTTGTCTTTTCATGATCTCCCTCTATCCAGGATAGGCACTCCTGCCCCTCTAAGGATGATGTCCCAGTCAGTTCAATTCTCGCTACCGAAAGCCTCACCCTCTATGCCTCAAGCCCCATTCCCTATGCCTCATATCCATCCTCCCATTTTGGAGCCAGCTCCTCCCGTTATGCCCCAAACTCAGCTGCCAATTCCTAAGCCAGCTCCAATCATCATGCCTCCAACTCAGCCACTTACTTCCCAGCCAGCTCGATATCTTCAGCCTTAATCAGCCCAACTCTCCAGGCTACAGACAACTCAACCTCCCATGTCCCATTCAGTGCAGTTCTCCATGCCTCAAGAATTACTCCCTGTTCCTCTTTCAGCTCCACTTCCCATGTCTTCAACCCAGCCAAGCTCAGCCCCTCTTCAAGTCCCCTCTTGGCCCTTAGTCTCAGTGGATCCTTCAATCCCTGTTCAGGCACCTCCTTTACCCTCCAACCCTTCCACATTGGTCACGGGGTCCAATCCCCAAGTATCGGCCCAAGCCACCTTTCCCAGCCACCATGTATTATCCCAGACAGGGCCCTCATCCTTTCCTAGTCATCCTAGTCATGTAGCTCCGCCCCCAGTGCCAGCTATATCAGCTCAGCAGCTCCCAGCTTACCCACAGGCTCCACAGGTCCAGACCCCCGATATTATGGATCTGGTTATAGCCTCAGTTTTTGGCATCCCAAAGCCTGCGCTCCCTGTATTCAAGAGTGGACGTGAGAGTGATTTTGCCCTTCTGAAAATGGCCCTGGATAATCTTCTTGACAATTGCCCCCATCTCATTGAGCAGTATAAATACCAGATCCTCTTGGAGCATGTTCAGCACCCAGGAGCTCGTAAACTAGCAGCGTCCAGCATGCATGACCCAAGACCATATTCCACTGCCCTCCAAGCACTTCAAGAGAGGTATGGCCAACCCAGATTACTAGTGCAGAGTGAGATAGCGGCTATACTGAACACCCCTGTCATACGTATTGGTGACATAGAGGCCTTTGATAATTTCTCCCTATCTGTTCATTCTCTGGTGGGAATGTTGCTGTCCCTAGATGGCCCCAGTGGGTCTGAGATAAAATGTGGCTCTCATGTTGATGGTCTCCTCGGCAAGCTCCCTGTACAGTATAGAGACTCATTTGTAGAGTACTGTATTGACCGTGGCATTCTGACTGGGGAGGCAAACCAAACCTACTCCATTCAAGTCCTTTCCACTTGGCTTCAGTCAAAGTCAAGAGCTAAGCGCATATCAGAGCGATCTGCTGAACTCCACAAACATGAGAAGCCATGCTGGTGAAGCTAAAGCTATGGCTGTCCCGATCTTCATCCATTCTCCGGACAGGACATGGATTATCCCCTCAAATCTTTTTGCCTCGTCGTTTTCTGGCCCCGATCGGCGTCTGTCTAGTACCTGTCACCGGCTCAGCGGAGGGACCCGAACCCCGCTGCCTCTGCCCTCTTCGGCTGTCATAGCGCGGGGTGGACCATTGGCTCCTCAGGTCGCTGCGCCCGGCTCCCCGATCCACCGGACCACAGGCCCCAGCCCCAGCCCCCGCCAGGATCGGCTTGGTAAATGCCAGATTCCTGGTGAATAAAACTTTTATCCTGAGGGATTTCTTCAGCTCCCGTGCCCTGGATTTCCTCTGTGTGACAGAGACTTGGAACGGTGCGGGTGAGTCCAGCGCTCTGGCCAAACTTTTACCTCCCGACTGCTCATACTTTAACTCCCCGCGGACGTCGGGTCGTGGTGGAGTGACAGCAACGGTTTATAAGAATGGCTTTAAATGCAAGCAGCGCACTGTTTCATCCTCTTTTTCCAGTTTGAGGTGACTCTATTTGAGGTGGGTTGGTCTGACCCAGTGCTGTGCGCTGTCATTTACCGCCCAATACAATAAGGAGTTTTTGAATGACTTCTCTGGTTTGCTGGCTGAAATTATGCCGAACTATGATCGTGTCCTTCTTCTGGGGGTTTTAATATTCACCTATGTTGTCCAGAAAAGCCGCTGGTGAAGGACTTTGTAAGTCTTATTGACTCTTTTAATTTGATGCAGTGTGTGTCGGGTGCCACACACGAGCACGGGCATTTACTGGACCTCGTACTGTGTCATGGTTTACCTGTGTCTAACCTGGTGATATGTGATGATGTATTTTCTGATCACAGGCCTGTATTGTTTGAAGTGTATTTTTCTTGTTTTGAGGTTAAATCTGGCGCCCCTGAGCAGAGACGCCGGATTCTTAACCCCTCCATTCCGGTCGCTTCTCTGTGGCTTTTGAAGAGCTCTGTTTCTGCCCTGCCCCTGCGAACACAGAGGAGCTCAGCTTCTGGTTTCATTCCTCCTGTGAAAATATTCTGGGCTCTGTGGCTCCTTTAAAAACTGTTCGGCCAAAGGCTAAATCGGAGCCCTGGTTCAATGAAGAAACTTGCGCAGCCAGACGAGAGTGCCGCAAAGCTGAGCGAAGGTGGAAGAAGGACAAGCTGCAGGTTTCTTTCCAAATACTTAAGGACTCTTTTATCAGCTACTAGAGAACTGTTAAAGAGAGCAAAAGACAATATCTGGCAAACTTGGTTGAGTTAAATCATCATAACCCACATGAGTCATTTAAAACTATTGACGCTGTTCTTAACGCC